TTAATTAATATAAAAATATATAATATAATGCTATTTATTAAACTTATAAATAAATAAAATAAATACTTTAATTTTATATTATAATTTTTTTTATTTTAAATTTAAGATTATAATAATAATAATAAATATTAATTAAAAATTTAAAGTATTTTTAATTAATATTAAATAATATTTATAAAGTTTAAATTTATTATTTTAATTTTAAATTTATATTATTATTATATTTAAATATAATTTTTAATAAAAAATATAAAATAAATTTAAAGCTTAATAATATATAAATATAAAATTAAAGTAATATTTTATTTAAATATTAAAAATATAAAATATATTTTAAAATTAAAAAATAATCTTAAATTATTTATAATATTATTATATGTTTAATTATATTTAATTCTTTTTTATAATAAAATAAAGATAAATATAAGCTTTAATTAAAACTTTAAATTAAAATATAAAATAATTTAATAATATTTAATATAAAAATAAAAAAAGAAATAAAATTAATAAATAATTAACTTATAATTAACTTTTTTTTTATTATTAATTAAAAATATATAAAATTAAAATTATATTTAAGTTAAATTATTAATAAAAATAAACTATTTAAATAAATAAAGAATAAGTTTTGCTAAATCCTTTTAAGAATAACTTAAGGAAGAGCTTTAATATAATAAAAAAGGAAGATAAAAATAAAAAGAAGCTAAAAAAGAAAAAAGGTAAATAGTTTTAAAAAATTTTAAAAAATAAGAAAAGCTTAATTAAAGCATTAAATATATAAGAAAAGAAAAAAGTTAATTTCTTAAAAGAATATTTAAAATAAGCATAAAAGCTAACTTTTTATAATTAATTAAAATTTAATATAATATTATTTTTTATATATTTTCTTGCCTTTATTAATAATATATAAATAATAAGCATTTATTATAAGTTAGCCTTATATTGCTTTAACTTAAGGTATTTAAAAAAAGTTAATATTTAAAGTATAAAGAAAAAGGTTCCCTTTTTTTATGCTTATATTAAAGTTTATTCTTATAAGGTTAAAGCTTATTAATTAATTATAATAAGCATAAGCTTAAATTATAATATATTTCTTTTTTTTAAGTTAAAACCGTTAAGGGCTTTTTTAAGGGGTTAATTATTAATTAAAATAAATAAATTAATGCTTTAATTATAAATTAAATATTGCTTTTTACTTAATTATTTAATTATTTATATATATTTTAATTATATTATAAAAATAATTTATTTTTATAAGTTTATTTTTTATATATATTATAATTTAATATATTAATTAAAGTAAATTAATAAAAAATAATTATTTAAATATAAGTTAATAATTAAATTTATAATACTTTTATAATCTTTTAACTTATATTTTTATTATAAGCTAGCCTTAGGTTATTTACTATAAAGTGCTTAAATAAAGTTTATATTTAAAGTATAAAGAAAGAGGTTTACTTTTTATTTATATTTACATTAAAGTTTATTTTTATAAGCTTAAAGCCTGCTAATTAATTATAATAAGTAAAGCTTAAATTATAATATATTCTTTTTAAGTTTTTTTAATAAGCCTTAAAAGGTAATTATATAATAAAAAGTAAAGGATATTATAATTTAATTATAAATTAAATATTACTTTTTACTTAATTATTTAATTATATCTTAATGCTTTTTAAGTATATTAAAGGCTTAGCTTATTTTTTATAATTAATACGCCTTTAACTCTTATAATTTAATATATTAATTAAAGTAAGCTAATAAAAAATAATTATTTAAGCATAAGTTAATGGCTAAATTAATAGCATTTTTATAATTTTTTAATTTAAGCTTTTTATATAAGCTTTTTTATTTAAAACCTTAAGGTTATAAACTTATTATATAATTTATAATTAATTTAATATTTAATTATAAATAATTTACTTTATTAATAAATATTCCTTAAGTTTTAAAAGTTTTATAATATTAAATTAATTAATATTAATTAGCTTATTTTAAACTTAAATTAACATTAAGCTAGCATTACTTTTAAGCCTTACCTTATAAATAAAATTTATATATTAAAAATAAACTTAATTAAATACCTTTTTCTTATTAATGATAAAGGATAAAAGCTGTATTTAAGTTTTTTTATAATAATTTAAATAGTTATTCTTATAATAATTAAGCTAGCTATAAGCATAATACTTAACTTTACTTATTAAAATTATTATAATATTAATATTTATAGCTTTTACTTTTTAAATATAAGTATTATTTTCCCTTATTATAATATTAAAAATGCCTTTATATTATTACAAGATAAAGTAAAAAGCCTTAAATATATTTAATTATTCCTTATAATTAAGTTAAGCTTTTATTATAAAGATTAAGTTAATAATTATTAATAATATTTTATATTTATTTAATTAATTTTAAGCTTTTATTATATAAATTAATTAATTAAATTAAGTAAGAAATTTCATTATTCCATTTTTATAATATTATTATAATGTAATTAAGTTAAGCTTAATATATCTTTATTTAAAAGAGTCCTTAAATATAAGGCAAAACTTTTATAAAAAGCTTTTTAATTATTTTTTAAAATTCTTTATAAAATTAATATAAAATAAAAATTAATTATAAAAAGTTCTTAATTAATTAAATATATAAAAAAATTAAGCTCTTTTAATATTAATTATTTTTTATTTATTATATACTTAATCCTTATTTTAATTAATTAAATTATTAAGTATTTTTAAAATAAAAGTTTCTTAAGATAAAAAAAAGCTTAATAAGTTATTATTATTTTTTTTAAGTTTTATTATATTAAATTTTATATAATTATATTATAAGTTTATAATATAAAAAGACTTTAAATATATATTATAAACTAGCTTTAAATTATTTATTATAAGGTATTTAAGTAAGGTTTATATTTAAAATATAAAGAAAAAAGTTTATTTTTTATTTATATTAATATTAAAGGTTATTTTTATAAGGCGAAAGCTTATTAATTAATTATAATAAGCAAAGCTTAAATTATAATACCTTTTTATATAAGCTTTTATTTAAAGCTTTAAGGTTATAAACTTATTACATAACTTATAATTAATTAATATTTAATTATAAATAATTTACTTTATTAATGGAAATATTTTAAGTTTTAAGTATTTTATAATATTAAATTAATTAATATATAATTAGCTTGCTTTACGCTTAAATTAATATTAAATTAATAATGCTTTAAGCTTTATTTTATAAAAAAGTTTATAAATTAAAAATAAGCTTAATTAAATGCTTTTTTCTTATTAATAATAAGTAATAAAAGTTATATTTAAGTTTTCTTATAATAATTTAAATAATTATGCATATAAGCTAACCTTATGCTACCTTAATTAAAGGTATTTAAAAAAAGTTAAGATTTTAAGTATAAAAAAAGAGGTTTGCCCTTTTATTTTGCTTGCGCTAAAGCTTATTTTTATAGGGTTAAAGCCCGCTAATTAATCATAATAAGCATGAAAGAATATGTAATTACTGCTTGCAAATTACACCTCCCGGCCAAAAGACCATAATAACCAATCTAAGATTGGTTATTCCCAGCAATATATAAAGCCATACCGTTATAAAGCACAAGCTTAAACCATAATAACACCATTAATATAAAAAGAGTATTTTTATTAAAAATATAAAAAGTATTATTTAAAATTATATTTTTTATATAAATTAAATTATGGTCCCGTGATGCATTTAGTTTATGCATTAAGCTTTTAATCTGTAGAAATGCAAAGGGCATAGGTTTAACTCTTGCCAGGACCTTTAAATTAACTATTTCCCTTATTATTTCTTTACAAGCCCTTAAGGGCAGCAATTTCTTACTTATATATATTGCGTAAAGTTTAAAGTTTATAATTATTTATATGCTTATTTCATAAGTTATTAATTATAAAATATTAATTAAATACTTTATTTATATATAAATATTTCTTTATACTTATTATTTTTTTAATTCTTATAATTAAAGGTTATAAGTTTAACCTTAAGATTAATAGTTTTATATTAAATAACTTAATAAAGCCCGTATAACGTAATTTATTTTTAAATAATTAAATATTTAAATTAAGTAAGAAAAAAAGTAATTAATAATTAAAAACTTTTTTTATTTTTTATATTAAGTTTAATTAAATTAAAGTTGTATTAAAATAATTATAATTAAAAGTATATTAATTTTCATTTTATTATTACTTAAAGTTATATTTTTAATATATATTACTTTATAATTAAATCTTTAAAATTAATATAAAAAGCATTAAATATTTAAAAATATTTTTTATTATTTAATATTAACTTTAATTAAATTAAAGAAGTATTTATTAAGAAATATATATATATATATATATTATTAAAATAATAATATATATGTAACTTTAGTTTATATTAATATAACGGCGTTAAAAACGTGGTTTTAACGGTGTGGAATGTAAATAAGTGTATTTAGTGGCACAACTAAAACCAAGAAATATATACAGATTTATTACCTTTGTATGATCAACAGCCCCTCCCTTAGTTTGGGTATCATCAACCGAATTTCATCGTCCAATCACGTGGAATGTGCAACAACTCCTTGCATGTTAGAAAAGTCTAGGGTAAGTTGTCTTGTATAGCGGCGGCGGCGTTTGACTTGGGCGCCAGTGAAGTGCTTACACGAGTATCTACCCAGTTAGCCCCATTTCTAAATCCACCCACCCTTGCTCACAGCAAGATGGATTGATTCCTTGCCTAGCCTTTGGTAATACGCTCCTCTTTGGATATAATAGATGGCTACTAGAAAGTCGCAAATTCGGACAGGTTCACATCTCAGGTTATTGTCATCACTCTACAATTCACTCAAGAGCTCAATGCAGATGTATTGGTTCTGTCTTGGTTTTATGCCCTCTTTCCCTCACCAGATTCATGCCGCCCACCAGCAATGAAAACCAAGACTCAACCCCTGACTCTCTTTGCACCACTCGTGGTGAGACTTAAACGGCCTTCAGATACTTCCCTTCAACATTGTCCTTCTGCTCCTTGGGACTCAGGGACTTCCACTCTGCCTTCTTCTGAAGACCAGACTTGATGGTATTGCTGCCAGGAATGAGTGCCTCTCCAAATACTTTTGCACATGTAAGCGCTTTGGTAGAAAACTTACATTGTAACTGTCTCGAGCTTCTGATCCAAGGTGATTGCGTACAGGTATTCGCCCTTGCCAAGATCGTGGACAAAGTCCACTTTGCCCTTCCTATCCCAGTCATGCCCGTAGAAAATCCCGTCCCCCTCCTTGAACTGGGGTGCCATGTTGTTGGTGTATGGGGTAGTGATTCGCTTATGTTTCTTGTGTGCAAGGTCGCTTGGTGATTTGTGTGTATCTTTGAAATTTGTTGCGATGAGGTAGCTCTTCCAGGTGCTTCGCTTCTGTTGATGGTTTTGGTATGAACTGTCCGGAGGTTAAACTGCTGGAAAAGACGGCTTATATATGATTTCTAAAAATAGTCACTCGACAGTCTACTGAAGAGTCGTCCTTGTGACGCCGCACATCGAAGTGATGAGCATTTTTTCCATGCACAGGCCGTTGTATGTCAGACTGTATCAGCAGTACAGTTCAACCGTCTTTCACAGACTCTCAGGCTCCAAGACCGAACTACACAGTCGTTACCGTAAAATATGGATGACGATGAGTTAACCCTGATTGTTGCTTGCTGTTTGTGATTCACCGTCCTATTCTGGTATAGCAATCACAGGTGGCTGACCACGCAATTGGGCATTGAAACTTTCTAAGTACAAGCTGGCACCGTTCTAATAGTTATGGTAGCTACCCGCGAGGTATGAACCGCTGCCGAGGCATGGGTAGGCTCTATTTTCTCGCCGTCGTCATTTAATTATCTGCAACCAACTGGGCTACCTTCGTCAACATCTGCCCTGCACACTCTGACAATAGGTCAAGAATAAATTGTAAAGGACCAGCGGGTATGGCTTGCTTGAGTTGTTGGATTTGCCGAGCTAGAGTTCTGTGACATCAAGTTTGATGGATACTCGAAGCTCAGATATTCGATGCAGTGGGAGGATCTCCATTCAACGGACTCATGTACATATAACTTCGATGTAACTTCATGGTACTGCTGCTGATTCCTTATCTAAGTCTCATTCTGCATTAGACCATGGCCGGAATATCGATCTCAGCAATAGTCCAGACCTGTCCTCCGTTGCTCGACGTCAAACCCTTATACGTCCCTCCCGCAGCAGTAGCGATAGTATTGCCGAAGGTGGTGTCCGCGCCGGCCAGCGTGATAACAGTGTTGAGGTACTTCTGCGCCGCAGTAGTGCCAGAGCAACCCCCGTCACACTCCGTGCCTGTGCCATACCCCCTCATATAAGGACCGGACGCGTGACTATAAGTACTCAGGGCCGCCCCGGTATCGGCGTTGGTCACAGTCTGCTTCCACGTCTGGCCATCGCTCTGGAGCTCATAGACGATCTTGACCTTGTCGGTGCCCGAGACGGCGGACGCCGGCCCATCGAGCTGGCCGAACGAGCCAAAGACCGACGCACGCACGCACCATTGCCCCTTTGAGGCCCCGCACCATGAATTATCCGGCCAGGACTCGAGTGTTGTCTGGACGAGGTCGCCTGTGCCGTTCGACATACCGGGCCAAAGGAACAGCTCGCCGTTTTGGGTCGAGGGTGCGGTACCAGGCACGATTGTCGTCACTGCCTTGGTGATTGTGCTCTTCGTGGGGCCCAATGATACCGATCCGCCCCAAGTGTCTACCCGGCGATCCTTGGTGCCTGTAGGGGCCATGGGTCCGAAGGTTGACGGTGCGAGGGGGCCGAAAGGCGAGGCGAGCGCACCAGCCGCAAGGGCGGCAACCGTGGTCAGGTAGAAGCGCATTTTGGGGCGGTGAAGGGCAAAGTAATAGCTCGAGGATTGAGTGAAGGTAAGCCGAGGCAGAGAATTGCTCAGCTTCGGACTATTTCACAAAGGTTGAGCTGACATTTGATCAACACGACGAGGAATCACATTGGTCGTACAGGGAACTTATATAGCATTAAGGCTGTTGGCCGTGCGCGTGGCCGGTTTCTCTCCCATGGTGGAAGAAAATATGTTTGGCGGAATTGTTTAGACAGCCTATGATTCTTCCGGCCACTTGAGCGGATCAAGTCCCTGAATTGGATTTCCATTCCTGCTCAAGTGACGAATGTCAATTAAAAGCTGTCTTCGAATTAGGTAAGTCCTGGGAGACTTCCGAGCTGGCTGCTATTCCGCGTTCAATGTGAATGGCAATCCGCCACGGAGCAGGGCAAGCCGGTCGTATTGGAAGTCACATTGGCATTATTTTCCACCTCTAGTTTACGTGCTGCGTGCCTGAACGGGCAGCCTGTCCTGTTTGGTCTTGGCGCCCGTGGTATATGATGGTATTGGGTGTCATCCGGTGCGGAGATTCTCATGTCTACGAACTGGGGTAACAGTCGAGGCTCAGTGGCCATACCTGTTCCTGAAATGAATGACCTTTCTGAACTACCCATCTCCAAGATCTTGCTCGAGATAAATCCATGACATGAACTGTTCTTTGTTGTTTCCTCAAGTCTGATCTACCAACTGTTAAGTTCCGCAACTGCCTGCCCATGCTGACTTCCCCTTCTTGCCTCTTTGTTATAGATCTTTCTACACTGTTTCCGGATTTCTTCCCTTGCTCTGATACAAGATCCACTTTAGCCGTATAGTTTATGTTGGCACACAAAAGTTACATGTCGAATCAGGAGCAACGGTCGTACAGCCGAAGTTTTAATGCTTCTACGAGCACAACAGTGCTTCAGCCTAGACGTTCAAGAGAAGGTCCAACAGCTTGGAGTAAACAGGCGAACTGCATTCAATACGTATCAGCACACGATGGTCAATGATTCAGGGAATCAGAACTTCACTCACCCTAGTCCGGTCACGGGATCCCAGCCGGGAGCAGCCAAAAAGCCCGTGGAAAAGCAGTTGGGGTTGGACCCATTAGTGACATCTGTAAAGACCTCGGGATGGGCATACTGCAAGTTGTTAGTCAACAGTCTACCGGGTGTTGACGTGCTGTACGGCAGTCTTTGGTACATAAACTCACCAGGGTTGGGTTCACGAAGCCAAGGGTGCTCTTCCCAGCCGCAATTCTTTCCTCGTTGACTCTGGTCAAGACGGCAGCCCAGATTGGTGCAGACAAAGACGTGCCGCCGATACGGCCCCAAGAGCCTTGCGCGCGGACAACAAAAGAGTCACCGATGGCAGACACATCGGGATATCCACGGCCACCTATCTTGTAGACGCCGTCGCCGACGGCCGAGAAGTTGGTGCCTGGGTCCGTGTAGCCAGTGAAGTTCAACGTGACTGAGTCGAAGTAAGTCGCGACTTGGTCTTTCTGGTAATCTGGAGCATCAAAGTAGTCTGTGCATAATCCCGTCAGTATAAAAAACGAATTCTGGTTGACGTGGCCCTTCAAGGATGAGGGTTTTCAAAAATAAAGGTAAACGTACTGCTGAAGCCGCCACCTGAAGGAAACCTGGCGGTGGCACTCTCGACATACTCTGGTGTTGACGAATTGCCAGACACCTTGTCCAACTGCGTCGATCCAACAGCTAGGACATACGGGCAGGTCGCATCACTATCTGGGTAGAAGACTTTTCCTTCGGGCCCGGCACAGCCATTCGCGCCCCCGTCGCCCTCGAAGGAGCCCACACCATCGTCACCGGAGCTGATCACAACGGTCGTCCCCTGCAGACCCAGCTTCATGATCTCGTCGCATTGCCTCTTGGTGTAGTAGCTTGGGACGTCAGACTCGCCGCCACCGTACGAAATGCTGATCACGTTCGTGGGCTCATAGACTCCGCATTGGAGCTGTCCTGTGTAGCCACCTGGGTTGGGGTCCGGGTACGCTGGGTCCAGACACTCGGGAAGAACGCAGTTGCCGGTCTCGCCATATGCGCTGTACGTGCAGTAGCTCCCGTCCAGGGCATCATAGAAAGTATTCCAGAAACCTTTGAAGGGAGTGTCAGAAGCAGTCTCGTTTAGCTGGTAGTACTCGTCGTCGGTCTGGAAGAGGATCGTCTTTTGGGGCCAGATGAGAGGCTGAGCAGCCTCGAAGTCTAGGTCTGACTCAACACCAGCCGCCGCCAGTGACTTGGCAGCACCATAAGCACCGTCGATGCCCTTTTCGATGGGATAAGTGCCGTTTGGAATTTCCGGATATAAAGTGGACCAGTATACATCAAGATCATCCTGAGCGTAGTGATCGCCCAGAGACTCGAAGACGCCGAGCTCGTTACCTTCGGCAGCCTTGTCGCCTTTGGGGATGCTGTACTGCGTTCGGATGCACTCCTGTGTGACGTACGAGTCGCATATGGAGCTGTTCAGGGGCGGGAGGCTAGAGGCGTCTGGGCCGATGACATCGACTCCGGTATTCATGGCCTTTACTGCGCGCTTGCCGAGTTGATCGACCTCAGCGCGACGCTTAAGACGGCGAACGCGACCTGGATCGGCACGAAGTCGGATACCTGGAGTAATGTCTGGAAGAACTAGTTAGTTCCCGAACACTTGCTTATTTTGGAAGTGGGCGGGGGTGACTCTGTCACTCACAGTCGATGTGGGTTTGCACGTGGGAGGGAATATGATACTCCTCAGCGGCGATGTTTTCGCTGCCAGTCGAGCTGTGCTCCCAGTAGAAGTAATCCGTGAACAGAATATCCTCGACCTCCGCAACCGTGGCGTCAAATTGAATCCACTAAAAAGTGTGAGTTTTCATTTGCCAAGCATGTGAGATAGTGAGTGTGCTCTTGGGTGTCATACCTGCTTGTTGGCTGATTGTGAAATCCGAGTTACATCGATCCCGCCGGCAACGAGCCAGTCTCTAACAACCTCTACACTCTCCTTCGGAGGCGCAAAGAAGTCAATGACCTCACGAGCAGTCATGCTCTGACCGTAATATGGGGACAAAGGGTTTGACCTTTCTGCCAGAAGGTCGCGGCCTTCCTGTAGCTTATCCTCAGGCTGTCGCAGTCCGATTCTCATTGGAAGGACGGTGGACTTCTTGACCTTCTGCTTCTTCTCCCAAGTCCAGGACCAGTGAGGCATCTGCCTCTCGTGACGGACATGCGTGCTAGGCACGTCCCTCCTGCTGAGGAGTCGTCCACCATCAAAAGGACTGGCCAGCGCCGAGTCAATGGCTGCCGCACCACAGAGGGCGGCAGCGACAAACTGCTTGTACAGCATCGTGGGACGCGTCGACTTGGCAAGCTGGACCAGCGACAGATAGCCAATTGGTGTGGGGCGAATGCACTGGTGGAGATGGGGACGGAGGAGGATGTGGCCAAGAGAGACCACCGCCTTCCAAGAGATAGCACCCGCCCCTTGGCAAAGCTTTTATATGTCTACCGTTACCATCGTCCCCACGGGATGGGACCCTGTCATGATGGCGAGATAGCATCGCGTAACTGGCAGGGGGGACTCAACTCTGAACCGACCATGAGGGGAAGGTGTTCGACCGTTCATTCCAACAGGGGTCGTCTTCCCCGAGTGGGGATCGCCTGTTATCTTCATGGAAGCTCGATGATGATTGAGCCGGGGGTTTGGAGCGGTGGGACAGGACCCGAGCGGAGCCAAAGGCCGGAGACAGACATCCTGACATCTGGACCACGGCGCCTGGTTACAGCTCTCAAGCCCGCACAGCCGATCGCCACTGCAGTGCAACGCGTCTCGCTTTCGCCTCTCCGCTCCGCGTTTGGGCCATTCTGCAGTGCAGTGTTGTGGATTGCATGACTTGGAACAAGCTCCGGAAGGCGGCAAAAGTCCATGGGTGTTCGTGTTAGCGGGTAAAGCCAGAGAAGCTGGAGCTTCCGGTCTGGGGCTAGAGGCAGGGAGCCGCTACATGCAAGGTGCGCGAATCATCTGCACTTGAAGTCTAGGGTGGGGACCAACAAAGCTTAAGACTTTATTGGGTTTGCTGCCCTGGCCCGCATGAATTCGAGAGAACGTATTTGACCCCGGTTTAATTTATTACTTGCACGGACCCCGACCATAAAGTGGCTTCGGCTCATGCTGCCTTGGTAAGTGGCTGGGTTGGGACCTTGGGTAGGGAGTGGTGGTCAGAGTTGTCCTGACCCCTCACTTCGCGGTTCACAGACTGCGATCGGCACGGTGCGAGAGGGAGGGGGTGAGAAAACACAACGGCGTAAGCCACATGCGGCGCCGGCGCGGGACAACCAGGGCATCTGATGGAGTTCGGTCGCCCATTTTTGAAGTGGCGCCGCCTCAATTCTTATTATCAGGCGGAATTACAGTCATGCTCCCCGTCTTGTCTTCCTAATCCAGCGGGTCACAGCCGGTTCGCAAGTGGGTAGGGGTACGGTTTGGCCAGCACAGACTGCACACCTTGTCGGATAATATTATATGGGATAATCTCATATGGGAGAACCTCACTGGCATATGGGATAATCTCGCACGTGATAACCTTACATGAGATAACGTTTCACAGTAACATTGAATAGGAGAGCCTCACCCCTATATGGGATAATCTGCTATGGGACACCCTCCTGTAGGATACCCTCCTGTGGGATAATCTGCTGTGGGATAATCTGTTGTGGAAGATCAAACGGTATCAAATCCAGCTATTGTAGGTGGCCTGGACGTGGTCCCGTGCCATATACACTTCCAGCAGTCAGAGACAGTCATCATCGCAAGCCCACGTCTGCAACTTCAAGATGACTGTTGCACTGTTGGGTCAAACTTTGGCAAGGCTACCCGGTAGAGCATTGTATGATCCCTGCAAGCCGTATTCGGTAGCTTGAGATAGTGGCGCTGTGCTCCTCAGATAGGAAGGTCGGAGACAGGGGGCGAACGACATAGTTCAATGGTATCACAACATAATCTATTGAAGTATATAGGTACCGCAATTGCCGTGCAACTGCGGCGTCGCTTTTGTTCCACAGTTATGAGCCCGGTTCGCACGGAACTATCTTTCCTTTCTACGAGCTGCAAATAAGCCGTGCAAAGCGCGTCTCAATCACATTCATTTTATACTATTCATTTCCTTCTGCTGTTGAACAAAAGCAACGCCGCTATTGCACGGCAAATGCGGTACCTATATACTTCAACATAATCCTTACTAGCAGAGGATGATTCCATCACCCAAACTCCCCTGATAATCAGCTAGCACATGACCCTGACCAAGATAAGAATGGAGTTGTAGACCCAGCAGCTTATGGTCAAAAAGATTCCAGCTTGACCTTGACAGGGTGTGCCCATTTCTCACGAGTCCCAAACATTTGCCTGTCACAAACTCGTGATCTGCTATTTCTATTCTCTCGTCTTTCCCAAAAGAAATTCAATCTTGGAAGAGAGTGACATGGTGACATCTGTCTCTAGAATCCAGACTTACAGGTTGACCTTTCACCAAGTGCAGAACCATCACATCCTTTTCCAAAGGGTAAATGTCCACTGACAAGGAAGTCTCCAAGAACACCCTGTGAGCTGTGGAGTCATGATAATATAAATTACCTTTCAGAACAAACTGTCATCCAATCAGGTGTCAGCTTGCCTTTAAACAGGTCTTGTGGTCTAGTGGTATGATTCGCGCTTAGGGAACACCCTAAACAAAAATGCGCGAGGCCCCGTGTTCAATCCACGGCAAGACCCTGTTGTTTTACATTTTTTTCTAGAATTTTTGAGTCTTGTTTTGGCTATCCTGAGCTCGGTGAAGTCGTTTGTCTTTGAGTGAGTAGACTATGTCGGCGTGGTGGCGTTGTGGTGCAGCCCGGTGGCTTATGTAAGCTGCTTAGCTAAGCCAGCACCACTCACACAGCCATTGACACCTCTACCTACAAACCCTTTAATTAATTACTTGTGATGGAATGCAGCCTTGAATTGAAATGGATTGATATATTTAAGAAACTTGATATATTTAAGAAACTGAATAGTGATGTTATTGGGTCTTTTTTGGGACAATTGCAGACTCCAACATGTATTTCATGACATGTTCCAGGGCCAATCCGGCAAACACATCACCAAATACCCCAGTCTGCTTCCCAGTCCTCTCAGTCCAAACGCTCCTGAGGCTCGCTCAACTCACAAATGGCCATTAATTATGGCCGTGGACGTTTGGTAAGCGAAATCTCCAGCTCCAGTGCTTTTGTGGATCCTGTAGCAAATCCCTCATGTTCCTCGCGAAGGGTGCCTCGGGCCCTCTCATCAGCTCTCCTCTATCCAGACACCGTCTCGCTGCCTCAAGCGCCAATACCGGATTCCCGGCACCATTCCACTCGATAGCGGCGCGGTAGTGTGCTTCGTGCATTCGAGTGTCCAGGTGCTCGAGCTGGTATAGTTCAACGAGTTGCTCCGCTTTATCGGTCGAGCCACTTGAAGCCGGAGAGTAATCATCAAGATCTCTCCATAGGGTGTGTATCTGCTCGATTCTGCTGTCTGAATCTGCGATCAAGCCTGGATCAGAAGTGCAGTGCTTGCAGGTGCATTCAAATCCCCAATGGGACTGTAATTGATTCTGTCGCATGGCGCGGGCTTGGACTGGACTGCCCAGAATCGTCAGCATGTGTGGCAAAGGTGGCATTCGTTGGACCGTACTCATAGTAGGCGATGCTGAGCTCTTCCCCATTATGTATATCTCGAGCTGCATAGACCTTTTGTGACAGCGTCGACGCGTCGAAATGGTACCCACTGTTGGGGCGACAGTCATGGTTTAGACGTGATACTGCGAGTGAGGGTGTAAGTAGCTCAAAACGCACAAACGAGGACTCGCAAATGTAAAAGGGGGAACCCGAACCTTCAGTAAATGTAGAATGAAAATCTTTCCCATTTTTGAATTTCGTCCTGAAGTTGTTTTTTGCGAAGATTTTATAAACTCTCTCTTCTTGGGTCGTAGCGTCGTCATGGGTTGACAGCTGGAGATACTCGTGCTGATGTTGCTGTGGCAGGGACTTGATGGCATGAGCGAGTGCTTGTGTGAGATGATTCGTGCTCAAGTTGTTGAACGCTGTACCGTCTACCACAACAGCTGGAGTTCGTGCCATAATCAGCTCTCCCTGGCTGATCTCTCGGGTGGCAATCAGACCGACTCCTTTTCCTGGTATCTCTTTGGCCTCGTAAGGCGGCACGGCAGCACGACTCCCAACTTCAGAATCCGGTGCCTGCGACGTAAACAAAGGTAAGACGTCTTCGAGTATTGCATCCGTGGTGATGAGTGCTATACCGAGGCCGCGGCTGAACTTCGGGTGCGTGAAAGTGCAGAACTGGTTCGGTCCCAGGCCATGGCAGGCATCTCCCTTGACCCAGCCGCTACCCAATGAATTTGATTCCCAGATCGGGGCAGTTGCATCGATGGGGCACACAGCATGGTCTTGCGAGTCAAAGTGTGGGAAAGGTGTGCACAATGACACTGCATCGGGTAAACACAAGCAGCCAATGATTGATAGCAGCCAGAGTGGTAACGTCGCTTTTTGCCAGCAGATCATGGTCGGCAACCTGATTGCATCGCATGCTCTTGCTCTTGTGAGGCTTGATAAGTAACTCGGAGGTCAGCACGGGACGTTGCTGGAATTTGACTTCGCGGTTATCAAGCCACGGTGACCGTGTTTCAGATGCTGCAGTGCTCCTGAAACCTTCCGTCAACTCCTTCTAATTAATTAGACGGGCCGCCGTGGGCCGAGCGGCGACCCAAGCGCTTGGAGCTCCACTAAGTTGGTTGTTCAGTATCCAAGCGACGCGACGAATGGACGACACCGCGCCCGCAATTGAGCATAATTTCTGCGTTCATGTCACGCGGTCACGCGGTCAACAATTGTCGGGCAGGCAAAGTATCAAATTGCTGACATCAACCGCCGGCTCATAGTACGACTGGAGCTTGGCCATTTTGTTGTTCGACGCCACCTCCTCTGGCGATGCAACACACAGATGCGGGCCTCACAAACATCATTGGACGTTGCACTCGTGCTCTCGCAACGGTCGATGCGGGGACGTTAGGCGATTTCTGTGGTGGTTGACAGCTGCGACCTCTTTGGTCGAGAACCCCTCCGTCTCACACAGGATGACGTTCGGATGGTCATCTTCCCCCGAACCAGACAGAGCATGACGACTGATGGTAACCTCGATGGCCTTTGCCAATGCTCGCAGTCTATTGACCCTGATATATATATTCAGGAGGTGAGCCCCTCACTGCCCTGGACTGGACACCGAACACATCCAAGACGATTGATCCTGCGCATTCCAAGACTTTCAGCACCAGACCAAATCACATTCTAATAATAACATAATCACAAGCGGCCATGAGCGGAATCACCGACACTGCAGCCACCCAAGCCCACGACGTCGTGGAGCAGGCCGAAGCCGAGGAGCAGAAGGTGAGTCGCTGCCCAATGTTTGCGCCACGCGTGCCGCCTGCGTCACACTATTGACACATCAACACGAAAAGGTGCAGGGAGACAAAGCCATTACTGGCGAGGGTGTGGGCGTCGAGGGTAGCAACACGGCTGGCACCGGTGACCAACATGCAGAGGGCGAGACCAAGTCCAAGCTAGACAAGGTCAAGGAGGCGCTGCACTTGAAGAAGTGATCGCGCTTCAATTTCCTATTTGAGTGTGGGCGCTTAGGTGGACGGCTGGTTCGGGATGGGTTGAGGTCCAAATTGTACCATGCAAGGTGGATGTCGCTATCGCAAACTGCAGCAAAAAAACAAACAGAGGGTTGTCTGTGCAGCCACCGCTACCGGAATGCCGGTAATAAGTCATCAGACTGAATGCTCCAGAAGATGCTACGCTGTGCGCTGTGCTGCCCAATTCGCAGGGGAAACGTGGCGCCGGTGCATGCAATAAGTAGTCTAAATCCTGTCGAGGAACCCCCCGGGAATTGATTCAGCCCTATCAGTCTTACGTCTTACTCGCAGGCAGCCACGGGCTTTTCTTCCTCTTGCTCGAAATAGGAACCCTCGTGATCACTCAAATCCATGGCTTCGCCGGAGCTTCCTTCTCTGATGTCAGCTCGCGGAGCGCAGTCGACCTCAGGATTCAGCCCTAAAGCCGCCAAGTCAGGCACCCATCCCCCGTTCGAGTCACTCGGGCCGTAAGACGACGTAGCTCGCGTGTATTTCGGCCTGTCGAATGGGAGCGGATACCCACCCACTCAGCCCGTAAGCCGCCCACCCTAGAGCCGAAACGGTGTACCGGGACTATTATTGAGACTGCGAGGCGCATTCCTTGAGTCGGGTGCGCCCGATCAATCTTTGCGCCCGCCCTAGTAAGCAAAGGAGTGGCGGCTGAGAAGGCAGGCCAAAAGCGGGAATAGAATTGTTCTTTTGCGGACGCCCTCCCATTTTTTCGACTTCCTCCCCCTCCACCCAGGCTGCCCTCCGCCGAGTTCGTGTTCTCCTGTCTTGGCTATTTAGAGATCAAGTCACACGGCCATCGACGTCGATGCCTCGGCTATCGACGTTCTACACCGAGCCAGCATTTCGGGGCTTGCAGGTCGACGGCGCACCCTCCTTCGTATATCAATCACACCGCAGACCGTGCCGAATGGGCCGTGGGCGTCCATCGGCTGCACGGAGGCGCACCCAACGCACCATACTTCTTATCTACGCCTCGGTGACGGGCGGGCTCATCGCCAATACAACTTAGCCATGTGCCCGGTGGAGCACCCGTGGGGCCGTTTGGGGGCGGCTTGTGCGCATAGATCCTGGGGAGGATCATGGAACCCTGCATCGTCGGACCACTCATCACCACGACACCGCGAGGTGTTGGCTGCAAGTGCACATCGTGGTGTCCTGAGGGAGGGCTCCGTGAAGTTATCGGGGGGTCGCACGTGGACGCCGTCCCACATCCGACTCGAGTATCATCTTCGGACCGCGCCCCAGCAAGGAGCGGCCGTCCTACCCGGCGGATACCTCGACCTACCCAGACCCAGGGGGGGGGGGGGTGATGACTGTTCGTGGGGCACTGCTGCTCAGGCACACCATCTTTCGATTTCCTGCCTGATTACACGGTCAGGAATGAGGCGATGCGATGAGGCAGCCTCGGAAGCATGACTCCTTTGTGAGGCTCACGTTGGCGATGGTGTGGGTGTATCGTCCATCCCAACGGTCACGGGCTCGTTCTTTAAATACGGGAGGGTGTTCATGGTCATGCCCAGCTTCCAGTGAAGTCAAACAGATCCCTCATCAGCAGTTTAAATCATATTGATAGTCTCAATATTGTTGTTCTTCGCGGCGAAGTAAACAATTATTTGTTAGTCAAGTGGCAACCTTCACCTCTATCTATATCGGGACTTAACTAGTCGTCTGTGTTACAATGGCGAACCTTCTAGTGCTCACTCGAAAGGTCGAGGCTCTTGATTTGCAATCGAGGCCTGCCGCCATAGGTGTCATTCTATCGCTCCTTATTGTTTTATACCTATCGATCACAAGGTTCATGACATGGCGTCGACTGTCAGCCTTCCCCGGCCCGTTCCTGGCCTCCATATCATATCTTCCCATGCTACGGATCCGTCGCTCCGGGAAATCTCACCTCGACTACTTTGCGCTTTCTAAACAATACGGCTCCCTGGTCAGAATTGGTCCCAATGACCTCCTCGCATCAAGCCCAGACCACCTTCGCCGGATGTCGGCAGCACGGTCGACCTACCAGCGAAGCAGCTGGTACAAGGCCACCAGACTCGACCCATACCATGACATGATGGGCAGCATCATGGACAAGCATGCCCACATGTCCCTCCGGGGCAAATTGGCTGCTGGGTACATGGGCAAAGACAACCCAGGCCTCGAGTCTGACATCGACTCTCAGGTCCAATCTTTGGTCGGTTTGATCAAGCGGGAGTATTTGTCTGACGAGTCAGCTAAGCCAGTCGACTTCGGAAGACTGGCAGACTTCTATGCTCATGACTCCAAGTCCAAGCTCGCGTTCGGCAAGCCACTGGGCCTCCTTGAGACAAACACGGACGTTCGTGGCATCATTGCCATCGTCAAGCTGGCTCTGGAATGGATCCAGGTGTTCACAGATATCCCGCCTCTCCAGAAGATCTTCCTCTCGAACACAATGCTCAAGCTTCTCGGCCCCAAGCCAACAGACAGCTGGGGTGTTGGATACCTTATGGGAATGGCCCGGGAATTGGTCTCCAGTCGTCTCGAGCCAGATGCCAAGGACCAACAAGACCTCCTGGTAAGTCGCCACTATGCACACCCCACTAATGAACCAAAAATACTGATTCTGCGTGCAGGGATCGTTCCTGAAGCATGGATTGGACCGGCGCTCGGCAGAATCCGAGGTCATGTTCCCGATCATCGCAGGCTCAGACACAACGGCCAACGCGATCAAGATGACGGTATCACACATCGCTTCCAACCCTAGGGTTGCCTCCAAGCTCAAGAACGAGATCGACCAGGCGATTGCCGACGGTACAATTTCCAAGCCCTCAACAAACGAGGAAGCGAAAAAGCTCCCATACCTTGAAGCTGTCATCTACGAGGGGCTCAGGGTCCACCCTCCCTTTGGCGGCCTCATCATGAAGCAGGTCGGCCCTGAAGGCGACACATTCAACGGCCAGTTCATCCCTCCGGGGACAAGGATCGGACACAGCACCTGGGCCGTGGCGCACGAGGTGTCCGTCTTCGGCGCCGACTCCAACGTCTTCAGGCCGGAGCGCTGGATCGAGGCCGACGAGAAGACCAGGGGCATTATGAAGAAGCAGACGGACCTCGTATTCGGCAGTGGAAGATGGGGTTGCCCCGGAAAGCATGTCGCCTTCATTGAGTTGAACAAAGTCCTTGTTGAGGTAAGCTTGAAACCAGTTATGGTGCATTGATGCATGAGCTTCAAGATGCTAACTTTGGTTGCAGCTGTTCCGAAACTTTGATTTCCAATTCACCAACGACCCTACCTCGATGAAGAACTACCAAAAGCTCTTCATGGGTGGCTCGCTACCAATGAGTGTAACGACTCGAACTGCTTAAAGATTTCCATTTCCATCTTATGTATAAAGAAGAGGTCGTGGACATTCATTTGGATATATTTCCTTTGCTTTTCGGCCACTAGTGTTTTCTTGTATTGTCCTGGCCACGTGAGGAGGCAGGACTGGGTTCATCATTTCATAGCATAGGCGTTTGGGCAGGCTTCTATTTTTGTGCCTTCGATACCCTTGAGGCTGGACCTTTACCAGAATGAAAAACAAATTGAGTCAATTCCAGAACCATTTGATCATCCCTGATTTTTGTTGTGTCTATTCTCCTGGTGTAACATACAGCATGACAATCCTCATTAGCACGATGTGATGTGCAAGAGGCACAGGTTTGCAAGCCTACAGACTCGCTGCATTGGAGACAAATTAAATATATCCCTGCGATCCCGTCACAAAAGTCTAAGAGGCGTGGAAGCAACTGGGCATTTTCAAGATGCTTGCCACAGGGGTAGCTCGCTTTCTCGGTGCAGTGACTGCCATTGGTCAAGGGCACCACCTTGTTATCAGCACAGTACCGAATTTGTAGGTGGTTTGGTTCCAGCCAAGATGCAAGTGGCCCTTTTCATTTAACCACGACACCACTTCTCACTAGAATATTTATATTGAAGTTCCGCTCTATATAACTTCCAGAGATCCTGGAGTTTTCTTTACAAATGGGAATGCCAATGCCTCCGAGGCTGCGGTGCCATCTCCAGCTGAACCTCATCATTTAGGTCTGTCACAACACGATCACTTGGGAATCCAGGAATCCAGTTGATGTCGTGTGCCAGTCCGACCCGTATCCGATCATTTCGCCAGTCCAACACCATGTCGCTTGTATCAAGTGCATTATTCAGCAGGACCCTGCTCAACGGGGACTCCCTTCTTTCGGCCTGCCAAAGGGAATTGGAGCCCTAGCTCATCTGGTACTTCCATTGACCGAGAGAAAATCGAGACAAGGCTCGCTGGGCCGTGCTTAGGCATAATAACGTCGACGAGACATTATGCCTCAGAAGGGGGAACTAACGCGACGATCCATCTGGGGTGCATATTACCATAACCCGTCTTCGCTGTCACATTGAGGATCAACAACTCCCATCCGAGTCTTAGGTGGGGAATCAGACACGTTACTGGCAGTGGCCTCCTCAAAGGTGGCCTGGGCGGCACGTTGCAGGCGCGAAAGCGACAAGGACACTCGGTTTACACGGTGCTAAGCTGCATGTCACGCAGCATTTGCGAGAGATCCGACCGATCAGGGCAGGAACTGAGAAGTGAGCGCGGGTGAGACGTCGGGATCGGCCATGCAGGGCACATATTTACCCGGCCTGTGATTGCCAGCACTCATAGTGCAGGCTCCGGTAGTCGAGATGACCTTTTAGTCAAGTTAAAACTCCAAAGACCAACCAGTGTCTTGCTGGATAGCACTTTGGAGCGAATTAATATGCAAGTGTAAAAACTGGCTCTTGATCTCCGAGTCGCACTGAGACCCTAAGCACGACACCACGGATCTACGTTATGCCGGTGTGTACATAATAATGGTGAATGTGCATCCAGCCGTGTTTGGTGTCTAATCTGGATGGCTTGGAATGTGCTCCTGACTTGAAACATAGTGAGCGAACCAGAATAAGACAGAAACCTTCCAGTTTAGGTACACACGCACCTGCCGGAAAGAATCACGATTGCCAAGACCTCCAAAGCTGTAATATGGGAACTCCCACTAGACTGCGAGAAGGCAGGCAATGTAATATGAAGATGGTAGGCCTGCAGGCTCTGTTGGAAGTCATTTTCGATGAGGGAATATAGTTCAGCCTGGCCAAGAAGCGAGCGTTCCTGCTGTGCTTGCAGTATAAAAAGCAGCCGTGAACATATCGGTCAAGACAATCGTTCCTCTGCTCGGTACGCTCAATCTCTCATTACGAAACAAGGTCAGAATGTATGTTCGAGGCTTCTTCCTGAGCGTCACATGGTCCCTGCTGTGGCTGGCTGCTCCTGTCTCGGCTGGGTTGTACCCTGAAGATGCTGTTGACCGTCTCGCCGCGATAGGCCTGGACAATCTTGAACATTATGTCAACAACCAATCATCCACCAGAAAGTGCACCCTCGAGACAGCTGTGAAGCGTCGTGAATGGTATACCGCATCACGAGATCGCCGTGATCATCCAGCCACTAATTCATCCTGTGCAGGAGCGATCTCAGCGTCCCCGAGCGAGAAGATTACACCAAGGCTGTCCTCTGCCTGCAGTCACTGCCATCCAGACATGACAGTGCTAAAGTCCCAGGAGCTAAGAGCAGGTTTGATGACTTTGTCGCAGTGCACATCGCATTGACCCCTTCGGTCCACGGAACTGTGCGTTCAAGTCCTTTCCTTTGTCCCAAATTCTTACAAGTGCAGCTGGTGTGTTTATGTGCTAAGACTTTTAGGCGAACTTCCTGGGGTGGCACCGGGTCTATATGTGGTTGTACGAGAATGCTTTACGAGACGAGTGTGGGTACAAGGGCTACCAACCTGTGAGTAATCATGACCACAACAAACCGTGGCTTGATCCCTGGCATGGCCCATCTTCCGACTTATGACTCCTTGCCAGTACAACAACTGGGCCCGGTACGCGGCCGACCCCGCTCACTCTCCCATATTCAATGGCAACGCATCGAGCATGTCTGGAAACGGGCTCAAATTTACATACGATGGTGTCTTTGCTGGCGCCGGCCGCATACCCCCAGATGAGGGTGGTGGCTGTGTGACTGAAGGGCCGTTTCGGAAGTGAGTACCGCAGCCACATCTCTATGATCTGGAATCATTATGATCCCTAGCTTAAACATTTGACTTACTTGCAATGTCAACAGTATGTCCGTGAATCTAGGACCTATTGCTCCTGGCTCACCTTCACTTAAAGTACCAGCCAATCCCCAACGTGACGGCCTCGGTCACAACCCCAGTGAGTTTCCTTCCCGCAGTCCACTGAAGCTAAATTATTCATTTTCTTTTTAAAAAAAAAGAGACTCAACATGCGTCTCATTCTACAAACCGTCTCTCCTTGTGCTAGCAAATACCATGGGCAGCCCAACTAACAGACTGTCCCAGGATGTCTCCGACGCGATATCAACAGATATAGTGCCGCACACACCTCGGCCAACTATACTGAAGCACTCATAACAAACAGCAGCGACGTAGGAACGTTTCAAGACAGAATGCAGGGCGCCGGCCTGAGGGATACATTGGGTATACACATAGGAGGTCACTACACTATTGGCGGAGACCCTGGAGGTGTACGTCTTCCCATCTATTCAGCCCGTGCATTCAAAACATCAACAAGCTGATGGTAGAGCAACAGGACTTCTTTGTGTCTCCTGGAGACCCAGCCTTCTACTTGCATCACAGCATGATCGATCGCGTCTGGTGGATCTGGCAGAACCAGAAACTACCATCGAGGCTGAGCGAAATCACGGGCGGCACTACAATGGGCGGCTTCCCACCTAGCAAGAACGGGACTCTGGAGGACGACATAGAGTACGGTGTGCTGGGTGACAAGCTTAAGCTTAAGGATGCACTCGATACCATGGCAGGACCTTTTTGTTATATCTATGTCTAGCGCTGCCCGCATTTAACAAGGTACCTATCAGTAACTCGGTTGAAGAAGGGGCGCGCTGGGGTGTTTTCCTCTCCTTTGTATATCTGATTCGTGAGCACAACGGAAGATTCAATTAATGGCGAGAAGTTGTGCGGAAATACTCGCTTAGGAATACATCGCGTATCAATTGTCGCCTTTTAGTACCCTAGATCCATACTGCGGAGCGATGCAAGACCTGAGTGTCTCAAGCCTAGAACTTTCATTGTGAAAACCTGATCAGCTCTTCTGTTTTACCCTTGCTGCATGTGGTATCTATGCTCATCACGCCGGAAGAGCCGGAACGAAGCACCGGGCCAGCAGAATTGGATCTTTTCCGACTGTTTGAGCTTTTTGCCTGACTATCTCGAGATATTCGCCCCCTCGACATTATTTCCGCGGGCGGCACTGTAGATAAGCGGTCATAGTGCTGATTCAGGTCGTCGAGCATTTCTGTCGACTGCTTCCGCGCGAAGCCCTGCGCGTTCCGTAGAACTCGGTAGCCTTGTTTGAAGCCTTGATAGTTATCCAAAGTCCCTGAAGCCACTAGGAACTGCTGGTAGACACTTTCTTTGTTTTTCTCATTTCCATCTTCGTAATGAACGTATGTGTGCCATGTAATGCCATCCGTAGCAACCGTCGCTACAGCAGCATGTCGAGGTGAGTCCGCCTTTCCTATGGATTTCATCTCAATGCTGCGGCCATGGACCACTACGAAGCCAAGTTAGAATATGGGGAAAATACCTCAAAGATGTGTCTTACGAAGAGCTAATACGGATTGTTTAGTTACTTACTAGCTGCCCCATCATATCCTGCCTGGACTCTGGCCAAATCCATGCTTGCGTTTCGTCCTTTGTATTCAGCAGCAAAGTGCGGTAAGGCAACGAACTCCCGAGCTTTGCTATCCCGTGTTACAGCACCTCCTAAATCATTAATACTTGGAGGAAACTTGGATCGTTTGTATCCTTCGATGTAGTCTGGCTTCGGGTTGGACAGACCATTGTTGAGGCCTTGATTCCTTGGGTAATCAAGCCACAGGCTGTCAAGCTTTGGTCTGTAGCCTTGGGCTATCATCTCAGCGTCCATGAATGTGTCTTTTAGCAGACACCTTTCCACAGCCCCGTTCATTGGATGCCTCCGCGGCGAACTGAGCAAATCTGCGAAACTTTCCTATAGAGGGCGCCGGCGAATCGACCCTCAGTCAATAAAATTCGTCTGTCAGATCGTCAAAATTCGACGGCGCGACCCAGTTCGACTGTTCCTGATGCAGAAGGCCATTCCGGCGGAGCCTATCTTCGAACCCAACAGCTGTTATGCACAGCGTCTCGGTGCTGTGCGTAGTGCTCGAGGTCTGGCCGGATCCCCTGGTCTTGGAACTGCTTTGACTTGCAGCTTGCTTTGAAATTTTTGAAAATTTTGAGCCATTAATCCTTTCTAGGTGATTCAGGTTCTCTCTGGTCAGGGGGGCTAAAGGGGGGCTACTGGAGTGTGAGTCGGGCTTCTCCTGTGTTATTTCGACAATACTGGCATATTTTAGCTGGTTTGGTCGCTGTGTAGCTCATGGTATGGCTTACTCAAATCTCTTTGTCTCGTTGATAAACTGTGGTTGGCCTGCTGCGATAGTATTGAAACTGCGTTGCCGCGTTGGATGTTCTGTTCCGTGTGCACCCGGCACAATTTCCACCCCGGGCCCCGTTGATTGTTTTGTTTGCTTGTGGTCTCCATTGTGGACTTCCGACAGCAGTGAAGAAGACATGACTTATAATCTCTATATTCTGTGATTGTATGCGCTCAGAAGGCTACCTGGGCATGTAAAACGGTGCATTCGATGTTGAGAGGCACGTCCAAGCAACTGAAGCAGTGCGGCCCCTCAGGACGACACAAGCGCTGTAAGCCAAAAGTCCACGGACAACCACGAACCATAGCTTCAAACAATGGTGTATAATTGCCATAAGGAAGGCCAATTTAATATTTGACTGAACGGAAATTTGCTTTTGTTGAGAGTGATGGCCAGAAATTGTGCCGGCACGTCTTAGGTTGCAGTGCGGTCGACTGGAGTGAAGCTGCCGCAGGTGGCCTTGTTGATTGGGACGGGGGCCTGGCCAGACACCCAAGCCTGAAATTAGTGTTAATCGAGTGCACTACGAAGTAGTAGTCTTCTAAAATGGAAGGGATGGGCGCTTTTCTGGCTAACAGAGGCTGTGCTTGTCGAGGTAGCATCGGGCGGGGGCGCAGCGTCGATGTTGGCTCATGCTAGCTTGGAAGCTTCGTGCATGTTGGCGTAGGCAGCGGAAAGAAGAAACCAAAGGTCTAGCAACCCGGACCCTGCATTCGTCCCCAGCCGTCAATCGCTAACATTAATGTCACCAGAAGCACTCGAGCATGGCACTCTACCTGCTGTCCATAAATTGTCCATGATACTAAATTGGATCTCTGCGATGTCATCCACTTCTAATAAACCCCTCCTGGTGCCAACCAACTGAAGCCAGATGTGACTTTCTGCCTGATTCAAGTCGACCTTTTTCGGTTGGCACTGATCGAGAACTGGAAATGTCAGGCAGAGGAGGACGGATTGTAGTAGCTGTTCATTGCGGTATCATATCTGAACTTTTGAGCAACATGATTCATAGAGTACCTGTTCCAACTGCAGACAGGACAGATTTCGTCTCGCTTGCCTTCTCCTGGTGGACAAAAAGGAAACAAGTCGAATAAAATTATGTCTACAGCAGCCTCGGCTGAGAAGGAAAGGCGGAAGGAAAATCAATAAATTTATAAGGGCAACTTTAAATTCTAAATGTCCATATGACCGCTTCTCCATATCTGCATTGAAAGTGATTAAAGTGAAACTGAGAAATCCAAATATAGTAAATGAGAGAGCCAGGGATAAGAAAGAAATGGAGGGGGGCTTGCTCGAACATGCACAGATGTTCTCCATCATAAAGCAGCATGTCCCCTCACACCATGGGTATCGGATGCAAGACGAGGGAAAAAGAAAAGTAAACTATGGTGAGAAAAGGATGGGGAACGCGGGAGGGCCAAGGAGAAGACAGCAAGAGAACAACGGCGCGGTCTAGAGAACATGAGTGGAAACGGAGTGAAATAGTTAAGGCACATACGGTCTTCAATACTGGAAAGCCTCTAGCCCTGCACTTCAGCACGATATCTCCCGTCCACAACCTCATGACCTGGTAATTCTTGTGCTGAATCAGTCGCCAGCAGCTCAAAAGGTTGCTGAGTCTCTTGCTGGGACTTAAGCGGTTGTGAGTGTTGTTGGCCTGGTGTAAGCTCTTGGTTTTGACCGTTCACGTCATTGCGCCGTGTCCTCTTTCTTCTTATGAACCAAAAGATCCCAAAAGCTATAGCAGAAAGCCCAACAATGGTGCCTATAACGATACCAGCGATGGCACCACTGGAGATACTCCCTCCCTGGTCGACATTTGTTGGGGTTGGTGTTGAGCTGCTGCTAGTTGGCGTTGGAGTAGCACTGGACAGGTCTTCAACACGCCAGTTGATTTGTATTCTGTGGCTTCATGGTGAGACATTCATTCGTAATGACAAAAGTTGGACATCCGTTTAGACAATAACGGGGTTACATCGAGAGTATTTTGTGGAGTCACGTACAAGGGAGCCAAGGCTTCTAAAGATTCGACAGTAGAGGTAGATGCCACCGATCCCGAAGTGATGGTTGTCGTATATGGTAACACTGCCGAGAATGACTGAGAGGCAACTCCGTCCGTGGTTATCGTACAGGGAGCTACGTCTATTGTTGTTGAGGTCGCCACCAGAAGACATGTCTGCGCAGGCCCGTATGTATTGCTCTCTCCGGCATTCGGATGCGAGTAGTGGCAGGTGTATCCGCCGCTGTGACAGAAAAATTGTCAGAAGGCTCATTATTTTTCCACTCATTTCACATCTCATGAAAACATTACCTCGGACAACATCCGGCAGCTGTTTCGCCTGTGGTCAATGGGAATTGTAATAGCCAGCCGGATACGGGCTGTCCGTATGTAGCAATACAAGCAGTTGTAAATCCAGAGGGACATAGTGTCCCGGGCGAATAGAAGCCCCAGCCGCTTAGAAAACCCGCACCCGTGGGATTGGGCGCATTGGCGGTTCTTGGAGGCCAACAGTCAGTCGCGTCGTAAAAGCCACCCGAAGCAGTACAGGTCACTCCTTGGTATCCGGTATTCCATGGTGGCGTCGTCGAATAAACCTCTACCGACAAGCAGCTGGCTGGCGGAGTCCATAATTCCGTGAGATAGCCAAGAACAGGGCGTGTTGACTGAGACATGCTGTGTTCTGAAAAAGTAGAGCCTCATAACATAACCCCTGAGACACGAGGAACGTAGAGGACTGGATCTTGGCTGAAAAGAACTGCTTCCGGGAGCGGGGCTTTTTGATCAGCAGTGGCAAGTCGCAGAAGGATTGCCGGCTGGGGTGACATGGCTTACACACCACAGATGAGCCAGCCAATGCCATTTGGAGAAGTGGTACTACAACCCACACCAGCATGCAAATGAGAACACACAGCCTGGGTCGGTCCAGAATTTGGGGGTCCAACGCGAGAAGCCCCTGAGATATCATTCAGATGCTGAGCTGACATTCTCAAGGCTGCCTGGTCACAGTGGTCTACAGATGCCGACCTGGACCCTGCACAAGTAGCCGCCTTGTCAGGCAGCCAACCATCCACCACCAACATCGACATCACCAGAGGCATTCGATTATGATCCACTCTTCCGGCCATTCATACATTGTCTGTTGATTCTTCATCGAATTGCTAGGAAAGGTTTAGATCTTGGCTTGCTTGCCTTCTCCTAGTGGAGGAAAGGAAACACATGGGGACTGGTCACAGGCAGCCTTGGCTTAGCAGGACAAGAGATGCAAGATAAAAGAAAAATTTGAATTAAACCGTTGAGAAATTTGAATTTCAGCTACCCTGAATTCCATAAAAGGGTTCGGAAAGGTATGGGTGGGAGCGAGAAAGGCGCTTCTGAGCACTCAGTTGACGAGTGATTCAGACATCAATCTTTCAGCCAGCGGTTAAATCAATCCTTTTCCGGGTATAAGGAACGATACGCCCCTCCACTGTTCAGTTGTGCATATTTTCTAGAGCCATAGTACCTGGACGGTGCATGGGTCCACCGTCTGCGAAGCTTTGATCCTGAGGTCTTCTTCGGAGTTGTGGATAGTATGGGTCGGGTGGCCTCTTTTGGATGAAGTAGACAAAGGTGTCTCATGATGCTACAAATCCAAGTGTGTTATATGGGTCCAGGCAAGCGAAAGTCATCCAAGTACGACTTTCGTGTCATACCATTCTTCCTTTCAGCCTGGCTTGTCACTTGGCACACAGTCATCAGCTGGACATAGTCTTTTCTACCTTGACTTTGTGAGGCCTGACGCCTGAAGTGGAGTGATTCATTTGGCTCACTTATTCACGGTCCAGCCGTTAAATTTTCAAAATAAATAGCCCCTCCCAAACTCCCATGAACCCTTTGCTTCTCTCCTACTCTACTGAGCCTCCTTTCAGAGACAAGCAACAGCCATCGTTGTTTATCGGACCGAAAAACTCAACATACTGATCAGAAAGATTCCACACATTAACAGGGGTGACTGTGTAATAGACGGCTTCTCTTCAACCACGAGAAATCCCATGTTGCATCCTGCGATGGATGTCGGTGATCGAGAGCTGCGGATGGCAGCATGGAACGTTATCATTGTCGATCACTTTCGGGTACCTTTTGCAGGGTTCTACCAAAACCCAAAGAAGCCCAGTATCCTCTTTCGAGATGCATTGGAACATCTGCTACGATCCACGACTCTGACCATGGACAATTGTATTGGCTCACCACACAAATCATCGGCCGGTCTCTCGTGGGGTTTGTGGCCGCTCGGTACTACGTGTTCTGAAGGAGTCACAGTAGAATCCTTAGATCAGTTTCACAGTAACATGATGAAGCCGATTTCTCCGGGTCGCTACTACCTTGTACGCCACTGCAACATCTGTTGCAACATCAAGGAACTTCTTAACAACCCGATGGAGACATTGTCCTGTGGCCATATCAAGAGTAAGTTATCCCTCCTGTTGATGCTTAAAATACAGTGCAAAAGCCTGTTGCATCACATTGTATCAAGTGTGCCATTCATATGATCGTGCGCTAGCTGACAACTTTGGGGTTCTCAGGATTATGTATCCACAGTCTGTATGGGTCCCAGCCTACTTCCTTTGCCGAATTTCGAGCCGATCCTTTGCTCCGTCCACCACAATTTTCCCCTGGTGTCTCAAAAGCCATGATCAAGCTAAATGCACGGAAATCCGAGTCAGCCCAATCAGTGCACGACAACATCTCCGTTGACACAAGACTAGTTGTTCCCTTATCACGTCCCGCTGACAGTGGTCCAGAACTAGCAATGTTGACCAGCCCTCCTGAGTGGCCCTCTTCTGCTTGTTGCGCAATTTCAGGACACAGAGTCTATTGGAAACACGGGTTCGCACCAGGGCTGGGCTGGTACCACATTCTTGGCCGAAGTACCAATACGACTGTTACACAAGGTCCAGGCTCCATCAATGGCGGAGAGGCATCGAACAACTCAATAAATGCCAAGATCATGATGCTTTCCCATGTACATGATTTTTGGAAGGCAGGCCTCCTCGCCATTCATCCCGAAACACTTCGGATTCGCTGCTTCGTGCCGTCGGATGTGATCAGCGATTATGACGATAGGGCGGCCAGCTTCCCAAAGTCAGAGATTCCAGACAAATCTTCTCTACGCATACATTACGAAGCATGCGTCTGGGTGAATATCACGGCGTGTCTTCCTCGGATTCCTCTTGAATTTCCGTCGGCAACTAACAATGAGAGCATATTTCATGGCACGTTAGAGGAATCTATCAAGAAGGCGCAAACGTTTGGGGCCGTGGACGCAACAATTCAGGAATACTACTGCACCCAAACATGCCTGTTAGGATTGAAGCATGGCGACAAATTGGACGAAAATTGTCCCAACTACCACATTCATCAAACGTTTCGGAGATTCAAGGGCTCATTACATCCACTAGATGGTCGGTCTTTCACTCTGCTCGTTCAGAGACAGCTGGAGGTCGACCAAAGCCTGTTCTGTCATCAGCCAACAGTTTCGGTCAAGGGACATCACGCGGAGTTCTTCAAAATCACCCTGGCAGGCTTCGGGTATACGTTTTGCGCCAAAGGGGTGGCTGTCAGCGACCAGCACAGGCTCGTGAATGAGTATATCATGTATCAGCACATGAAGGATCTCCAAGGTGTATGCGTGCCGGTGTGCCTGGGACTGTTCGCCTTGCAGCGACCCTTTGGGAGTCACAACATCAGTGGTCTGGAGATCACACATTTGCTTTTAATGTCTAACGCGGGAGCATCTGTTGAGGAGAACGGCCCTGGGGCTGAGACACACAACATGCCATCGGAGGACATCCTGGAGTTAGAATCTGGGCGTACAATGAATGAAATCAGGAGCACAGGGGTCGACCGTTATGACCGACGTACGAAGCATCTGTACTGGAACGCAGAGCGTAAGCGTGTCTTCTACATCGACTTCGAGAAGAACAATCTCATAGCCGAATCCGACGGTGATGCTGCCAGTGGCTCCATTTCAACAGGGAGTAAGTCACCTGCAGGGGCAGACGGATAACTCGCAGTAGACGTAGACAGGATTTGAGTGGAGCAGCAAAAGCAGTCGCACTCTCGGCAAAAAGTAATAAGATAGAATCAATCGAATTGTGTCTTTAACTTCGTAACGTGACGTATCCCTCATTCCTAACTGACAGAAGCATCTCAAAGCAGATCCTCGTTTCTTGCACATCCGAGTGGTTCCGTCATCTATGAAAGCAAAGTTCTACCTAATGTTTCTGCTTGAGAATCCACTCGTCCACCACTTGCTTGAAGTCCGGCTTATACAGCCACTCCAAATCAAAATCTTCTTTCTGAATCCCACTGCCCTCCCCGGGAGACAGCGTCGTCGGCAGGCATCCGCCTCAGATCAATTTGCTTGTTCAGCTCGAACACCTTGTCCACCCGTCCTTGTCGGTACGACTGCCAGAAGCTCAGCGCATCCTGCAGGTTGGGGATTTCACTCGATCGACCCAGGAGCAGTGCGAGAATGTAGACGTCCTCAAAGGCCTGATTTATTCCCTGGCCAGCCGAAGGCGGAATAGCGTGAGCAGCATCGCCCAGAATGATCACGCGGCGCTTCTCGGAGGCCCAACGATCGAGTTTGGGCACGACGAAGAACGGCCAAACATTAATATTTTCGGGGTCGATATGAGAGACGGCGTTCCGGACGACATCGGAGAAGTGCTCCTGGTCCTGCTGGAGGAAGCGCACGGCGTCGTCCTTGTCGGCCAAAGTCTTCTCCCAGGCTGCGCGGTCCTGCTCTGCCACCCGCCGCTGCTTTCCGATGAGAACCTCAGATCCGTCTAGTTGTTGGGGCGCGATTACGAAGGCTCCTTGGGGAGAGGAGATGGTGACTGGTAGGTGGTATCCTTCCGGTAGCTTCAGCTGGGCCGTCGGCACGGCCGCGGTAGTTGCTGCCATCCCGATGAATTTGGGCTCGAGATCTGGGTAAAGATATTTTCGGACTCTTGAGTGTATTCCGTCTGCACCCACGAGTATATCGGCCGTGCCAGTGGAACCATCTGCGAAGGCGAAAGAGACTGAATTCGAATCTTCCTCCGTAATGTGGGTGAACTTGGCGCCAAATTGTATGGGTATGTTCTTGCGTTTGAGCTCGGCCAAGAGTGTATCGATGAGGACATGTCTGTAAATGCGCAGGGCCTCATAGCTGTAGTCAGCCTTGTTACCAAATTCGTAAGTCTCGATGAGATTGCCGGAAACATCTCTGTAGTGAAGCTGGCTAAAGTTGAATCCTTGTGTCCTGAGATCGTCGTATAGGTGAAAGGCATCGAGAACTTTCAGGGCGTTAGGGGATAGCATCACTGCTCCTCCGATATTAAGGGGCCCGGGGCGAGACTCATAAACTGTACAGGTAATGCCCTGGTCGTGTAAGCCGAGAGCCAGGGTGAGGCCTGATAGGCCAGCACCGACAATGGCTACGTTCAGTTTCTCTCCCGGCATGACGAGGCAAGATGTGTCCGAACGAGTATTGAAAGTGATTATTATTGAGCAGCGAGCTTTGGTATAATGAATTTCTTAGGTACTACATCCAGATCTGAAGCGCGCTTCATGGCTTTTTAAAGTAGCCTTGGCCCCGGCGTTTTGATCCTGAAATGTTGCTTAGAAGTCAAAAGGCCGAATACACCGAAATACTCCGTCCTTAATGCGCTTGAGGCTAAAGGTGAGCCTGATTTGCACTCAAGTCGGCTCCGATCCTGCAGCACTTGTTTCCCGGCCGAATCAATCCTTCGCTCCTTTCAAGCCACTCGTAAGCAGTATATTGGCGCCGTTGAATTTGAAAGCAGTCCAGATTGGTTATTTGTCAGATTATTAACATCGATGGGGATGGAATTGCATACAAGGTGACATCGGCCAAAGGCAAAGACACGATCTCAAGGCAGCCAAATACGGTCTCTAGTGCTCGGACTCATCCCACGTCGCTGCTCAATCTCTCGTTGATGGTTGTGACCTGCGGCGAAAAGCCACCGATCTCCGAGTTTTGAAATCCTGGCTCAGTTTGCAAGTTTCGACATTATGTTGTGATCACGACAATGCAAGTCACATATTCGGGTTGTTTGAATCTCAGAGATGAGGAAAATTAACCAGCAATGACTTTACATCACTGCCATGATTCACTAGACATCATGTATCTAAGCTGTGAACTGTAACAAGCATATGAGAATCATCGGCCGTCACCATTACACTTCCCATTTTGCAGAAAACCACTCTAGGTCAGCCACAAGCCATGGGTGTGAATCCTGTTGCCTCCGACCATTTCTGACTTTCCTTCGTGTTGCTAAACACGCCATTTCTGTTGAGCTCAAGAGGCTTTCGGGGCCTGAAACATACACCCAGGCTTTATGGCGCATGTCTGGAATAGTTGTACTTCTGGAGCCAGTCGACAGCATGTCCCGCAGGTATCCTTCAGTGTCCATGCGACCGGATTCCGAGCTGACATGGACCCGAATGGCCATGTTTGGAACAGAGGTGACCGTGTCCCCTAGTTGCTTCCATTCACGAAGGTTAGTCATGTTGTTGTACCGCACAGTCCATACCAGCTGGAACTCGGCTTGCTGGTCCTGGGAACGATGTTTCAACCACCACATAGCGAGGCTGTACGCTCCCGTGAGTCCCGTGCCTCCAACGATGCAAATGACTCGTGAGGCAACTGCAAAGCCAACATCGCTTGGGTAGTAAGGGCCCTCAACCCTCATTTCAACTTCCCGTCGGCTCCCAACCTCAGCAACGACTGCACCAAGTTTCCAGGTCCACTCCTTCTCCAGCTTCTTTGTCACCTTTCCCTGCGCCCGTTGCAGCAGGAAAACTGGCCCCTCTGCCACGGAGCCAACCTTGGCGACTGTGAACGCGTGGTTCTGTGTTTTGCTGATTTCTGGGAGGACCAAATTATAAGACTGCACCGGATGCGTGATTGCAGCCTCCTTTTCCGCAGCACCTGGTTCATCAATGGATTTTGCCGACGCTGGGAGAGAGATTCTGTACCATCCTTCCCCGGCGTTTTCGATTGTGCCAACAACCTTTTTGCCCAAGCCGCCGCTTGTGCCTCGGAAAAACCTCCAACACCAATCCGCTATCCAAAGTATAAGTCCGGGAAGGAGGAAGTAGAAGTCGGTGCTGGCATGCACGCTTAACGCAACGAAGGCCCAGAAGCTGCATATCACATGCACATAGTAGAAAGTGTTGTAGCTTTTGCGTCGCAGGGCTGGGAGCGAGGTGATGATGATCGTGACCATTAGCAGGAACCCGATCATGCCAGCCGGCAGTGTGGCATAATACCATCCACTACCCTGTTCTGCTTCCTCAATTGTTTGGGTCGGGTTGTCGATGTTGAAAGCCATTTTCCGTTCTGGAAGGGCTGGGCGATATGCACCAACGAAAAACTGAAGAGAAAACCATCAGTGTCGGAAATCTGGGTGAGCTTGACCCCATCACCTACATAATATGCGGCTCCATGTGCAAGAGCCGCAGCAAAGAGAAGATAGGCGATCAGTTTGTGCGCGTACAGAAGCGTGCTCTGGTGCAGCTCAAATGCTTGCCCAAGAAGACTGTTCCTGGACACCGGTATGATCACCAGCCCGAGCAACAAATCTGCATGGTGCCCAATGATGCCTGTCACGGCGAGGCGTATCTTTGCAGTCGTCCAGTCCAGTGGCACTGTCCTTATCGCCCAGTATTCAAGGAGCGGCTGAGCCCAAAACCCTGTGGTCGCAAGAATTAAGCCGACAAGCCAGACCGAGAGAGTGGCGCCGCCAAGACTGATTCGCTTCCGGAGGACAGGAAGTTCATGCTGGATGAGGTAGAATTGGCTTGCCCGTCTGGCCTTGTTGGAGGTGGCGCGCAAGAACAGCAGGCAGCCGGTGCTGGCCAGCATGGAGTAGAATGTGATTACATGAATGCGTGTCTCATATGGCAGATAGGACTCGGAGCAGAGGGAGGCGTAGCACGGAGCATAGGTAAGTCCAAGGGTGAGGCCGGTACAGACGATTAGAGTAACTAAAAGGGCTAAGGTTTGATAGGGGCTCTTCATGGTTAACAAAACCACCTACAGGCACGAGTAGATTCGACCTAGGAGCAATGCAAGAAAGTATTTATGCCTGTCACGAATGATTTCTCCATGGGTGTCGAAACACTTCACGAGACCTTATCCACCTCTTTCTATATATTGACTGACTGTTTCTCGAATGTTTTGTCTCGGGCGCTGCATTACGTCAATGACTTCCCTTTCTCCTTGTGGTGGCTTCAGGTGCCCAGCCTCTAGGCCCTGGAGCTTCGCGCCAAACGCTCGAGATCGCCCGCTAAGGCGCGGCTCCAGACAGCCGGGTCGCACCCCTTTACGGCGGGAGGGTCATCGGCGATTTCTACGAAGCGAATCAGGTATCAAGGACCCGGACTGAAAAATTGTTGGCCGAGCTGTGGTGAGCAGTTGAAAGCACAAGCTCTGTATTAGGAGTAAGAAGCCACAGATGTCTGAATTACCTCGAGTAAGCTAATAAAGTAAGACGGAAAGACGTTGCCAAATCCACTACCTTTGGCTTTGATTACATTGACCTCGGGGCTACCTAGATGTCTACTTCAGGCATAAAAACACTCGACTTTCTGGCCTACTGCATAGCTATCTACTCAGATACTTCATCTTATACCATTAGCAACAGGATATTGGCTAGTTTCTCATCATCAGTGACTTTCAATGTTTGTTTTTGAGTCTTGGTTGCTACTGAGAACTTACCAGCCAATCATTAACCCCTTAATAAGTCCGCTGGGAATCCCATCCAAGCGATTTTCTTCTTGACTGCAGCTGATAGTCTCTAGGGTCGTCCAGAACTCCCTCGCGTAACACAAGTGCCTTTCACAAACGTGTTAGCAAAGCTCAGATCCACGTGCCAGATGTTGCTAGCCGAGACATGTAACGCAAAAGCACTCCCTATTCAGGCAAGGCTCGGCGATGATAACGATTGGAGCGCATCTTTCCTATTCGTTAAATGCGTGTGATTGGCCTAGCGGTATTGATTTTGACCCTCTAGTCCCGCTTTATATACAAATTCGGCCATCAAGTAGTCATGCAGTTGGTAGGGCTCTGGACGGCTGATTTGGACGAATTTGTCTTGGCGTCTGAGATAAATACGATCGGTGACAGAGTAGAATTCGAAATGCGCACGTCTCGAGTCTCTGAATCTTTCGGTGTGTTCTAAGCTGCCCATGAAGAGTCTTGGAGCTTGTGCTCTACAAGCCATCGTGCCGCAGTGACCAACACTATCTTGGCCCGAGATTGTACCCATCAATTAAAATTCGTTCGAGGTAACAGAAACGGTTGCGTGACGCGGTTATTTCATGTTCGCGAGGTGGACAGGGTTCGGTATTTGCGACGGTCGTATCGATGGTATCTACCCGACTTTCTTCTTCTTTGGGTATTGCTCTAGGATGTACCCGTCATGCGAGAAGGGCAAGATTGGTTCGAACATATAATTGTCGGAGGATTTGAGTCGGGCTTCCGGGTCATCTAGATTGGTACAATCGTTAGCCTTTTGCGAATCTCAAGCAGCGAGTCTCGGGCAACGAATCATCTGAAGTGAAGGCCAATTTCGTACACTTGCACCACACCTTGGGCACGATGGCCAGCGTTGGTTTGCTGTGTTCGTTGTGCTGCTTTGTCCTGGGCTGAAATTGGGAGGGTCGACAATAACCGGGGACAGGTTGGGGCGTGAGCTCTCTACACCGCCGGACCCAAACTGCTGATCGAAAGACTGAAGCAGAGCGGCAGCATCCGCGCGTCTTTGGGCCGCTGTCAAGGGTGGAGAATTCCACAGACGTTCTGGCAGCAAAGTGCCAGTGGTTTCTGGATCGGTTCCCCAGCGATCGACCCGATCCTGCCCAAGAGAATCGCTCGAGTCACGAGACTCAGTTTTCGGTGGATAGGAAGTTGATACTGCTTTTGGGGTGATTTTTTGGCTGCCGCCCTCAGCTTGGTCAGACATCCTGCATGTCCAAGGTCGTTCCGTGACGTGGGATTCGAGCGAGCTGCGTCGAGAACAACGTATAGCGCCATTGCTTTTGGGCACCAGGATACTTGGCTCGTCGGAAATACTCGGCGCCGTAGATAGCTCTGATTGGCAGCTGGCACCGGAAAGTGTGGTGACACTGCATATTTCCACGCTATTCTAGCCTCAGGCTGATGCCGCGAAGACATTGACGCTCACTTCAACTATCCTTTTACACAACTTCACAGAAATAATGAGTTCCGGCCGATCACAGACAGATCTGGAGTTAGGGCGCGTTGACTCTGAAGCTGGGGAGAGAACGGCGAAGCCTTGGAAACAACTCGGATACCCAGCGTTCTCGAAATGGATGTCATCATCCGACGACTTTCTCGTATTGAGAAGATTCAGCACTCTCAATGTCCGAGTTCTCCTTTTGCTACAGGATCGAATAGTTCGGCTCGAGCGAGATCTAGACCGGTATGACGAAGCTGCCCGACAGGCTCCGGATGAATTTGCAAATTCTGGCTCGTTCAGATTGGATGCGTGGGAGGACAGAAAAAGCATCATGGACCAGCTAGTTCCACTCCTCGACCAATACAGTATGATTGTAATCAGTGGTCCGCCTTACTATGGATGCTGATGAGTCTAGACAACCATTTAATGACTTTCTCCGAGATTCAACGATGGGACCCGGCGAAGACCCGCCACTGGACTAATCTGGACAACTGGTTGAACCATAACCACAAGAAGGCTATCTCTGAAGAAGAAGCGATGTTCAGCCAAGAAACTGGAGACTTGGTTGCGCTAGCATCTGATCAAAAGTCTCCGCTCGAGAGCCTGGTCGAGCGATTCCCGCTACTCCTGAGCGCCCAGGCCTTGAGGTCCAGGAGGCAATCCTCGCAAGTCCAATCCGAAACGACAGTTTATTATAGCAAGAGGAGGCTTCGAAATACTGTTTTTGGTGTCATAATAGGAACCGGGCTCCTACTGCTACTTGGCCCCATGTGGGCTCTGCAGTTTGTTGGTGACAATGTCAAGCGCTTGGTGATCATAACTGGCTTCATCATCCTTTTCACTGCGGTCCTCGCAAGTGCTACAGTAGCGAAGCCTTTTGAGGTTCTTGCTGCGACTGCTGCGTAAGCATTTTGGGTCTATCTCGTTTAATGAACCAGTTGAAAATTAACAGCATCATGCAAAACAGATACGCGGCTGTCTTGATGGTATTCCTCCAACTTGGTCAAACTTGAGATACCGGTTTGCGTGATCACGACGAAAGATTGAACTGTGGTTTTCGCAAGCACCAAAGCAAATTATCATTAATTTCTGAGCAGTGGTCATCAGCTCCCAGTCAAATAGGATATTTAAAGGTACCTACTAGTTAGAGTACTTCACGGTAAAGTCCTTTTTCGCTATGATACGAAAAGTTTTCAGGGTTGAGCGTCTGTAATCCGATTGATCGATATGTAGACTTTTCGTACAATCGAATACACACGAATTGAAATAGGTAGTAGTAGACAAAAGACTTTTCTTTGCTCAAAGATCGTAATAAGCACTGCAAGTTCTCTCCGTGACATTGCGGCTGCCATGGCACCCAAAATGCCATCCTTGGGATTCTGCACAAGGCCAATGAGCAAGACCATCCGACCCAAAAGTTCATCAGTTCTGCACGTCGATATGGTCTCGACCCTGCAGTTGCCTGGTACGATGTCTCCTTATCACACAAGATGGCCGTCCTCTGGAATTGGAATACTGACCCGTCAACAAGATGTTAAAGATACACCTTGGGAATTATGTTTCCACACAATCCAAGGCGATTCGTGTTCCCAAGCTTCGCTCCAACCACCCTGGCCATCCTCATCAAAATACCAAACATGAAAGCTCAAGTCATCTGAGTCGTTTTCGTAAAATGGACTGTCGAAAATGAAATCGTAAAGACACCTCAGCTCGGTAACGCGAACTCCCGTCGGTTTTTGCTTTTCCGGATTATGTAGCGCATAAACCGCCTGCTCCGACGGGCAACGGAATCTTCGACTTCCTCGAGCTTCATGTTCACACGTGATCAGCCATTTGCGCACTCTGTACGGTAAGGAGATAATTAGCATGAACTGACAGTCATCGATTTTTTGGGATTTTCTACAAAATTTGGCACAAGTTAGCATTATACTTTTAGGACGTGACCTGAATGGCGCGGGCACCTACCCTCGTCCCCGTTCAGCGAGCCTCCGGTACTGATGACTTGGGGTCTATCGTCACGCTCGAAGACGAAGAAAGGGATTTTCTCGTAGCCATGGAAGCTGCCCGTTAAATAGCGCCTCTCTTTGCGGGGCACTGATGCACGCAACTTGGCCCCGAGTCCCTGTGCACGGATGAAAAGGTCACACGGAATCATCGCGCGAGGACTCTTTTTGCGGAAAACAATGATTGGGTATGACTTTGTAGATGCCGATTCACTGACTGCTGGGTCAGGCTGTCGAAGAGATCGAGGAGGCTCGGGGTACGTCCAACGTCTGGAGCTCGAAGCTGAGACCAGTGAGGCAAAGCTCCAAGGCTGTGAAGCTGGGGCCAGTCGCGCGGAGCACAGGTAAAAGACCTGCGAGAGCCTGGGGAACCAATCAAGCAGCAACTCCGTGATGGCGGTAGCGCCAGCGTCGATTTGGATGTCGACTGCGACCCGCGTGATGTAGTCTCGGCCCATGAATATGGCCTTGCAAGGTGTGCGGAGCTCACGGTAGAAGTCCTGGTCGACGTAGAGGACATCCTTCTCGTGCCACCAGAATCCTCCGAGGCCGGTCACAGGGTTATCAGAAATGCGTGAGTAGAACCCCTTCGCCGCGACCGCCCGCGCGCCGTGGCAGAGCTGGGCCATGAAAGCTTGTGGTTGAGCGGCGTAGAACGCAGGGACGTGAAAGCGGCCCTCGTTGACCCATTTCGGTTGGAGGATGCGAGGCTCGAAGCCAAGCTTGCACCGCTCGAGCCAGATCTGATCTAAGATCTCGTTGGGAAGTAGAGGCATGGTTGAGAGCACTGGTTTCTGTGTTGTGTTCTTTTGAGGTGTTTCTGAGAAAGTCTATTTGGTAACGTCGGCAAGAAGTGATGTATTAACGACGGTGTGGCAGTCTTGGGAGAGATGCCTGAGGACAAGATGTAGCTTTTTGGGTTGGGAAGAAGCGCCAAATTGAGGTGGCATGGCCTAGGTACCTGTTTTGAAATCCGACCTGTTTGAGTGCCTATCTAGGTATCTAGGTGCTTCTAGGCACCTGGGCAGGCTTTTTGTTTCCACCGACAGAGGTACTAACAACCATAGCTCTTGTTTCTCAGGGCAGTGTTCCAGAAGCTTGCAGAATTTGACCGCTGGAGATTGAAGTTGCTTTGAGCTGACAGCTAATTGGCTGGACACGGTCACATACATCTCGTCGACCGTAACGACTTCTGTTTATCTTTGACCAAAGTCACAGTCTTGAGTCCCTGTTCACCCAGACCAAGGCCCCTCCCCTTTGGGATTCTCAATATTACATCAGATATGCTGATATGTAGTACACGATGTTCTTCACCTCAGCGGTTTTCCAAAAAAGAAATGCTGCTACAGTTGCAAAGAGAGTTTCGGAAAATCTGTCTTCAGGCCGGATACAATTCTGCGATTAGCCAGACTCCAGGGAGCTTCAACGGGGACATCTGGAAGCCGTCCAGCAACCATCGCACCACTCGGCCAGAGCAAGATTGCTCCGGCTAACTTCTTTTCTGTGACATTTCCGGTATTACATTCCTTAGTGAGATGCCTGAGAGTAACACAACAACAAAGGCGCCAGCGACAGCTTTCTTTGCGATGTGTTGAATTGCAAAAGAAGAGGTATCATAAATCAACTGGGGGCCCGGAGGCCTTGTTCCGCGTTTCGTTGTGGGATAAAGGCAGGTCAGGGTACACTGATGGGGAGGAACAAATCAAATCGCACCGATTCCTGTAGACAAGAGATTTCGCGGGCCTGTCGTCTTCCATGAGGAGGAGGATTGTGAAGATCGGCAACGGATGCCTCTGGTGGGCCTGAAAACCCCACGAGGTGAAGTCGGGCATCGGCTCAAATTCGGCACAGAAGATGACAGCTCCTGACGTGCACATCTGGGCAGCGATCATCATTCGCGAACGATTTCCACCCGTCTTCTTACACTCATCAATCCACGTCCCAACTACGCACGGCACGGAAAACCCGCTACTGCTCAACTCGACAGGAAATCGGGCCAGGTCACACCCATGCGCCTCCCCTCGTCGAAGGACCGGGGGGTGCAGGCGATCGTGTAACCATGGAACAAGCCGCCAACAACCCCCGTGCCTCGGTATCTCGACGGCGCCGCGCGCGCAACACTGCGGGGTCGGGGGCACTTCTGCACCGTCCGTCCCCCCTTCGACCCGAGCCAACACACTTGGGCTTGCCCGCGCACCCGCGGTGCGACAGATCATGACCAGCCAAACAAGATGCCGTGAACCCCACGCGCACCGCTGAAAAGACCTGGTCCGTCTGTCTGCCCAGCTTTGAGCAAGGGTGTTGGCCCCCCGTCATCCACACGTCAAAGCGTTGTTGGTCCGGGGTGGTGGGCCGTTGGTAGCAGCCCCCAGCAATCGAGCAGCGCCGGGTCTATGTAACCTCTCTGCGTGGACATACAACACAGATCGGGGTTGTATCTCCTCCCAAGGATTTCCAGTGATTGGCATCTCCTCTTTTCGATCTGGCGAGAGTCAGTTCGGGCGCTAGCTGCTTGTCCTGATCACTCGTGATCACTCATCCTCCCGGCCTCAAATTTTCCCGGACGATGTTCATGATTCATGCGGCCCCGGCTCCGGTTCTGAAATACGTTGCCATAGGCCTCATGGTTTTCTCCTACATCTTGCTGTTGCTACCAGTAATCGCTCTCTAGATCGGATATTCCGGACTCGATAAGTAAATCTACCGGGCAAACTACAACTTAGAAGGTGGATCTGCGAAACGCCGGCACGTCACGATGGCTACCACAGTTCAGCGTGGCCCGGGTGGCAGCATCATCAAGGCAGCCCAACACATAGACATACCGAGCCTAGACCTTCTCTCGGTGCTCTTCGGTAAACAAAACTTCCCCTGAAACCCCTGGCGCGATCTTGGAAACTGACCTGTGCTCCACCCATACCAGACTCGAAGATCTGCGAAGCCGATGACCAGACCATCATAACCGCCGACGCCGCCGATCCCCAGCACAAGCACCTGACGAGATCCCGCTTGCGGCACCTCACGACACAGCTCGCGCACGCCCTGCGCCACACCTACGGCATCGGGCGGGAGGGCCGCAACAAGGATGTCGTGCTCGTCAACACCCAAGGCCACTACATGCTGCCCACCCTCTTCTACTCGACCGTCGCCGCCGGCGGCATCTACAGCGCCGCGAGCCCCTCTTCCACATCAAGCGACCTGGCATACCTGGTGGGGCTGGTCGAGCCCAAGGTGATAATATGCGACGCACACACGCGGGCGGCGACGGAGGAGACGGTGCGCCAGCTGAAGTTCCCCGCGGAGCGGCTTCTGGTCCTGGGCGACGACCCGGCGCTTGAACTAAGGGTGCAAGGGGGCGGCAGGAGGGTGGAGCTTTCGCCGTCCAGGACGCTGCAGTGGGAGCGCATCACCGACCCGAGGGAGCTGGCGGATTCGGTCATCTGTATACTGTTCTCCAGCGGGACGACTGGCCTGCCCAAGGGCGTCAAGCTGAGCCATTTGAACCTGTTCGCCGAGGCTTATTGCAACATGGAGCCGAACAAGGAATGGGAGGCGCGCGAGCGGCCCGATCTCAAGTATCACACTTTGGCACACCTCCCCGCTGCGCACATCGCAGGCGTCCAGGGCTACCTCGTCAATGTGCTGTACCGCGGTGGCACGATCTACTGGATGCCAAAGTTCGACTTTGCAAAGTTCATCGAGTACACCAAGCGGTACAGGATCACGAATTTCTTCAGCGTCCCGCCCATCTACCTCGCCCTTGCGAAACACCCCGGCATCACGGATCAGTTCGACACGATCGACCACGCGTTCAGTGGGGCAGCGCCTCTGGGCTCACAAATCCAGGCTGAGGCGGAGAAGAAGATGGGCAAGGGACGGGCAAAGCTAACACAAGTCTGGGGGCTGACCGAGACGACTGGTGCGATCACTGCTATGCCGCCTGGTGAGACTGACTTGACTGGGAGCGTCGGCCCGCTCGTCGCAAACCACGAGGCCCGGATTGTGGACGACGAATCGAGAGATGTCGAACCTGGTGAGAGGGGCGAGATATGGGTCAGGGGACCGGTAGTAACAAAAGGCTATTGGAGGAATAGCAAGGCGGACGCTGAAAGCTTCGTGGATGGGTGGTTCTGCTCGGGCGACATTGGTTTGTACAAGGACGGCAGGTTCTACATTGTCGACCGGAAGAAGGTGAGCCTGCCATTTGTCCCTTCCCGTGGCTGCATCCCATGCTCCTCAGGGCATGATTGTGGTCGTGCAAAGAGTGACAGGAACGGGCCAGAGCTGGGCGGCGCCAGATCAAGGTGTTGACAAGAATCGCTAACGAAATCCCGGCAGGAGCTCATCAAGTATAAGGGGATGCAGGTCGCCCCGGCGGAGCTTGAGGCAACGCTCCTGTCTCATCCAAAGATTTCAGATGCAGCTGTGATCGGGGTTGAGAAAGACGGTACAGAGGTGCCAAGGTGAGTAAACCGAAACTACCCGTTGCAATTCGTCTTTCTGGAGGGTTGTTGTGCCGCTATCCAAGGTCGCAAGTTCTTTGTGCACCGAGGAGACCTGGTCATTTGGCTGTGAATGCTGAATATCGACAAATTCGTGTATTGCGGTTGCTAACAAGTCTCGTCTTTCGTTTTGTAGGGCATACGTTGTACCAGGCACCAAGGACCTTACAGGTGAGAAGATCGCAAGCTGGGTAGACGGGAAGGTCGCGAACCACAAGAAGCTGCGGGGCGGCGTCGTGCTGGTGGATGCGATACCCAAGAGCCCGGCGGGTAAGATCTTGCGGAAGGTTTTGCGTGATCAGGCGAAGGCGGAGAAGACGCTAGCTAAGTTGTGAGCACACACATGTTCTCGTGTGTCGGGAGACATAGGGCCCGGTAGCAGGCTGGTAGCTGAAGCATCTTCTTGTGTTCGGTGGTAGTGACTATCACATGTATCGAGCCTGTATCGAGCCTGTATCAAGACAGGGGTTATATCTGATCTATAATCGAGCCGCACAGCCAGCTTGCATTGAATCGATGCGCTCGAAGGTGAACGTAAGTGCCTGGGTATGGCGTGGCGGCGTGGTCGGGCAAGCCCGAGAAAGGTGCTTATTTAGGCGAGGCTGAACGCGTCTGCGCTGGCCGTGCGGCAGTGACGCGTCTCCGAGGTCGAAATTTTGATGTCCCTGGTCGGATGTCTTGGGATTGGGATTCAGCAATGGCTCGGAAATCGGTCCAGGCCGCGGAAGTCGGTGTTCTGCTGGTCCGGTTGACAATGACGATCCTTGTCCCTCTTGAATCAGACCGCCACCTGCGCAGCGAGCAGCTTTATCAGGAACCCATCCCAGATAACCGCACGTCGATGGTCATGCCGCTGACTGGAGCCACATGCTCAGCAGGTGCATGTTTGTGAGGCGGCAGCAAGAGGAACAACAACGACGGTTACACCCACAAACCACCGGCTCGAAGCTAGTTGTAGTTTCTCGGTTGTTTCCTTTGGGTGGTCAGCCCTGAGAGTGGGTCCAGTGCGAGTACGGGGGCAACAGGGGCCACGATGACAATGCCGCCGAGCCGCAGCGCTTGCCGGTGAGGTTTCGTCCCATGCTGCTGAGGCGTTCGCCTCTTGGGTTAGGCGGCTGCCTCTTCCACACCGGCGAGCAACTTCAATGCTGTTCTTAAGCAAGGGTGAGCTCGCGGATGACCTGCACTGCAGTAGACGTAGGCACAATACCTAAGATACAATGATACATCGACGTCGATCTATGCACGGCTGTGGGTGCCCTCATGTGACATGCCTTGCTCGAGTCGACGGGCCGTGGTCGTCGTAATCTGTGGTTCGTTTCATCCCCTTTCTGACGGTCAAGTCATCCGCATTTCTGCTGGTGCAAAAATTAGAACAGCTTGCATTGGATGTTGAAACCCGGTCGATCCAGGGGCTGGGTGGGTCCAGAGCGAGTCTTGAGGCCACCGGCCAGCCAGTGGTGGACGATAGAACCCCCATAGGCCTATGATGGGGAAATGGCCCGCCACACACGGGCTGAGTGCTGGCCAGTTCCTCATCAAACCTGGGATCTGGGCCGGCACTTGAGGAGGGATTTGGCGTGACATGACGACAAAGATGCGCAGCACAAAAGGAAAGGACTACGCCCAAGTCCCGATCCGACGCAGTGAATGAAGTCGTATTGATTTCAGTGCAGGTAGAGCCACCGGCACCCTCGGTCTTCACGAGCAAGCCTCGACCGTTGAAACCAAGACAGGTAGCAGATAGAGGCGATTGTTGCCGTTGGTCGATCTTCCGCTGCCCAGGTGCAGTGCATTGCTTGGGCCACGTTCAGGCCTGCCGTATCAGGTTAATGACCGACTTCCAGGCTTTGCAGTGACCTGTCCAATTGGAGGGGTTTGCAACGACCCCAGCTCTCCTTCCTTTCCCGCCCCGCCTGCCCGCCCACGCTGGCTGCCATTTCCATCTTTTCTCGAATGACGACACACCTTGTTAGAGTACCTTCCAGGGGCGCCCGTTTCTCGCACCTGCCACTCCACCCACAGGCCGCCAGATGGCGATTCGCATGTGGGAATGCTCCAGTTAAGGTAGAGCCGTCTAGGTAAAGCAGACTGCGGTACGTACAGTTTTGTACTGTAGGGTGGAGGGGGCCAGCCGTTCCCACCACGGCGGAAGGTTACGCGTCGCTGCAGGTCTGTCTTGTCCCTGACCTGTCTTCTCTGTGGGTCAGTCGGCACACTCCACAGGCTCTTCTTTCCTTCCGCTGCTTCTCGAAAAGGATTTCCGCCCACCAACAGGAGTAATTTCCAATGCAAAGCAGCATTGGCGGCACTGTATTTTCTTGCTTGGAATTTCAACTCTCCTCGCGCCTCCAACGTCTACGCTGCTTTGGGCCGAGTTTGTCTCTTCTTTCTCCCTCCGGTCTCTCTCACACTTTCCTTCTCAGGATTGCATACTATTCCTGTCCCCACCCCTTCCAATCGCTCCCTATAGGAATTCACTACCGTTCTTCTTTGCCCATCAACGACCAAACAACGGGTCCACAATCGAGGAGCAGAAGCAAACACTGGCTTGGTCGACACCGTTGCGCTCCCACCTCACATCTGTCATTCCCTCTCAGCTCATCTCCTGTCGATACTCGCATCCATATTCGCAGATCGATACGACGGGAGCCCCTTGAAATCTCCAGGAACATATCTTTGACCCTTCTAATCCGTCCCGGCTTCTCCACATCGGGTGGAGGGACCCCTCCATCATCTTGTCCCGGCATCCACTGACTGGATCGGCCCCGGTGGAGGAGCTCCCTTACGTTAATCGGCGCCGCACCCTGCTCACAAAATTTGCCAGCTTGTCAGCTTGGGCGCCCTCTGGACTATTAAGTCTTCGTGCCGTTGGCATTCCACACTTGTCGCATGCCGTCTTGCTCTTGCGATGAAAGCCTGAGCCGATCTGCATCCGTCCATATTGGTCCCAACCTCTTACCGGGTGAAGTCGTCTTTCCGGCCCAGCCAAGCCTGACCCACCCACCGGACCCTCACTCAGATCTAGAATCCCAAGGCTTCAGATCTAGACGATGCGGTTCTTCAACCACTTTCCCGCCGTTTATATCGGCAGCCTCGCCGTCGGAGCCGGCCTCGCGGCGGCCGATGAGGCCCAGCCATACGTCACGGATTACGAGAATTATAACGAGGGCTATTATGGCAAACATCCTAATCAAACGTACAAGACAACAAAAACGTACGGCCCGAAATTCCAGGTCAACCAGTGGTACCCTGAGAAGTCCGGGCTGAGCAGATATCTGTTTTTGTCATCGGTCGCTGGCGAGCAAGCAGCCACTCCGTTCATTATCGACACTACAGATTTCAGCTTGGTTTATGGCGAACCACAATGGCCAGCAGCCAACAACCCGAGGATACAAATGTACAACGGCAAGCCATATTTCACGTTTTGGGAGGGCAGCGACTACCGAGGACACGGCTTGGGCTATTGCTTGTTGTACGACGAGTCCTACCAACAAGTTTACAACATCTCGGCCAAGATGATCAACACCAAGGCTGATTCACACGAATGCCAACTGACCCATGACGGAACCGCTCTCATCACGGCCTACGAGAGGATTCCTTTCGACATGAGCAATGCACCAGGCGGCGGACCTGAGGATGGCCTGCTTCTGGACAGCATATTCGAGGAGATCGACATCGCCACAGGCGAACTCAAGTTTCTATGGCGGGCCAGCCATCATTTTGATCTCAACGAGACTGCGGTCAACTGGGGCACTGGCGACTACGGCGCTCCCACAGAGGAGGTTGGCTGGGACTTTTTCCATATCAACAGCATGCAGAAGACGCGGGAGGGCAACTTCTTAGTGTCTGGGCGTCGCATCAAGTCGCTGGTCTACATCGATGGCAAGGACGGATCAGTGATATGGCAGCTCGGTGGGGCGAACAACCAGTTTGAGGACTTGAGCGGCGGTAATGCCACCAATTTTGGCTTTCAGCATACCGCGCGATTCCTGGATGAAGAAATGACCGAGATTACCCTGTTCGACAACCACGACCTCGATCCAGGCAACCCGTCGCCCGGCTGTGTTGAGGGCACCTGTTCCAGAGGTCTTCACCTGCGCATCGACACCACGAAGATGACCGTCGAAGTTGTGCATGAGTATTACCACCCGATGGATATCGCATCTTGGGCAATGGGCGGTATTCAGAAGCTCGACAATGGAAACGTCCTCGTGAGCTGGGGCACGACACCAGTCATTACTGAATACACAGAAGATGGCGAGATTGTCCTTGACGCGATGCTGGGTCCCTGGTACGACCATCCTACCAACAGCCAACCAGTGTACCGCGCGTGGACAATGGATTGGACCGCCAGCCCACTCTGGAAGCCGAGCATTGCAGGTGATGAGAATTATGCGTATGTCAGCTGGAATGGAGCTACAGAGGTGCATTCTTGGGATCTCGTGAGTTCAAGTCACACTACACTCGACATATCGACGTAAGACGTTGTGATGCAGTTAACTGACCAAGAACCGACAGATGGAGGGAAATCTCAGAGAGAACATCACGTTTACACAAAACGTGAAGAAACGTGGGTACGAGACTGTCATACCACTGAAGTTCAACGGCGCCTTCCTTGTTGCGAACGCGTTGGCCGCAGATGGCACAGTTCTGGCAACCACAGACGTGTGGGATATGGCCCTCGGAGCAACTGTAAGCATTCGTTACCCTCTTCTATCCAATTTTCGGACTTGAGTACTGACGCGTGGACTTGCTCCTCAAAGCACGAGGCTGGAGCTGTAGGCTATTGCAAGATCGGTTGCGGCCATCTCGACGATTTCGATCACATGATTGTGCTTCTCGCAGGGTTTTCTGGGGTGCTTCTCGTGATCATGTGGGTAGCCAGGAAGAGGACTCTGTGAGACTGGCGTTCGCCATGTCATGGCTCATTGTGCCTGCTACTTCGCATAGCATTTGGGCGTTGCAGCGCCTCCATCTGTTTAAGGTCTCTGCGCAAGAGACTTTACTGATATTTTTCGATTTCCAACGGCGTTCAGGAAAGAGGACCGGCAAGGATCACCCGGAGATCTGCCAGAATATTATTGCATACCCGCCAAGCATCAAGCGGAGAGGAGTTCAGGATTTCTGGGAGGCGTTTGGAGAGATGTGCACAGCACTGAGTGAGGAATTACACCATTAACTACTGCGCGTGCTATCATACTATCCTATTCACGCGTTCATATTGCAATCAGACTCTTTCAACTCGACCTATTCCGTCCAGGGCACTATGTCTGGCTGCACGCATCAGAGGTTGGAACGCAGGCACGGTCCTGTCGTGGACGGCGTACCGATCTGCTTCCTGATAACGACTAATTTCGACAGCGCTAGAACAAACATAAATGGCCACAATCTCACTGCGAAACAGAGCTTCCGAGGCTGAGTAGGGAGATCGCTGGGCAAGAGACGCCAATATAAGAGAGGGACGGGTGGCGCATTGGAAAGGATTCTGAAATCCAACGCTAGCAGCCACGCTCACGTCGTATCCCAACACTCCTCCTGTGCCCGGCTCGGCAGCTAGGCCTAGCTTCGCCTATGCCAAGCAGGCACCCAGCCAAGAAGCTAGTCTAAATAATTCGGCGGGTAAATTCTGCTTTGCATATGTATGTAAGCAGGAGCTCATTTCACGAGAACGCGGCTTTGTGTTTTCTGGTCTCCCCTCAGCGGTTTCGTGGTCTGTCTCTTGATTTTCTTTGTTCCTTGGCCATTTTTGTTGCTTGGCTGATTGCGCAGTTTACGGGGAGTGAAGGGATTTGTCCAAGTAAATCGGAAGGCTCACTCGTCCCTAACTTTTTGTCACTCTTTTGGCCTTCTCCAAAGCCCCTGATTCGACCCTCGACCTCGAATTTCACGCCTTTTCGCGCTCAAGTTCCAGGCTTTTACCACAGTAGCCAGACACACAATGGCCTCTTCTTTCGTTACGTCCTTGTCTGGGGCGCTGCTGCTGCTAGGCACTCTGCCTGGCGCGACGGCCGAGTACAAGGTCGATTCTCACGATGCCATCGTCGAGTCCTCGCGGTCGCTAGCCCGGGACGTGATGACCTTTTACCACGGTGAAGAGCCGGGAGAGATCCCCGGTATCCTTCCCGGCCCCCCGCCCTCCGGCGACTACTACTGGTACACGGGCGCAAGCTTCTTCGCCACGTACCTCGACTACTGGCACCTGACCGGCGACGACTCTTACAAGGACGTCACCACCAGGGGCTTGCTCTTCCAGGTCGGCCCGATGGATAACTATATGCCACCGAACTGGACGGCCTCGATGGGGAATGAGGACCAGTGCTTCTGGGGCACGGCGGCGCTGCTGGCTGCCGAGTATCAGTTCCCGACCCCGGAGGGTGACCCGCGCTGGATCGACCTCGCAGTGAATGTCTGGCAGACTCAGGCGCACCCAGACAGGCACGATGATACTTGCGGGGGCGGCCTCCGCTGGCAAATCCCTCCGTCGAACGCGGGGTATGAGTATAAACAGAGTAAGTAGTTGCAAAACACCGACTTCTGAGAGGCTGTCTCACTTGCTTACACGCCCTAGCAATGTCCAATGCATGCTTCTTCAACATGGGGGCGCGCCTCGCCAGGTTCACCGGCAATGACACGTTCGCCGACTATTCTGGGGAGACCTGGGACTGGTTGACGGGTGTCGGCTTCATCGACACCGAGACCTGGGCTGTGTACGACGGTGCCCACGTTGATGACAACTGCACTGATATTTCCAAATTTCAATGGTCGTACAACGCCGCAACCCTTATACAGGGTGCTGCATTCATGTACAACTACGTAAGGCTCCCCCCCCCCCGTCACAAAAGTTGTGCTTGCAAAAATGACTGACACGCGCCCTTCAGACCAACGGCTCCGACGTCTGGCGCGAGCGCGCCGACAAGCTCTCCGACGCCCTGCTGGGGACCTTCTTCCCGGACGGCATCGCCTACGAGGCGGCCTGCGAGGAGTTCGAGTCGTGCCCGAGGGACGCGCTCTTCATGAAGGGCTACGCGCACCGCTGGCTCTCGTCGGCGACGCAGGTCGCGCCCTTCCTCGCCGACAAGCTGCTCCCCGTCCTGCGGACGTCGGCCGAGGCCGCCGCGAAGCAGTGCGTCGACAGCGATGACGGCGGGGCCGCCGGCCAGCGGTGCGGGTTCTACTGGCGCAATGACACTTTCGTCGACCCCGAAGAGACCGATGGCACCTCGGGCGCTGGAGAGGGCCTGAGTGTGTTTGCTGCGGTGACCAACCTGCTCATCGCTGATGCTGCGGCGCCGGCTACTGCGGCCACTTCGGGGGATGCTGGGAATTCGAGCGGGACAAGCCAGGACGGCTCGCCGAGTGGGACGGCAGATGGGAGTTCGCCAAGTGGCACGGCTGCTTCGGGCTCTGGGGCGGGACGGTTCCGTGTTGAGGTTACGACATCGCTGTTGCTTGGCGTCATGGCGGTTTTTGTCTGGGTTCTATAATGTATAATCGCATACTATGGTATGTGATTGTGAGATGGTCTAAGACAGCAATGAAAATTCAATTCAGTCTGCCCACTGCCTACTGAAGAATAAGTTCATCTGTAGCTGACGGGTCGACTCATTCCTTGGGGGCCCCTCTTGCTCCCACCACATCCTCTTCTTAGGTTCGACTTCGTAAGTTTGATACTGCCAGACCGCGGACACCATCTGAGTGATACGATACGGCCAACTCTCAGCCCTTGTGGCGGTGAAATGCTCTCAAAGGCAGTTTCTCAGGCCCTGAAAATAGTATGTAAAATCAGATATGGGCAATATTATGAATACTCACGCCATCTGCTCCACCACGGGGTATTTCCACCCAGCAAACCCACGAATTTTGGAGATGGATTTCTGATACAACACTACAGTTTTTTGTTTCATGTCCCTATAAGTACTGAGGCCAGGAGTTCCATCTCACGTTTCCCATCTACTTGAAAGGATCGTAAAACGTTGTCTTGACACAGATGAATTGGGCACATGTGCAATTACTTAGTGCCTGCACTATCGTCTTGAAGCATTACACTGAAACAATTGCCAAAGCAATTTGCTAATCAACTTCAACGAGAAAGTATCATGAGAAACTGCCAGTCCGTGGCCGCTTGGTTGAATGGCATTGTACATGTGTAGACTAGGTGCGTTCCTGACACGGCGTATGACTACTACGTACAGGTTACGCAGCACTGCGAGACTGCCGCACATTATTGGTGGCTCCACAGATCCGATGTGGCCCACCGTGGCAGTCTTTGTGTCCACCGTGCAGAACGGCTTGTACGGAGTACCTCGTGGTCAACATTCTGTCAGTACGTCAGTGCCCGTTGAACCAGTGAGGAGACATTGATTTCTGATCGCTTACCGAATGCCGAAGCCAAGCTCAAACTCAAGCTCAAGCCCACGTGCAACGAGTGGCAGCGGCTCTTTCCGTTGGCTAAAAGGTGGCAGCTCGCAGGATGACAGGGGCAGAGGAGACGAGAGCGGAACCATAGCTCCGGCGAGATTACATCAGACTTGCATGCGCACCACATCACCTCTGACACCTCCGGCGCCTCTGACGCTGCTCGCGGCACACGACAGCATCGGCCAATATCACAAATCCAGCCCACAGCATCGAACAATCGGGCGCACAACCTGCTCAGCATGGCGTTCTGGACATTCTGGACGTTTCCAGGCGTTGTTCCCGACCAGGACGGCCGCCCACTTCCAGGCTTTACCGCCCAAAGAGGCAATTCTACGTGATCGGCCTCCACTCCATCACAGTAGCCGGTCTGGCCCACGCCCACCTTCCCCCTCCAAAGGGCGTAATTGTGATCCCATCGAACATCACATCGTCGTGGCCCCTTCTCCTCGGACTTCCAGCTCGTCCAGTCTCACTGACGTCAACAATTAATTACTCCTTGTTGATCCAATGCCTACCTCTGAATTTCCAATGGCTGTTCCACTCCTCCCCCCCTCCATCCCACCTCCCTCAGGTCGCATATATCAAGCTGCGCCGTACACCACCTGATTTCCTAAAGTGCCTGCTCTGACCTATTGACTCCTTTTTGTTTCTCTACCAGTCAGCACCTTTGATTCTTTGCACTGGTTCTATGGCTTCGCTCATCCCAGAATCTGTAAAGTCCGCCAAAAACGCCATCATGGGTTCCGGAGGAGACAAGATCACCGACCTGTCAAAGGACACCAAAGAGCCTACCGATAAGACACACATCACCAGCGACTATGGCGTCAAGCTGCCTGACCCCGAACACTGGTTGAGCGTCTCCAGTGAGGACCGCCAGGGACCCAGTCTAATCGAGGACCCCTTTTCCCGTGAAAAGGTGAGACTACGTTCTTTCAGTCATCATGGGATGTCGCATGATTCTGAATGCTGATTGCACACTTAGATCACTCGTTTCGACCATGAGCGGATCCCCGAGAGGGTTGTCCACGCCCGTGGCACTGGCGCATTTGGAACGTTCCGCCTGCATGAGAGCCTCAGTGACCTGTCTTTCGCCCCCGTACTGAACGACACATCTCGGGAGACCCCTGTCTTCTTGCGTTTTTCAACCGTGCTTGGAAGCCGTGGCAGCGCCGACACGGTGCGAGACGTCCGTGGTTTCGCCGTCAAGTTCTACACCGACGAGGGCAACTGGGACATTGTGGGCAACAACATTCCAGTCTTCTTCATTCAGGACGCAATTAAGTTCCCCGATGTCATTCACGCCGGTAAACCGGAACCGCACAATGAGGTTCCTCAGGCCCAAAGCGCCCACAACAATTTCTGGGACTTCGTCTTCCACCACACCGAAGCCTCGCATATGTTTATGTGGACCATGTCAGACCGTGCAATCCCTCGGTCGTATCGCATGATGCAAGGTTTCGGCGTCAACACGTATACCCTCATTAATGCCCAAGGCAAGCGGTCTTTCGTCAAATTCCACTTCACACCGGAGCTTGGCGTTCACTCGTTGATTTGGGACGAGGCTCTGAAGCTCGCTGGCCAAGACCCTGATTTCCACCGCAAGGACCTTATAGAGGCAATCGACAACGGAGCTTATCCCAAGTGGAAATTCGGCGTTCAGGTCCTCGGCGAGGAGGACCAGGACAAATTCGATTTCGACATCCTCGACGCCACCAAAGTTTGGCCCGAAGACCTTGTTCCCGTTCGTTACGTGGGTGAACTTGAGCTGAACCGCAACGTCGACGAATTCTTCCCGCAGACGGAACAGGTTGCCTTCTGTACAAGCCATCTTGTTCCAGGCATCGGTCACTCCGACGACCCTCTTCTGCAGGGCCGTAACTTTTCTTACCACGACACACAGATCAGCCGATTGGGCGTTAACTGGCAGGAGCTACCCATCAACCGACCAGTTTGTCCCGTCATGAACTTCAACTCAGATGGTCAGATGCGCCACACCATTCGCAAGGGCACTGTCAACTACTGGCCTAACCGGTTCTCGAAGAATCCCCGGGCCAAGCCAAATGAGGGGTCCTATATCGAGTACCAGCAGAAGATCGAGGGCATCAAGCAACGTATCAAGAGCAAGAAGTTCAGTGAGCATTTCAAACAGGCGATGCTTTTCTACAACAGTTTGAACACGCAGGAAAAGACGCACTTGATGAGCGCATTTGGCTTCGAGCTGGATCACTGTGATGACCCTATCGTCTACGAGAATCTCGCCACGCGTCTTGCCGACATCGACATCGACCTGGCCAAGGACGTCGCCGAGCTGGTGGGCGCAAAGGTGCCTGAGCAAAAGGCCAACCCAAACCATGGCAAGAAGTCGAAGGGTCTATCTCAGTTCGACTTCCCGCCAGCGAAGACCACCGTCAGCAGCCGTCGAGTGGCAATAATTATCGCCGACGGATACGATTCTACGGCCTTCACTGCCGTCAAGACCGCTGTTGCTTCGTCGCAGGGCATTCCTATCATAATCGGCACCAAGCGGAGCGAGATCTTTGCTGCGGGTCAGAAGAGGGAACAGGGCAAGGGTATCCGGCCAGACCACCACCTGGAGGGCTACCGGTCGACTATGGTTGACGCGGTGTTCGTTCCTGGCGGCAGGGAATCCATCGACACGTTGAAGAAGAACGGCCGTGCTCTGCATTGGGTGCGCGAGGCGTTCGGCCACCTCAAGACGGTCGGTGGCACTGGCGAGGCGACCGAGCTGCTGCAGGCGGCATTCCAGCTGCCCGGCGTGCAGCTGGCCAGCGGCGTCGAGGCCGTGGAGAGCTACGGCGTGGTGACGCTGGGCAAGGTCGAGCCTGACAGCTTCGGCGAGTCTTTCAACATCGCGAAGGAGGGTGCCGGCTTTGTGGGCAAGTTCTTATACTCCATTTCACAGCACAGAAACTGGGATCGGGAGTTGGATGGTCTGAACACTCAGGTGGCGTATTAAAGCAAAACAGGGTTATCACTCAGTTGTAATTAGCACGGACGAGTTTAAGGTTAATGATTCACGAACTATTGAAAGTTTATTGCATTGCTGTTGGACTGAGGTGATGCCTGTAGATTTCTTGCGTGATACCACGGTGTTCTGCATCTCTCTCCGCGACCTTTTGAACTCCAGCTCGTCAGGCCGCGCCCATTTCCTCGCTCAGTTCCTTGTTTGTAGGCTTTGGCTCCCCTTTTCACATTAAACTTCGTGTGGGGAATCACCAGCTCTCAGTCTACTGTTGAAGCAGTCACCTCCACTGCTAGACGGGTCGTTTCTTTCTCACTGTGGCTTGACACGTCTACACTCTGGACTATGGGTGAGCCCTCGTGGAAGACATTAATCGTGTTGAGAGCCAGCTCTGCCACTTTCTCGTAATGGTTGTTGAGGTCTGTGGTGAACCGGCTGTTGAAGGCTATGAATGCGTGGCAAATGTCGCAGTCCTTATGGCGGTACTCGATCATTTGCCAACATGGCGGATCAAATGTGTCTCTGTGCGATGGGTCGTGTGATGAGCAGGAATGGGTAATGGTGCATCCTACGCTGGGTCTGGTTGCATTTCTTGATGGAGGGTCAGTGGTGGGCTCAGTAGTGTCGGTTTTGGTGGCCTCGCCGCCAGCATCGGCTGACGGAGGAGTGTCCGGGGTTTGTACGTTTCGTTCGCGGTAGGCATTCATACTGCGAGAATATTGTGGTGGCCTAGATGACAAGAAAAGGCCAGATTTTGCTGCTGGCTCGAAGACGAAGTGGATTTAATATGTGAGCAGTCAGTGGTCATGAGCATGACCGACTTGAGCTGCACTCTTCTTTAGTCACCCTCTTGGCCGGTGACACTCGAAAGCTAGGCTCAGACTCTAGACTCACAGCGACTTATGAAACAAATCCCCTTCACACTTCTTGTATTTACCTTCAAGAACTTCAAGCTCCTAGCATTCTACCTAGAAGTATCCTTGTTCTCGCACCTTACTAGCAAAACGGCACAATATTCTATCTGACAACCATGGTACAGAGAATATTCATTCAAGCCAACACGGTCCCAGACGCCGACGCAAACCCACAATTTGAACGCTAGACCTCTCTATGTACACGCCCTGGAAATCCCAAGCCAGCCGTCAGGCCTCCCAACATGCTCCTTGAACGCCAGCTATTGTTTCCTTTCGTTGGTAGGATTCTTCTAACGAAGTCCATCTTGAGATACCACGTCGTAATCTGAAGGGTCAGACGTAGTAGCGAGTTGTTGTGACTGTGTATCGAGTCGTGTGTCTTGGGCTGCGGTTCGAACGGTGTCGACGGTTGACCACCACGACCTCATGCCCTGAGTTGTTCACATTTCGGGCCGTGTTGTAGTTGCTGCCATAGTAGGAGTGGGTGCAGTAGTAGCCCGATGGGATGTAGTAGCCGCAATCGTAACAGTAGTAATAACTGTTGTTGTTGTACGAGCTGACGGTGGTTGCAGTGGGCGCCATGGCTTGTTGTGCTGATGTTGTATCTGCGTAGATTGTTTCGTGGTGGTACGTGTATGCCAGATTGTTTTTGGACTGATCTGATGAGAGGTTATGGATTCTGGGACAGGGAGAACGAAAACGATCATTCGGCCTTCGGAGGATCTCGTCGCCTTTTTATCATTTCTGTCTGCCACCCTCACCACCTAGTATAGCGGCCGACGCTTAAGAATACTTGGGAGTCATTCGGAGGATCTGGAAGCCGGATGCCTCCGAATTTGTGTAACTTAACAACCTTAATCACCGGACTGGAATGAGGGTCATGATACCGGAGGGGCTGAGCTGGCGCGGTCAAAAAAAGGTCGGCCTAGCTGCTCAAGCTCGTGGCTTGGCGGGTGGTGTTGGGTGGTGGTGGGAAGGGGCGCCTGCACAGCCGCACCGGGTGCATTCCTTTCGCGTTTTGCTGCTAGCTATCTACAGGCCATTGAGTCACCTTGGAGGCTCTGCTGCGGAGTGCAGTAGCTTGACGGCATGTGACTTGGGGGCTGTTTTTACACTTTCGGTGAGAGAGGGTGCACGCACCATTGACCATGTAAGCAATCTGCCTGTCGGGGTTACACGGCCAAGGCCCAACGCGTGTGCCTTCATGGTCCTTGTGCTGTATTAATAATGGGCAATTTGCCCTAAAAAAATATGGGATGGTGATAGCGGCCCGACACTCATCGTGACCAATTTGAGGGATCCGGGCTTTCAAACAAAGAAATGTTCGCCATCCCAGTCATCATTTGTTGAAGAATTACGTGTCAGTCTTAAGTGGTCGCCTATGCTAAGATTCTGCGCCCTTCATTTGCCCCCGGGTGCTGTCAGCTTCATCAGCAAATATTGCTACCCGTTCATCCCACCTCGACCTATGGGAACCTAACAACCGTTCAAGGTCACTTAAATCCACTTGTCATTGTGACTGCGGGCATATGGGTGTATTTTGTTAAATTTTTGCATTCCTGTACACGCAGCTAATCCTTGGCTTTCATTTATTCTTCATTCCTCACTCATGTATGACACAAATTCTAAGCCTTGTCATCGGCCGGAGACCCACGTGGAGTGAACATGAGGAAGCATTTGTCATAGCGTGACCGGAAACCATTGGCCTCGAAAGGGGTCATTGACTCCGGGGTAGTCTCAGGGGCAATAGAGACCTTGAACTCGCGTAGCACAGCCGCGATGATGAGACGCATCTGATAGGTCGCCATATAACCACCCGGGCACCGTCGGGCCCCCACGCCAAAGGGTGCTGTAAGACGGCGGCGCTCAGCTACTTGATCCTCATCCAACCACCGAGTGGGATCAAATATATCGTAGTTGGGGAACAAATCTGGCCGCTGTCGGCTCATTGATAGTGATTGTGTGGTCACGACGGTGCCTGCAGGGATATAGTAGCCAAGGATATCGATACCTCCGTTGGGCACAACTCGGCTGCCGGTCAGTGCGACGGGAGGCCGGAACCGCAGGCCCTCACTGACGCATGCACCAAGAAGCTTGAGGTTCTCCAGGTTGTCGTTGTCCGCGGCGTTGCTCAGCTCGTTGTAAACGCTCTCCTGGAGGCTGCTGTTCTTGGCCAGCTCGTAGAAGATGAAGGCCAAAGCAGATGAGGTGGTCTCCGTGGCAGCGAGGACCTGGCCGGCCATTTCGGCGTTGATCTCGTTGTGCGTCCATTGGATGCCTTTTTCTTGCTTCTCCATCAAGAGTTGGTAAACCGTCAGCGTCGCGGTCAACTGGGTCGGCTTTCTCTGCTTCATTGACAATGCTCTCGCCTAGCTTGAAAAGCAGCTCGCTGGACTTGACGCGGAACTTGGCATGACTAAACGGACTGAGCTTCAGCCACTCGAATATCCAGTCAGGAAGACACAGACGCTACACCACAAGAAAGTTGTATTCGCCGACAATGTGGGGGAAATCGCCTGGCTCAAGCTGTGCCTGTGACCCAGCCATGACGACTTGCGAGTTGAGCAAAGTGGCAACACGGAGGTGGTGGACAATGTCTTCTGACATTTCTCCCTTGGACGCGCCCAGGTTTCGGATCATGCTATTGATGTTGTCTTCAAACACGGGGTGGAGCATCATTTCCTAGAATACGTTCTGATCAATTAATGGCGTTTTGTTGACTTTATAAAAAAGACCTTATGTTAATACATAGAACATTATTTATTTTTTTAACTTAATTTAAACATAGCCTAAATAAAAAAAATTTCATACAACTATTAATAACTAAAATTTGAAATAAAGATTTTAAATAATAATATTAAATTAAAAACATATGTCTTTATAATAATGAAATAAACCGGGGAACCCTTAAAGCTTATTTTACCAAACTTTATATGAAAGTATCACAATGGAAGAATTTAATTCTTTTTTTAATAATTTTATCATAATCCTCTTTTGTTTGCCCAGGTTGTAAAGGATATAAATATTTTTTTTTTAAATATATTTAAATCAACATCCTTTTATTCCTTGGTACGCCTTATATAAGCTTGAGTTTTTATAGTTTTATCTTTAGGGTATATAAAAAACGGGTTGGGTCTTTACTAATAAAATTTTATATTAAGATAAATTTTAATTTATATAAGAACATTATAATATAAGTTTTTTAATATTTATTTAGGAATAGATAAACTTTCTATCTACTTGTTAGGCGATCCTCATCAACAGATATTCTTTAGTTAAAAAAAATCACCGTAAACATTTAATTGTTTTTAAAATTTTCTTTTACAAGTTTTGTTAGAACTGCTAGTATTATATTATCTCTTGTTTATATTATTAATCTGAGTTAAAGATTTAGTTTTTTTTTAAGTTAAAATAGCTTCTTAAATTATTTATGTATTTCAGCAATCAACTACATATCACCACATTTGGTCCAATATTTGTCTCTATCTCAAAAATGAAATCGCCCTCCGTTGGTGCGCCTCTTCTACCGCGCAAGACCATTCGCAGATATAATTTGCCTCAACTCGTCTTGGATCAGATCCTCCGCTCGATTGGTGTCGATAAGTACGAAGTTCATCTTCCTGTCCTCGAGGACCTGTAGAATGTGGGCCATATTGCTGTGGGAATCCTCGATGCGCTTCCTTGACACGTTTTGGTTCAGATCTTCGGGCCTTGCCTGCCCTCCAGCCAATTTTCCGCGCTTGGCAACCCGCTGGAGTGAGACGTCTTGTGGACATTCGAAAATCAGGGTGAGTGAGGGAGTTGGAATCAGGTTCAGGAATTCTTCAAGGTGTTTGACACATTTTGGAAAGCCGTCTACAAGCCAGCGGCGGCCGGGATTTGTGCGAATTTCCTTCCACATCAGCCAGGCGCCCAGGTCGTCCGGCACAGCGGGATTGTTCGACCCCGGCTTTGTATCAAGCCTGGAAACAATGGGATGTTTCTCCTGTTTAAGACGCCTACAAAAGTCTCCGTACGATAGATGGTGGAACCCAAATTGCTGAGCAAGGAAGGTACACTGAGTACTAGTACCTTTGCCGGCACCTGGAGCACCTAGGACGAAAACAACGGAGCCTGTTGGCTTCAAGTTTTGCCCACACTCATTGAATGTTCCCTGGCAATTCTGTCTGTCATCTGCTAGGTTGGCAGGCGCAAGCCCGGCCAATCTATCTTCACTTGGTGATACCTGTGGCCGAAGGCTGTCGTCCTGTAGGTTGCGCACACTGCATAGGTGGGACAGCATGGCTGCGTACGACCACTGCCGCAAGCTCGTGATGAAATTGCGAGCAAGTTCCATCATCCTTTCCATGTTTGGGGATTTTTTGGTTGCAGTAATTTGCAAACAGTGTTCGTGTCGGCGACTCTCTTGATGTGTTGATCTGCAGCGTTTGGTGCTTGATGACAGATGATTTTGGCTTCACAAAGCAACAAGAGCCATGGATTTATATACAATTCTCGAAGACAATTCTGCCTAGAAGTCAAGGCATGAAGACATGGGAAAGATCTCGTTCATGTACTGAAACATTTCTTGAATGCCTTTTACCTTTGTCGTTGCCCCTGGAAAGACGTTGCATTGTTTCGAAGCTAACACAATCTAATTGTTGTCGCCTGGCCTCGGTCCATTCTGCGAAACCTCCAGCGAACAATGATCATAGGATTTGCGAGCTCCATCATTTTGATTCAACATGCAGATATGCTGCAGCGCTTGCCATTTGAATACGCTAGTTTTCACTGTTCTTTCTGCCCCGCTGCTGCTGACAACTTCTCTAATGGGAGGCCAGTCCGCATTGTGGGCTGTAGATCGCACGCACCCATAGCGCAGCCTCCCGTTATCTCTCTCTCTCTGATGGCCGTGGTTCAAAATTTCCCCAGCTGGGAGCGTTTGACTTAAAGAGGTTCTTGTGGATAACCTGTTTGAATGTAAGCGCAATTGAGGTTCAAGTGGGACAGCTCAGAGAGGAAACTATGGAATGTCATACAGACCTTAGACAGCGTATAGTTTGCTCTTTAAAGTTTCCTAGGTATCTGGCCCGAAAACCCTCAGTGGAAAGACCGCTCCATATCGAGACACCCTGCTTGACTGCGTTAAACAAGTATATGTTCTTATCTAGTCATCGGAACTCCTGGTGACCACGTGACTGAAGACAATGCGGCGAAGTGAGTTATTACGTGGCCGTTCCCGGGCCTCATTTTAGTCGAGTCTACAACACTCGACTGGGCAAATCTACAAGCAGGCCGTCCAGTGCTGATTAATATCAGCAATGAATGGTAGAGGAAATCAACAGGAGTAGACTGCTCATGCATTAATAATGGCTAAGCACGCTACATTACTTCATCAACAAACGCCCCCCCCCCCCCCCCCCCAAAAAAAAAAAAAGATTAGGGCGGTGAACATGGGCTTGATTGTATGCTAGGAATAGTGGAGTTTAGTATGAGGATGAGCTGGCAAAAGTAATCATAGCAAGAAAGTTTCTTGGGGGTGGAGTGAAAGGACAGCAGCCAGGAACTGTCGCATCTATTGTGTTTGTTCTGCTGCTAGGCACGGACCATAGGTAAATACTGGGAACATATTTACCAGCCAAATGAATGAATGCTTTTACTCAGAGCTGACCAGATGGCTTCTTTTAACAAAACTTAGTTAGGACCCTCTATTCCTCATAAAATGGGTTGAGAACAAGATCAAGATTGCAGTACATAGTTAGATTGTCCGAGTTCAATCAATATGTTAAGAACTCAAGTAAGTACCTAGACATGTGCATACATTAGGACGGGAGATTCTATGCACATTTACTTTGTTGGACGGGCGAGGTTGTCGGACCCGATTGCTCGGCCGGCTTGCCTTGATGCGCCAAGGATGATTTGGGCTTCCGGAAAAACAAACAGCCTGGATAATGACTCCAGTGCGTGCTCACATCAACTCTACGGCTTGAAAAAAATTATCGATCTTTCGTCGTTGGGTGACACATGTTCAGAGTCATGCCTTTGTTTTCGGTGGTGATTTTCGTGTGTGACCAAGCTTGAAATGCCAGAAAATGCTTGAGCTCGGCCAGCCGCCCGTGTCTGCAAGTGGAGTCGCACAAGGACGGCCTAGTCTCAGTCTCACCGTCTATGTAGTGTTACATCAGGCTCGTTTCCTTGCTCGGACAAATCGTGTTCACGCACGGATGTAGGATGACTACATTTTTTTCTCATTCAACAAAGATCTGTCTCAGGGTTATTAATGATGACACCTGGTATTCTGTCAGAGCTTTCATCTATCACTAACGCAAGGTGAAGTACATCTAAGGATGGGCGACATCAGACTGATTCGACTTTCGCTTCTCTGCTCATGGGTATCTCGATGCGAGTTCCGCAGCTTACGGAGTAATCCGCATCCGGCTCGAAGGATTGAGCTTCGGGTTGGCATCTGAGACACGGCCGTTCGATGCAATATCCGGCTTCACTGCTCGATTAACTTCCCAGTATTTGTCTGGTTCAGTGTAGAGAAGCTGGAGATTTGCAAGAAAACCCAGACCCCCGCAGAGGAACCACAACAACGCGGAGACAAAACCGGGCCAAGACACGGAGGGGCAGTGCTCCATCGCCGAGCTGATCGGTCGGCTTAAGAGGCTAGTCTCCGTCTTCGCCTTCTAAATCAGCGGCCTTGTCGATTAGATAAACGGCGCTGGCTCGCTCTTCGGTATCTCCTCTTTTCCTCCTGAACCTTGATGACTCGTTTGCTGTGCTGCTACATTGTCTGATGCAACGAAGACGATTGTGGCCGAGGGTCAGGAAGGTGATGGACTGTGCCCGGTTTTGATGGCGGCTGGGGCAATATGCAGCAGGCATGTCTTGGCCGGCCTTGGCACCTTTTCCCAGCATGGAACAAAAGACTGCGCCCAGAGCCTCACCACGTCACTTGTACCGCTCTTTGTCTGGGCAGTGTGGCCAGATAGACCAGATGGATCCGTAGGGCGCTGCGCTGGCTGGCCCCAGCGGGTTCCCATGCAGAAGGACACACGATCAATGGTGAAGATCGCTACTTGGCAGCATCTCGGGCTGGCCGACCCTCTCTTGGGATTCTAGACTCTGTTGACCTACTTAGCTGTTGCTTGATCCACTCCCCAGCCGGCTGAGGGTCTCCGTCCTTGCTTGTGCCACGCGAGATGTCAGCACCAAGATGACTGACCACAAGACCTTGACATCACGCTCGCAGTCCAAGGATATCCAGCTTGAGCCACCCACAAGCCGGAAAGACGGCCCCAAGTTCGAGATTGACTTCGCCGCCAACAGCGATGACAATGTCCCCGACAACCCCTTCGCCTTCGCGCCAGGCCACCTGCACAAGCTCGCCGTCGCGCGGAGCGTCGCCGCGCTTCAGGCATTCGGCGGGCTGACGGGGCTCGCCCACGGGCTGCGCAGCGATTCCACGGCCGGGCTGAGCTTGGACGAGGACGTGCTGGAGGGTCTCATCTCGGCCCAGAGCGCCTGCAAGGAGAGCAGCAGCAGCATCCTCACGCCTGACCCCAAGCTACAGGTACATCACCACGACACACGCCGTCGGAGCCACAGTGAGGGCATCCACGGCCTCGCGGAGCAGCTGCGCCTCGAACATGCAGAAAGCAAGGGGTACTCGGACCGGCGCCGCGTCTTTGGGGAGAACCGGCTCCCGCCGCCGCGTCAGAGGTCCTTCCTGCAGCTCTGCTGGCTCGCCATGAACGACAAGCTTATTTTCCTGCTCATGGCGTCTGCCGTTGTGTCCCTGGCCCTTGGTATCTACCAGGCCGTGCAGATACAGCAAAAGGGCGGCGAGCAGGGCTCAAGCCTCGAGTGGGTCGAAAGCGTGACTATCGTTGCGGCTATTATTGTGATCATCCTCGTACAGGCGCTGAACGACTACCACAAGAACTACAAGTTCCAGAAGCTCAACCAGAAGAAGGAAGAGCGGATGGTCACGGTGATGAGATCTGGAAAGCACGTGACCATCAGCGTCTTTGACCTTCTCGTGGGCGACTTACTCCGTGTTGAGGCCGGCGATGTGACGCCCGTGGATGGCGTACTCGTGGACGGGTTCGGCGTGCAAGTTGATGAGAGCCCCATGACGGGTGAGTCAGATCTGGTCGACAAGACACCAGCGGCATTCATCCACGAGGCGAGCCGGAAAAGCAGCAGCAAGGATGTGGACCCCTTCATCTTCAGTGGCACACGCGTTGTCCACGGTGTCGGCGACTTCCTTGTCTTGGCCGTGGGACCCAACTCTACACATGGACGCATGCAACTCTCGCTCCGAGCTGAAGTCGAAGAGACGCCACTGCAGCACAAGCTTGGCCGACTTGCTAAGTACCTCATTTTCATCGGATTCGGTATCGGCATAATTTTCTTCCTGGTCTTGTTCATTCGCTGGCTCGTACAGATGGGCAGAGGTCAATTGGACCACCTCACCCCACAAGAAAAAGGCGAGCAGTTCCTGGATATTTTCATGCTGGCTGTCAACCTCGTGGTTATTGGTGTACCAGAGGGGCTGTCGCTTGCTGTCGCTGTGGCCCTTGCCTTTGCGACAACAAGGATGCTGAAGGATAACAACTTGGTGAGGCTTCTTCGGTCTTGCGAAATCATGGGAAACGCGACGACAGTCTGCTCCGACAAGACTGGAACACTGACGACGAACAACATGACTGTTGCCACCGGTGTTGTGGGAGAGTCTCGGTTCAGTGACGATGCTGCCGCGCCCCTGACAGAAGCCGACGAGTCTAAGGTCCAGAGCTCTGCCAAGCTGGCGGAGGGGCTATCGAAAAATGTGAAGACGCTCCTCAAGGATAGCGTTGTACTTAACTCGACAGCCTTTGAGGGCGACGGCGCTGGGACAGGAGACTTCGTCGGATCGAGCACGGAGACAGCCCTTCTCAAGTACGGTCGCGAGCACCTCGGCATGGAACCGGTAACAGAAGAACGGACCAATGCAAATGTGGTCGAGCTGTTCCCCTTCAACTCTACGCTGAAGTGGATGGCGTGCATGGTCAAGCTGGACGATGGCAGGTATCGAATGCTTGCGAAGGGTGCCGCCGAGGTTGTCCTAGGCAACTGTTCGACGACCCTCAAGGACCCGTACGAAGGTCTCACGACTACAGAAATGACCGCTGCGACGCGTGAACAGCTGTCGCAGTTGACAAGAACGTATGCCGCCGATCAGCTCCGGGTGATAGCACTCGCGTACCGAGACTTCGGTACGCCGCCGATGAGTGACAAGGGAGGCAGGACGGGCAAGACAGAGGCAGTGAACTTCGCCAATCTCTTCAGCCAGAATATGACATTCCTGGGTCTGTTTGCCATCCGTGACCCACTCAGGCCGGAAGTGGTTGAATCGGTGCGACAGTGTAAGGACGCCGGTGTCTTTGTACGTATGGTCACGGGCGATAACTTCCTCACCGCAAAGTCCATAGCCGTTGAGAGCGGTATTTACACAGCCGGGGGGATTGCGATGGACGGGCCGACGTTCAGGCAGCTCAGCGACGAACAGCTCGACCTCGTGATTCCGCGACTGCAAGTCCTGGCGAGATCGAGTCCCGAGGACAAGCAGGTCCTGGTACAGCACTTGAAACGCATGGGTGAGACGTGTGCGGTCACAGGAGATGGTCAGTATAACTCTTCTCCTACTACACTTCCCCGATCTTTGTGCTTTAGAATGTTGCAGAATGTACCACTTTAGGACCTGTAGCAGGTGATTAACAGATAGTAGGGACCAACGATGCCCCTGCACTGAAGGCAGCCGACGTCGGATTCGCTATGGGAGTCTCCGGGACAGAGATTGCGAAAGAAGCCAGCTCGATTATACTGTAAGACACTAGCCACAGTATTGTTGCATTTGCATTAGACTGACTTCCCGAATAGCCTGGATGACAACTTCCGGAGCATTGTCCGAGCGCTTGCTTGGGGCAGGATGGTGAACGATGCGTCAAAGAAATTCCTCCAGGTGCGTTGACTGCGCGAACTGAACCTGAAGTCTAACCTTTGGGGTCTCTTCACGTCTATGAGTGGCTGGCTGACTTCAGAACGAAAACATCAGTTCCAGCTGACCATCAACATTACTGCGGCTGTTCTAACCATAGTTTCCACCCTCGTCGACGGACCAGAGTCTGGAATTTTTGCCGTAATTCAACTGCTCTGGCTGAACCTCATCATGGACATTTTCGCCTCATTAGCCTTGTCAACCGGAAACCCGAGCCGAGACGCGTTGAAAAGGCGTCCCGAGCCTCGGAATGCGTCAATAATCTCAATACAGATGTGGAAGATGATTCTCGGGCAGACCATCTACCAGCTCACGGTCATTTTCGTGCTGCATTACGCCGGCGACAGGTTCTGGCCCACTTCTACCGATCATGAGAGAAATCAACTTCAAACATTTGTCTGGAATACGTATATGCTGATATGCCTATTCAACCAGTCAAAGTAAGTTCTCGCACCTGCCAGAGAAGTAGCATATGCGGCGTTTGTGTCTGCATAGTAGATGAGAAGACTCTACTAACAAGTCGATAACCAGCTGCCGCCGCATAGATAATCACTTGCATATCTACGAGGGCGTTTTCCGCAACCCTTGGTTTCTCGGGGTACAAGCGATCACCCTCGCTGGTCAAGTGACTATAGTACTCAAAGGTGGGGAGGCATTCCAAGTTGCGCCCATCACTCCCTCTCAGTGGGGGTTTTCGTTCTTATTCGGCTTTCTGGTGCTCCCTATTGGAGCGTTAATCAGGAAAATCCCTGACCAGATCGTGGTGGCTATAGCCCACAGGCTCTCACCCCTTGTGACCCCGATCCGGATCATGAGGGGGAGAAAGCAGGAAAAGAAGAGGTTGAAAGCAAAGGATGCGGAGCGAAGCGAGGAGGAAAGAGAACCCGGCGAGGAATATTACGACGAAAAGGACGAGGAACGCCGAGCACGGCGTATGCAGTGGCGTTGGGTCAAGGCCACGCTTGCGGGAGACCAGGAGTTTTTCGAGGACTTCTTGCATCTACATCACGAGGGCGAGCAGCGCACGAAAACCTTCACTAAAAAGAGCAGGACAAGCAGAACGCAGACGCTTAGCGCCAGGGCTGGCCTGGTATCGGCTGGGCTGGCGGCTGCTGGAGTAGACGTGAAGCACCACCGACTTACTCCGAGGACAGGCGTGTTTGATGGCCCTCCGCGTCCGGAGACCTCTGAAAAGCCTGCTGAAATCATCTCTGTCGATATTCATCAGGTCATCGATGCCGTGCGGCGGAATCCTGAAGACTGCCCGGCTGGCTTGCAGATTGAGGTGCACACCGGTACTTCCCAGGAAGATCCTGTGATACCGGCAAGAGAGGTGCTGGATAGCAGCACGCCCCCCAGCCAGAACCCGAAGTATATGAGGTTCGTAGAAGGCTGGTTGAGATAGCTCTCAGGGTGAATATGATACATGAAACGTTCCAAACTTCTAGGGTGATTGACATTCGACCCAAATATGATTGCTTGAATCTTTCAACATACAAGTAGGGCAGAGGAGATATATCGACGGCATCAGCTCACATTTACCAGAAACGGCTATACCTAGGAGACCGCCTGTCACGCGGTCCACAGTGCGGACTGGACTCTCGTGCATGAGCGAGCAAACTCTAGAACGACACTGGCAAAGTAAGCACTTGTCCCTTACTGACTCGAAAATGGTTAATTATTGACGTCATTTGAACAGAATTGCTTCTCCAATGACCTCCAACACTGCAGCTCTCATGGGTATCAGATGTCTAGGCCCGAATTAACCAGTGCTTGCACTTTCCTGTGAGAGTAAATACTGATAATACAACCTCCCATTGGATACTCTCCCACCTATAAGGATAACCTCCTATGGGATAAACTCCTATGGGATAACCTCCTTTGGATTACCTTCGTCGGAATACCTCTGATACATTTTGGGATACCCTTCCTTTGAGTCTGTGCTACATGCTGTCCTATAGGATCATGCTCTATGTGATATTTTCCTAGAGAATTATCCAGAGTCACAGTGCAGAGCCAGTCCTTTGTAATAGATCAGATGATGAATTACAGGGCCTTATGGGTTATCATTCTCTGCGGGACGTACATTGTCCCTACAGGGTCGTATACACGATTCCAAAACAGGTGTCTTCTCCAAGGGGTACACACAAAGGTTGTATAGGCAATTCTGAGTAATGTTACAATCTTCAATTTCATACAGGCCGGCTGAAGTGAGAATCAGAGGAGCAGGGCCGTATGATCTCTGCATCGTAATTGGGGGCGGTATTATTCGTCATTGGGCTCCAGAGAGGCCAAGAGCCCGGGCTTTCCCCGGCTTCGTAGCGTTTCCACCGCCCTGTGGATGTTTTCGGTCCAACCTTACCGGAAGTGTGCAGGCTTCACCCCACAAATCCCCAGGTGGATTGGAATGCTTGTCCGGACCTTGAAGGTTTTCCCTCGGCCGTGTCTTCAGGCTCGCCTTTCAGGCATTCGACGGCAAATTGCAGCGGACCCCGCCGAGCGCTGTGTCTCCTGCAGTGCACCACCTGCACCTGACTGCCAGTGATGACCAGGGCCGATTGTGGCAACTACTTCGCCGAGAGAATACCATGGGGCAAGGATAGTGAAGTACATATGTATGCAACCATTCATTCTCCCTGGATGACAGATGGTGTGATTCTCCTGCTTTGGAGCGACAAGAACTGGGTGAAGACGGGCTTCTCAAGGTGATTGCTCCTGGCACGCAAAAGCAAAACTCTGCTCGGTACTCCGTAAAAGTCCTCGTCACACCGTCGATAAGCGCCCAATACTAGGCCTGTAATCTCAGCACGCGACCGCCGGAGATTGGCATTCCATAGCAAATGCGTAGCAATGCCCTCCGGCATTCCCGGCAGCCTGAGTTTCGTAGGACGTCAGGAATGGTGAGGTTGTTCTTCAGCCCTGATTCCAATCCCGACTCAGATCATACGATTCCACCCGTGGGAAAAGCGCGGGAAAAGGCAAATCTTGCGACAGGGGTCCGCGCCCCCAGACCGTTTCCCCTTTGGAGTCAGTTGGGGGTAAGCCAGGGCTAGGGCTGTCCAGGGCTGTCACGTTCCGAGGTCCGTGGGAATTTCGGACCCTGAGTGCCTGAGCAGACCAGTGGGTTGGCTCGGTTAGAACCTTGCAGGCGGCTCGAAAGGAGCGTGGTCCCCAGCATTTGTGGATGCCCAAGTGAGCCGACGTCATGGCCTTTTGAGGTGCGGCACTTGCCAGAGAAGCTCTGAGCTAGATCAGAAACTTCGGTACCGGCCAAGATGGCACATGGCACGAGGATGTGACACTTGACACATCTCATTGCTCCGACGTCCGTTCCACCGCTGACTTCCGCCGCCTTAAATGCTACTTGCTCGATCTGGCCCAACAATGATCTTTCCTCAAGCCCGCTGCCCGGTGAGACATCGGTTTGGCCAAAAAGATCTGCAGACTCTGTCGACCCATCCAGACGCTAGAGTCCGTCGCCTGTCGCAAAAATTAGAGAATCGATTGTGACAGATCAGGTCCCCAGATCTATATCGCCTTTCTGGAAGCTAATAGCATGACCAGCTCCACAAGAAATCATACGATTCCTCCGGTGAGAGTTTTCCTAGTAGCTCCCTCAGCGTATCCAGAGGCACTAGCACGTCAACACGGAGAGCGAGAGAATCGCTGTACTTAAAAGTCAGAACGCCGTTGCAGGACTGCGTGAAGAGCTGCTTCTGCTCCGCGTATTGTAGTGAGCCGAAATACTGCTTCTGAAACACCTGTCTCCCCAAACCAGCATATACATACAAAATTATACTTGGTCCCGCTTACTTCATCCGTTCCAAACCTTGGTTATGTCTTTCACCTTGAGCTACCAGCAGATGAGGCTGGTCAAGGCTACGATCCCAACACTGAGGGAGAAGGGAGAGACCATCACGTCAATCTTTTATAAGGAAATGCTAAAAAACCACCCCGAGCTCAACAACTACTTCAACTCAGTAAATCAGGCCAACCATAGACAACCCCGAGCCCTAACATCAATCATTCTTGCGTTTGCGAGCGCCATCAACTACGACATGAGTGAACTGATTCCCAAACTTGAGCGCATGTGCAACAAGCACTGCTCCCTCGGTATCAAACCAGAGCATTACGAGGTCGTGGCCGTGTATCTCATTCGGGCATTCAAGGTGGTCCTCGGGCCAGCAATGACCCCCGACACAGAGGTGGCATGGAACAAAGCATATTGGATCCTGGCCAAGATGCTGATCGGGCGGGAGAAGCAGATATACACAGCCTTCGGGAGCTGGAAAGGATGGAAACCATTCAGGATTGAGCGCAAGGAGTCCGAGACCGACGACATCATCTCGTTCTACCTCACACCCCAGGACAAGAAACCCCCTGCCCGGCTTCCTCCCTGGGCAATACATATCTGTGCAAACGAGCCCACCACGTGTCGGGTATTTCCAATCGCGGCAGTTCTCACTTAGCGACGCACCGCACGAGAACTACTACCGCATCACCGTCAAGAAGGAGTCCGGCCATTCGGACTATCCCGCAGGCGTCATGACCAGCTTCCTCGTTGACTCCCTCAGCCCTGGTGACTTTGTGGACGTCACACACCCTGCGGGAGAGTTCTTCCTCGATACCAACAACTATTCCAGCGTCCCCATAGTGCTGATCAGCGCGGGTGTAGGTGTGGCACCGATGGTGAGCATGCTAAACACCGTGATGGACCTGCAGCCGATGCGCGAGGTCAGCTGGGTTCACGGGGCGCGGCGTATGATCCCGTTCTACAACCACATCAGGGCCGCAAAGAAGAAGATGCCGAACCTGAGGACCAACATCTTCAAGACGCACCTGGCCGAGCAGGACCTGGCCGGCGTGACATACGACTACGACTACCGCGTCGACCTCGCAAAGGTCGGTCGCGAAGACTTGTTCCTGCACCACGGGGGCACCGAGTACTTCATATGTGGGCCTGAGCAGTTCATGATCGAGATGGCAGACTACCTCAAGATGCAAGGGGTCGGCATACAACGGGTCAAGTTCGAGCTATTCAGCACTGGCGATATGGTTGAGATCAAGTGATGCTTTGGTGTGCATACATACACATGGGTTCAATCAGAGTCACGCGGGGCCGAAAGCTATCTCCCGGGGCAGGAAAACCACTGAGCCCCCGAACGGATACAAATAGACACGGTGATGGCGACAAGATCCGTCGAGGGACGCCGCTCACCTGGCAACAGAGGAAAAAGGGGCAGCTGGGAAAGATGTCACGCCAAGCACGGCCCAGGTATGACACATAACACAACGCGCTCGATTCAGCGATAAGGCATTGCTCTGGGTCGGTTAATCCCAAAAAGCTTCCGATTGGCATCAACGGTTCGAAATGGGCATTTAGGTTAATGGGGATGGGGGTCAGACGACAATCGAGCGACACTCTTACGATGTAGCTTGGAATCACGGCAATTTTTGGACTGGCCGTCGCCGGCGTCAAAAGGGTACAAAAGTGGAGTTCTCAACTGGGTAGACATTTGAGTCATTTGCTTCATTCCGTCATCCAGCAAAGTTGGCCGCATGGTGCCACTGTAAATCTACAACATCCAGAATTGAACACATGCTGTTCTAAATCATTTGGTTTAGTTGACGTGATGCACCACGCGCATGCCCACTGTCGTGCGAGATCGATTTGATCTCGGAGGAACCTGATGCTCGAGGTTAAGGCTATGATAGCATCAAGTAATGATTATCCGCCCATAAGAGAAATCGTGGACATATTTATATCAAGTAAAGATGGGAATCTGAGCTATTCTAAGATTCCTGGAGACTCTATGAGGTCAGGTCCTGATGACGTCCTTGTCTATTCAGAGGACGCACCCTTACAATAAGCGAATATCATCACGGTCCGTCAAGAGGATACGCATCCATCATTATATACTAGTATTGCCACAACGGAGTGAATCGCACTTGTGACTTCCGACAGCATGGTGTGTTGAGTCGATGGCGTAATTACTATTGAAAAGCAGACACATTTACAAAGATGGCGAACAGGTTTTGCAAATGAGGCAATAAAATAAAATGAGCGATCGGTGATCACCGCTTCAAAAACTCCCGGACTTCACGCGAACAAGGCTTCACTAGATACAACAAGACATTTCACGGGGGCGGAGGTCCCCTCCCGTCTCTCCCACCACCTGGGCGCCTGCCCGGTCCACCAGGCCGGCCGAAACCTCCCCAGTAATTCTCTCCGTCCCCTCTAACGCTCGATGAATTGGCACATCGTGGTGAGTCGTAATCCTCCTTCGTGCCGAAAGGCCACATTGGAATCATGCATACCTCGTCCACATCGCACTGTGAACAGCGCTTGAAGCGAGCCCACCCCAAGTATTCCACTAAGGAGCGGATAGTTTTCATAGCATCGGGCAGTGCGAGTGGCTCGAGACCCTCTCCATTCGTGGAGTTGTTGGTGAGGATTTCCCTTGCATCGAATAGCTTGGTGCAGATTTCTGACGTTACACTCATGATGGCAGCGTGTATGAATTTGTCGGCTTCGGTCTGGGGAGAGATGCCGTGGAGATAGACATTGGTACAACGGTTAATGGCAGACGGGATTTGGTCAGGACCCTTGTTAGAGTAGTCGATGTAGACGGTCAGGAGGTGGTTGATCTCGTCGAGCAGTTTGCTCGCCGAGCTGATCTTCTCGGTCATGTACTTGAACCTATCCGCATAACGGGCCACAATGAGATCTGTCACATCTTGCCAATCAACAATGCGGTTGTGGCTGTCGTGCTTTTCGTAAATGACGCGATTCAAGTCAGCCTTGATGGCAGCAAGTTCCGCATCAGTAACCCTGGCAAGTCGTGGCAAGTCAGGTCGCTTTGGGTCCGGGTTGGTCAGGTTCACGGGATAAAAGAACGCCGAGACCATAGACGAGAAGTCGATAGTTGTTCTGGATGATCCGATGCCATCGTAACGTTCGGAAAGGGCGCGCATGAACTCGAAGTTGCTGACGGAGCCACCTCTCCCACGGTCACCGTCCCTGGGACCCGGTCGTTGCAAAGCCGCGATCTGTTCGAGGCCATCTTTGAAATCACAGTGTATGATCTCAAAGCCGGCTTCCATGCGGATGATACCAGAGAGATCCCAGTAGTAGCACATTTCGCAGAGCTCATCAGCCCGTCTCCTTTCGTCCATTGGACCGCCAGCCCGCTTGCCCATGTGCGGTGGCTCGTGCATTGTATACGATGTGGTCCTGTCACTTCGGAGCAGGTAGTCTTGGGTGTCCAAAGTACCCATGGTATTCTTGCCGCCGCTCATTCCATCAACGTATAGGTATCGTAACGGTCGAGTCGTGCGATAGGTATGAAGCCATCCACCCTGTCCTTCCGCGTCGTCGATGGCGTCTGACGACCCGGAAGAGTGATCATCGACCATCGTGTGTTGCGATTTGCCTTCATCCCTAATTCGTACCAAGTCGAAGCGACTTGGTGCCATGAGCTTCCTAGACGGTAGCTCCTTGTCGTCATCCGCGGACGGATGATGACCGTCACCAGGAGGAGGCCGTCCGCGACCGGGAGGACCTCCCCCCGGGGGTCCCCATCTCCCGCGCGCGAAACCCTCGGCGTGCTCTATTTCGTATGCAAGCCACTCTGGGCCGTCTGGTGATCTTTCGTTATCGTTGCCGTGATGGAAAATCACGCCCTCGGGCACTGTGGCCAGATAAAAAGACATGCCGTTGTGGTGAAGAGACGAGCCCCATTGCCTCATAGCGTCGTTGATGGCGTTGAAAATCTGGGGTCCACGGCTTTTCGCAACATCCTGACTTGGACCGAAGCCCTTTGCCAGAGGAGGATCGTTTATCGCTGCGTGGGTGAAGCTCGAGGCGGCGAGCGCCGCGGCCAGAATCCGAGATGTCATGGTCCTACCAGAGCTCTCGACCACCTTGGGAGAAAAATACTCGCAGCGGAACAATATCAAGATGGCAACCACTTTAAAGGCATGAAAAAGGACGGGACACAACCGGAAGGACGGGGCACACGGATTTAATCTTCGGGAAAGTGTTTCAAGTGTTCAGCCCATGAATCACTGTCTGTCTCAAGCAAAGTCATGTCCTCCCCTTCTGTCGTTTTGACTTATGCTCCCCCGCTCCGCTCCAAAATCTTAAATCCTCTCCAAAATCTTAAATCCTCTTAACATGAGCTGTTAGATTCTAACCACTGCACTATATCAAAAGGAACATGCTTTAATTAAGCGAAAAGTACAAGGTACTTATAAATCTAACATACCCCCTTAGCTTAAGAAAACTTCTCAATAAAGAACTTTTAAGCTAGATAAATATATTTATAATTTATTTCCCGTTTTAATAACTTAATGTTATAATGCTAAAGGACTATGCTTGAGACAGACAGCAGAAGTCGCACGGGATCGCCCTGGGACGCGCGGCCACGCACGATTGGTCGCCAGCGGCGGTCGCCCGATTACACATCGCCGAAACCCACCGAGCCGAACGGAAGGGACAGGATCTAATCTTATCTTGTCGAATCCAGCGTAGCTGAACACCCCCGGTCTGCACGATGGCCGATGGGTATACATTGATCTCTTCCCGCTCGGGTAAGGCCCGACGGGATTAATCTTGTTCGGTGCGGTTCCGAGCATCATGTTTTAACACGGAATCTTGCGGCCAGACTCCAGTAATTTCTTAATTCAGTGGAAAGATAGGAGACGGCAGAGATCACTTTATGGAAGAATTCGGGCAAGGTTAGTCGGGGAGTCGCATGTCCCAAGGCATTCACGCAGTCTGTCTGGGGCCAGTTGTCACGCCTAGAGTGAAGCCAAGTGGACAATAATATGATCCGGAGATCGAGTCTTTGGTTGCTTCGATTGGAGGGTGGGTATCACAACCCAAAAACATTTAACCACATTAAGCATAGATCATGTGACGTGACGAGACGTCTCGACTCCAAATTCGTTTCCATCCTCGGGCATTCTGAATGTCTGCTCTCTATTACTCGTATTCACAAGACCGTTCGATTGAAACAAACCTAGAACAAAGTCCAGTCACTACCTCATCAGCAATGCCCGACTCAGAACCTTTCAAAGTCATCATAATCGGCGGTGGGCCAACCGGTCTGGCCCTGGCACACATGCTCCATCTCGCAAACATCGATTACAGACTCTACGATAAACGTGAGAATATCTGCGAGCGCCATGGAGCGGGACTTGCTATCCAGCCACAGAACTGCCGCATACTGGAGCAGCTTGGCATCCTTGATCAGGTGTTCGAACAGAGTCTGGCGCCAGAGATGCAGGTGCACCGCGAAGTCAGTGCTGATGGAGCAGTGCTGGCTGAGTATCCTTTTTTCCAGTGGCTCAAAGAGAACCATGGCTACCCTATGATGCTTTTTGAACGGTGGCAGTATATCAAACTCTTATACGACACGCTACCAGACTGTGAGAGCCGTGTGTTCACCGGAAAGACGCTGCAGTCGCTGTGGATGGTTGGAAATGGATCAGTTCGCGTGAGGTTCACGGATGGCTCGGAAGAAGAAGGCTCAATCGTGATTGGCGCTGATGGTGTATACAGCAAGGTCAGGGGTTGCATCATTCAGCACGCACCGAAGCATGTCTTCAAGCATAAGCCCTACAGGATCTCTTTCAGAGCGTTGTACGGCGTTGGCACTCTTCCTGCAGGGATGAATCCTGGTGTGGTGCGAGAGATTCCTCACCAAGGGTGGTGGTTTCAAATAATGACCCAGCCTCAACGGATATTCTGGATGCTTTATCAGTCCCTAGACCGACCATTAGAACGACCGCTTTTCTATGGCGAAGAAGAGGCAGAGGCTCTAGCTGCAGAACATGCAGACTGCCCTGTTGGAGAAGGCTTGAACTTGAGACAAATCCGGGCTTCAAAGACGTTTGAGAAGCTCGCCGTGCTGGAAGAGGGAGTTGCGGCAAAATGGTACTGGAAGAGAATTGTACTCGTTGGAGATGCCGTACACAAAGTGGTAATTATCTATCTCCTGGCATTTCATCTCCTACACACCGAGACTTACATTAAAGCAGACGCCAAATCAAGCCCATGGCGCTAATATTGGTCTCGAATCAGCTGCCTGCCTCGTTAATCGTCTGCGGTCTCTGTTGAACCTCAGCACAGATCCAACTGAGACTCAGCTCGAGCAGGTCTTTGACGCATATCAGCACGACCGAGCACCTATGGCATCAGCCTATCTCAAGCGGACCTCATTCCATCTGCGTGCATTGGCAGGAGTCGGACTGAGCCCGTGGCAAAAGTTCCAGTCACAATATCTCTTCCCAAGGTTGGGTGCGAGGTGGATACTTGATCATCATATTTCCCCGCTGCAAGCACAGGGAGTCAAACTGGATTTCGTCGAGTCCGAAAGTGCTCATGATGACATACTATTTCCATATCAGGACACAGAGCGAGCTAAAGAGACTGATCAACATGCCAGCCAGGCACGATAGGTGATCAATCGGCTCTGCTTCGATATCAGCACCGAGGTCTGCCGAAGCGCTCATCCCCCAAATGTGTCACCTCCGCCGTCCAGAAATGCTTGTTCATCCGGCGTCATTTGCCTTCCAAGCGGTCCGTTGCGGTGCGGATACCTCCCAAATTTGTCGATGATGTTCTTGTGCCTAACCTCGAATTGCAGCTGGCTCTCACATAGCTTGACTGCAGCGTCCCTGTTCGACGCCATAATGGCCTTGCACTTCACCAGCTCTTGATAGTGATCGCCTGCACCATCTTCAATGTCTTTCTGGAGGATGTCAGCATCCTTAGCGTCGTTCGCCATGCTCTCGATCAGCTCGACCGCCTCCTGGTGCATCGCACGGTCTTCAGAGTGCATAAAAGGCATGTTAAACCACAGTCTGTGCCCGATGCGATATCTCACGAGCGGGTGCCTGTGCACGCCAGCCGCAGTGGCAGCTTGAGCGATGTGTTGCGCGACGGGGTCGAACACGGTGAAGACAATCTTGGACTCGTCTCCTCTGAAAATGTTTCGCGACATTTGGTCAAGAAGGATGATAAGCTGGATCCACCCCAGCGGGCTGCTTGGCTGTACCGCATGGAGTATGGCTTCTCCAGTGACCTTGAGAGACTCGATCTGCTCAAGTGACCGGCGGAATTTGGCTCTGTGGGGTTTGTCAGGAGGTATTATTCAGGATGGCGCTGGGCGTTGGGCTTAGCCATGTGGTGGTGAGGCCCAGGTAGCACTCACGAGCATAACTGATCGAAAGCTTCATCTTTCCGGAACCATTGCATCATGGTGTCTTGAGAAGGTACCACCAGATCTTGCTCATTTGCGATGTGCTGGAACCAGATAGTGCTCAGTTCTTCGAGCAAGGTACGCGGCAGAAGAGCTTGTACTTGCTCCGACGGCGCGGTGTCAACCATTGTGGTCGATGATGCGGATCTTCTCTGTGTTGTTGACTGGAAATTCGTCCGAGTAAGCCCAGGGAGAACCTGGTACTTCGAATCCTTCGACACAGAGGGCTCGTGAGCCACCCAGCTACGAGTCAAGGGAGCGCGACTAACACCCGCGACAGATGAGTAATGGTGGCGGGGCTGGAAATGCTGGCGAAGTAGAGCAGTCCGGTTGAAATCGCGCAAACACAGACGTCGGCACGGCTCCATCAGCTTTTCGACCGACCGACTCAACGTGATGGCAGACATGAGAGCTGAGAATGGATGCAAGTGGCATTGTCAGCTCAGGTGACCCGAGAACTAAGAATTAAGGGATCTTGTCAGTGGTTCATGGGGGCGTGACGTTCTTGACTCAGGGGGCTTCAGCACTAAGAGCGATGCGGCGATGGCGCCGCCCGGCTGAGACGGAGCGCCTGATTGCTGACAAAGGCATCATGTTCTCGGACAGGAACGGAGGCCGTTCGCTGTGCCCAGGACTTGTCAGAATTTCTCGACGTTCATCGTGCCCCACAATGTCAGAAAATACCAAACACTATGATTCGACTGCGGTATCTGAACTGTCTGTAAGCCACCCATATTGCTAATCAGCCTCTTTCCCGAGATTCCTGAGACTTGAAAGTCAAGCAACACTTGGAGACGGGTCCCTCGTGGGTCCAACTCCAGAGCTGCCTGGTCTGTATCAGACGCAAAGGCTGCTTTGCGTCCTCCAAAAAAGCCTTGTGCAACAATGATCCGATGATTGTTATCCAGAGAATTCCCCCAATGAACGACTCCTGAAGAGATCCAGTCAGAGCGAGTGCCGCAACGAGTACCACGACTCGCCCTTGCATGATGATGCCGATCAGTTAGAGCAGTCGACAAAGTCCTAAAGACTGGGGCTCTTCTGGCTGTTCTCAGCCTTGATCTTGGCATCAGGTTCGACATCAACAGCCTTCTCAGCAGGGCTCTCCTCAGCAGTTTCCTCAGCAGGGCTTTCCTCAGCAGGGCTTTCCTCAGCAGGGCTTTCCTCAGCAGACTTCTCCACCAAAGGATTCTCCCTGCAAGGACCCTTGTCAGCAGCGCGCTTCTCATCAAGTCGCTGCTCCGGTAGGCCATGCTTTCGGTAGCCGCGTGGATTTTCCATCCACTTGTCCACCTCCTGAACGGCTCGTCGAGGCTCCACCCTGAACTCCTTGAAATACTGCTGAAGGAGGGCGGGGCTGAACTCCCGATCGTGAATCTTAGCTCCAAATTCGTCCGCCAAGCGCTTGATGTCGTCCTCGGTCCAGTCCTCGACATCGGGCTTGCCAGGCTCGTAGGGTATCCAGCGCTCTCCCGAGTAGATGTTGATGAACATGTCAACGGCTTGTTTCTTGGTCACATTGGTAAAGGTGACGATGACGTCGGCGCGGCCGGTCCGGATCAGTGCCTTATCGAGCGTCTCGATGTGGTTTGTGGTCATGATGAGAATTCGCCCTGGGAGAACAGCATGTCAGTAACTATTGCCTTTGTGCATCCAGTAAATGCTATCAAATTCAAATACCAAGCTTACCTTCCGCGGCTCCAACGCCGTCGATTGCATTTAACAGTCCAGAAAGTGTGACAGTGTTCTTCTTTTCCTTTTCTCCTTCCTCGCTATCATCATCAGTCGGAGTCTTAATTGGGACACCAGCTCTGGTGAGAGGTTTAGTACTAGTAGCGTCTACATCTTCCAGTAGTAAAACGAAGTGAAAAGGTATACAGGCAAACAGCTCTCCAACACCCTTATCTGTCAGATCAGGTAGCGAGAGACTGAGTACATAGCATGGGAGGCCGAAGTGTCCAGCAAGCGCAAAGGCGAGGGATGATTTCCCCGTGCCAGGTGGTCCGCTGAAGAGATACTCTAGTCGTCTGGAAGAAAGAATTTAGCGTGCTGACTTGGGCAGGCAGCCGTGTCTTTGGTATCATGTATAGAGGCTTACAGAGGAAGCCCCATTTGTCTGTACCAACGCACACCGGCAGAAGACAGAAAGAATCTGACCTGCGCCATGAGGGTTTCCATTTGATTGCGGTCTATGATCACCGTGCGAAGAGGCCGCTTGGGACGATACCGGTTCACATTCCAGAACCATGGATAGGGGTGACCATAGGGGGGCATTGGGAGACAAATTCTCGTGTGTTCTGAGAATTCGTCATTGTTCTGCTTGTCGATCATCTTCAGCAAACTCGTCATGGGTTCTGGAAGAGGAGCACGTCAGTCATCTGTCAGATTCCAGACAATGCACTGCATGGAGGACCAATTTCTTCTTTTCTAGCCATGTAGATTCTACACGGGGAGGAAGAGCAAGGCAATGAATGCTCCAGGGCCAAGAGTTTCGCCTGGTGGGGTTGAGGGCTGGGTTGAATGCATGCTCATGCTGAGATTCCAAGTGAAGCAGTAGATGTCCAAATAAATGTCAGGAACGTATTTCCCATCAGTGGAAAGCTTTGTTTCGTGGCGGGTCCTCAACCAAAAATATGCTCCTTCGTGCCAAAACTCAGTCGCATCAATCATTGGGTCGAGAGACAGACTGCAGGTAATTAGAATGAATTGTCAGTGTGGAATGAGTTCTTCGCATCGCCACGGAGCCGTGCTCAAACGTCTGTGACGGAGTAAAATTACTCACTATGTCGTCCCCCTTGATCTTCCGGATGTCATCAACTGAGTCCATCCCATCCTTATTGAAATCGATGCCATTGTCACCAAGGCCATTGAGAGAAGTGGTCTCAGATGCCTGAAAACGTATGCCGTCCCGGAGATTTGGGTTCTCCTTCACCCAGTTGTAAACTTGGCCGTAGGCCGCACATTCCCTTGGTATTGAACACATTGTATGCCAGTTTGAAAGAATTATAGCTCGTAGGGACTTCCAAACTGTAAATCCCAAGTAATATAGCACTGCAGCAAACATTGCAACCCCGAAGAGAATGCCATACCATGAAGACAGGAAGTTTCTGATGATGGCGTCCTTGACCCAGCGTTCATTCCGTAAAATGAAATGCTCAAGAGGGGGTACATAAGATACCATAGAGCGCCAGTTCATCAGGACTGGCCACAGAGCAACTGAGGACAGACCCAGGGCTCGTAGCGAAGTGATGATATCGATAGGAGACATGTTGCCACATAGGTCTTCTGTTTCCCGATCAAGCGTTAGAAGGTTTTGTGATTGTCGCTTCTCTTTTCCTTGTGCCGCGCAGGATAAGATGTTGGGAAAGAAAAGAAAGTGAAGAATTTCCACCGTCAGCGGTTGAAGCTTTTTGAACCCTGGTTGAGACCGGCACCTTCTCCTTGTCACTGATCCTTGGTGAGAAGGCCTTCTTACCCCGCCAAAGACAGGACAATTTCGACACAATCACTTGGCTGAGTCCGACATATTGTTCAATAGACTAGATAGCAACCGCCAAGTCAAGCTGCACTCCGTCACAGGGGCCTCTCATCACAGCACATTACTGATTTTATATGGGTGGAGCTTTTTAGGTCGGTCTCATTGTCACCTGGGCATGTGACCAGATATCTGCAAACAGACATCCAGGCTGGCTATCACTCGACTGAAGTTTGATTGACTGTGAGAATTCATGCGCTCCCCTTAATTTTTTTTTTTTTTTTTGGGGCTCACCTTTTCATATCGTTTACCGCGTTTCCCTTGCCACGAACTGTGAATACTTCCTCAGTGGTTTGGAAGGGCCCTGCCAAGATTAATGTGGGGGCGGGGCCAGTTCTTGACCACTGCAATGCATGCAGCTAGCTCACTGCCATTTCTGCACTTTCCTTTAACAACAACTCTCCCTCTCCTACCCTTATCTGATCTCTCGCACCAGAGTGCAACACACGAAAGCTAGTCAGAAGGATCACCATGGAGGGCATGCAAAAGCTCCCTCTGGAGCTTCGTGAGGCCGTATGGAAAGAATGTCTGCCAGACCCAGCCACCTCAGAGGTCTACTTCTATGACCGCAGCCACTTTGGACCGGACTCAACGACAGGCGGAGACGACAAAGCAGGGAGCCTTGCCAGGTTCAAGGTGGTTGTAGACTATCCTGTCATCCTGCATGTCAGCCACGAGTCTCGTTGCTTCGCTCTGAGAAGCGGCATCTCCTTCCAGTGGTTTCGGCGGCGGCTGCCCCGGCCGTCCACAGAGGCTGCGGCACAGTCGAATCACGTGCTACTCCCTTGTCGACAATACCGGCCGGAGACTGATATCTTCTTCCTTACTGAGGATGTCCTTGGCGACATGTTGGAAGTTGACGATCGACAGCGCAATGATCCTGCTGGCGTCTTCCAGAGCATTCGCCACCTGGCAATCGGGTCGTGGCACTTAACGGATGACGTGGCCATCGACTTCTGGCAGGCCGACTTCCTTTGCGCACTTCCCTCCCTGCGCCTTGTTTCGGTCGTGTTCGACCACTACTGGGGCCTTGATGCGTCAAAAGACGTGGAGGGGTTCAAAACCTTCCGCCATTTCAGGCTGGCCCCTTACACCTGCGATACGGCCATGATTTGTCCTGGTTCTGAGGAGGAGGGGCTTGACTTCATCCCGGAGCTGGGCCTGAGGATTGTGCCCGACTTCATAAGAGATCTCAACGACCGGCTATCTTCGGTCCAACCTCACGAGGACAACGCTCCATGGAACGCAAAGATGGATGGATGGTTATTCAGATTCTTTGCGAAGAAATTCGTTCTGGCTTATGGATAGATACTTGCAGTGGCTGCAATGGCCTATATACAGTGGTTCATCTCTACCCCGGGAATGGCAAAACAGCAGGGCTCTTCTTCCCATCTGCCCCCACTGCCCGAATGCCAAATTGGACAGCATCCTTCGGCAAGTTCACCGTCACAGTTCCCACATTGCCGACATCAAGGCTCCGCGACCACTGCAATGCACCGCTGGGCCTCCATACAAGCTCATAACTCGCCACCAACGGGTCGTTGCCCGTCGCCCAGTTGAACTGGCTATCATTGCCTACTACATCCAGCGGCGTCTGTTCGCTGGACGCCGGGAAGCCAACAACCTGCGAGACGGTCACGTTCTTGGGAAACGCCGGCGCATTCGCGGCACTCCACATACTTGCCAGGTTGACCCGAGCGACACGAGCCGTGTAGTCGAAATCTACATACTCGACCAGGTCACCGTACTGGACCCCGTCCTGGACTCGCACATTCTGGTGCTGGTGAGTGAAGTCCTCCACTGCCTCGGTGAAGCGGATGGCAGGGAACCCCTGGGCCAGGAAGGACTGGTGGTCGCCGCCTCGGAGGAAGCGATCCGGGCGGTAGATGAGGGCGACTTGCATGTCGACCTGCTCGGCAGCACCCGCTGCGACCTCGGCGATGAAACGGCCTAGGTTGCGCGCAGGACTGTCATTTTCATATCCGATTTGACCGATGCGCTGCGTGTATGCCGCGGTGCTCGCGTTGGGGTACAGGATGCTCGCGCCGAACAGCCGGACCGTGTAGTTGTTGATGGGCGAGAAGGGCGAGAAATGTCCCGTGCCGACGATGTCGTTGTTGAAGTTGGCCTCGACGTTGTAGCCCTGCGCCTTGAGCGTCTGGGCAAGGTGGGCGCTCCCGAAGAGGGACTGCTCCTCTCCCGCCACGGCGGCGAAGAGCAGGGTTGCCGCGGGCTTGAGCTTGGCTAGTACACGCGCCATTTCCATCACTACCGCCACCCCGCTGGCATTGTCGTCTGCACCGGGCGCGTCGTTCGTGTAGTCTGACACGTCGAGCCGACGGCTGTCGTAATGGCCAGTCACCACGTATACGCGGTTGGGGTCGACAGTGCCGTTGATGCGCGCCACGACGTTGGTGATATTGACGGGGAAGGGGACCCTGTTTGCGACGGGCTGGATGTAGCTGTTGAAGAAGACGTCCATGTTGCCATCAGACTCCGCGGCAACATCCTGCAGCTGGTTGAAGATCCAGTCGCGCGCGGCTCCGATCCCGCGCGTCGACGAATTCTGGATCGACAGGGTATGTCTGGTGCCGAAGTTGGCCAGCGTCGTCACGATGTCCTCGACGCGGGACTGGTCGATGGCTGCGATGGCTTCAACGAGCTGGGAGTCAGGCTTCTGAGGCGCGAGTGGCTCGCCGAGATCCGTGACCGGCCAGCTCGCGTCTGCGCACGACGCCCATTGTTGTTCTGGTGGGCCGTAGAGACTGCCGGGCAGATCTAGCCATGCTTGTGCCGAAATAGCAGGCAATGCTGCCAGCTGGAGCAGCCCTGTGACAAAGACGTGGGAAAGCATAGCGGCTACTCGAGTCCAGTTGAGCGCTTGGGTGTGTCAGGACCTGGCGCAGACTTCCAGGCCTCGAAGGCAGGGCTCTCTTATTTATCCATCATATAATCTCGCCATTTCCTTGCATGACGATATTGACCCGCTCATCCTTGTCGTCGATCCGCTCTACCGGTATCTAGCCATGGCTTTGGAAGCTCAAAACATAGAGGGCCAAGGTCGCCAACGCCCGTTGCATGCGGGGTCGATAAGTCTAGGGCAGTTCCGAAATAGGCAGGTACACAACACTGCAGAGGATCGTAACGTGCAACGGCAAAGAGTATGACGGCATGCAACTTTTCTAAGAAGGGTGTCTCCTGATACCCAAAGTGATCTTTGGATACAGCGAAGCAAGACGAGTCGTCATGATACAAACTCGCACATAAACGTGCAAGTAGCTTGATTGTGGACTGTCGCACAACCAGTAGCTTATCAAAGCCTGCTACGCCTGTATGTCTTTTTTTTTTTTTTTTTTTTTTTTTTTTTTGTTGTTGTATTACAATACGGAGACTCGCACCTGCAAAAACGGAGGTACACCGGTACATCGCCAGCACTAAACCACATGAGAATTTACACACCCAACATCCACACCCAATTCACCTACCCAATACTTACAAGTTAAACTAAAATTAGGAGTATAGATTAGCCCTGCGTATATTAATTAAGACTAAGTATGTGGATTAGGTGTGCGTGTTGGGTGTGTGCGTCGGTGTTGGCCCGGTGTGCGAATTTGGCCTCGGTGATGTGCTCTGGTTCGGCTGCAGCTACGGCACGAGTCGACGTACCGGTACACCCTCCGTTTTTGCAGGTGTGAATCTCCGTATTCTACATCTTGATCTTGTGTGTGCATTCTCCATTCACCAGCGTGTCACAAGTGCGACTGTCATCACGAGGGAATCGAGTAGGCACAAAGTACTGGCAAATGTTTGAGAAGCCTAACTGCAGTGTAGGTGTTGCCTTCAGGCAGCGACCAACCCGCCCACATAGTGCTATCCATGGATCCAAATGTATTCCAACTCCTTTACCACCTCGAAATGCCCGAGAGTGTCACACCTGGCGGACACAATAGCGGTCCTGCATCCCATGTGCGGCTTCGCCCTCAGCGAAGCCATGGACCCCGCGGGGTGCACTAAAGTATGTTACAAGAAATTCGCTCTTGTAATCAAGTCGTCGTATCGCTCAGATGCGGTAACAATCCTCTTCATAGTGCCAGTGTCTTCAGAGAGCCCTTTGTAATTGTTTGATGTCTACTCGTCCAACAGGAAGACGTTGTGCTCAAGGGCACGAGCATTGATCTATGAATGAGGGGGTCAGCCACCCATCAAAGCTCAAACGGAAGTGTCCAGAACAGAATGAAGAAGCACTTACCACCTTGCTGCTCACGTTGCGCAGATCAGTCACGCCGGCCTGGGCACCGTCATGGATAGTCTCGTTCTTGAGGATCTGGATCGCCTTCCTAACGCCGTCGACGCCGAAGACGTTGGCAAACATGAAGGGCCGTCCCATACCAATCATCTTGACGCCCAGGGCGAGCAGCTTCAGGACGTCGGTGCCGTACCGGATGCCCGAGTCGGCCATGACCTCGACGTCCGTGAACACCTGCGGCGCGTTGCGGTGGATCTCGTAGGCGATCTCGAGCGACGACGGGCTGTGGTCCAGCTGGCGGCCGCCGTGGTTGCTGATCCAGATGGCGGGCGCGCCCTTCTCGACGGCCAGCAGGGCGTCCTCGACTGTGGTGATGCCCTTGGGGATGACGGGCAGCGAGGTGTGGTTGCGGATCTCGTCGTACAGGTCCCAGGTGAGCGCCGACGTGACGCTGTTGGCGTTGGTGGTGTCGTAGCGGGCCGCGCGGTGGCGGGTCGAGTCGCCGGGCGCGTCGATGGTCCAGACGAAGGCCTTGACGCCGGCGGCCTCGGCGCGGGCCATGTTGTCCCAGGTCACGCTCAGGTTGACATTGGAGTATATCTGTTGGAAGACGACCTGCTGGCCGTTGAGGGTGCCGTTGTGCTTCTGCGCTTGGATCTCCTCGATCGTCTTGGAGGCGTAGAGAGCCGCGACATACAGGGTCTCCTCGGCCGCGCTGGCGTCGACGAAGTTGAGCTCCGCACGCTCTGGGTCACTGTAGCCCGCGCGGGCTGCGGGCGAGATAAAGAAGGGTGCTGAGAAGTTGTAGCCCAGGAAGGTAGTTGGGAGCGTCTCGTTGAGCTTGGAAACATCGTTCAGCTGGCGGGGCCTGAACTTGACCTGGCTCCAGATCTCCAGGTTGTTACGGTATGACCACTCTCCGCCGTTTCCGGTGCGGTAGAATGAGTACTTCTGGTTGTCAAGGTAGTGCTCGGCAGCCCAATCAAAGTCGGGAATGCCTCGCATGTCTTTGAGCTGTGGAAGCTCGCCATCGCTGTAGTTGGCGCTGTAAAGGTAGGTCTCGAGTCCCGTGTCTGGCTCTTCGAGGAACGGCCGCTCGGCCAGGACCGTTGCGACGAGGAGGCTGATTTGAAAGAGTGAACGCATTTTGTTAATGCTTGATGTATATACAAGCGAAAGAATGTAGTTTCGGGACGAGCCTGGAGCAGAGGATCTCGGGATAGCCTGCCTGAGAACCCGGCCTCCTAGGCTGCCTTATGAACCTTTTACAAAAAAAAAAATTTGTCCCTGATCGCAATCATGCTTATGGCCGTCGCGCACCGCCCGGCACTCGCTTGCTTGCAAAGCATTATCAATCTGGCCCACGTCATGAGTAATGCACGAATGGATCCCGTTATTTGCTCTCATCCATTCTCAGTCCCACGATGCTCTGTGAAGTGGCTTCCTCTGGGCCCCTTAATCGGTGCCTTGCATGACTTGCACGAGGCTTCACAGCAGCCCGATTGGGCAATCCGAGGCGTACGGCCCCGTCAGACTTGGATGCGGCAGGGTGGCGGTGGATTCCACAAGACCGGAAACGGCCTATGAGAACATTGTTGCGAAGGGCGAGGACGGAAAGGCTCATCTCGACGCCGAGTTAACTTCCTACATAAGCTTAATTGGGATCCACGACGATGCTACCCAATGATTGCGGCTTCCTTGGCACACCTGTCGCCAGGGTATGCCTGATCCTTCTCACCATGTGAGCGAGCTCGGATGCGGGAGACCTGCATGATTGGTTATATCTTACTGCTTGAGCGTGGGATGACCCAGTGCCACGATGCTCTTGGCAATTACCTGAGATATGCGTATTATATGCGGTGCAGAAACACAGGATAATCGATAGGAAGTGTGGTGAATTTTTGTTTCGAAACAGCCAGGGATCCTGGTCGATTATCTTTCGCGAGCCCCTGTATTTCTCGGCTGGACTCATCAACCCGGAACGGCGAGTATCTCGCCAAAGCTTGTAAAGGGCTCGCTGATCCCATGATGCCATCAGCCCTGCCCGGCCTTCGGATGATTGCCGGACACCCTTGAGACGATCCAGAACCAGGGAGCCTGCCCAGGGTCAATAACTCTACGCGATCGGGTAAGCACTATGAGGTGCATGCCGTCGGGTTGCATTACGCGGAAGCTAGAATCGTTCCGACGGAAGATGAAAAAAGTCGACTCGGTCACTCGGTGACTTACTCGTGAACATAACCACATCACAGTTTGTGACGCCAGAAAGAATGCGCTGCGAGCTTGAGCATCATGCACGTGTGATTAGATCTGATTAGATTGTGACCAGCATCGAGATATCTGCAGCTAACTATCCCCTGCCGGACAACCTTGCCTCTTCTGTCGGCGCCAGCCCCAGGTCGAGTCCCAAACCCCATTGTGTCAGGTGTGGGTGAAGGCATCATTCCCCGTTATACCCACCACTCTTTCCGGGCCACCAATCACAATTACAATTGGTTTCGCTACAGCTTGTCCGTTTACGTGATTGAATCCAATTTGACGACCTGTGTCTGACTCATTGGCCATTTCCACCGATATAGGGCCGGCCTTGCTCCAGAGGGTTGATGAGATTCCGGTGAAGGACATATGGATCATTACAGACGTTTGCATTAAATATGGCAGATTCTCTTTTTATGTTGATCTAATCATGTATAGACCACATACCTAAGTCTAACAAATCACAGAATAACTAATGGAGAACTTGCACATTCTGATACATTTGATACACTTGGCACAGTCAACATGAAGCAAAAGGTCCAAAACACCTGATTAATCCATTCCATGACTCCCTTGAATTTGGAGTGTGAGATGAAAACTGTTTCCAGAACACAATAAGTACTAAGGTCACAATTCGGACATAAGGTAAGCTCGAGACCCAAAAAGGGTGGAGATGGTAATGTAATCCGAAACATTTTTTGAAATACTCAGTCAGTACACACAAAGGAGGACGGCTGAAGGTAGTGAACATTGAATGAACTCAAGAATAGAAGAGGATTATCATCCGAAACAACCGTTCAAAGTTCTAAGGAGGAAGTGCGAAATAGTCCGTCCACCCTGCATCCATGGATCCTCGTTTGATAACTAAAAGCCTCTCCTGGAACTCTGGGTATGCAAGTATCTGATACATCGATGTCTTAAACCACCCCGGGTTGCGAATACAGCCAGCACTCATTGGAGTGTCTTGATGGGGATAGTACATATACGATGAAGCTGTCAACAATGAAAACAAGTTGCGGGTAAGTGTGTGGCTCTTCTATTTCAGTATTACAAGCTCAGTGTCAAGGTCTAGCCGTTCCGATCGCGCCGGAATCTGTTGGAGATTTGAAATGCGGTTCGTTTTTGAGATATTTCATGTGGAGAGGGACACAAATTTGAGGTACGTGGATTGAACAGATTATCGCACTGGTTTGGGATGAGCGAACACAAGACCATTCCCAGAGACGGATGAGAAGACAGCATACGCTCGGTAGTCATCCTTGACAACGAGATGTGACCTTGAGTCAAGTCTCTTTTTCAAATTGAACCATACATAAGTCCGAAAGTGGTATGTATCAATTTGGTTGATGTGAAATCACATTGGTATCACTGCCACTCAAGCAAGCACATCGCACCTTCGCCAGGTTCCCACAAAAGCAGAAGAACGTCCAAGAAAATTCGTCGGGTCCCATGACCTTCGCTCAATCATAAACCCCTGTCCACAGCTGACACCATCGGGTCATTTACTTCTTGATCTCACCCAGCTTCTCCGCAGCGGCGAACTGGGACTCGACGGGGAGGTTTTCGTTGTGCATGGCGCTGCGCCTCGTCAGTAAGATGGTTCTTGTGGTAGGGGCAGTTGGAAGGGCCGAAGACGTACCCCTTTAGGCCAGCCTCGACGTGATCGAGGTCCTTGGTCTTGTTGCCGTCCACGATGACTATGGATGGACAGGTCAGCATGCTGAGAAACACATCAGGGAGGGTGCAGCGGTCGGCTGTGGGCTTCAGTGAGCTAGATGGGTGTCGGTTCTTACTGTTGAAGTCCTCCTTGAGGACCTCCTTGGAGTGCTCCTTGGCCTCAGCAGAGGTGTTGGGGTTGTGCAGGTTGGCCTTGTGGCCGCCGATGACCTGAGCTTCAGAAGCCATGTTTGCGATGGAAATGATCTGGTGGAGATGTAGTGCCTTGTCTTGATTTCGCACTGGTTGGTTTGATGCTGAGAGCGTGTCAGAGACTTGACGGAGATGGTGGGAAATGGAAAGATGAGGAGCACGAAAAGTTGCAGTCTGGGCCTTTTTGAAGTGGACTGTCCTGACCTTTTTATCGAACAGTCATTTGCTCTGGTCACGGTTCCCTGTGCTCGCACCTTCCATTGTCTTTGATACTGAGCCCAACGTGCAGCGGTGCTGCCTTGGACTGACGTCACTTGTTTACATGCGAAACGGGCAGGAGCAGCAGACTGCTCTGCTGCTTCAGACAGCAGCTGCTTGGTGTGACATAACAAATGTGAAAATGACGTCCATCTGGGCGACACAAAGCTCTCCAGCGTCCCCAATCATGTCAGCGTTTCCACGGGCCTCAGAGGTCTCCCTTGACGGTTGTCCGAGTGAAGAAGCAGAAGTTGCCATTCTGACGTCCCTTGTGGTCTCGCAGCCTGGGATCGACACCCACAGTCACACAAGTGCGGCTTTTGATTGGCCGTCTGCCTGCTCGTAAACAAGAATGGGGTCGCGTTTGACGTGGCGTAAGAGGCGCCATCGACGGGATGACATCTGCACGTCAATGCGCTCCCCTGCCGCCCTTGTCCTCCAGTGTCGATCAGGGTCTCTTGACCAGGATCTGTATTCCATCCTGAAGTAGGCCACGTCGCGTTGTTTTATTACGGTGTACAATATACACATCGGGAAAGTCAGGACGCGATTGTGACGCGACATCACGTTAGCAGGCGATGCTTGTGTGGCGAGAAACAACTTCAACGAAGCCTCGTAATTTCAAAAGTCAGTGCAATCTCATTCCCATTCTGGAATCATACTGTACAATCTTCCTATCCCAGACGAGCACATTCTCTCCGCCAACCGCTCTTGATGAGCCGCCAAAATTACTTTCAAACATTAACAGGGTTCAGATGCACATGCAACGGCCCTTTGTGCCACAGGAAGTCGGCCCTCTGCTTCTCCATCCAGTCATGCTCAGGCTCTGCCAGCTCGATGTCGAAATTGAAGATCATGCGTGCCAGAACCAGGCGCATCTCTGAATATGCTAGGGCTCTTCCCAAGCAGTTTCGCGGGCCTATATTGAAGGGCTGCAGTAGATCGAGGCGGTCGTCCGAATGTGCACCATTCGAATTGTTGTATCTCATGTCTCCAGCAAAGCGAGGCCCTCCGGGAGTCTCCTGTAGGAATCGCACTGGTCGGTACTCCATGGGCTTCTCCCAGTGCTTCGAGTAATGGAACATGGGCCAGTGCCACACAGCCACGTCTGTCCCTCCGGGTACCATGTGGCCGGCGATCGTGACGCCGCCCGATCCCGCGGGAACGGTCCGAAGTGGCCCGATGGGAACAGGTGGGTAGAGGCGCAGGGCCTCGTCCAGGCAGGCGAGTAGGTACTTCAGCTCGAGGACTGAGGTGAGTGTGATTTCTGAGTCCGACATGAACTTCGATCGGACCTCCCGCTTCAGCTTGACCATTGCCTCAGGGTGCTTGCATAAGAGGTAGGTCAGACCGGTCAGTAGGGTCGCTGTGGTTTCAGAGCCGGCGATCAGTAGAGCGGCTGAGTTCCCGAGGATCTCATCGTCCGACAGGTTCTAGAAATAAAAGATCGGTCAACACAAATTTCCGAGACATTACAACGGTCAAAACATGAAAGAGTTCTCACCCAGGCATCCATCTTCTGCAATATCTTTTCTACAAGATCTGGCTCTGCCATATTCACTGCAGGTCTTCGGTCAAATTCGCGTTCAAATCTTAAGTGGCTTGCCGCTCTCAATCCAGTTGAATCGAAAGCAGCTCTTCTGTTCAGCATTTGGCAAGCCCTGTGGGCGAGCGAGTGTGACGAACCAAATCGGGGGTTTCGGAGCTACTTACAGCTTACCCTGCGGACAACCTTTTCAGTGCTCACTTTCAAGTCTGTACCGTCCAGCGAGAAATTCTTAGTCGTTTTCTAATGCTTCCACTAAGGAGGATGGAATTTCGCTAGATGGTAGAGTTCAGGGTGGGTACGTACGATGTTTGCGGTTGGTATTCATGAAGGCCCTCACGAGTCGGTTCAGGAATCCACCAAGCCCCAAGTAGGCCAAGATCTGAAGGGAGATGAAATCAAGAACAGTGCTATTCATGGCACCGACCCAGGGGTCTCGCTCAGCATGCTCCAGACATCCAGATGGCTCCCCAAAAGTCAGGTGGCTGATGATGTCGACCGTTACCCAGTTGTACCATGCTGTCATGTCCACAGAAGCCTTCTCTCCCGGAAATGAAATCTCATCATCCGATGGTGGCATTGAAAGCCTTCTCAGCTGTTTTATCAAAGTGTCGGCATAACCAGTGATCACAGACTCCCGCGCTCTTAGGTTCTGGTCGCTGAAGCCGTGACTCAGTACCCGTCTCACTGGACCATGGTGGGTGCGGTCTTCCTCGCTGATAATGTTGGGAAGGGTGCCTCGCGTCCGATAGAACCGTCCAGCCTTGGGCAGCTCGAGGAAGTTATGGTTCTTGCCGACGCGGTGGCCGTAGATGTCCTTCCACGCGTCGGGGTGGGTGAAGGAGAGCTCATCCGGGGCGATGCGGACCACTGGCCCATACTTCTCGTGCAACGGGAGCAGCTTGAAGGTCAGGTCGCCGCGGGCCATTTGGTAGAGATACGGTAGGCGGGAAGCCCGGTAGAGCAACGGGCCCGGAAATCTGGATAGCGGATGGAACAAGGTGTTGTAGAGTAGGCATAAGAGCGAGTAGACGGAGACCTACGTGGTTATTCTTTGGTCAGCTCATGGCTTCTGGGGGACTTCAGAATTCATCTACCAGAATAACACCCAGGCCGCCGACCGCGGCGTAGTCTATCGATATCATGTTTGCAGGCTTCACCTTTTTTGAAGGCGTGTTTCTGAAGACGTAATGGTTGTGCAAGACCTGAACTGATCCTTCTTAACTCTATGTATGTTCGTGTTATTTATCCAAGAATCTTCCGGCTCTAGGCAATACTCGATCGGGTTTGAAAATAGTGGCTTGTGCTCATCGAGCCCATCATCTTCCTTATGCAGATTCTCGCTCAAAAGCAGTAATCACGTTCTGAGTGAGCAGGAAATAAAAGCGCTTGTTAACATCCCACCATGCGAAGTTGCATTATGGATGTCGCGAGTCGCCTACATCCGATAGTGCCACGCCGGTGTGGTGGGCCGTCAGGCAGGAAAGAACATCAGATGATGACATCTAACAACAATACTTGACACCATGGTCTGGAGAATAACCTTGAAGTATTCCCGATTATTTCCAAACACCGGTATGATGCGCGGATATAAATAAGGAGTATGCACCTCGAGGGAATATGACTGGAGGTCCGGACACCCACAGCCCTGATAAAGTTCAAGCCTAGAAGGCCAATGTCACTTTACCATTCGGCAGCCCGACAATGAATCAAGGTGTTATTTTCCATCATCATGACCTCATGCCGCCATATTGTACTGGCGACGGGGTAAATGTCGGCATTTCGGCGTTTGCTGGCTATGCAAGAAAAAGGTGAAAACCGCCGACGAAGGCAACGATGTACTGAATGCCGTCAGCAAATGTCTAGGAACTAAACTCAGACCGAGCGCGGGGGACTACGACACAAGAGTGACAAAAAACCAGAATTGCCTGCGACAGCGTACATAGGACATCATTGGACCGGTCACTTGGTTTGCACAAGCGGGTTGGCATCCCGTGGCTGCTTTCTCGGCTGCCAACAAAGGTCTTTGCACCGAGTTGCCACTACCTTCATAAGGGAGTAGAATTGCACTAGCCAGGTGCCAGAGAAGAGTACTTTAAAGTAGAATACGCGTATATCTCTATTGCTGCCTCTCGGATGAAGTACATCGATTCCTTCAGGTTGCTGCCAGCCAAAACTTTCACCTCCGGCGGTCAAAACCCTTCAGTCCATGGACGCCAATCTTGAGGAATTCAACATCCTCAGCAATCGTCTTCCTGATCTCGTCAGACTTCAACTCATCGACATCCCACGACGCCCAGACGAAGCGCCCGTGCAGGAACCGAGCCTCGGGAGAAGCGAGCCAGACCGCCTCAGAGCCGGCGAGCGAGACGTCGTCGAAGGGCAGGAGAGTGTCCGGGACCCCAGCCTCTTCCCACCCGCCGGCGTAGACGACACCAGGGTGGTAGTTGATGACCTGCAGCTTCTCGGGGTCTGACTGTGCGGCGATCTGCTGGACCAGGAGCGCGCCGGAGTTCTTGGTGAGGCCGTAAGCCGCGACCTTTGATGCGAGGACGAGGATAGATTCCTCGAAGATGTGGATGGCCTGGCTGGCGACGTTGATGATGACCTTTTGGTCGTCGCCGCCCTGCTTCACGAAAGCCTCGGACAGCATCAGCGGGCCGTAGACGTTGGCCTCGAACATGGACCAGACCTCGTCGGACCCAAGGTCCAAGAGCGGCTTCAGTGGCGAGAACTTTGCGGCGTTGAGCACCAAGACATCGACAACAATCCCCTTGTCCTTCAGACCGGACCACAGCGCCGCGATTCCAGCTTTGTCTGTGACGTCCAGGGTCTGGTGGATGACTTCGGTCTCCTTCCCGGCTTGCTTGGCGACACTCTCGATCGCTCTGGCCGCATCGGCGAGGACATTGGCCCTGCGGCCGACAATGATAACGCGCTTAGCACCAGCCAGAGCGAAGGATTTCCCAATCGAGAGACCGATACCAGTACCACCTCCTGTGATGAGGACAGTACGGCCGGCCTGGCTAAGCTCAGGGCGCGTGGGATCGATCGAAGGGTATGAAGTGCGATGGACCGTCTTTGTGAAATTTGTCTTGAGACCGGCACCCTGCTCAAGGGTCTTTTTGACAAGAAATTCCATTTCGTCGGCCATGGTAACTAATTAGATAGGAGAAGTATTGAGTTTTTCCAGGAAGGAATACAGACAGTCCGCTCGAAGGTGATTTCCAAATCTCGTTGATGAGAGTGTAGGCCAATGATCTGGTAATCTATTGTCGTCTGGGGCAGCACTGGCATGGCTTCAGGGCTGTGGTCTTATATATCCTTCCTGACCAGGGTTCCTTCCGCCGTAACCACTCGGACACTTACTGAAACTCGGTTCATTGGTTTGCCCATGTTGGAATGGCATCCTGACAAATTGCTCCGCCGTCTTGGTGTTGGTTTGCCAGAGTGCGGGCTGTTGGCTCAAAACTCAACGCCTGCCCGGCATATCCATGAAGTTTGTTCTAAGTACTGCGCATAGACGTGCCAAAACCCCTGCCCGCGCATTACTGCTGACATAGACTTTGATTGTAAAGGCAAGCGGGCACTAATTTGAAAGAGGTTTGGCGTCCGCTCCGTTGTTGGCGTTCAGTTGGTCCGTTCGGTAACAGTAGCGCTGACAAACGACCGCCGCTGCTTACGACGGCCTCGTCCATCCGCATCCGCAACTGTTTGACTCTCCCCAAGAGATTTTGATCCCCACAGCTGTGAATAGCGTCGCAATGGGCCCGATCGATATGACGGTTGAAAGCAAAGCCTGCTGTGCGTGCGCCCGCGCCAAGCGAAAATGCGAGCGGCAGATCCCAGCCTGCAGCCGGTGTCAGGCCAGGGGCATGCGCTGCGAATATCCGTCGGCCTCTTACGAGCCATTCGACCAGCCTCAGGTCCGCCATCACCAGGTCGCCGTCTCGGAGGAACCATTATCCCACCTTCTATTTGGCCTTTCCGAAGACATGATGTCTGTTGATGACTTTACGTCCCGTGGCTTAGATACCATCGTTGGGAACCCCGGCAGCATTGAGCCGAACCCAAAACCACAATCTCCTCCATTGCCATGGTATCTGGAAAAGGATTCATGGGATATTGACCACCTGACATCACATAGCACTCCACCTTTCTGTAGTGTTGTTCTGAATAGCTACACCGACAACATCAAAGAATGGCTAACATGCTGGGTCGAAACCGGAGCCTGTCCATTTATCCATCTTCGGACTTATAACCACCATATCCCACGATGTGTTCAAGATGCATACACAGCATTGACAACCTACCAAAATATGAAAGAATCGAACAGGTCAATCGTCATGACTCTTCTCGAACAGAGGATTAAACAGCTGTTGGCTGACCAGCCACATCTGCCACCAGGGGCCAGCAGCGACGAGGACGCAGGGGCGGCGGCACTCAACACCTTCGAGCACCTGGCCCGCGTCCACGCCCTCCTCATATACCAGATTATCTGCCTGTACGACGGAGACATTCGCCTCCGACACGTCGCGGAGACACAAATACCAACGCTGAACTTATGGCTGCGGCAGCTCATCTCGTCCGCCCAGCACACATCCGCCCAGGGGCCGGAGTCCTTCATCTCCCCCCTGGTCACGCCGCCAGACCAGCAGGACCCGCTCATGCAGGTGCGGATAGGCGGGCACGACGGCAACATGGAGACAGTGGCCATGGGGGGGTCCTTCCTCTCCCGGGAGGACGTGGACTGGTACGCGTGGCTGTTCGCCGAGACCATCCGCCGGACGTGGCTCGTCGCGTCCAGCGTGCAGACCATATACCTGACGCTGCAGGTCCTCTGGGCGCCGTGCCCCGGTGGCTTGCCTTTTACGACCCGCAAGGGTGCCTTCGAGGCGATGTCGTCGTTTGCCTGGGCGGCGTGCTGCGAGGGCCACAAGCAGGGGATAGACTTCGCCCGGAGGCATAAGCATCGGCTGTTTGAAGAATGTAGACCGGAGCATATAGATGAGTTCACGGTGCGCTTGTTGGAAATTAGTTATGGCCTTGAGAGGATAGAGCGGTGGAGGTACGGGAAATGAGGATCTAGAGGTATAGAACTGGGGGCCGGAGCATTCGTGATCAGTGATGTATCATTGTGTGATGAGCTCTGGCATGTACAGAGTTGTAAATCTAATCAATTATGGCAATTACTAGAATTAAATTTTGTGTCTTCTATCCCACTCAACCATGACACTTCCAGGTCTCAACTAGGACCCTGGTAGATGTTGGCTTCTTGTATCTTGTCGTATGTCGTGTTCGTAAGGGAATTAAGTGCAGTGGACGGCGCCGTCAGAGTGCGTGTGGCAGTTCTGTATAGTGTTAGGAACGACATCATAGTCAACAACGGACGGCACAAGAACACCTACATCTGGCAGCGCAGTTTCCGAGGCAGCTGATTCCGCACTGGTTGCTGTTGCGGTACTTGTCGCACTGGGGGTGGCCGAAGAAGCATCCGTCGACGAGGTCGCCGGAGCCGAGCTCGTCTCTGTGCTCGGGGGACCGCTTGGGCCGGGACAGCCCTCGCCGGGGAGGATGATGTCGTACGCGTAGACGTCCAGGGCAAAGTACTGCAGCCCGTCGGAGTCGTGCGTGCTGTTTGGGCTGTTGTTGGCGGCAGACTCGATGATGCCTTCATATCCCTCGGAATAATGGTCGATGTATTCCTGGCCAAACGCGGGTACGTGGAAAAGACGGTGCAGCAGATCAGAACCCCAGTAGACCAAGCGAGAGTGTTCCCTGACGTTGTAGCCTCGCGCACAAAGTGTTGAAAGTGGGCGGCGCTCAAAGAAGGAGGTAGGGCAAATGACTGTCTCATCAGTTGCGTTGTCTCCACGCCAGTGACCGGCCCAAGCTGTATTAATAAGTCAGTCATATACAAACAATATTATCAGGCAACGTTATCAGGAGCCATGGCTTATACTTACTGGGCATATTTTGGCAGTTCCCGTCAGGATCGTCACAGCGGAAGAGGGCGTTTGCCTTGTTGCCGTTCACAATCGTGTCGAAAGCACCAATGACCTCAGGCGTAGGAGCGTTTCCGAAGTACTTGCGGTAGAACTCGCTGCTGCTTCCCCAGCGGTTGACGTGATCTTTGGCATGCTGAGCGAGCTCCACCGCATCGTTGAGACCCTGACGAAGCTGGTGTGCTTGTGAGGCGTTGCAGCTGGGGTGGATTCGGAACTCAGTGACAGCTCCAGCATTCCATGGCTGCTGTTCGGTGACCTCAAAGGCAGCCTGTCTTCCCTCTACGAGAGATGTAGGAGCTGCTGACACTGCTGTCAGAGCGGACAAGACGAGGACCGACGGAGAAAGCATATTCGGTTATGTGTGACCAAGCTTTAGGATATCGACTGAGGTTGGCTCCTAACTCTACTGCTCGTATCATCAAAGGACCGAGGGTATTTTATACAAGGCTGCATTGTGCACGTCGGAGTGCATCTTCAGCTCACCGTGAGGGGATCACCGCCGCCCACATTCTTCCAAGATCATGACTATGCCAAAAGCAAGAGACGTTGTTATCCGACAACCTTGGCGAGAACCTTGATGGCTCTGCCAAAGGTGAAGAGATTTCCTAGGCCAGCCTGATGAGGAGACCGGAGAGGGGAGTGCTCGGAAAAACCGCGCCTTTCAACATGTGCCACACGGAGATGTTGGCACGAAGGCGTCACTTTTTCCTGGGCGGCAGACCACGACCCCGCGTAGTCCCCACTAAGAGGATCACCCGATGACGGAGTGGCATAATTTGGGCAGGAAGCAGTGTGCTCATTCCTTCGAACAAGCCACACTGGTCCGGGGCTGCGCGATAATGACGCGGGAAAAAAGAGAGGTGGGCAAGGGCGATGCTTACCTAGGTAGGTCAGACCCGAAGACAGAAAAGTACCAGCCCCCACTTTGAGAGGGCCTGCGTGGGAGGATATTGATTCCAATTCCCGCATTCGAGCAAACCAATACGTTATGAATGATATCCAATGTTGGTGTTCAGGTCTGCTGCCAAGCAAGAACCGCCGAGAGACGACCCCCGTTCTTTACTTGGCGATGCGGCGCAACATAGAGCTAGCGAAAGATCATCCCACCGCCTGTCCATCAAGGTTCTCGGACGTGCTTTCCACAAGGCTGGGCAAACTGTGTGAGGAGATTTCTCATGGACCCCTCCTCCAGCAGCAGAGCACGGGCGAGAGAATCCAGCGTGTATTTTATAGGACCGTGCCATCGGTCGTCGACACTCACAATGAAGCCGATGGGTGCAACTCATCCGCCAACGACAAGATGTTGTCTCTTAAACACTTATCCACAATTTCTTTGCTGTGGGCTATCTCGACACCCCTCGTGAGCGGCCAAAGGACAACATACACGGGCTGCCACAACCACACGGAAGCCAGTGCCACCGTCGAGTACTGCTACGGGCCGGACGGTGCGGAGACGGCGCGTGCGACTCATGCCATCACCGGATCTGCGAGCCTCCCGGAGAGCGTGAGCGCGTCAGCCACCGCAGAGGCTCAAACCACTGCTGTGACAGGATGCCATAGCCACGAAACAGCCGTGTTTTGCATCAACGGGGCGGGCGAGGAGGTGCACGTCGAGGCCACCCCGACAGGAGAGGTCCCTCCAGCGTACACCGGCTGCCATGCGCACGATGCTGAGATGTGAGACGGCCTTTCACGAATGTTTCTTTCCCACGCGGTGGAGTACTGACGATCATTTTCAGGTTCTGCATGGACCCTGACGGCAACGACGTCGCGGTTCATGCTGAGGGCGAGGCTGCTGGAGAAGAAGGCCATGGGGAAACACATGGAGAATCGGAGGAACAGAACTGCCATTTCCATGCCGGCGTTGAGTATGATCCACTTGATTTTATGCTTAAATTTCTATTGCTCACAACAGTCACAGGCACTGTGTTGGTGGTAGTGGTGAGAGTGAAGGCGTCTCTTGCGGCCTTCGCGAGCGCGAGTACAACGTCGGGCTGCGAGTTGGTTCGCTCTTCATAGTTCTCGTCACCAGCGCCATCGGTGTCCTCGCTCCCTTGCTCCTGCACAAGCTCGTGATTGGGAGCATTGGTGCGAATATCCTGATGGCCGTCAAGCAATTCGGCACTGGTATCATCATCTCCACCGCCTTCATCCATGTGGGTTTATGTCCACCAATTCCTTCTGACATTCGTCCGTCCGTCCGGCCGAAGTGCTCATTGCATGATGCAGCTGTATACACACGCAAATTTGATGTTCACCAATGAGTGCATCGGCGAGCTCTCGTACGAGGGAACTACCAGCGCCATAGCAATGGCCGGAATTTTCCTGTCGTTCCTGGTTGAGTACGTCGGCCTCCGTATTGTTGCTGCGCATGCGGCCCGAAACCCCAAGACGCCCACGGCACAGACGCTCGGAGACCAAGGGAAGGGCGAATCGAGCAGTCCACCCCCTGAACCGAGCCGGACAGCCTTCGAGTCGCTCGACCACCACCACGTCGGGCCAAACAGCCACCTCTCCGTCCTGGTCATGGAGGCTGGTATCCTCTTCCACAGCATTTTGATCGGCCTAACGCTCGTCGTTGCCGGGGACTCGTTCTACCAGACACTGCTCATAGTGATAGTCTTTCACCAGTTCTTCGAAGGTCTTGCCCTTGGTGCCCGGATCTCTCTGCTGCCTGGTTCGATCTTCCCGTGGAAGTTCGCCATGGCCATCGCATTTGCGCTGATCACGCCCATCGGGATGGCGATCGGTATTGGCGTGCTGAACACGTTTAATGGAAACAACCCCAGCACGGTCATTACTTTCGGAACTCTCGATGCGTTGTCTGCGGGCATCCTCGTCTGGGTTGGAGTGGTGGACATGTGGGCGAGAGACTGGGTCATCGAAGGTGGCGAGCTCCTCTCGAGCGGTGCCTTGAAGACGCTTGGTGCTGGGGCCTCGCTTTGCGCTGGAATGGTCCTGATGGGCGTGCTTGGGAAGTGGGCTTAGCTCGGGTATGCCCAATACCGTCCTTGTCGACTTTCCTGTTCAGATCTGGACCCAGGCGTCGCCGAAACTCGGAGAACCTGTAGAGCTGCGATGGATTTCAAACCTCTAGATCTCATCAGTGGCGCCGTGCCTTGATCAATAATATCTCATCATATTATGAATACACGCTGAGTAATGTACAAATAGGTATTGTTCGGCGGGATCAACCACCCGCCGACTGTGAGCAACTCCCGAGTCCTGGCTCTGGGTGCACACCCTTTTTCGCTATGCTGGCTCAAATGGTTGACATCCTTCATTTTCGCGAATTCACAGGGCTCCACCCTGAATTCGTGTTCTGGATGGGGAGTTCGAACTCTTCCGACGGACCTCGTGATGAAGGTCGTGGTTGGTACTCCTGGGAAACCCGGCCGCGAGTCCCAAACGTGTCGACGTTTGAGCCCTTCTGTGCAGCCTTCTCGGCAGCGATGGTTGTTACGGTTACCGAGTATGTCCCGGCACTGGGGTCAAATTTGTTTTGTGAGACGGTCGTCTTCGCGTTGCTTGTTGAGTGCCCGAATGTCCTCGACGATATCGCAGCATGTACCTCCTGCAGGAATGGCCGCAAGACAGGAATGCACTGGACGATGATGGTTCCAGTAATTTCGGCCGAGAACCTAATTGCGCTGTCAGTATATCAAATCTTCGATGCTGAAGCCCCACGGGAGGCGGCGTGGTGCTCAAGTGTGGACACATCGCGAGCTGTGTATTGGAAGGTCGAAAAACTTTCCGAATGTCAAGGGGTAATTCTTACCATATCATAGATACCGCTCTTCGCCCTGAAACAACAACTATATTAGCAAACTGAGGCAAGAGACAGCACGTTGAGGGAAACATACAGAAGTAGAGCTCATCTTTGTCCCCGTACACATCCCGTCCCACCCACCATGTTCTGACGGCAGACATGATGGCAACGCTAGATTAGATGATGTGTCAGCATCGCTGCCAACGAGTAGTGGTCTCCTCATGGCTGGTAACTTACAACATCCCCAGGCTCATGGTCAGAGCAAGACCAATCTTCTCATACTTTCGCATGCGCAGCTTCATCGTGATAGCCCAAGGGAATAATGCCAAGACAAAGTCCATCAAGATGTTGTAGACTGATGAAACACGTCAGTAAACATCCTCTGCTCCGTTTCAATGATGAAGCTCACTATTTCCACCTTCCTTGAAACGGTCAAGGAACGTCGAGTCGACACAATAGTTCGGTCGGTACCACACGTCGTAGTCGGTGTCGTCGCACTGCCTGGCCCATTGGAAGAGGACCTTGGTGAACATGTACGCGTTCATCGTGACGATGATGAACCATAGGATGTATTGCTGCCATCGTTCGGTCATCCGGAGCAGAGACACCGCGAATGCTGTCTTGGATATCGCCTGGCCGACGAGGGTCCCGCATGATGAGATGTTGATTAATATGTGCATGCGGTCATCCCACTCCCCCTTGGTGACATATCCGGTGGCGAACTCGACGCTGATCAGGATGTCGTTGAAAAGAACGATCAGCTGTAGAGAATGTTAGACTTTTTCTTCCTTCATGGGTGACAGAGATTCCTAGTAGTGAGTGGCATACCCAGGAGAAAATGAGAATGTGATCATCCCACCACAGTCCGTGCCTTCGGGTGATCTTGCACCACAGGCGGGCGGCTAGGAAGACTGTTGTCGTTGCGAAGAGGCTCCATAGCCCCGCATTGACCTCTTTCGTGGGATCGACCAAGACGATGTCGTCCTTAAAACTACCACGCGGCGAAATCATTGTGACCAACAGACGGGTGCAGTACGTTGCAGCCGGCTAAAGGACGAACATCGATCGAGCTGGGCTGGACTGGAACTGGAAATGAAGGCTCTTGGGGGCTCTAGACTATGTACGAGACATGGGGCCTGGAGATGACTTATCCAGGAGCCACCCACGTGAAGTGACAAACCGGCCTGCGCCCCCCCGTGGATTTCATCGAAGTTTTGTGTCTTGCTTCAGCCCGCCCGGGGCCGTAACTCGTACCCACAAGTATCGTCAGCTCATCCCGGAGGCGTCAGTCTCGGAATAAAACACCTTGCGAGACATGACTCGGAGCCAGGGTTCCGCCAGGCCAAGCCGTTGGATTGGGTACCAAGTTGATTGCGAGTTCGTTGGCCGTCTTCTTTACCTGGTAGACCGCACATCGCGGAGCAGTTTCCGGTTTCGTCGAGCCTGCCTTCTGGGGCCGGTGTGTCGCCAACCGGCGTGCCACTCACGCAGTAGCGTGCAGGCGGCCGTGCACGCACGCCCCGAAGAGGGGCCAAATCTGCGCCTTGCTTGCGCAGAGCACATGCATCCCGGCCAGCAGCCCCCTTTCTTGCAGTAGCGGCAGTGACATGCACGCACGCAACGCAGGCACACGCAGGCTGGCCGACGCCGCTAAGGACCGTAGCGCCTGTCATCGAAAAGCATCTCTCACACATCACTCTCACACGTGGGTGCGTGAAAAGGTGTGCTCGACCGTGCCGTCGGCGCAGAGCCTCGGCCGGGCTAACGTGCGTGTGGCGTGGCGCTGCAGCCATCAGGGTGGCTGCCACTGGTTTGCAAACCGGGTTCTGGTTCCATGCTGCAGATCCAGCTGTTTTCTGAGGAATCCCAGGTGCCCCTTGAAACGCCCTTGGGGCGGCACCACGTGCTTGGATGTCACCTCGTCACATTGCGCTGCGGAGCTGGTACGACTCAAGGGCTACCAGAGCGAGTCGCTGTATTATTTATGGAAATTGTTTCGGTTAATTGACGGCGACATTTGGTTCTAGGGGGGGGGGGAAACCTCCGGTCCGCCACCTCGTTTTTCCCGCGGCCCTGGGATTCCCCAGAGTCCCGTAATGTCCTCTCTCGGCTTGGCGAGGGCTGCGTACGTCAAAATCGAACGCCGCGGTGGGGTTCGTCCCTAATAGAATCCAATGTCGAGGGCCTGGATTCCGACATTGTGGAATGACCGCCACGAGCTTGCAACCCCATGACGGCAGACATAAAGTTCAGCCCCGCTTAAAACCACACTTAAGTAGCCAGGGCTCCTCCCACGGCAACGGTCTAGATTGGTTAGGAAGTCAAAGTGTGATAGAAGCGTGAGGGCATGGTTGCATGTGGTTCGGACGGGAAGTCTCTTCCCTGAGGCACACGTGTACAGCCACAAGGGTGAAAGGAGAGGCCAACCATACCAACAGATATCGCGCAAAGACAAATCACTGAGCCCCCGATTTCATTTACACGGCCGGCCATGCGAGTAGTGTCAAAATACTCTGTACAATGTCCTCTTTCTCAGCACATGCAGTACTCGGAGATCAGGGAAATGCCGTAGAATGTTCCATACGGGCAGGTCCATACGGGCAGGCCTGTGCACTATGACATCCTTGTGCAGATGACCCGATGAGTGGAGGCTATCGTGCCTAATGTTACGGTATATATGGTAAAAGATTCTTCAGCACAGCATAGCTCCACTTGAGCATTTCACGCTAGCATCGCTCACTGTACAGTGCGTTCCTTCTCGTGAGCCCCGCCGGAAGGGGGGGCCGCAGAATGATTTACATGTACGACACCGCGCCGTCAAACTTAGAACGACTTCGACTGCCCTCAAGGGACACAGCCAATATTATACGCTTCGCCCAATTATCTACTATCTCTGCAGCGGCTTATGCATGGCATTCGGAAAAGTGTCAGCAATCTAGGGAAAAATCGATACCTGAATGCTCATCATCATGATGGTGCCTATCCCCTTTCTTCATGCTTGTTGTGGGTGTGTAGGACCGTAACATTATCCACCCGGCTAGAAACCCTCAACTACGTAATGTATTCCGGGCTGTGGGCAGAAGACTTGGCTTGCTTGAGTAGTATGACCTAATTGAAGCAGCACATACGATGAACTAGCCTTGATCATAAGTATAGAACTGCAGGTGCACACTAGGTACGGTAAAGTCGGAATATGAAAGTTTGTGCTCTTGGACAGCGGCGCTACTGAAGTATATTCTCAGTTAGAACACATGAGCCTATGTGCGAATGTTCAAGTAATGGCTGCTGCTATGTATGAGCACGAATTCGAGGTGAACACATAGCAACCCTAGGTCATGTAGTGAAGCCTCCGATGGACTTGACGCTCTGGTGCTAAGCAAGCATATCCTCTAAAGCGAGTTGTACGCAAGTGCGCGTAATGGGAATGAACGGCAAGCCACTCTGATTGCTTGTGAAGCAACTCGTAGAAGAAAGAAGTAGTAGTTGAGGGACGATCTCAGTGTTGCAATGCTTTTGAAATACGACTGCCGATGCGAGTCTCGGAGCAGCGCGATACCCGACTCCGATGATACGTCAAATCATACAGTGAGCGTGGTAGATAGGCTTGATCTCCTTCTGACGGCCTGTCAACGTTTCAAGCCGCCAGCGTCGGGCTGCTTTCTGATTCTGAACAATGTCGAGATTGCAAGCAAATCAATGGGAAATGAGCAGCAAATCTCGATCACCATCCTGGTCTCTCAGCGGCCTTCTTTCCGAACGGAGATACCTTGTCCATTCCGAGTCCACCCCACTTCCGATCCGTCTTAATATGTGGCTGCCTCACTATTCTTTGATCTAGAACCATCGCGCCATTTCTCAACTCAGCCGTGTTACTGCAGTTGCAGGCATTGCCCAGTTGCTAACACAGGAACTCGAAAGGCAGAATATGTAGCTTCCATCATCTCAGGACAGGCCCACAGGGATGCCCTCTCGGGACATTTCCCTGTCCCGAGACGGACCGCGCAAACACTTTCCCTTTAGCGTACCAGAAAGTCGTCTGGTTGGGTTCTCGACTCGCGTCGTGCAGATCGGAGACTTTGTTCTACACACCAGGTGGCCGATCCGGGGAAGAGGAATAAACGGAAACAGTAGAAGCTCCCCAGGGGCTCGGCGTCAATCCTGACACACATGTGCCAAGGTCTGCAGCCCCCTGTTCGCCATTGGAACCAACCCCATCCAGGACTAGTTTTGCATTTCGTGCATCGAAAACTCTTGGGGGCCGCGGGCCAAGGTGCCCAAGCTGGCAGCCCCTTAAGACCTCCATTTCCTTTGCATGCGAGGTGGGAAGCACAATGGATGACGATGCAAGTTATCACCCAACTGCTGCTTCCTACAGGCCACAGATATTCAATCTCTAATTACAGAGTAATTACAGGAACTTGACATGCATCCCCCAACGCCGTCTACTACAGTAGCCACATGGAATCCATGTGAAGGATGGAATCATAACCGCGCATAGAGATGCCCTGTGTCATTGCTTGGAGATAAACAACGCTCCTTCCCAGTATCTATCTCACGGAAGAAACCTTCTCAAGACAAGATGCTGATGACATGGGCCAGTGATTCGCTCCAGCTCAAGCGATTGCAAGGGTATTGTCGAGTCAGGAAGGGGAGCTCGATGCCAAGTTGCTTGGAAATGTTGTCACGGGCGTGGAGTGCAGCCAGTGACTCACTTGCTCATGCATTCCGCCATGTTGACACTTCCAGTCCCTCATTGCCTTGCAGGCGCAACCTGAACCAGGTTCAAAGCTGTCCAGGACAGTTAGCCGCGTAACGCGCGTTCTCCCCGTGCCCAAGTCTCGGTCTTATACTTGCCTTTGCCTATGTCTTATTCCACATGATCTTAGGCCTCGTGTATTTTCGGTAAAAAACAGCTATTCTATTGTTTTTCAGGGCCCGCTTGCGATGTGCAATTCATTGTTTTTGAGTCCATTAGTACAGCTCATCCTGGGGTTGGGTCTCGCGTGGAGAGTTGCTTCTTGATCATTGATCCATTCGCGGCGCCCTATAGACCACAGCCTTTCTAGCCTTCAACTCAGGTAGGATGGTCTCTCTTTTGGTACAATTAGCTGTGATATAACTCAGCTTGTCGCCTCCTGCTTCTGCGCTGTAGATTGGCTGTGCTACAGCCTCTTGATGGCTGATGATCAGCATCCGTCAAGTAGTAATTCGCTACATGACCATTTTTGTGAGCATATTGGTGTCTCCGAAACTAGATGGGACAGCATTCCAAATGTAAGTGTCAATGACCAGCCAGACATACATATCAAGGCCGAGGGAAACTTTTGTAAAGAGCATGTATCGAGGGACTCAGAAATTGTGCAAAATGTATCCTAGATGCTTCCAGGACGGAAAAAAGTCCATCTTAGATACATTACCGCATCTCTCCCCTCACAGAAAGCTCTCGTTCGGACCATGGCCTCGATGCAATTGGGACAACTTCCCATTGAGAATAATCACATCACGAATTGATAGCAGTAATCATAATGTGCCTGCTTCAGTCCTGCCAGTGCGCTCTACTTGAGATTATGCACGGATCGCACATACGGGAGCCTAAGATCCAGCTCCTTTAAGAGGAAGTATTACAAATTAACACGCTTGTATTATCAATTTCCAATCTGATATCAATAAGCTGCCGAATTATTTACGAGTCCAGGCCCCATCCTAAATTACTCGCTGTGCCCCTGTGAAGTGATAGAGCTGAATAAGTTAGTAAGCTTCGATTGCGTCAATTGCGTTATGAGGCTCAATACTTGAAGGCTCCCAGGCAAAATTCACCTATATTACACAAGGAGGCTTTCATCTTAGAGAAGCTTCATCCGTAGTCACCTTCATGTAGAACAGATCTAACATGCCGCGAAGTTCCATATGTCCGCTCACCTAGCCATACGTCCACCGTACATGTACAGGTCGTCCTGCGGGCATAAAAGCATATTACACTTGGCCCTAAATATGAGGAGAAAGTTAGCCGCATGCTGATTTTGATTTGCTAGTATTCCCAGGACCGAGTCGGTACCTATGGCTCTAAGATGGAACAGCTGAAAATGAGCCTGGCCACGAAGTTCGAACCAGCTACTTGATAAACCCTTCCAGTATTGTCCTCAACGGTTCTTGTATTCTTGTACCAGAGTGTATTACATTTAGGTGCAAAAACTTTCTTACAGGGAGAATCACCTCAGACTTAGTCGCCATATGAAATGGTCATTTACTATCTCTAGACTGACCAGTTGCAACCAATGCTCATGTGCGAGATTATACAGCCAATAGTACACCTTAAGGAATTATTCCATAGTGACAATCATCTAGGGGATTCCGAGATGCTTCAAATTCTGTGGCAGGCCCAGGTTCTAGCCAGTATTCGAAGTACACAGTGTCCGATTTCCAAATGCAAATGTCATCAACCTAAAGTACTGTATGAAATCTGAGGCTTAAACTCCCATAGTATTACTCCTATTACTAATGAGCCATTCGCATTCGCAGCATGTTCAAACTTTGTCTTCATTTGCGGTGTAGTATTAGGCCTTCTTGATGGAACCTCGACGGAACCACCGCAAAGATTAAGAGAGGGCAGAGCAGGCTCAACTTACATCTTACTCAGGGCTTGTCACGAAACAGGTAAATGCTGTGCATCTTCATCGTTTTGCGGCCACCGTAACGAGCGGCATAAAATTTTGAAGACAGCAACTTGTACCTCCCTGTCGCCGTACGGCAATGGTCTTGCTGTTATCTTCTCGCATGACCAACTATTGTTAGGAGAGCAGATCTAAGCTGTGGTCTGTCGTTTTACGGACAACCGCTTGTAATCCGTTCCAAGGTTGTTTCCTCGTTATGACAACAGTTCGAATGATTTGGTGACGTAATGAACATAACCGCTCTCGGTTTCCGAAGATTGGTACGGTACAGCACTATCTTCAAAAAGTCTATGTGCCCAGGTGCCAAGTGCATAATCTGAAGGGCAGTCTGAATGCGGGCGGCATGTCCATCTGCTGCACACTGGCTAAATGCTTGGAATGCCAGGACTTGGTGGAAGGTACATTCTGTGGGTACCACAGACTGGCGATTCTGGCATCTGGGCCGCCTTTGCCCAACGTGTTCCATGATACCTGCTAGGGACGTTATGTTACGTTGCGTTCTCTTTCGAAGGTACAAGAACATGTTCCCATCCCAATCGCAAATGCCGACTGTTCTTGGCTGTGGCTTCCAGCGAGATTCGCGCGTATAAGTGAGTCTGGTTGGCAACCATTGCTGCTGTAATTTTGACCACATATTGAGTTCAGTTCTTACCCACTTTACTGGAGGAGAAGCCCCAAGAGAGCAGCAAATAATAGCGCAGCCATTGCGTGATGATCCAAGGCGCCAGGAAACCCTCGGACTCAGCTTGTTTGTTGTCACATGCTGCGTTGTTTCGATGCCCAGCTCGAAAGCCTAGACAACGATTGCGTAAACATGCAGGCCCAGTCATGTCTAAAGCCTCGATGGCAAGCGAGGACAGCGTCTATCTCGGGGCGTGATTGGGCGCGATGGAGACAATGTTGTTTGGCGCATTGAGGGCTCAACGTCGTTCAAGAGTTCGCCAAGGCGGCTGTGTGGTCTTGGTCACGACCTGCGGTCGGCTGTTTCAGCCACCCGCCGGCGCCTTAGGCGGCGGCTGTTATATGGCAATTACGGCAGCAATGATGTAGCTCTTACGCAGGCGCGAAGAGCCTTTGGCCGTTGCCGCGACAATAAGGTATTGAGGTTCGAGGACGTGCCAGCTTCCAAGCCGTTGATATAGTAGTGAGCACGGCCTGCTTGTGCTGAAGACTTGGACCTTCATCGCAATGTGGCGATCGGCGGACTAACCTACGTCAATTCGCCAGCTTAGCACTGAATGATGTATATTGCCCAGATGAGCTGTACGAACTCTATACAGAGTTGGGCGTCGCCGCATGCGCTTCACCGGCGGCTGTTCAGTCTTGGTAGCAAGGCTGAGCGTACCAGAATATCCAGCTTCTCTTGACTATCATGAAGTTACCAAAATAGAAACTGACCAGCACGATTATCAAGTATAAAGACTCGAGGACGTCGTCAGGCTTCCGGTGAGAAACAAAGCATCATCATCATCAAACAATCAACACACACTATTACCAGAAATCTCTGAAACACTTACCTCATCTTCCTCCTAAACTTTTCAGCAACCTGAAGCAAACACCAGCAAAATGAAGTCTACTCTTATCCTAGTTTCACTTGTGGCAACTGCCATCGCCTCTCCAGTACAGCTGCGCGAACTTCGGAACGGTGAGACCCGCTCTCTGCGAAGGAGCTCACCGGAGTCTGCCGTCGCTGGCCGCCAGGTCATTGAGGACATCGATAACGAGACCGGCGCTGTGGATTTTGCCAACGACGAGGACAACGATGGACAGGCCGATGATGCGGACCAGGACGATGATAACGATGGTATTCTGGACAACGTAGACCCTGATGATGACAACGATGGGGAGTTGGACGTGACTGACAACCTGGATCGGCGGGACGATGACTTGGATTTCCCCGATATTCCCGACAACATCGATCTGAACCCCTTCGACAAGCACTAGTTTGCTCTGGCTCGTGGACATCGGATTGGAGGAATTGGCAGGGTGATGGGGCTGCGCTGTAGGGGAGAGTCGAATGATGGGCTCATGATTCTGCTTATTTGACATTTCGGTTTCCTTAGCTGGCAGGGTGGTTGCTGTGGCAAGATGTTTAGATTTAACCTTCTCGCAGTTGTTTTTAACCTTGGTGGTGTGATGCTTTCAACGAGGCACATGCAGTTACCTCCCGTCGCTCGCTTGGGGAATATTTAGATGAACATCATCAATGACAATTGGAATCAGTCATTACCTAGGTACCGCCCATTTCCAGCGACATGATGCGATATAGACAGTATGCACAGATGGTAGGTTTTGAAGAACTGTACGTCCTGGGGATTTTCCGCACAGTCGCGGTATGCGTGAATTGATATCGAGGTTAACAACGGAGGCTGAACAGATTTGTAGAGTATTGTTCTTGCAGTCATGCCGCTCGCAGAAAAGAACCGTAACGTGGGCCGTGGGAATTAATTGAAGGCAGGCCTCGATGGATGTTTATCGAAGTTCGCCTCTATAAATGGGCATAGCTGGTTCAGCTTGGGATATATCAAAAAGAGAAAACCACTAATTCACGCCCAGCGCATCAAGCTCTTCATATCACTTGTACAGTCGAATTCAACATCTCTCGTAGCTCATCTCTCGTCCGTGTCACCAAATGACTCAGTGTCACATGGTTTGTTATACATTCCTGTTCCATTCCCGGCCCGACATTTTTCTCGGCTCAATCATATTTAGTCGAGCCCGTAGCTCGCGACGCAATGTTAACAGCATCGAAGAGTTCGGAACCAAGTTGGTAGATCATGTAGGAGGGGACGATGAGCCAGGCACCGCTATAAATAAACATCGCATCAGTCCTTGTTCTTTTCAAGAACCGGGGGATGGGGCCGTTGCGACTCACTTTGGAATGATCCACAGGACGAGAAGGTCCCACGGCTTGTTGTGGCCAATATTATCGAAGCCAGAGAAGTATTCGTTCAGCCAGTAAAGCACGGTCTTGCTGACTGTCATCACACTAGCGGAGAACCCAAGCAGGACAGCCAGCCCAGCCTGACTTCCAGCAATCCTCCTCCTCTCCTTAGCGTCCCTCAGCCCAAGACTGCCCGCGGCGCGATACCAGATGACGAAGTAGGCAATGTACATGATGGTCTCGATAACATTAAGCGTACCCTGGGCCGCGGTGAACCCGTTGCCCAGGTTGAACTGCTTGGAGCCGTACATATGGTCGACCTCGCCGTAGAGGGCATACGGCGTCCAGAGTGGCGCGTGTGCCCATCCTCCGGGCATGGTGGCGGGGCGCCCGAGGACGTAGCCGGTGTCCCATATCACGAGCGGCAGGGAGATGAAGAGCCAGACGAGGGTTGTGGTTGTTGGCGCGTGGGACCAGCCGGAGGGAGTAGCGGGTCTCGGGGTTCGTTGCTTGCGAGGGGAGACCCTCAGGTCTGGGGCATCCATGTCGAGGCCCGGGGTGAGGGCACGCGAGGCGGAGCGTGTTGCTACCATGTTGGCTGGAGTTGCTTGTTGTTGCTGGCTACCGGGCTTTGGCAACTGTCGTTTGGATCGTACGCACGCGGCTGTTGACTGCCTGAGGACACCCTCGCAGAGGAAGAGGATGTTGTGTAACTCGAGAGTCGGAGGGAGAGACGCGTGGGATCAGGATCAACAACACAGACAGAGATGGGTTGAAACGGAGGGGCGGGAACTGGAGCTCCCCGCGACTGGTGCTGCTGAGTAACGAAAATTAAGCTTCATGATTGGCCATTGGCCAGCTCCCCTCCCCCCCACCGACAAGGGTCCTATGCCTCCTCACGTCGATGCAACATTGGGACTGCTGTGCGGGACTGTGACGAGACGTGAAGATGCTCTCGTTGTTCGATGTGATGTGGAGCAGCCAACTGTTACGGAATTCGTGTAACTAAGTGCAAGACAGTGACAGATATTCACGGATTTTTCTTGCTCTCTAAGAATTGTCCGTTCTGTGACCCCTGTGGTTTGACGTCATACCGCAAGCGCAGCTAGCCACGAGAGCGAGCTTGTGTGGATGCGTCGCTCCTGCACTCACTGACACGGGTGTATCGGATTGACAGGCGAAATGGACGGGAGGAGGGGTAGGGATGGCGACATCGCGAGAACCTTTGGACACTCGACTCGACCCCGCTTACACACATCCAATGCTGCAATTGCCCATGTCCGCCCGCATTCGACTGCAAGCAATCAACCAGCACATCATGACATCTGCCCGTCCAGCTCCAAGCACAGTCGCCGGGCATCTGGCCGGCAGCAGCCAGTCGTGGCACGGCAAGGTCGTCCCTGACGGGCCTTTCAAGCCAGAGAAAGGCCGATATCGACTCTATATTGGTAACTCATCCTCAGACAGCACAGCAGGCACACCCTGCCTGTAAAGAGCATCCGTCTAAGCATCGTCACAGGTCTCTTTTGCCCCTTCGCGCATCGTGCCAACATCGTTCGCCATCTCAAGGGGCTGCAGGACACTATTCCCGTCACGGTCGTCAAGCCATATCCCAAAGGCGATGAGAAAGGCTGGCCGGGATGGCAGTTTCCCTCCTCCGACTCCGAGTACCCCGGAGCAAATCCTGATCCCCTCTTTGGCGCAAAGTACCTGCACGAGCTCTATTTCAAGGATGATCCAGAGTACAAGGGCCGCTACTCGGTGCCTCTGCTGTGGGACACCCAGACTAACACCGTTGTCAATAACGAGTCCGCTGAGCTCCTCCGCGACCTGCAGACTGGCTTTAATTCCATCCTGCCTGAAGAATACTCCAAAGTGACGCTCTACCCAGACCACTTGCGGGGCGAGATCGACACCATCTCAACCTGGATGCAGCGCGACCTTAACACAGGTGTCTACAAGGCCGGCTTCGCTACCACTCAGGAGGATTACGACAAGAACGTCCCAGTGGTCTTTGCCGCGCTGAACAAGCTCGAGAAGATCATCGCACAGCACGGCGGCCCATTCGTCCTCGGAAAGGACCTTACCGAGCTGGATGTGAGGGCCTTCGCTACAGTCATTAGGTTCGATACAGTCTATGTGCAGCACTTCAAGTGCAACTTGGGCACTATCCGGCATGACTATCCCCAGATAAACAACTGGCTGAAGAACCTATATTGGAACGTGCCGGCGTTCAAGGACACAACCGATTTCAAGCACATCAAGGAGAACTACACCAAGAGCCATGGCGACATCAATCCGCGTGCAATCACGCCTCTGGGTCCGTGGCCCGAGGTTGAGGAGAATTACGAGAAGGATTTGAGCAAGGTGCCGACTGGGGGCGTCAAGATGCCCCTGGTGCTTGATCTGGAGGAGAGACTCTGAGAGACAACAGAAAGGCCGTAAGGAGCGGTGCCTTCGCACCTATTCCAAACCCGATGCTCACGAAGTGCGAGCCTTTCCAGTGACTGTCGGCCTACCGGCCGGCGCTGAATTTGAACATGATCTCCATCCTCGCTGATGAATCGATGACTAGCTTCGAGTGTACAGTAGCCTGCATCTTGTCAAAATCCCGCGCCAGTGCCGAGGACCCATAGCTTGCCGCTGCAGGCACCAGCTTAAAGTCGTCCGTCATTGGTGGCCAGCCCTGCCGTCCAGCCGTCCCGGTGTGGTGGTGCGCCACGAATGTCAAGCATCTGACTCCTCAGGGGGCCATTTTCGCTGTAGCCTATTGACTTGCAAGGATCAGCAGGCCATCGCTCAGACGGGCTCGCCCCAAGCCGGGGGAGGGCCCTGTTGCGGCTCCAGGAGACAAGGGACTCGACCGCATGTCTCGCTTCCCGTCGCCTGCATTTGCATAGATCTATCTCCTTTTCCCCCTACCAGGCCAGCGAGGCCACGAGATTTGATTTTCAGAAGGATTCCGACCCAAGACGCCGGGATTCCCAACGCGGCCACAAGCATACGTTAGAGCCCGTCTAGCCCGTCTATTTTTGCTGCAGAAGCATCAATTGACTTCATCTCTTCGGGGCCATCCCGGGACAGACCCTGCCCTGCAGCCATAGGCTCTGGGGAATGAGACCGAGATGCAAATGGTAACTCCCTCTTCTCCCCAAACTCGTGTGCACATTTCATTGGTCGTCTCGTGTAATCCTCACCCCTTTGTTAATGTTGTGGCTTTACTTGGAGGGCACCCCAGGCCGTGGAAAGCTGGCCTCGAAGATCAGCTCCCTTACTGTGTAGGTAGTGGCTGGGCCGGCCGGTCATCCAGAGACCAGACGAACCGGGCAGTGCTCGCAGTGTGCTAATTTTCGGGCAGCGGTAGTGGCGTTACATTAGATCCACGCATCTCAGTAATCACCTAGGCCGACATTACACAGGTCTAAGGCCGAAGTCATAGCATAGCTGTGACTTTCGGGATGGCTATATTACTTGCCTAGTCCGTCCATTTTGATAACTGGTCGTCATGTCGTTCATACCTTAATTCGAAGCCGTCGAGAGCCAGTGCAACGAATTGGCTGAACGGAATTATTGTTCTGTCACCATGATTTCCTCACTTCTTCTCGTCGCTGCTGGTGTCGCAACTGTCTCTGCGGCACCAAACCTGAAGCCAAGGGCGGACCCATCAGCATTCTGCTCCTCGTCAGACAGCACTTACAAGCTTTCCTCGTTCGACGCGCCAGTTCCAGGATCCGGTAATGCCAATGGCATGTCAACATGGGACCTCACCATTGACGACACATCCGCCGGCCACAAGCAGAAGATCACAGGCTTCGGTGCTGCTGTCACGGACGCCACCGTCTCGGTCTTCAACAGCCTCAGCGACTCGGACCGATCCCGTCTGCTGGACGAACTGATGACCAGCAGCGGTGCCGACTTCAGTCTGATGAGGCACACAATCGCCTCGTCAGACCTGAGTGGCGACCCGGCTTATAGCTACGACGACAACGGCGGCAACGTGGACACAAGCCTGGGCGGGTTCAACCTCGGCGACAGGGGCAACGCGATGGCTTCTCTGCTCGCCAAGATGCGCAGCTTGAAGTCTGGCCTGACTATCCTCGGATCGCCGTGGTCTGCGCCCGGCTGGATGAAGCTGAACGGGGTCTTGTCCGGCACCACCGTCAACAACAACCTCAACCCCAGTTACCGCGATAGCCTCGCCAAGTACTTCGTCAAGTACCTCCAGGCTTATGCCGCCAAGGGAGCCTCCGTCGACGCCATCACCATCCAGAACGAGCCGCTGAACAGCCAGTCCGGTTACCCGACCATGTATGTGTACGAGGATGAGAGCGGAGATATTATCAGCCAAAATGTTGGGCCGGCACTCTCTGCCGCTGGGCTTGACACGAAAGTTTGGGCCTATGATCACAACACAGGTGAGGATATTCCTTCTTTATCTGACTAACACACCAACCATACTGACATGACCTAGACGTTACATCCTATCCCCAGACGGTCCTGGACAAAGCATCACAGTACGTGCCAGCCGTAGCGTGGCACTGCTACGCCTCCAACACAGACTGGGCCACCCTCACCGACTTCCACAACAAGAACCCAAACACTCTCCAATACATGACCGAGTGCTGGACCTCCCCCCAGACCGGCTGGTCAGCCGCCGCAGACTTCACCATGGGCCCTCTCCAAAACTGGGCATCTGGCTCGCTGGCATGGACGCTGGGGTCCGACACCACGTACGGCCCGCACCTGTCCTCGGGCGGATGCGACGCCTGCCGCGGGCTGGTCGTCGTCGACACCTCGGCCCGGACGTACTCCTTTGCGATCGACTACTACATGATGGCGCAGTTCAGCAAGTTCATGCCCAAGGGCGCGACGGTGCTGAGCGGCACGGGCAGCTACTCGTACGGCGACGGCACGGGCATCCAGAGCGTGGCCACGCTCAACCCGGACGGCACCCGGACGGTCGTCATCACCAACAAGTTCGGCAACGACGTCTACGTCACCGTGTCGGCCAAGAGCGGGGACAAGTGGAGCGGCCGGGTGTACCAGAACTCGGTGGTCACTTGGGTGCTGCCGGCCTCGGGCTAGGGATCCGGGGGCGTGGGGCGTCGTTGGTCGGGTCTCTGGGTCGTGGAGGCTGTTGCTGTGATGATAATTATTTTTTATTCGATGTAAATAGATACTCAAAAAGAGACTTCATGTCAATCTATCTTTTGACATATGACGAGTCAGCTCAAAAGGCTTCGGCTCCCAACTGTTCTCCCCAAGCAGCCACCACAGACTTGAGACACAACCCGTCACAGTAGTGGTACTGATAACAGCCCTGCACATGAAGATTCCAAGTGCTTTGTGTGCCATTATAGGCTTGTGCCAAACACTAAAGGCTCAGTATGGCTGTGGACGCTGCTGGCCCGCGCCACTGTAGTGGTTGACAAAGTCGAATATCTCCTTGTGCCACACCAATTGGTTGGCTGGGTTTTCTATGATGTGGCCCTCGTCGGGGAAGTTGAGCAGCTTGCTGGGCACACCATTCTGCTGGAGCAGGTTGAAGAGCATGGTCCCTTCGCTCTCAGCCAGCCTGTAGTCCCGCGAGTTGTGGACAATGATGTGCGGCGTCGCCCAGTTCTCAACGTAGAGGAGCGGGTTGAAGTCGTAGTAGGGGTTGCCCGGCCTGAAGGCCGTCGAGTTGATGGGCCCCAGGAAGTCGTGGAAGGGGAAGCCGACGAAGTCCGTCGCGCCTTGCGCCTTTGGGTCAGGGTGAGCCCTTCAACTGTGACCAGGGCTTTGAACTTGCGGCCGAAGTCTTGCCCTTGGATCCTGTTCCGAGGGAATTGCTAGTCTTACCATGACATGGCGCGGGATAATTCATTTCATGCCACGTGGAATCACTGACCAGTTGGGCATGTAGCCCCCAAAGCTGGCACCAGCGTGGATACCGTTCTCTACGTCGACGAATGGCAGATTGTCCTTGACGTGCTTCCAGCAGTTCACGATATCACAGAATATGTACGATCCCCAGGTCCCGTAAGCGGCGTCGGTCAGGTTCTGGCCCCAACCCCAGCTCCCAGTCGGGTTGGGCGAGACAACGACGTAGCCCTGGTCTGCCCAGACCTTGAAGTTGAACTGCCCTTGAAAACCCCACATGTTGAAGCTGGCAGCCTCTGGGCCGCCATGGGTGATGAGAGCCAGTGGGTATTTCTTGGAGGGGTCAAAGTTCTCTGGATAGACCACCCAGGCCTGCTGTTCGATTTCGATTTCTGATGTGTTCGTGGTGTAGTAGAACTCCGAGGCGATGGACGAGTCCAGGCCCGCGGCCGAGAGGACGGGGTCCGCCTTGTTCGCTTCGAAATAGGTCCGTATGATTCCGCCGCCGTCAAAGTCCACGCTGTAGATATCGCACGGCGTCCAAAATTTGGAATCGGTTACAAGCAGAGTGTTGTTGGGTAGAGCGTAGGCCCCAAGCACCGTGCCGCCGTAAGTAATATTGAAGGGCTCATATGAGTCTCCGGCTGTGATGGGGATAGCAAAGAGGACTCCGGCCCTCGGTCGGGCGCTGCGGTGTAGATCCACTCCGAGTCTGAGGCCCAACCTATCTGGAGCGGAGACCGGTCCCAGTCACTGGCAAGTCGGGTGATGTTAAAGTCGGCACCCGAGCCATGTATCGATGTTGTGTTGGAGATATCGGCAACATATATCTGGTTCTTATCGTTTCCATTGGTGATGCTTTTTGACTGGGTGTACAGAAGCTTGGAGCCATCAGGGGAGAACTTGGGCGACGACGACAAGCCCTGCGCTTCGGGGTATTTTGATCCATCGCGTGGATTTACTGGGACTGCGTCAGCCGCTACATCCTCAAAAGGGACTACATAGATCTGAGAGCTGGAATAATTGGCCAGAGGGAGGTGAATGTCCTGGGTGTTAAATGTCACTAGACTACCGTCTGGCGCAAGGTCGTAGTCGTTGGGGTCAGCCGAGCCAGAATCGCGTGGGCTTTCAGCGCAGGTGACGTCGCAGATGCCCGTCACGTAGTTGCTCAGCTCACCGTCGAAGGTATAACTTCCATTCCCCAATTTCAAAGTACCACCAAAGACGGCATTTCGTTGAGGGCTGAGCCAGTAGTCCCAGACGCGGACGTAGGTGCTGTCATAGACCCTGGCACTGCTCCCGCCCAATGACACGGGGTCCACAGCCTGCGTTGGGTTATAAGCTGATCCGTCTGGGTTGGCCTTGGTGTAGAGCAGGAACCTTATGCTCCCGTCTGCTACCTGTGCCGCTTTGAGCCCGGCGTAAGGCGCAGATAGCGTCGCGACCAAGGTCGAGGAGGTCTCGAGGGACGCGGCATCTGCCGTGTACAAGCCCACACTACCGTCGATGTCTGTCTGTGAGCTATTGATTTAGAGAATGCTGGTACATCTCGGGCCGACGAAGACAACCTCTGAGATCTCATTGCCAAGATACCATGTCCTGATGTCTCGTGTCAAATCTAGAAAATTCCAGAAGGGTATGACACCAGTGATAAAGCCACTGTTCTCGTCAAAAGTGTAGTTCACGCCATTAATTAATGCAAATCTCTTTTAGAAGTTAGCTATTTGGTCTCTGGCTGCATATCACTTCTAGAATAACTGGAGAAAATCATACGGGGGGAGTCTTACACCTGTCGGGTTAGGAATAGCAGGCGCGTACTGGTTTGCGGAAAGCGACTCAAGTGGTGTCAGGGCAAGGACATGCAGACATAGACCAAGAACTGTCGTCCCTATCCTCGATATGGTTTACATGGCTAATCTCTACCCGCTCAGGTCTAGCCTTTGGAATTTGCGTGCGAGATCCAGCTGCAGGTTACAAGCCCGAATCCACGGTGACGGATGTGGCGATGTGAATTATATACCCGGTACAAACTCTCGAAGGCTGAGACTTAATCACAGCGAATGGTCTCGGCGCTGTATTGCGTTCCAACTGAAAGCCATCTAACTATCACTTGCAGTCAAGGCTGGGTGGCGGCAGCCAAAACCAAGTGCACCGGGCTAGGGAGGAATGGCAAGTGGAACATCTCCTTTCGAGGAAGTACCAAAGACGGAAGAACCGAAATGCATACCCCTCTCTGCAGGTGCACATTTAATTGTACTGCCTCCTTGCTTGGCTTAGACACGGCAGGCGCGTGCTCTGTTCAGATCAAAAATGAAAAATACCACACAGTTGACACCACAACTTAACCAGCCACAAGGTCACGCCGAGCACCCAGGGCGACGCAAGCAATAAACATTAGATTGACAATAAATCTCAAAAGCATTTCATTCCAAATCCCTCTCGAGCGGGGTTGGGGATCTGACTCACCGCACTACCGGTGCTTCGTGACATTCTGCTGCACCATCGACCTCCGCTGCTCTTCACTAATAGCAAAATTTGAGAGACTAAACACAGATTCTACATCAAGCTCGTTCTTACATTTGAAGTTCAACAGCAGCACTTATATGAAGCCATCTTCTGCAGAACTGTTCTCGTCTCACATCTCATAATGATAAGCTTGCTCTCTCAGTCGGAACGAGCAGTGATAAGACTTTCAATGCTCACCAATCTAGCAGCTCTATGTTATTTGTGCGGCCTGTCTCAGTATGAAAGCGCAGTACCAACAGAGGATATTACTTCAGCATCAAGGTTCTACTAGTATTTCTGGCTCGGCCTCAAACAAAACAGGTCTCTTCGCTCCTCGACAGGGCAAATACAATCTTCTATTGATGTCCGGATCCCTGAAACCTATCAGCATCTCCATGTGATGTAACTCATTTCGATAAAGTTGCGCGTCAAACACCAAGAGGATGAGTTTCTTATGGGCGTTTACCAAGGCAATAAATGGACCCCAGATAGATGACTGGCAGCTGAGAAGACCGTGAAGTAGGGGAAGACAGATACAGTCCCTATCGAGAGCACTTGACCAGGAAAGAAGGCCTTGCGGCCTTTGGCCTGATTTCGGAGGTTGATCTCACATCACTCTCGGTCTGAAAATTCACTTGAAGGCTGGATATACCAGATGCAGTGCAATCTGATTCAACCAGAGGCAGCCATCCGACAACTGGCATATTTCACACAATACTTCCCCAAGCCGGCTGAATAACACAGAGCACGAGGTGGCCTCAGATTCGATATTAGACGCATCACAATTTCTATGGGAACCATTACGACAGCGATGTTGGGGCTTCCTCTTGGGAAGCCTTCATGCACCATTTGACTTGCATTTGGCGCACCAAATTGATTACTTTGGCAGGTCCTTCTGATTGCCAATCAAACCTTAATGCACTCAAGCTTAGACTTTGATGAGTAGCGCATGCGGTGTCAGTGTGGGATAGCGCAGCCCACGTCACTGCCTCGAGCCCACTGCATTAGGTAGTATTGTTGGAAAGAGCTTGCAGCCAACCATGGCGAAGGTGGCCGCCAAGACGGCCGAACTCTTGGTTCTTAAGGACCCTCGTGTCCAAGGCCCGTGACCCATAAAGCGCACTTGAGCAGCAGCTGAAATATACTCCACAAAAGGGCTGGACTCGACCGTCTGGCCCGAGTCGCTCCATAGCTTCACATTTACCTAGAAACATGAGGATTTACACGCTATCATTGTTCGTCGCGGCTGCCGCTGCCCAAGCAGCTCCTGCAAACCCCCTCCCCTTCAACGGATGGTACGCTGATCCCGAGATCCGCGAGTACGACTCTGTCTTCTGGATCTTCCCCACCACGTCAATCGTCTTCGAGGACCAGAAGTGGTTCGATGCCTTCTCGTCTCCAGATCTTATCAACTGGACCAAGCACCCCAATGTCTTGACGACTGCGGCCATCAGCTGGGCTCAAGACAGCCTGTGGGCTCCGGCTTCCATCCGCGGGACTGATGGAAGGTACTATTTCTATTTTAGCGCGAACGGTCTTCGGAGTCAAGACACCACAGCCGGGCTGGGCGTTGCGGTCGCTGATGTCCCCGAGGTGAGTTGAACCCTGTTTCGTGTGTGCCTTTGTTGAAGCGGGAGATTTGGAACAACGGGGGCGGGATCTGGATGTCAGTGCAGGCGTCTTTTTCTTTGACGACGCCATGGACTGACGACCACCAACACGTAGGGTCCTTACAAGGACGCACTGGGCCGCCGGCTCTTGGATAGCGTCATAAATGGGGCCAACCCGATGGATCCGGATGTGTTTGTGGACGACGATGGTGTGACATACTTCTACTTCGGCGGCAGCGCCGTCAATGTCGGGCTTCTCAACGAGGACATGGTCAGCTTCCGGCCGTTCCCAGACTCCAACTCGACCTTCAAGGACATCACCCCGTCCCCCAGCTTCGTAGAAGGCACCAAGGTATTTAAGCGCAACGATATCTATTACATGTCATGGTCTGAGAATGGCTATGGCGATCCCACATATCAGGTTGCGTACGGTACGTCTTCTTCACCTCTGGGCCCGTTCACGCCCCGGGGTGTTATACTCGCGCAGAATGCGAGCGTGGCAGTGGCAACTGGTCACAATGGCATTTTGAATCTGCCGGGGACGGACGAGTGGTACATAGTCTACCATCGCCGACCACTAAATGAGACGGATCCGAATCATAGGGTAGTTGCCATCGATAGGTTGTATTTTGGTGAGGACGGGGAGGTTCAGTCTGTTGTGATCACATAGACTTAGCGAGGACGCATATTTTCAGGCCGCACATGCAAACAGGAGACGGTGACGCGTGTGACGCACCATTGAACAGTGTTATTAAAGTCTCAATCAAATCTCTACCTTGGTTTGCTTAATCTGGGCTATCACCCAGTGCCAACACGGGGCGTATACTCTCGACTTGTTATTACCCTTCCACATCAGATTTTATTGGATCCCACTGGGATCAATCCACTAGCAGACTCGTCGCTCTGCAGAAATGCTTGTCTGGCTGCTTGTGGATTTGCCCGCGCCCAAAAGCAAGCTCTAAATGTTGATTTGGCGATAGTACTTACAAAAGTCCATGTGGCGCTTGAAACATTCACCCGCCCCCAAACAAAAGGGAGAAAGAAAACGGGATTAAAAATGCTGGGAAATATCCTTCAACTTGGGCTCAATATTTCGACCGGATTTGGCAGGGCTTTGACAACAAAGGCATCAATCCGCGCAGTTCGATTAGAACGCGATCGCGGGTTCCTTCGCCACGGTCATTCGCTTTTCTTTGCTCGAGTTCACGTAGTGCAGGTTTCTGGACAGTGAACTGGAATTACGGTACAGAAACTTTCCAATAATTCAATTATGGCCGCACAACAGCGCGGAGTTACTCTGGCGCCGGGAACAATCAAAGATGATGAAGAATACTACATGAGATACGTTCCACTATGGTCAACACCAGGGAGAATGTCCCAGGAACGACGCCCGGCTATCGAGCCGGGTGACCAATTTAAAAATCCGAGCAAATACGCACTGTCTGTCCAGCTCATCAAGTTTTCAACAAACAGGATTGCTAATGTGCAATTGAATACACAGCCGATTCGGAATTGATTCACATGCCCCATTTGATAAAGGCGTCTCCATGTTGACACCTCCTCTGCTCCCTGGCATCGAGGATTGGACCTCAGACTGGCAAAGCGCCATCTTTTCTGGATACACATCTCAGCAAGTAATGCTCACCAGTTCTAGGATCTCAGGTTGCAAAACCCTAACTGACAGTACTCTTCGGGTTCTAGCTGAAAGACCAGGGTGTTTTTGATCCAGATTGTGAGTATCTTTCCAGAAGCATCCACAAAGCCGGCTTCCGTACTTGTCTCACTCATAATAATTTCTTCGTGCCGCCAAAACTCTGATACTTAGCGAGTAAATGGCTCTTGGGCTAAAATTTTGACCTGGGTCCACTGGGGAACTTCTCACCATTCTGCCTTGCTGACCTTGAATATCCAGTGACAAATGATGGGTTGAGCGGCTGGCAGAACGAAGACCTGAGTGTAGAGTTGCATCCGTGAGTAGTTGATCGACCGGTATCTAATCCATGAATCTTACTAAGGCTGTCAATAGCGTTCTGAGGCGTGAAAGATGGGTCGATCAAACAAGGGAAGGATGGAACCCGCAGATGCCGGAGCTTCGTTACCGGGACGACAATACTTTTACAGATATACGATGGACCATGGAAGAGGTATGGATACTAGCTACTTGAACTGGACGATGTGCAGCCTTCACTACCAATCATTTGCCTTTGACCTGTAGTATTCACCTAAAATAATTTTGGTGTTTAGGATTTGATATGGACGGCGATGCAACCGGCACTAAAGCTTGTGACCAACGTTATAAGGTCAAGGCATCCATTCTGGTGTGCTTTGTTGAGTATCTACCATATGCGACCAGTTGACCTTGGCCGCCTACCTTTTGCAAGAGACGAGTATCCGCATCATGGTATGTAGGACTTGCAGCACACTTACAGACCAGTGGGATACAGACCTTGCTAAGTTCCCTTAACATGACTAGATCAGTGGACGGATATCGCGACGGTTTGGCCGGAAGTAGATGAAAGTCAAATGTTTCCCGAGGCCCGTTAGTACATGTCTCCTGCCATTGCAGTTGCCCGGCTGTTGTTTTCTGCAATCTCTCCAAGGACTTCTGCGTTAACTCAGGGTCTGTAGGGTTTTACTAACGCACAGTAGGGTCCTTGAAGGCGCTTGGATTTGATGCCGCCAGTGTCGTGGAATACATGCTAGAGACATACGTGCAATTCAACTTTTGGGACCAGACAGCGGCAGTTCCTCCAATCGCGAACGTTGCTGAAGGCTACATACGCTGGGGCAGAGGCGCCCGGGCTCCTGAGTTTTCGTACCGGATCAGAATATCAGCACATCTTGTGTGGCCGTTACTCACAGATCGGTATACGGTACCTGAGAAGACTGCTTGCTCGTTCTATGTTGCGAGCGTTATATTCCATGAGCTTGCTGTAGGTATATCTCCCTCACTGTTCCTCCGAAGGTCACTGACAGCTTGTTGTATACTGCTATAGCATGCTGCCAACAAGATAACTTGGCATATGTTGTCTTCTCAGGGATGGAACCATGACACAGCGCTGGCTGGATTCCATTCGGACCTAACGCAGCTGCCACAAAACATACTAGACCTTCTGCTAGCATTGGGTAGAAGATTTTTCAAACCCGAGGACTTCGCATCGCTCGATGTTCCTTATCTCTCATCAGTCTTGTGAGTAATACGGCATCCCTGCCTTTGCTTGTCATCAAGTTGCCCGGGAACAAGTTCGGAAGGGCATTCGAAGATATAAGAGAGCAATTCGACCCACCAGTTCTTGGCATTTAGGGGTGCGTCAACGTACTATGGCTGATAGTTATCTCAACAGCTCTGGTGATGAAAGTCTTGCAGAGGAAGGGTTTGCATTGGAAAACGAGGTATTTAAGAAAGTTGCTGCAGATATGGACGCTTTCCTCCGACCAAAGCAAGCCTTCTTTGATGTTGTCTGACTGTGTTGAGCAGCTGTGGGGTGGTCCCGTCTGGACGATGATCGAATTTGGTACCGAACACCCTTTTCAAACTGGATTTCCGAGCATAGTCTTGGCACTCAGAGGCTGGCCCTTTTCAGAATTTACTGCATCTCGCCCCCAGGATGTGTCGGGTGCAGTCGATTCGAGTAATTTCCCATGGGTAAGTCTTGTTTTATTCCCCTTTTACTTTTGAAAAGCAGGTGTCTCCTCATGTAATCAAGTTTTTGCACCAACAATACTGGTGTCTCTTGACAAACGTGTTTCACCATTTGCAAAAGGTGGAATCGACAGGCTGAGCTGTGTGATTCAAGCTTCTTATGTATCCGCCTCCGAGCGCCATCGGCAAAGCCACAGCCATACCGCTCGCTATAGTCAGCCAACTTTTCACTCAGACATTCTGGGCGTACGGTACAGCCACAAAGTACGGCCATCAGGCTCTGAAGATCTCAAATCACATGTACCTGCACCGGTTGAAAACTATTTTCTCTACTAGTCGCAGGCGCCGGCCGGAATACGACGAGGTGTTTGCCATCCTCGGCAACGTATTTAATGCGATGGAAACGGGCCGTTCAGCCCTCCAAAGGCACGCAGATTTGCGCTGGGCAGTTGTAGCAGACTACTTGACAAACTTGACGGATCGCTTTGTTGAGTCGCGCATGATGCTTCGGGGTCTGCGACAACAGAGGCGAACATGGACAGCTACCGATCGTGAGATCCAGGGGCGCGTGGCCGATATGCAGAATATCAGTGGGGAGGCGATGGCTCACCTGGATGATTATAGAAACACGGGGGCGGCCCGCGAGTTCGACGCGTACCTCGGTCAGGTGGAGTCGTTGTTCAATACAGCCAGCGAAGTGCAGTCAAGGCTGGGGCGAGAATGTCGGTCCCTGCAGCACCTCGTTGTGGAATTTGTGAAGCAGGATGACGAGGCGCGGGCAGAGTTGTCCAACGAGCACATGGGCCACTTGGCAGTCCGTATCAGAGACATTTTCTGTCAGAGCCTGGAGCAGGCAAGCGCCATCATTTCACACCACGATGAACAGATACGGCAGGCGGAATCGGTAAGCAATCTTCCGGATTATGTTTTCACTTTTATGTAAGCACGTCTCACCTATAGTCGTGAGCTGTCTCCTTTCTGGCCCTAGAGGTCTTGTGGCTCCTAAGATTTGAGGCAGGCAATCAGCAGACGCCATCCTGCTCTGCCTCTTTGCGGTGCAGGGATTGGTCTTCAGTACTCTGGTGACTGACTCTGAGTGCCACAGAACCTTCCGCGCGAAGCAAATGCTCTCCTACTCAACCGTTGCACTAGTTTGACCACTATGAACAGCTCCATCATGCCAAAGTTCATAGCGACGCAGAAGCTTCTACTTGATGTAGAGGAAATATTCAGAGATTCCTCTACGAACTTCCAGGCCGCGTTACCCAGGCTCAATAGCGTAGCTGATTCAGCCGGTTTGGGCGAAATCAGAAAGGACCGAAAACGCCTTAAATCCTTAGCAATGCGGCAAATGAGAAACATGAGCTCAGATGATACGGTTCACGGCGTAGTTACTGATTGGCTTGGTACAATCAAGGCGCTCCATGACGTGAGGCATGTAGATATAGACCTTGCGCTTATGGCAGCAAATAGAGGGGCCCGGTGAATAAGAGGGGTTCCGTACGTCTTTACAACGAGTGCCTTCTGGCTCTTCTGCGCTGAGAACTTAGACGCACGCCCACTTCGAATACAAATCATCGCACTGTTGTCAAACCCCTAGTTGCCCTGCCACATCGCCATAGAGAACAGATTTCTGAGCACATGTAAACACTTTCCGAGACTAGCTCCATTATCTATACTATAACACAGTATCCAGTATCTACAGAGACCCTCAGCAGTGTTGATTCATTCGTCGCATACAAAAATTATATTGGTATATTATCTTGCCTGTCAAATCGTCAAATTTGGAGACCCAAGGTATCAGGAGTGTTTGGCGCACGGTGAAGGCCTATTCTGGAAAGGCATTCCGCACACATGCATGCTAAGTCTCAGGGAAATGTCGCTGCGCCGCCGCCCTGTCTATAAAAGAATAGGGAACCCTGGAGTTCTGGAGTTCTGGAGAAGATTTTCAGCTGTCTTTTACTGTTCCGATATACTGCTCCCACGCTGCTTCTGCGCTGCTCACCTGCTGCGTATACCTATTCACTCTGGTTGTGTTCGGCCACTCTTGCACAAGGCTTGAGAACGCTGCCTAGGTATAAAGATCTAGACACGATCACTGACTTAATGTGGAGCAGATATCACCGTATCAGTGGATGGTAGTGTCGTAGACGGATGAATTTGGAGGCCGATGTGTTATCAAATAGATACACAGCATTCTTTCCCCACAGACGTATCTAATGTGTCGTCTCGGGGATCATACATGTACCCAGGCACACTCAGGTCCCCGGCGGTCTATACTCTGTCTAATATACAATTTTTCCCAATGCGCCACGGCCCTATAACACAAACTTTGAAGAAAAGGACTTTCCTGACACAAAAACTTGAAACTCTCAACCAATGTCTCTCTAGCAAGCGAGGGATTCTATCGGAACTTGTCAGCTTCTCAAATCTGTGGATTGGCAAGTGGAGAACCATGAAGCGCAACGACGGCACCATCAATGAGTCCTAGAAGGTGGGGCAGAGAAACTTACCAGCAGTGTGGGTGCAAGAGCCGTCGCTATTGTAGCTGTAGTTGATGAAGCCGCCGTCACCTTGAGGGAAAAAGGTATTGCCCTTTTGCATAAACATGCAGTCGTAGCTGTTTTCACATTAGCAAGATTGACAGGCAAACTTTGGGTTGTCAGTAGAGGCCGAGGAATGGTTACGCACTCGGTATGAAGGCTGCCAGACTTCAACTCGACCTTGGTGGCTTCGGAGTGGTCGGCATTCGCAAAGGTATAATCCATGTTGTAGCAAATGGCGGCGACGTATGTCCCCGGAGAAGGATTCTTGGACCACATCTCAGCCGTAACCTTTTGCGTGAAGGACTCGCGAGCCTCGGTCCCTGTTTCTTCGTTAGCCAAGTTCTGTCTTTCTCGGGCTCAATGAGCACAAGGAGTATCTTACAGTCGCTCAGGTCTTTGACCAGGCCGATGGCTGCATCTACAGCCTTGACGGCTACTTGCCCGACTGCGGCTGTGGCTGCTGCCATGACGAGAGCCTCCACAACGACCCGCTTCTCCAGAGCGGCCTCATTGGTCTCGATTTGGTCCTTCACGATGCGTGGAGAGGGGATCATCAGGGCCGAAACGCCGGTCAAGGTGGTAGCGACAATCGAGAAACGCATGTTGAATATTTTTTCAAGGATGACTTTGAGATTGAGTTGGTGTGAGAGGAAGTGTTTCCGAAGCTGGGGGAGGCTAACAGAAGAGCGGTAGTAGTTGGATTGGAGGAATTGAACGTTGTGATAGATTGTTGGTCTTGGGAAACTGTTTGAGGCTTCAGATGAGGAGTGAGTGGATTGATGAGGAACAAGACGTGGTTGTATGAGCCGGAATCGATTGCTTATATACGAAATTTCTTGATTGTCCGTAGGTCACGATTGTCTTCTCAAATTCTCAAAGGAGGTAATCCAAAGTTGAGTCTGTCTATTCCTGGGCCAACTGCATTCCAGCATGGCCAGGATTCAAAGACCAGGGAGCCGCCGTGGCACCCCCGATAATAGAAGTGGGACTTATCATGGCTTTTAGTTTTGTTTACTTTCCCAATTTACCCGTTGATGCAGTTCAGACTGTTTTGAATGCTGCTGATGAGTGTCACGCATCAAGGCACGGTTCCTATCCAGCCCGCAATCCAGCCTTCGTCCAAGTGCTCAGCCGCAATGCTTGGCGGTGGTGCAGAACGGAATCTAGATTCTTACAATGCGTTAAAAATAAAACCGTGCGTTAATTCAGGCCATTCTTCCACTTTCGGTTGTATGTTCACTTTGCAAAGACTGCATGAATCGTTCAAGCCATATTCTACAATTATCCGCCGGCTAAACGACTTGAGTCAACATACTTTCGATCTCAACATTGTTTAACAAACATCTGGAGGTACTCGGAAAATTAATTTATATGCTACTTCACAAGCATAACTCAAAAACGGAGGATTGGGTGAGAGGTTCTAGACCACTCGAACTCATTGCCCCCGGCAAACACGCGTATCCATGGATTGCCTGGGTAGCTACGAATGGCGAAGACTTATAGAATTGACTGTGAGAGAAGCCCGTTGGATTCTGCATGCAAAGCAGGGCATCAACCTTGTCTCTTCGGAGTATCCTGTACAATCACCCAAGTATTCATTCGGACCCAGGATATCGGAGCATCACACGCATCAATTCGCCATCGCGTTCAGTCACATGACTGCTCGTCTTCTTGCCGGGAGATCTTCACTAACGCATGGGGACGGGCCGCTGAGCTTAGTTCGTTAGGTGCCTGCAGCTATAAATAAGCTTGGCCTCTTCCCAATGCCACCAGAGCGGGCATTGCCGGAGACACCGCGTGGCATGATCATTTCCTTCCCTCGTACATATGGCATGTGCGGAAGCCCCAAACTTTTTTTTTGGCATGGAAACGGTTCGTACCCACAGTAATAGGTCTAATATACGGCGTAAAGCAGCACCTCTAAGTTCTGCTTCCCTCTAGTAACTAAGCTATTCTCGTTGCCGGCATGAACGTGATCCCAGCCATGATTGTTCGCTGGAGGCAGATAGGACGTCGAAACTGAGGCCAGTCATCTGTAGCAGCAGAAAGAGGATATCACTTCAGTTATGCTCTACGTTGACATCGTTCGTCTCCCAAGCGCTAAGGCACAAAATTTGACCTTGAACCAGCCCACAAAGCTTTTCCAAGCACGCAGCCTGGGAAAGAACGAGAAGAACTCTTTGAGAGTAGCGACAAATGTCCTGGGCAATCAACTCATCGGCGTGCTTGGTCTGATGGAGACTAAAATCAGGTCATAAACAAGACTTGTGCTGCACCCTCCTGGCTCCTGTGGTGCCCGCTCTTCAACCTAGTGTACTTGACGTGATATATGTGCTCATAACTGCGCCTTTCTCGGTCAATTTTAATCTTTGGAAGGCGCTATCCTTTCTGGAACAGTTGAGCGACCACTGACAGTCGCCACTGTAGCGAGGCGGTCTCACACACAAAATGAACACGGCGGAGATGCGGTGTTTTATGGCATGGTTTGTTGGCATTCGTTTATCTGTGATCTCAGCGAGTAAGAAACCTTGTTTCTCTAGGATGTCTTCGTATGAGTCGCCTGGTCAAGACCATCACAGGCTCAGAGAGCATTGAGACTGGCTGTCCAAATGCAGCTCTTCGGTCAGTAATCTCAAGCTTTGAAAAGGGTGGTTCAACAGAGGGTACAGTCGATCGGGGGCACACATTTGGAAGACGTTTAATTTGAGGCAACGTGGCTTTCTACAGGCCGAGATGGGAAAGAGTCGAAACACCGCTTCACTGCCTTCGAGGATCGATGGCCGATCTTGGAACCCAAGACGATGCGCATGCCTGCTCATAAATTTTGAGACATGGGTCCTAAATTCTCATCATCTCACCTGGGAGGACGGCCTGTCCTCCTGTTCTTGTTGCTTGGGCTACGAGACACTGAATTTGAGGTTGGGGGGGGGGGGGGAGGCAATTGACAGTACTTCAACTAAACGATTTACCCGGCATAACCCACGGCTGCAAGTTTCGACAAAGAAACTCCGTAAGGGGGCAATAAGCAGAGTCGTCACGCCTTGGGACATCAGCAGGGACCACTCCATGGGACGTATCTATTGTAAACAGAGACTCGCAAAATCTAGGCGTGCTCGAAATGGGTGGTGCGATGGCACCTGTGCAGTGCTTGCTTCGTTCAAGGAAATAGATGTTGTACAAGTCTCAACCCTGGAGTCACAGCTGCGGCGAAGTCCTGCCTTCACCCCTTGTTGTCTCAACTACCTACCTAGGTACCTTAGGTACCTTAGGTAGCTAGGTAGCTTGCCGAGCCTGCTCATCTGGGAAGTCGAGTACAGTACGATGCAGCTGCTCGGGTGGTCGCGACTTCCACGTGTGACCTACCGTGGCTTCTTCACCGCCTTCGCGCCATGCTCTTCCCCCCGCCCGCACTTTGATGGATCTTGAAGACTGACTCAATTTTGTCTGAGCAGGACGGTACAGCTCGGCACTGGCATGCTTTATACACTCGCCAACTCCGTGGGTGACGCCTTCCTGGCCGGTGGTCATCAAGAAGTCTACCCGCAAGTCCGAATAGTGGGAACCCCACGGTCTGGCGAAAACACAGCATGCTTCGTTGAGCGCTGATGTTCTGGATCATCCCACTTGTGACACACATCGAGCGAGACAGCGCCTAGGCAGACAGGCCGTTGCATCCACCAAGACACCAGCCCAAACCAGAGTGGCGTGTCTCCAGAGCAGCATTGTTCGACCTGTGAGGTCACTGATCTCCAGTCTTCCCCGTACTCCCTGGCGCGGTATCGCCCATATCGCTCGAATCCCTCCGCGACTGCCTCCAAGCCGCCGACGTCCGCCCGTCTTGATGCACTTGCCATCCACGAAACATTGGCACCGAGTTCAAACGCCTCTTAGACAGAAGTGACGACCGAGCATCACGACGGGACGAAAATCTGGGGACGATACAGCAGCTCTGGGGCTCTAGACTGCGGGCTGTCATCGCGAACTGCTACGCTTCACCCGAGAACGCTGGTCAAATGAGTGCCCGAGGAAAACACCGGTGCCTAGACCAGGGGAGCGCAACACACTTGTGTCTGTCTTCATTGCGCGGCTTTAAGTCGGTCCGAGGTCTGCAAGAGACATTTGACGGATTTCAGAACGACTCTGCGAGGAAGTCGATGGATATTACAACAAGTCGAGTTTGCTTCGCCAAATACATTGGCTGGTGGACCCGATTCGTTGGGAGCCGTCGGCTCGGCAGCAACCGATCGACGGGAATTTGGTTCGGCCCCTTGCCAGAGTTAATAGTCTAATAGCAGCAATATACGGACGGCGCGTCGGTGAATTCCCCTAGCAGGCGCATCGGGGTCATCCACGGCCTGTCGGCGCGCAGATGGCTCCTCCGACCTCACCTCAAGGCCTGGTCATCGGCTGCATTCCGGGGCGGTCACACTTGGAGGCTCACCTCATCAAGACGGCAGCATGGTCGTTCAGGATCACATTGAAAAGGAGAAGGTACCACAGTAGAGAAACACGCGCCCAACGGATGACGAGCACTCCGGCTTGGTGTCAGTGGGACTGTTGGATCAAATGTGGAGAGCCAAGACTCGAAATGCGCTACTCCCATTGCTCATGTCTGATGTCCGGTGTGCCGTGTCGCAAGGGCTTAGAATAGGCCCTGGCTAAACTGGTTTCGGTCCTGGCACGTTGGTGCTGCCGCTGCACAGGGCTGCCTGCGCGTTTCACAACTGACCACCGCTGCATAGCGTCCGCCGTGCTGGTGTGGCGTCCCAGCAAGCCAACAGCCGCAAGTCGACCCCATTGTCACATTTCGCCAAATCCAAGAATGCAGGAGCTCAATCTACTACGCACCAAGGCGACGCCAGGTCGCCGGGGAAGCAGAGCAGTCGTGGATTGACAGCTGTGCACGTCAAGGCGGCAGCGAGGTGCTGCAGGTGAGATGGAAGGTCCGAAAAGCAAAAGCTGGTGGGCTCAGAAGCCGCGCACTCAGCCCCCCCCCCCCGCCTTGGTCAAATCAATTCTCGAGGGCCGCGCGTACTTACGCCCACGAACATGACAGTCTGCTGTATTCCGCCATTCCCCCACCCTCGCCCTTGAGGCCGACGGGCTTTGGCCGTCTTCACGGGACCAACGTCAACTCCGCCAGCCACCCAAGGGCTGCGCAGCGGCTGCCTGGGTTGCAACTCACTCATCTCAGGACCAAGCGCTTGCTGCCCTGTGGTTCGCTACGCGAGACCCATGGGCGGCCGAGCTGAGCAGTGAGGCGAGGTCCCTCGCAGCGGGAGTCCGTTGCTCGATTGGAGTCCCGGGGAGGTGATGATGGATCTGCGCTGCGCGTCTTGCTCAGCTGTCCTGTCACCCTCACCGTCCGAAGCCGAGGACAGGCAGGATAAGGCCTACCTACCGGTGAGTGTCCGGACCCTCTCTTTTGTGCTGCCGACTGCCAGGCGTGCAAGGATGGTCCGGTACTTGTCGAGGACCTGCACGACCACCCATGCTTCCCTTCGTCTCAAGTCCCCGGACTGCATGGTCGGAGTATTCCTTTTAAGCATCCCTAAACATCTCATGTCCTGGTTTCCGAACTACCCTCATCCCCGATACAGCCAAGACGATCCTGGATCTGCAACTCGAAGCGTGCCGCTTACCCACGTATCCGTACATGTGGTGTACTCTGTTAGCCTTACGGTCAAGCGACGTAATCCCCTGACAGCGTCCCCATCCCCATGCCCCCCCCCCCAGGTCACCACCCGGTCTGTGAGACTCCCCAAGACACTTGGCACCAGTTCGGCCTCGTGCACTGTGGCTTGGCTGTTGCCATGCGTCTTGCATCGCACTCTTGGTCCGGACCTGATTCATGCTCCTGGGGGCCGGGAACCAGACTGTGTCTCCTCTTGTGCGCTGGTCTCGCGCTTGGGTCGCTGCGACAATTCGCTTGTCGTTGATACTTGACTCTCTCGGCACCCCTTCCCCCAATATCCAAACCTTGATCCCCTCCTACTCAACTTCATCTCGAACTGCTGCCTTCTACAATATTCTCCGGGGCGACGTTAGAATCAGCAGAGCTGTAATCTGGAACCTCAGGTCAGGTTGGCAGGTCAAACAGGGAAAAACGATAATCGCCACGTACTGGGGAATTTGTCTGGGCGCAGTCACCGGATCCAACGAATATCACAGGCCTTACGTACGAAGCCCACGAATATTCTCCACTCAGCCCTGCGCCGCCACTTTCCGTCTTTCTTGGTACTTCCCAGGTAATACAATACAGCAACACCACCCCAGATGATATAGCAACTTCTCTCCTATCTTTTCCCTTTCCCAGCCGCCCCATCGGGACCTCGCTCGGCTGTGGTCGCTACTCCTCAGTTCCCTACAAAATATCTTGGGTGGAGATATCGCCCACGACGACGACCATAATGAAGTGCACGACAATACTGGCCCTCTCGGCCTCAATAATATCATCAGTGGAGGGTATCAGCTTGCGGAAAAGAACAGACGGAGCGACACCAAGGGTATTGGGTCTGCCCACACAAAGGAAGACAGTAGCAAATCCACATAAGCGAGACCAATTACGGAGACGAGCGTCAGTAACGGCCAACCTCGACAATGAGGAAACATTATATTTCATCAATGCCACCCTGGGGACCCCGGCACAGTCCCTCCGACTTCATCTCGACACCGGCAGCAGTGATCTGTGGGTAAACACGCCGAGCTCAGCACTATGTACGCAAACATCAACACCATGTGCGTTTGCGGGCACATATGACGCCAATTCATCGTCGACATACGAGTACGTTGGCTCGTGGTTCAACATATCTTACGTCGATGGCTCTGGGGCAAGTGGTGACTACGTGACGGACACGATGTCAATAGGCGGGACGACACTGAGCGACTTCCAATTCGGCATCGGCTACACCAGCAGCAGTGCCCAGGGCATCTTGGGGGTGGGATATACGGCAAACGAGGTGCAGGTCGGTAGGGCGGGGATGTCGCCCTACGACAACCTCCCGGCGAAGATGAAGTCCGACGGCAAGATCGCGTCCAACGCCTACAGCCTGTGGCTGAACGACCTCGATGCCAACACCGGCCAGATCCTGTTTGGCGGCGTGGACACGGACCAGTTCACGGGGGAGCTGCAGACGCTGCCGATCCAGGCCGAGGGTAGCGTCTACGCCGAGTTCTTGATCACCATGACGGGCGTGTCCTTCAATGGGGAGACGATTGCGCAGGACCAGGCGTTGGCGGTGCTCCTGGACAGCGGCAGCAGCCTGACATATCTGCCCAACGACATGGTGGAGACCATCTACGACAAGGTATCGGCGCAGTACGACAGCAACGAGGGCGCGGCCTACATCGCGTGCAGCATGGCCAACAGCAACTCCACGCTCGACTTCACCTTCAGCTCCCCCGTCATCTCGGTCGAGATGAACGAGCTGGTGCTGGACCTGGTCACGGCCTCGGGCAAGCGGCCGCGCTTCTCGGACGGCACCGAGGCGTGCCTTTTCGGCGTCGCCCCGGCCGGTTCCAGCAGCATGGTCCTGGGCGACACGTTCCTGCGCAGCGCCTACGTCGTCTACGACCTCGAGAACAACGAGATCTCCATCGCGCAGACGAACTTCAACGCCACCACCAGCAACGTGCTCGAGATCGGCACCGGCGCTGACGCCGTGCCCAGCGCCACCGACGTTACCAATGCTGTGGCCGCCACGGGCCTCTCGGACTCGACGACCATTGCCGGAGGATTCGGACTCGAGAACGCCGCACCGCGCCGGATGGACGACGGTGCTGCCCTCGCCGCGGTCGTCGGCGCCGCCATGGCGATTGCATTCGGGACTGGTGCGGCTATTTTCTAAGCTGGAAGACGATACCAGCACCCCAAATGCCCTTGTACCTTACCATTGTACACTGGACCTTAATTTTCGAGCGGGACCTTGCAATTGGGTCGTTGGAAGATGGATAGAGGCATGGGCGAGTGTTTTCATGAAGCGAAGCTTGATGGGATGATTTACTTTTCTTTTTACATGTTTACGCATTTTGCATATCCTGTGGACATATACAGAACTATAAAGAACCCCATGGTGGGGGATCATCATGGCATTGCATGGCGTTTATGGTCGGTGGAACGAGTCGTCTCGCGCACGAGAAGGGGAGGGAAGATGGAAGAGGTGGAACAGACGTCTAAAAAAGAAAGTTAGTTAGTCACGCATGTGGCCCAATCTACAGAACAATTTCCAAATCGAAGTTCCCAATGTTTACTTGTTCGCGTAAATGTGTCTTGGTGATATGTATGACATGCTCTCGCTGCCATTACCTCATTCTCCTCCGCCGCTGAGCAGACAGCTCGGTTGTCGCACATGTGGCCAGGGGCGATTGCGGCTCGTTGGTTACACAGTCACAATCTCGGGGTCGTATTCGGGAGATAGCCAACGAACCCGGACTGCCGGCTCCGGGTTCCTGGAGGCGACTGGGGTTCGTCGAGGGGCTCGTCACCCTTTGTGAAACCACCAACGGGATGTGGCCTGGCCTGGGGTAGAGTTCAGACCTAACCTTCTAATGCATGCGAACTGGCGCAACCCGCCATCGAGACACGCGTTGCTTCTGTTGGGTTTGATTTAAGGGGCGCCACGGTCCTTCTACTAGGAGTAAAATTCCTCCTAATCGTACGTTCTATTCCCGTTTGCCTCTCCTTGCAGAGAGGATGGCGACTGGTAGAGATGTGAGAGCAAGACAGAATCATCTTCGGCCGTGGCATCATATCTCCGAGTACACCCGAGCTCATCATCGGTCGACACTCCCGCGCCCGGCCACGCAACAACAACCAGCAGTATCCATCCCATCGCACCCCGTCCTCGCCGCGCACCTCATCTGAAGATCCAGAACGTCTCGCCCCAAAGTCCCAAACTCAAGCCATCTCCCCCGCCCCCGGCGAACCCTCCCCGCCCAGCCAGCAAACCTGACCGACCAGACTAACCCCCTCTTTCCCCTCTCCACCAATTCATCCCAACCCCCCAGCTGTCTCGCCGCCGTCGCCGTCGGCAGCGGCGTCATCATCAGCAGGTATGTACCGCCTCATCACGTCCCGCACGTAACCCGCACGCAGCCCCCACTCGGCCCCGGCCTCCCGGATGCCCGCGTTCATGCGCACGACGTACTCGGCCCGCGGCGCCGAGGGGCTCACCCGCGCCCGGTCGACGTACACGAGCGCCTGAACCATCACCGTGCTGCTGCTCTCGCCCGTGGCTTCGTGGGCTGGCACGCCGCCCCCGCTCAGCTGCTGCACGTCCAGGACGAGGTCCTCGTACGCCCAGGGGACGCCCTCGCACCTGTCGAGGCGCCGCTTCTCCTCGGGCGAGGAGAGGCGGTAGAGGACGCCGTACACACCGCTCCCTCCGCCGGGCGCCGTCGCTGACGTGCTGCTGGCTGCGCTGGTGATTTTGCTTGGTACGACGTTCGCAAAGCCGCGCTCGTTGATGATGAAGTCGAACCCCGGCAGGAACGCCAGCCCCACGGCCGCGGCGCCGGGGCAGCGGGAGCGCATCTGGGTGCTGCTGAGGTTGGAGCCGAAGGCGAAGTAGAGGAGCGTCTCTGGCTGCTGCTGGTTTTGTTGTTGTTGTGGCGGCGCCGCGGCCGTTGCGGCGGGTTTGTCGGTGTTGGAGGCCATGTTGGCTCAGATTAAGGTCAGTCACGTCGCATAAGAAAGCGGTGATGTTGTCAATGGCATGAGCTCGTCCTCCGTCCCGGGTTGCGCGTTGGCCGGTTGATGACGGAGAAGTATCCTTCCACTCGTGATCAGAGCTTCGTTGGGGGTGTGCCCAAGCTTCTTGTGTATGTTGACGGCGGTGTGGTGTGGCGACGGAGGTGAAGATGAGGACGAGGCCAAGATTGTGCTTGCAGCCTGGGTGGCAGAGGTGACAGAGACGGTTGCACCAGTTGCCTGCCAGTCTGTCTGCCTGCCCGCCCGTCCGGGATGCGTTGCTGTTCGCTTGACGAGTGGACTCTGAGTACACTCATACTACAATGCGAGGTAGCCCATATGGCGGCCGTGGTCACCTCGCAGGTTTGCTGCCTGAGAAACGATGGCCTCGGCTTGTCATTGACGAAGCGCATGCCGCCAAACAAATATTCTAACTAAGCTTTCATGTCACATCAAAGTCCACAGGTAAATCTCGTGCAAATGAGTGGCAGCAAGGTATGTCAAGATGAGAATCTCCTCTCAATTTCCAAATCGTACAGATTCCCAGAAGATGAAATAGTACGAGTACACGGCCAACATTCGCTTTTTGTCGCGCCCACCGGGGCAAGCCTCGCCACCGCCGGAGTATTATTACCCTGTCCTCAAAATATGCCTCCTAGTCGTCGTCCTACTCCTCCACATGCAATACGTATCCAGTAGGTATTCAGTAGGTCGTCCGTCCGTCTGTCTTGTGATCGTGTCTCGTGATACCGGAACACGTAGTAAGTCTTGGTCTATCTATATACACATAAAAGAAGGAAAAGAAGTAAAAGTGTTTGCCGAGCACCCACTGTTTAGGTGATGGACGCCAGGAAAGAATGGGCCATCAGCTCATCGGCGCTGGGTCGCTTGTTATGATCCAGCTCAAAGGTCTGGGCCAGGAAGCCCTGAGCCTCCTCGCTGGCGTGCTCGGGGATCGTGGGCGCCGCCTTGGAGCCGCCGATCTTGAAGATGGCCTGCAGCTGCGTGCAGTCTGGGAAGGGGTGTGTTCCGGTCATCATCTCGACAACCAGGCACCCCAGGGACCAGATGTCAGCCTTGCGCGTGTAGCTGGTCTGCTTGACGACCTCAGGCGCCATCCAGTAGACAGAGCCTTGCAGCGACGGCCGGTGCTTGTTGTTGTTTGCACCGCTGAGGATGTTGGTGGCCTCGAGCTTCTTGGAGATACCGAAGTCGGAGATCTTGATGGTTCCCTTGTTGTCGACTAGAATGTTGGCTCCCTTGATGTCACGGTGGATGATCTCCTTGCCGTGCAGGTAAGACAGACCCGTCAGGATCTGCCGCACGAAGCTGCGGACTAGCGGCTCAGGCAAGGCACCATACGAGTTCAGCATCGTCTGGACTGAGCCACCCGGAACATACTCGAGAAAAATGTTGAGGAAATCGGAGGACGAGCTGCAGCCGAGGTATTGCACAATGTTTGGGTGTCGGAGGTCTCGGAGCAGACTGATTTCCCGCTTCAGCGCCTCAATCATGCTCTTCTTGCGGGAATCATTCTGCGAGTTGGCACCGGGCGACGGCGACTCGACTTGCTTCACAGCAAGAAGCTCGCCAGTGACGGCGTGCAGAGCGAGGTAAACACAGCCGAAGGATCCCTGGCCGATGAGGGCACCCTTCATCCACTTGTTGTCGTCCCAAGACTCGCCCGACAGGAAGCTCTGCAGCTCCTCATCGGCATCTTCGCCGTCTTCGTTCAAAGCCTGATTGACATCTCTTAGAGAGCTCGACCCCGAGCCACCGGTGCTGCTTTCGCCGTCGAAGTAGCTGTGCCGGACCACGTTGCCTTCAGGGTCCGTCACGCTGACGGCAGCGGTATCAGACCCGCTGTCGGCGAAAGACACATACGACTTCCTGTTGGGCTCAACGGGGCTCGATTCCTCTTGTAGGGTATCAAGAACAGACGATGACACAGAGTCCCTGAACATTGGCGTCATCCGCCCATGTATATTTCTGGGTTGAACCTTGGCGAGCTGGGTATTAGCGTGGAGCCAGCTGTCGGCGATGGTAGGGATAGGAGGCGCATCCTGCACGCTCGAGGCAAAGCTGAGATTGCTGGCAACGCTGAGACGGCTGTTGTACTTGCTGAGGCGTTGAGACCTCCTCATTGACAGCCGAGCAGTGCGGTCGATGTCCTCGCGGGGGTGGTCCGGGAAGTAGGACGTGAGGTCGGATGCAATGAGCTCACTGGGCGGCCGCAGTCCACCAAACTGTCGCAGGACCTTGCGACTCCTGGGATTTGGTGACTTGGCATCATTGGAGGCGGGTCTCTCCAGCTCCCGTGCGGCATTCTGTACATTCCTTTCGCGGTCCTGGTACGTCACAGGCGACAGTGGTGGCTGGATGGAATCCCAGTTTTCGCCGAGTACCTTCTGAACCTTGGCCTGGCTTGAATGGCTGATGCTTCCAATCGCGCGATGATGGCTCTGCTGGTTCTCCTCCATAGCAATGGCCGCGGCCCGTTCGAGCTCGCCGCGGCCAGGCTCGCCAGCCGGCACCCGCCTGAGGATGAGACGGTTTCGCTCCGGCCTCTTTTCGTCCTTGATAATCTTCCATAGTTCGGTGTCACCAAGGCGGCGACACATCTTGGGGTTGGCCTCGACGCCAACTAGTATCCAGAAACAATAGTTTCTCTCGTGGTCTTCCCGGAGCGCGAATTTCCGCAACGTCAAGCGCATTACCTCGGCACAGTTTCTACAATCGGCGATCTTAACCACCTTCGTGACCCCGCCAGTGGAGATAACACGAATGACATCCTGGTTGTGAGGCAAGGCGGCCATGAGAGATCCATCGGCGCTGGAGCCATTCCTGTGATGGGCTGTTGGACCAGATCGCACCTGGGGAGGGGACGTGGGCGGGCGAGGCCCGGCAGGTAGGCCATGGCCCACTGTTCCCTGTGCGTATGCCTGGCGAGAGGTCTTGTAGTCCGCGCTTGGCAGGGGAGAGGTGGGCCTGGAGGATGGTTTTGCTACGTCGAGGGGAATGGCCATATCATATTGCCGAGAGTATCTCTTGTTCAGTAAGGGTGTAGGCTGGGAACGAGATGCTGAGTTTGGGGGACGAGGGGAGCCGGAGGATGACGGTGTGTATTGCTGCAGATCCAGACCACCGAAAGAATCCTAGAGTTCTCAGTCAGTGCCATGTCAAGACATCACTGCATGAAGTCGGAATTGACTTACCCTATTGCGCTTCTTTTGGTTGGCATAGGCCTGGGTCCTCAGCTTTTTGATGCCCAGAAACAGGCGGACCCTATCGCCAACCTTATCGATGCCCATCTCCTTCAGGACCTCCTTGTCCATTTCCAGCAGGTTCTCACCATTGATGTGGTTCTTCCTGAACAGGTTCTCATAGTCACCACACTTGACGGTCCTCAGGTAGTCGCAAACCCTATCTTCATCCCAGTACTTGACCGAATCTGGCCCATCGCCCTCGGAGAATTCGGATTCAGTGGGGCTCGCAAACGATTGATTTGTCGCGGGGATAGTCGCTGCTCTCCTTGGGGGCGGGTAGGAAGACTGCGTCGAGCTCGAGGGTACAAGTGTCGACTGGTTGGAGCTAAGGGACGCCTGGTAAGGGGACTTTGAGGCCAACATGGCCATGACGAACGAATTTCCGGGATTGAAGAGGTCGTGTGCAATATGTGTAGCCGTATGACCAAGTCTGGGTTGACTGGTTCGGGTGTTGAATAGTACGTTGGCCTGGACTAGCCACGCCGCAGTCTCGCCGCGATGGCCGTGTGGGTCGGATGGTCTTGCAAGAATTCAGTATCTAATGATGTATATGTGATGCTCGACGAGGCGTGGTAAAGTAGTCGTGTCTTGTCGCGTCGCAGTGTATCGAGCCGGCCAGATGCACCACGGTGGGGAAAGCAAGACCTTTAGGCGAAGCAGGCCGGAGTGGTCAAGTACTCAAGGCACAAAGAGTCCACACAAGTCCCAGCCGTCAAGGATTGGGATGGCCAAGCGAGGAAAGGAGGCGGAGGTGGAGGTGGCAGGCTTTATCTGCTGACCAGGCCGCGGCCGTATCTTGTCGTCGTAATGGTCGGGGTCAGCGATGGGTCGATGATTTAAAGGCTGGCAAATAAGATATGGCCCGAGCCTGAGTGGAGGCCCATCAGAGGTCTCTTAACACGGTCACCTGGCACAGCAAGGCGTTCTGCGTGATAAGTGATGGATTCCGACAAGATTCGATGTGTGTTCGATTAGGCTCCTGGGGAGAGATGCCCAGGCGGCGTGCAAGTCCAAAAGGGGGACAAGTGGGTATATTCGAGGCGTCTGCCGTGTCACGTTCGACCTGTCATTGCGTTCGGGGCGGGATCATTCTGGTCAAAGAAGAGCCGGGCGGGATATCTTTTGAAGAATGAGCAATGCAAGAGTGGCGGGGCGCGAAGGAGGGAGAGGGAAAAAAGGAGAAACAAAGGCGGGAGAAACGTGTGGTCTGGTCAAGGTCCAGGGCAGCAAAAGGCGGATGAAGTGGAGGAGGATGATGGAGAGGCAGTGGCAGCAGGCAGGAGTAGCAGTCGAGCAACACGCTGGGCGAGGGCGAGGACGAGAGCGAGCGAGGATGAGGGTGAGGGTGAGACAGGGGGGGTGATGGGGCCAAGAAGCGCCCTCTGTGCAGCAGCGGCAGCAACTGATAGGCAGGACGATTTGACTGCAGGAGTTGGTGGTGAGGCCCTGCCCTGGGGCAGACTGGGGGGTTGCCGGCGATTGCTACCGCTGGACGATGGGTTTGGGGGCCAGTCCACCCAGTCCACACCTTACAGAAGCGGGCAGCTGGCGGGGCGCGATTGGATTGGCGTTGGCAGGGCCGGGTTCGGTTTGGGCTTGGGCTTGGGCTTGGGTCTGATGGATGCAGCTCAGGGGAGGAGGAGGACTCAACCAGACAGCAGAGCAGCTGCTTGCCAGGGAGCCACGGACTGCGAGCACGATCAGTGGGCAGAGTGCCCAGGTTGGGCAGGTGGGCAGGTGGGCAGGTGGGCACTGGGCAGGAAGCCCCTGCTGCAACGGGCGGTAGCTCGTCCAGTGGCGTCCAGCTTGAAACGTGGGCTAGGGGGGGGGGAGGGCGGCCGTCTGGGCCGTCAACTTGGGGGCCTTGCGGAGGGGTGCACGAGCCCCCCCCCCTTTTTTGCCCTCTTTCCAGAATACGACCGCAGAAACTCTATCCTCCCTCAGACGAAAAGAGCCTGCCAAACAAAGCAGACAGAAGCCATCACGAACCTTGGCGCACATGGCAAACACGGTCAACAAAGGCCCAGCATACGTATATTTGCCCAAGGTTCCAACGCCAGGGCTGTGATGAAACAAACTGACTGCCCTTGCAAAAATAACAGATGGACAGTCAGATTGCATAATTCAAGCATTGTAAGCATTTACAAGCAGCTTATTATTATTGCAGCTTACAGCGTGCAGCCGATACGTCCGGCGTGTGGGTCATGTCACGCTGGTGATGACTTCGTGAGCGTGGCCGAAACATTTGAGTGCCGCAAACAAAGCATGTGCCATCCATCGGTCCTGCCATCCTGCCATCCTGCCGCTTGCCCCTCCCCCTCCCATCCGAAGATTTGTCTGCCCGTGAAGACTCTTTGACCTCACACACATCGGACGACGAGCTTGGGCCTCCTCCTCTGCTCCGCTTGACTGACCGTCTGTCCTGTAGCCGCTCCTCTCGCGGGCATTAACGCTCACGCTACCTAGGTAGATAGACTATGTCGGCCCGTGAGAGTTTGCCCGACTCAGTCGTCTGCCCCCGAGACTGACTTGATCCCATCCCAGTCCCAACATGTCGGGACTCACTTTTGTTCTCGGAGTATCTGTGCCCGTCGCGAAGAGGGCTTAACACCCGCATTATCGGTCAGCTTTTGCCGTGCTATCGGTCCAGCAACGGACTGGCAGATTGACCCAGAAGCCCGAGAGTAAGGGCCAGCTTGGTCGCGTCCAGCACACCGTCGTTTGCGATGAGGCTCTGGCAGACAAGGTTACCACTGTCTCCCGTATTCCTCGCTCTCGCACACCCTCTTACCCACCCACCTGAAAGCTTGGCTCGAATTCCCACTCGCTGCTCGCTGTGCCCAGGGCGGGCTCTGCCAGTCATGCCAATGCCTGACAGCAGACAGCCTGATCAGCCTCTGGTCGCGAGAATGCGACCTCAGCTCGCCAACTTGAAACCTGGGCCAGCGGCTGACGGCCAACACACCCTCGAGCCTGGTTGGTCGCCTCGGCACGGGCACACCTGGGAAACAATGACCAGCATGCCGTCAACGGTAGACGCTGCTAGTGCCTGCTGATCGAGTTTGGCCTCTCCACACGCAGTCCTCTCCCATTTGCTATATCGGGAGGTACTCCCTCGCCACCTTGCCGCAATCATCAATACAGTACCATCAGCCCATCTTCGGGCCGCATTGACTAGCAGCCAGAGGGAAATGGTGATAGTCGGCAGGTGAAGTCATCGAGAAGGGATAATTGTCGGATCAGCATAATATCTTGTCCTACTATTCAGCCATCCAGGTCATCCTGTCGCACCCGCATCCTTTTCCCCCCCTCACTCGACTCATCCTCCGGGCCCCATTGATGAGCAGATTAGCAGGCGATAACCGACGCGGGACGATCCACCGATGGCTCGGAGGCTGGCGAGCGTGGCAGCACTTTCATCCCCTGATGAGACCCCTGGGCCTCAACCATGCACGGCCAGCCTACCACAGTGACTGAGCGAGCGAGACTGACTGGCGATGCCCGTGGGATCACCATCGCTTTGGGCCTTTCTTTCGCGTCCCCCGTTTCAGCCAACGACGTCGCCGTCGTCAGCTCTGCAAAATCTGGCGCCCGTGTGCAAGAGCCTCAATATGGCGATCTGCCATGCTCCGCTGAACACACCTTGGAGGCTGCCAGTCTGCAACAGCCCTCCAATGGGGTGGAGCAAGACGTCCACAGACGCGAGTCTCATGCCCCACGCCCACATGGTCGTTCCGCCGGTTTTCCAGCGTCTGATCGTAAATCCGACCCCGGGCGACAGAGCGGCGGGGAGTTAGGCGTACACACGCCAGCCAGAGGGCACAGACTTGTGCTTGGACGGGCCGACCGTGGGAAGCCTTTCTGTTTCCTTTTCATTTTTACACCCTGCCAGAGGGAGTAGCGTTCATGGTGACCGGGGCCAGAATGATTCGCGATGGGCGTTTTACGAGCTCTTGGCGCTAGAGCGACAGGCGATCAACTTGAAACAATTGAGAGGAATCAAGATGCGGGACCGATTCGTGCCTCTTCCTTCAAGCGATGGAAAACGAATACGTGCGCATGTGCTGTGGATCACATGGGAGAGTCCTGTACAACACGAACCTCTGCATCTAGCATAGCAACCAAGGAAACCACCAGCTTGTTTCTATGATTTCGCGGGTGGGCCACCCGCAACCCTAACTGTAGGCCGAAGCAAGACCTGGCCCAGCAGGACATCAGGAAACAAACACATTGTTCGTCGGCCCTTGCTATCTTTAAGCTTGAGCTGATCTCTGGGCTTGTTCAATGTGGGGTGGTACAGTATCAGAAAGATTCACCTCGTCAACTGGAGGGAAGGTGGTCAGCCTTTGCGTAGCCGAAGCGTATGGATGATGCGATGCACTCGCTTAACATTGTCCCGCAGGGATCAACACCTTGGCTCGTGGGGCCGGTTGTACGCTTCCCCATTGTGCACCAGCATCTCGGGTCAAGTGATACTGTACTGTCGTATCAAGCCGCGAACCTCAGCAACATATTGTTCACCCCCTGCGGCTAATAAGAGGCAACACCTACGAGCGGCAACGACGCCAAACAGTGAGAGGCTCGGCCTACACCAAGAAGCTAGAACTAGTTCCGAAACATGCAGAGGGATCACTCTCCTCCGAACATGAGCGGGCAGGCCTGGCAGGACGTAGATCATAGAGGTCGGGATCCCGACTGCCCGACTGCAGGCCGTGTCGTGGTCAGCGCGCAGCGGCTCCAAAGACCATCAGGCAAGATGCATGCCTGCACAACATGAGCTACTTCGCCATTACCCCATCCGGAAACTCGGATCCCGTCAGGGTCCCACCAGGACGCGCCGCCTCCCACGTCCCCTTTGTGCGGGGGGGGGGAACAAGGAATTTTTGCTGTTGGAGAAGGCTAATTACATGGTGCCCACAAGAGGAGAGGTGTGGGTGCGTGTCTGTGTGCGTCTTGATATCGGCCTCTCACCGACTGGCCGCGGTGTCCAAGCTGGTCACCAGCAATCGGACGTGGCACGGCAGACGGCGAGGTGCAATCGCGCACACAGGCACAACAGCGCAGCAACACAGCAACACGGCAGAGGGAGGCCATGGGGGTACGGGAACTGACCGCCTCTGATGATTTTAGGTTTCATGTTTTGAATAGCAACACACGCGCGTCCGGAAAGATCTGCGTGGCAGTAAGTCAACAAGCTTGTCATGATGAGGTGGCTTCGGGGCTTCAGACATTGTCAAGTGTGGCCGTATGGACGCACACTTGACACAAGCCACACTTCTTGCCGCATATGACAAGCCACAACCTTGCTGTGGCACAGTCCACGCTAATGCCGTATGCGGTATGGAGACCGCCTGCTTCTCCACACCAGTAGTTCATTCTGATCCGTGTCATTGATTGGGGAGGCCGGGCTCATTCCGAGCGAAAGTTGGGCCGAGGATTTTTGCCTCCGCCGAGCAAACCCATCTACACTGAGTCTCCAATCAACCTGGGAGAGACTTGTGACAAACGATGGTGCATTTTGTTGAGAAAGTCTGACGATTCCCAGAGCAGGTACAGGACAACACAAGGCGAGGCGAAGGCTCACATGTGCCCATCTCCCCTCTCTCCCCCCTCCCGTCGGATGCTGCTTGGCTGGTTGTTGGTCCCTCTCGTGCTGCACCGGATGCGGCGAAATATCCCAGCACTTTCGTTGATCTTCGAGGGCCAAGCTACGTCCACACTTCGAGCTACCCCGGGAACAGGCCCTGCCGGCGCTCCTCCCAAGGCCTCCCGGCCCAGGCTAGCAAGCGGCCCTCTTTTTGACTTTGACCTTGCAGAGTCGTGTACTGTACTATACTCGAAGCAAATGATGGACGCCGGCTGCAAGGTACAGTACAGTACATCTCGAGTACAGGGCCGTACCTGAGCCGTCTCCCTCCTGGGGCATGGGTGAGAACCCTGGAGGCCACAGCGATCCCTCAGCTGGGACTGGAGCACTGCGGTGGAACTGCAATTGCGCAGCTGGTCGGTGGCCGGCGTGTTGCACAGGGAGCCCACATGGAGAAATGTGGCAAGTCGATCTGTGTTGTAATCTGCTGTATCACGATTGAGCCCGGATTACGTCTGCTGGCCGTCGTTGCAGCATCAGTATTCCATCTGCGGCTTGTGGAGCCGTGACATTCAACTCTTTTTCCTCCTCCCCCCATCAAGCGCCTTGTCGACGACGACCAATGCAGGAGCAAAGAGGGTTCACACCACTAGACAGGGTTGGGCGTGCTGGCGACAGTGAGAAGGGACGAATTTCAACGACGTGGTTGGTGGCGCAACACGAAGTCGACAAGTCGCCAGTCAGCAGGCAGGCCGGGTAGGGAACAGTAGATACACGATCTGACGATACACTGCCATTCCGTATCCCGGGATGGTGTCCAGAGTGGAGAAGAGACTCTTCGGATCCTCCCCAAAACCGTCCAGGGCCCAGCACGACTGAACTCACCAGGATTTGGGCCGTACCTTGGGAGGGGATCTACACGCACACACGCACACACGCACACATACGATGCATGTGCGACAGCACGGTTACAGCACAGTCATACGGGCCACAGGCGAGGGAAGGAGGAGAGGGGGCCTGGGCAATGATCTCATTGGCCAATTGCCCCCATGCCAGCATGCGTCGACGGGCCCGCAAACAGGATGATAGCCTGGGTGGATAACATCATCGCTGCTGGGTTGTCCCTCGGTCAGGCCACTGAGAGCCAGCTCCGCACCGCCCAGCGCAAGGGTGCGCTCCCGCCTTGGGTTGCTTGAGCCTTGGAGAGTGTGTGCAGCCTGGTAGCCTGGGCAGCCCCGGTCCCTGATATGATGATGCATCCTGGCAGGAGAGGGAAGGAGGCCCATGGACAATGGTCGCCCGATATGGCGAATTCCCAACTTTTCCATGTCTGCGTGCAATTCTGCAAGAGCCAGAGAGGCGACCTTTCCTTTCTCTTTTGCTGCTGCTGCTGATGAACGGTCTGGTCTGCTTCTAGTCTCTCTCTCTGTCTGTCTGTCTGTCTATCTACCTATCTCCTCCCAGCCTGACCTGAACCGGCCTTAATCTGTCTGTCCATGTACATGATTGTACTTCCAAGTTCCCAATCCCGTCGCAAGTAGTGTGGCCATCCGTCCATCCCCGTCCATCATCACCCATCTGTGTCTGCACCAATTCTACATCCGCGTTCTCTAGCTGCTTCTGTCTCCGTCCGATCCCATCTTGCACACCTTATTTTTATCATCCTCACTGCCGCAGCTGCTGCTGCCTTTGCTTTCCTGTGAACGGAACCAACAGACCTGCTGCGGCTCGGAGGCAGACCGACCTGTTGTTGTATCTGGACGTGGTCGGCGGATGTGGCCACCGCTACAGAATTAGATCCTGCTCGCTCCTACGAAGATCCCCCCTTCTGCAAACCACCCCCCCCCCCCAAGAGAGCACGTCCCGTCCCATTCCTCAACTCTCGTGCGGTTTCCGGATCGAGCTGGTTCGACTTTGGGTACCGAGGTGAGCCGTCGGTATACCCATCCTCACTGCCGGTCCGAGGCCACAGCTTTCCCGCAGACAGCTTTTGTCTCACACGCCGATCACCCTCACCGTCGAAGCTGAGACCAGCAGATCGCGCCCCGAGAGCTGGTCGGATGGCCCGACTGCTGCGCTTCTGATTCCGGCGGCCTCGACGGCCCGGAGACTGCGAGAGTGTGCACGAGAGAGAGAGGAGCGCCGTCGAATCTTGATTCTTCTCTAGCCCGGCTCATCACGAGCTTGGGGAGTGTTGTTGGCGGCGGCGCATCAGCAGGAGTGCTCGGTCTTGAATGCAGTGCCCCCCAGCCAACAGCACCTTATTCCCTCGCACTACCACTACCCACACCTCGGCAGCTTCATCGTTTCCGAGACGCATCACTCCTTGCCTTGTGCAAATCCCTTGACTCCCTCAACGTTGAATTTGTTTCTATATTCTCCCGTCAGTGGGATCCTGGGACTCCCTCTCTGCGTGTGGAATACCAGGCAGAGGCACGAGCTCTCCCCCTGATATCTCGTTGGACTGGGGTGTTACTCCCGCCTCACGGGCTGCACCGACATCATCCCAATCTCTCGTCTGGATATTCACCCTCCCGCCTGTCAAATTCACTTGGCACCTCAGATCACTTTAATTGTCCGCACTTCCCGACCCACGACCCGCGCGGGAACTTGTTCCTGAGGCTCGGGCCAGGAGGTGCACCTAGTCGGGACCCAGCCTGACGTCAATCCTACGAGAACCAATCTGAGCTCAACTGATATAGCTCTGATCGGGTGCAGTCCTGCCGGCCGTTCAGCTTGGCTCTTCGACAAGTTTCAGCTGTCTGAACGAAGCTGCGATTTATTCGAACAAGATATCAACCATGGATCTGCTGAAGTGGAAGCGGCAGAGCTCGGCTCCGTCGCTGCCAGGTCTGGCTGCTCTCGACACGCCGACGACCACAAACTCCAGTCCCGCCGGCAGCTCACCAGCAAGCTCAATAAATGAAAACAGGAACAGCAGCTTCTTCACCACAGTAAAACGGAGTCTCAGCCGAGCATCCACGGCGCCCCTCTTAGAGTTGGAAGATGCCCCAACTCTAGGGTCACCGGGGCGAAAGGTCCTACACAAGCAGAGAGGGTCGTTCTCCTCCTTCGACAGCATGCAACGGCGGAGCTCGATCACGTCTTCAGGGGCCAGCCGGATATCCAGAACATACTCGATGTCATTCTCCTCCTCCTCACGGTCTTCGACCATCGGCATCGACTGGAAGACAGCCATTGATTGGAAGACACAACAAGTCGAAGCCCACTGCGCCCTCGAGGCTGACCCCCAAGTCCTCCGCAGCAAGCCCACGTACCTGGTCGTCACGCAGGACTACATCGTGAAGATGAAGACCAAGAACGAGGCCCTCACGACGTTCCCTCAGATAAGCTCCGGGCCCGGCAAGGAGAATACCAGCCTGGTGCCCCCGCCGGAGCCGATGCTGGTCATCCCGGTGCACATGGTCGTGTCCGTGTTCCTGGCCGAGAGCTCACGGCCGTCGTTCGGGATCGAGATATGGTGGAAGTCCAGCTCCGCCAGGGCCGCATACAACAGCACGCAGATATTCTTCTGCCTCCCCAAGGAGCGTTCAGACCACATGACGAAGATCTCCCAGCAGCTCAAGGCCAAGAACCAGGAGTTCCCGGAGGCATCACTCGTCCCGCTCGAGGTGGAAGCACACATCGTCAAGGTCTTTGCGGAGGAGGAGCCCGGCTTCAAGACGTGCAAGCCCGAGATATTCCCTGTGGTCAGAAGGACGTCCGTCAAGGACGACGTCCACTCCAGCAAGCTAGACAGGACGCGGAAGGTCCAAGATGGCTCGTCTTGGTTCCTCGCTGTGGGGAGAAACCTCTGTTATCTTGTCGAGGCCGGGCCGGGCTCGGCGCTGGACGTGAGGTACCAGTCTTTCGGCTTGGTGAACCTAGAGATCTTCCGGGCGAACTGGACCATTCACGAGGAGCGATTCGTTCTAAGCTTTCGGTAAGTCAGGTGGCTCCCAATGGATAGCGATATATGAAAAATTCTAATGCATCACAGTGAACCCTTTAAGCCAGCGGCGACACTCGAGTTGGCCAGCAGGTATTATCGCCAAATTGTCATCACCTTTATGAAAGCAGACAGGTTTCTGAAGCCATGCTGGCCTACGACTCTGCAGACTATGGAAGTTTTCAGGGTCACAGGGCTTGCGGACCCGCAGCTTCTCATCGCTGGAGACAATTATGGAGGTCTCAGGCGGACCTTGGACGCATTTCTCGTCGCTTACCACTGCTCGCCAGTAGAGTGGGAGATCAACTGGAAAACTGCACTTGCGCCTGAGTTCCGACTGCTCCCGCCCAAGGCTGGAAATACATATACCAACCTGCAACTCTTGGCAGTCATGAGGTCTCTGCGATACAACGGATACTTCAACTCGATATCCTTTAATGGTGTCGATCTCACTGGCTTATGGGACAAGACTGACCTCCAAGGAAAGCCGTCTGTCCCATACATGAACCGCAGTTGTGAGTCCCTGGCCACGGACTCGGTTGATGCCCTCGGAACGCAGTGCTAATATGTTGACAGGTATCGCCCTCACCGAAGTCGAACTCGGCCCTGTCAAGTTCGGCTCACTTCTGCATCAGGAGCTGCATGGCCTGGCATTTTGCTCCGAGACTGTCCGCCAGATAGATTTCACCAACTGCTTCCCCGAGAACTCTGTTCGCAGGGAAATGTCAGCGTCCGGCAAATGGCCCGCCTTCTTGTTCCCCATACTGAACCTGCTGGAGCTGGGCCTGACAAAATGCAACCGTCTGCTGCTGAGTGGCAACTACCTGCGCTCAGCAGATGTCGAGGGCTTGAGTAAGTGTCCCCCTGTAACAATCTCGCTTGCGACCTCTCGCTGACCAGATGGCATAGTCGAGGCACTGATGACCCAGTCCGTTGAGATACAAAGTCTTGATATCTCAAACTGCGGTCTGTCTGATCTTGCACTGCGGGATATCTTTGAGGTTTTGTTCCACCAGGGACACTCCTTACAATACTTGGACGTGTCCGGCAACCGCGGCCGGTTGCACGCTTCGGTGCTGGCCAATATGTTTCAGGTCATCTTTGACCTCCGGAAGCTCAACGTCTCTGGCATCCTGATGGGTGACATCCCCGGTCCGCTGTTCTCCTTCGAGACATCTCGCGTTTCGAGAATCTCGAGGAGCTGGACCTGTCCAAGTTCAAGGCAAGTTCAGTTTATAGACACGCTGTATGTCCTGGGACAAGGTCAGCTAACCATATTAGATGAACGATGCAACTCTGCACGCCCTGGAGGCATTCCTCGCGCAGAAGCCGCTCCCGTGCGAGCCAGAGCAGTACGACCGCGCCGACTCGCGCAACAAGAGTCCCGTCAACCCGGCGTGCACTATCCGTAAAATTGCGCTCAACAACTGCAGCATCAACGGCCGAGAGGCGGCCCGCCTCATCCGAGCGCTTGGCAAGCACACCAACGCGCACCTGCACATCAGCGGCAACCCGCTCGAGGACGGGATCGAGGACCTGTGCCGGGCCATATCATCGACACCGGGGCCAGCGGGCCTGCACATGGACATGATCGAGTTCAGGGACGAGGCGAGCTTCGTGGCCCTAATGAAGGCGCTGTCGGTGAGCCGGAACATCTCATTCCTGAGTCTGGCAGGGACGGCACCCATACCGCCAGCCGATGCGCCGTGTGGCGCCGATGTGTGCGAGGCGCTGGAGGGTTTCTTCGCCAAGAACAGCAGCGTGAGATTCCTGGACCTCTCCGGGTACAGCGGCAAGCTCGACGAGGGCCAGCTGGGCAAGGGGTTCGCCCGTGCCCTGAGGGGCCTGGCGTCCAACAGCACGCTGACGCACCTGAGGATCCGCAACCAGAACCTGCACGACGACGTCGGCACGCTGGGCAGCGTGATCCGGCTGAACAGCACGCTGAGGATGGTGGACTGCCAGGACAACAGCTGGAACCTGACGAGCATCCAGTTTCTGGCCAAGAGCCTCAAGCTCAACAGGAGCGTGGTGGAGTTCCCCTTCGAGCAGAGGGAGTACGACCGCGTCTGGCGGCGCGTGGCGGCCGACGTCAGGAGGCAGAGTGGGATCAGCAAGGCGGCCATGGCCGCGCAGAACGGCCAGGAGAACGCCCTGCGCGGCGCGCTCGACAAGCAGGTCCAGGAGCTCAAGGAGACGGTGCAGCGCAACCGCCTCGCCCTAGAGCTCAACTCGCCCTTCGTCATCGACCACGAAGAATCATCCCACGCGGGCGGCGGGAGGGGTTGGCCCAGCCTCGAGCTCAAGATCCCCAGCACCAACCAGTCGCGCCTACCGCCACACCTGACCGCCGCCAACCAGCAGCTTCTGCAGCCCGCGGCGACGGTGACGCCCAGCCCGGCGCGCCTGCTGGACCTGGACCTCGACGCGGACCTCATGAGCACCCCCGTCGACCCGGAGAAGCAGCAGGTCCGCAGGGCGATGCACCTGCACACGGTGCCTGCGACGGTGCGCTACGACGCCGTCGAGGTGGACCTCGACGTCGCTGCGCCCTACCACGTCGGCAGCGACGAGGGCATTCTCGAGACGCCCCCCGGCGGCCTCAGCCCCAACGAGGGAAGCGCTGGTGCCGCCAGCCCCGAAGCCCCCGTGAGCCCACGCACGCCGCCGCCGCAGGCGGTGATGATGTCGCTTTTGCCGGACGCAGGCAAGGACTCGAGGACGCCGCCACCGCCTCCTGGTGGGCCCGGCCTGGCTATCTCGGGGAACTCGCCCAGGGCGGTCGTGCCCGGGTTTGATGTCGGGCCTTACTTTGGGGGCCAGAACTTTGTCGGTAGCAGGTTCAAGGTTGTCGGTGGGCTGGAAGCTCACATGGAGGAGTAAGAGTACGTCGATTGGTTGATCGCGTGTGGCTTTGTAGGTTTCGGCTTTGAACTGCTGAATTAATGACTGGGTAATGACCGGATGGGACAATGGGTGGATGGACGGGGGGGCATGTTGGTAATGCATTAGGGGGGAGGGGGGTCCCTACGGCTGGCTTTTTGCATTGGCGTTTATTGGTGTAAAAGTTGCCACTGGTTTGGTTCATTGCGCGGGATTTAGAGATACCCTTTAGATACTATGTCATGATTGTGAAGTCAAATTTGTCTCTATCCGGTGCTGTCATACTGTGGCTACCTTGTGTGTGTTCTGAAGAAAGATATAAATGGTTACATCAGGTTTTATGTTATTGATCTATCCACAGATGTCAGTCAAGATCATCAGAAGGCGCCTTCCTCAACTCCAGCCGGGATATACGGCAACATATCCTCCAGGTCCTCCCCAGCCGTCAGCTCCAAGTACATACACGCCCCGTCAGACCTGACCTGCAGCTCCTCTATCTTTTCCTGCCAGTACCTATACAGCGATATCCAGGTTCTGTCGATCCCGGCCCGGTCGAAGTACCGCCGCAGGTACTCGTCCTTGATGTCCACGCCCGGGTGGACGCAGACGAAGCGCAGGCCCCGCGACAGAAGCTGGCGGTGGGCGTCCCCGCTGGCGGCGACGAGCACGACCGCGTCCTCCTCCTGGGCTAGCGTTTCTATTGTCTGCCAGTATTCCTCGCTCTTTGGGTCCTGCGCCATGGTTTCGACGTCGTAGATTGCGTACTTCCCCTCCGGGTTGACGAAGCTCCCGTCATGGCTCAGCCCGGGGAGGGCGGTCTTCCCGACGCCTGGGAAGCAAGATATTATGACGGCGCATTTTTGGTTGGTCATTTTTGGGCTAGAGTTTTTCTGGTTCTATGTGATATTTTTTTACGTTGCAGTAAGCGGGAGAACTTCTGGGATCGCGGTCTCGTGGTGTATTTTATGCTGGCTGTGTTGTTGTATGTCAAAGCAATTGAATATGCTTTCCGCTTTAAATATTCTGGTGGGATGGTTTGCTTGGATGGGAATCATTACTTGTATGTGACAGTTCGAAGGAACGTAGAAGTAATTGGGCTTCGGTCACAAGAATTGTACGGATGGCTCATATCGAAGACTTGCCAGTCACACAACCATAGGGATTACTAGTATAGGACTGTTGCTGGACTTAAATTGTGAGTCTTCTTGTATCTGGGATTCTGTTTCGACTTTTGGGCCTTGACTTGAACCGAATTCTTGTGGGATTGAATTTGAGGGACGACGCGGACGTATGGGGAATGAAGTCTTTGTTATGGAATACGGAGATTTGCACCTGCAAAACCGGAGGCTACACTGATACATCACTCGAGCTATAGCTGCAGCTAATTAGAGCACATCACCCAGGCCTAATTCACACACCGACACCCAACACCCATACCCAACTCCCACACACCCAATTCCTACACTCCATCCACCCAACTCTTACATACCCAACTCCTATACACCTAACTCTTATAAACCTAATTTATATACACTTATGTCTTCGATATCAATTCAGGCAACTGCTCATATGATACCACGTATGGTTTGCGTGTGTACTTTTCTCTTCCAAACAAGCATGCCACCATGTTGTCACTTGGCGTTGCAGGTAAAGCGACATGAGTTTTGTCAGTTTGACAGGCGGAGGGTGCTAGGCATAGTCTGCCACAGAAAATTTAGCAACTGAATCTTTCGTCAGCTTGCAAATAAATGGATGGAAACACATATTGACGAAGAGACTGTGTGAACAACCCTGGTAAGGTGATAGGCAATCAGAGCACGACGAGCCAACCTCGTGAACGAAGCAATGGCTTCTTGATCAGTTTTATCCGAGGGTGCGGTTTGGATATTTGCACTTCGGACTCCGTATCATGTCTGAGACCAGTGTGAGTCACTCGATCTCAATAGAAAGTAGCCATTGTGGCAACCTTATAAGTATGATCCGTGTTGCGAGGGACGCACACAACTATGTGTGGTCTTTGCCCTGTCGTGTCACCATGTCTATTAACTTCAAAGAAACAAAAGAAATGGCTACAGATTGAATCCTCTCTTTACAAGTCGAAGTTCCCAATGATTTGTATCGTACCTAAGTAGTGACACTTGATGGCTTGAGCAGAAAAAGTGATCAGGTTTGTATAATAAGGGTTGCTGAAAAACTTGGTCACGCTCGGCTGACAAGACAACTGTCAATTATGCAACCGCAAAGGGGAGTATTTCTTGTTCCACTCTCAAAACTATGCTCATTCTTGAATTCTATACACCCTGATGCAGCCAAAGCCAGCCTCCTACCCATCAAGCTTTGGCCGACGCTTCCTATGAGATCGTCACTGTGGCCATGGGTGAACCCGTCGATCAGCTTGAATACCAGTGCAGCCCACTCCGTGTTGATTTTTGCAACCTGACTAAATATTGCCCTCTCATTTGTGGAGATCAAGAACCCAAAGCAAAGAGTGACTGCCAGCGCAAGAGACGGAAATAAAGACCCATCAACATTGCTGTACAGCGTTTCCATGCAGGTGAATGACCAGGAAAGCAGACAAGAAAGAAGCCTTGACCACAGACCTTCTCGCTAGCAACTGTTGTAGACACACGGTATTGGGCATCGTATAAGGCCCCTGGATGAATCATGAGATTGGAGATCTGAGCAGGATCGTCATGAAAGAAACTGTGCGTACAGCATACGAGACATGTGACATTGTCAGTGATAGATAGAGCCCCAGCGAGGCTGCGAGTCAAGAGGTGTCCCAGTGATCTCCAGGGTACAAGGCCACCCGCGTTTCGTAGCACGGTACCTGCTGACAGGGGTGTGTCATGCGGTAACCCCTCGCTTCCCGGGGAGCAGCCCCACCAGGAAACTGGGGGCATGACGGGGCAGGGCGGGCAGCTCCGTCCTTTTGCCCCTCCTCCCTCCAGCCCGTCGGACCCCCCACGCAATTGCCGCATTTCCACAAGCAGCACATCGTCATCACCATCTATCCGACCATTCAGCCTCGCGACGTCAACCACAAACCTCACGAAACAAGCCTGTCAGCCTCGTCGCCTCGTCCCACCTTGTTGCCCAACGCAGGAGCTCCCCCTCAGAGCCTCGCCCCTCTCTCTCCCGGCGGTATCTGAATCGTGAGGATGGAGAAGGTCGCGGAGCCAAAGATACCGCAGGAGTTCATCCTCGACGCCTTCGCTGACCCCACCTCGGTCCGAGATGTCGTTCGAGGTATGTCATCCGCCCCTTGGTTCGCGGCTCCCCAACTGCCCCTCTTCTCCGGGGCTCGTATGCACGCGCGCACATTGCTGTTGGAAAGCTCAACCTGGCCTCGCCGGTTGCGACGACGTCTGTCGCGGCCCTGAGCTCCAGACGATCCTTGTTGAGATTGCTCCTCGCAGCTCCCGCCGCCGGTTGCGCGCCAACATCTTCCCGGATATACATACACATTTGAGCATAAAGGCTGATAGCGCAGAACTTAACCAGGCATCCTCCACACAATCTTCTTCCACAGATACTTCCCCACAATCACACCGCAGACACACGAGGTGCTCGACCTCACGCTCCCCTATGTCGCCGAGCCCGAGCTCGAGACCCTGATAGCCCAGCGAACGGCCACCCTCCTGCGTGAGCTCGATGCCGACAAGACCCAGCAGCGGTCATCCTCCCCGTCCCTGCAGCAGCAGGCCCGCGCCGTCGTTGGCGGCTTCCTCGGCTCGCCCAGCAGCGTCCCCTGGGGCGGGGGAGGCGGCGGCGGAGGAGGTGGTGGTGGGAACAGCGCCAACGGCGGCGGTCGCGGCCAGGTGTCGGTCCAGTTCATGGAGAAGACGCGCCGGCGTAAGATGTGGTACAAGGGCGACGAGGAGGTCTGCTGGGAGAGCTGGACCATCAGGGTCACGGTCGCGGAGCCCAGGACGGAGAACGGTCAGCCCTTATAATTCCACCTATACGCACACACCTATTTGAACACACAAACCTATGACAGAGGGAAGAAAGGTTTCTAACACACATGCCCAAATACACAGAGCGAGCAAAGGTCCGCAAGGCCATGGAAACGACCCTCCTCACCACCGTCATGAAGATCATCACCTCCGTCAACAGCTTCAAGGACCACATCCCGCCCATCACCACCACCGAGACCAACCCCTTCCCCTACACCATCACCGTCAACCAGAAGGACGCCGTCGGCGGCGCTGCTGCTGCCGCCACCACCGGTGGCGGGTGGGGCGGTCGTTTCGGCGGCCTGTATTGAAAGCGAGATAAGCGAAACGGAAAGCATCAATTGTCTTTTTGTTTTGTTTTGTTTTCTGTTTTTATACTTGACCCGTTACTTCTTTTCACCCCGCCTCGCTCTGCTGGTTTGGGGCGGCGTTTCGTTCCGGGGCCAAAGATTGGGCGCGGCTGCAGGCGTTCATGGTGTTGCTTATAGAACAAAAACATATAATTCCCCTGCACATCTCGCCTGGGTATGACATAAATTGAGCGAGACAGTGATGCCATTCGAGTTCGGACGGCGGCTTGGTTGATTGCTTGGTTGTTTGGTGGGATAGGAGGCAAGCTGATATATACCCATGCCATCACAATATGATACTAAATAAATTTTGTGTGCTACAATGTGCAAGGTTCTCGCGGCTGCTAATGCAATCCGGTCTAATGTTCGTCTTCAGGCACTTTCTAACAGTAGGAATCGGGCGGCAGAGATATATGCGTCGCATTGTGGACGACGCGACACAGTCTGGTTGCACTCAAGAAGTATGTTACCAAAACGGAGCTCGATTGTGTCTGCAGAGCCTAAAAGAGGCCAATCCAAATCCGTTCCATGTACTACACTCAAACAACTAATCCGTTGGTGTGGTTGCCCAAACCCTGTACCGCAAAAGACAATATCCTTTCCATACCGATTCGCACCATGCTGTACCGTCCATTATCCTTAGTCAAAAGGAGGGTATAGGAACCTTCCATTGTCCAGGACTCCGCGCGAAAGTGACAAAAAAACAAACAGTAAACCAAAGCAAATCAAAAGATGTGGCTCATGGCCCATCATAAGCAAAAGACAGTTTGCTCGCTCGCTAGTGCCCTCCTTCCCTCGACCATGACCTGTGGGCGTCAAGGACGCCATCAAGACGTATCCCTGGCAAGTAGTTGTCGTGTGCCTCGTGACGTTCGTGTAATTACGGTAACTCAGCTTCACAGCCACTGATGATGCCCCATGACCCCAAGGCCTCGGGACACGACCCGGCTGAGTCTTTGGCTTGAAAATGCTTGAAAGCGTCTGCAGGCTTCTAGCCAAATCGGTGCAGAGTGGCAGGACCATACGCCTCAGCACCAGTGGGAACTTCGCCGATGCTTCGGAAGGTTTGAGTGAGATCCAGTGCGTTCGAGTCATCAGACCCAAAGTTCTCAAGATCTATCTCGGTGTCCAAGCCACTCACGTTCTCAGAGATGATCCAGTTCTCTGAATCATATTCTGGAAGCTTGCTGACCTCGGGCAAGTATTTGCTTGGAGAGGACAATAGTTTGCTGGGGGATGTAAGGTTCCATGCAGTGTTCTCGTCGATGGGTGGGAAGAGCGGGAAGGCCTTGAGAGGAGACGCAAACTTGAAGGGAGAAGCGGCCGGTTTTCGGTTCCGCTTCTCACTCATGATCTCGTCGAGCATTCTCCCGGCCGAATTGGCTAGAGGGGATTCTGACTCTGGGGCCGACGCCTCATCTTCCCAGATGGCAAATGATGCCTTGCTTTGCCGACCAGGGAATTTCTTGTTGTAGTCGCGCACCTGCTGTGGCGTTTCCAGCATCTCTCGGATGTTAGCCCTGAGTTTGTCGTGTTGACGGATAGGCGAGGTGTTGTACTTGGAAGTCGTCTTGGGCGGTGCAAGCGTTGTTGCACCCGTAAGGCGTGCGACAGACTTCTTCCCGTTGGCTGGTGTCTTGACTGCCGCAGGCGGCTTGGAAGGTGAAGTCCGGTAGCGTAGCGGAGAGCCTTTGCCAACAGGGGAGGAAGACGGTGGGAGCATGCGAGACTTGGGCTTAGAAGGACTGACCGGCGAAGATGCGCGCAGCTTTCTGATGGCATCTTCGGCACGTCCGCCACCCTGAAACTGGTGGATGTCCGCCTCGGAGGAAAACACAGGAGGTCTTTGTTGGCCATACCGCAAGATGGAGGATTCAATATTGGTCATGTAGCCACTATCAATCATTGAGCCACGCTTGCGGTTGCCTGATGTGCGACCGGACGAGCCCACGGCTCTGGCAGTGCGGGTTGGGGTGTCACTTGGGATAGACACATGTCCAGAAATGGATGGGGGAGAGGAACTCAACGCAGCATCAAGAGTGTTGTATTCCTCCTGGTGGTCATTCGCCGCTTCGAGTTCCTCGAAAGCTTGATCAGAGGCGGGAATAGTGGCATCCGAGGACGGCTCGGGCTGAACAGGCGCTGGTGGTTGCAACTTCGGCAAAGGTGGAAGATGCAGCTGGAAGTTAGACGGCTGAGGTGGTAACACTGGCTCTTTCTGAGGCGGAGGCAGAGCTGACGGTTCCAGCCGAGCACTCGAGGGTACTGCCATGCTCTTGCCAAGCATGGCACCCTCAGTGCCCGACCTCTCCTTCAGATATACGTCGAGCAACTCGCGCTCATTTCCAGGAATGATGAGCCAGTAGTTTCCCTTGCCGGGGTCATCCTTAGCCCGCGCCTGCTTTTCGAAGAATTTCTTGTGAAGGCTCAGATTGTGTCGAATGCTGTTCTCCCAGGTGTCGTCCTTGCGATAGTAGCACCACGTCGTCCTGATGAAGTCGTAGATCTGGGCCAAGGTGCGGCGTCGCGCAGGGGCTTTCCAAATCGCCAGTGCGATCATTTGAGCGTATGTGTACGGTGGCTTGTTGTTTTCCTCTCCAGGGTCGACAGCCGGGAATGACTCGGCATCAGGAATGGGAACAGGCGAGCGATGGCGTCCAGGCTCGTCCGTCTTTGATCTCTTGTGAGCCTTTCTAGGCGAGGTCGTTTCGAGGGTAGGGGAGTCGGGCAGGTGACGCTTGATGGCATTTGCATTTGGGTCGCGTTGGCCAAGAGCACGAGGTGGCGTTTTGACACTAGATGGAGCGGGCAGCAAGGGCTGATTGCGCGATGCTGCTGCCGCCGATTTCGACCTGATGATCTTTCGTGGTGTCTGTGGCGAGTTCTTGTTCATCGAATCCGTTGTCGGCGCCGGACGGTTGGACACTGGTGGAGCCAAGACTGGACCATTCGAAATAAAAGGCGAGTTCATCTTGGTGGAATTAGGAGCGAGAGCCGGATGTGAGAAGGCCATCTCAGGAGCGCTCATGGCAGCGAAGTCTGTGCTGCTGTAAGAGCCCGGCGCTGGCTCATATGCGGGCAGACTGTGGGTCAGGTAATGATCGGCTGAGGAGTCAAAAGAGCCCGCGAAGGTAGTCGCTGGCAGCCCGGATATGTCATAGGATCCCGACGAGTTCATAGGATTGGAATCTTGGTGCTGGTCGAAGTGCTGGGCGGGCATCTGGTAGTTCATGTCGCCGAACAGGGACGGCGCCGAGGTCGACATGAGATCGAATGACGGCTCCGGGAGAGGTGAATATGATTTCTTGTGAGAGCTAGAAGAAGCAGGTTGTGATCGACGACGCTGACCCGAGAAGTTGGGCATGGGCGCGCTGTTGGGGTTCGAGCCGGCAGTGAATGACTGCGAGTGGCCCCTGGCAGAAGGCAAAGGCGGTCGCGACGAATTGGCGACGCCGTCGCCATATCGCGCGTTGCGAACCATGTCTGGCGACGGTGGTGATCCCTCTCGTCTCAGTTCAGGCCTGGGCGGTTGGCGTCGATCCAGATTGATAGGCGGCGATAGTGATAGCTGATAGCGACACGAGAGCGGAGAGAGATGCGACTTTGGGTTTCCAAAGTTAGTAAGTGGGATCAATGAGTTAATAGGCAAGAAGCGAGAGGTCACTCTGCTCAGAGGGGAAATACTTTTAACTAGCAGCTGGCAGTGGGGCGGCCCAGGCAAGGGAGGATGTGCCAGCCCGTGGCGTGGTCTGTGTGGGTAGGCAAGTAGGTAGCGGTAATGAGCAGAGGATTGGATGTCTCGGGCGGGGCGGTCGAATTCCGGTCGATTAGAGCCGGTTTGGCAGCAACAAGTCGTGATGATGGAGGCTGTTGACGATGTGAGCAAGACTCGAGCGCGAGGAGCAAGAGATCAGCAGCAGCACGGGGTGGTGGTGGAAGCGTGGTGCAGCGACGAGATGATGATGGGTGGGATAGAGGAGCAAGACGGGAATTGTGGGAAACGGTCGGTACAGCGTGGTATGGGGTACTTGAGCCGGGCTGTAGCGACAAAGTGGGCACCTGGGAATCCTGGACAGCTGGTACATGCAAGTTGCGCCGTCCAAGGATGCCTTTCCTATGCACTACCCGGGCAGGTAGCACGTAGGGTTAAGGCAAGGTTGGCACTGACCTGGGCGGCAAGGAAGGGGAAACCTGGCCTGCCTTGAAGCGAAGCTTGGAAGGACCAGGACGAGCGGAGAGGAGGGGAGATGGACACGGGAGAGACCACGGGACAGTGCGGCCAGATGAGATTGACGAGGACTGGGATATTACTATGGAGCAGCGAGAGAAGAGGAGTCGGGCATTTCGACTCGACTCGAGTCGAGTCAAGTCGAGGCGATGTGTGTTTGGTCGGGGAAGGTATGGAGTATGGGCTCTGCTCTGGCAGTCTGGCAGTCTGGCTTTCCTCCTGGGAGCCGACGACAGGAGAGATGACATGGGACATGGGGGAAACCTTCTTTGGGTGGAGCGAGCAAGCCGATCAGGCAACGCCGATGGGCAGAGCAGAGCTGGAAGGAAGACTGGGACGAGTCGACGACGAGAGTGGACGGCGGCACTTACAAGAAGAGGACCCACTGTCAGCATTCCAACAGGGCCAGGGTTGTTGAAGTCCAGCCTGGCCAGCCTTGAGGTTTGAGGGCCCCAGACTGATGATTACTTGGGCTGAGTAGGTAAGGTATTCTATGGCTGAGCTTTGAGCGGCCTTCGCTCTGGTGGCACACAATGGTTTGCTAGAAGCAAGCAGAAGCAAGCAATCCAAAAATCGATCGAGGAGTAAAACGGGAGGGGGGGAGAGGCAGAGAGTGTGTGTCGAGAGGAAAGTGTCGCACGGCGGCAGACCAGCCAGCAGATGTCGAGATATCTGACCAGACCAATCCAATCCAGTCCAGTCCAGTCCAGTCAAGTCCAAGACCAGGTCAAAATCCACCTGCTGCAAAGGCCCAGTCGAGAGAAAGAAGCAGGGACGAGCGAGACAGCAGATGGGATGTTGATGGATGATGGATGATGTGAGCAGGGAAGGAGCTGATGGGATGAATGGGCGCGAGAGAGCAGCAAGGGCCAGGGGACAGGGGACCGCGTGCAGAGGGCGCAGAGAGGTGCAGGGTGCAGGGGGGCAGCATGGCCTGGCCCGGTGGGGAAGGAGCTGCAATGCGTCACCCAACGATTGGCTGGGTGAGGACCCGCTGTGCGACGCGATAATGCGTGCCGTTCGTGATGGATTGGTGTGGGTGGGCGGATGTGACGAAACAGAAGAGAGCAAGATAGAAAGCAGCCACATGCAACTCCAAGACACAAAAGGTGTGCGCGCGCGCATGAATACAGCGACTTGTCATCCACAGAGGTCGAGGGCGAGGGCGAGGCAGCGTCGAGTTCTTAGCTGACGGTTCACAGCAGTTGACGCTCGTCTGCTGGAACTTGCGACGCTTCACTGGGCCAAGTGGTGCAACAATCCCGCAGGTATGATCGGCCCTGCGCGCAACCTGCCAGGCGGGCTACTCTTCTCTGCTCTTCTCTTCGTGATACAAGCGCTTAGACAAGTACCGGTAGTAGTTGTAGTCTACAAGAACCGGAACAGGAAGATGCGGACAAGGAAGGAGGCAACGGTTAGAGAGAACGGATTCTAGAGCACAATTAAACTCGTAAGTGGTTGCATATCTTTGCCGTCTAAATTTCCTGGCACAAGTCGCCCATGTAACCATCACTTGCCCATCACGACTCGCGAGGGCCTTCCTTCCGTCCTTATCGCCACACCTTACCCACGACTTTCCCCCCAAATCCCGCCCCGTCAGGTTGCTCCCGAAAGGCCTCCATCGTGTTGCAGCGCGCCAAAACACTCTCGTCCACTTTCCCGGGCATCAACCCCACGAGCCATGCGACTCTCTGCCGACGCAGGTCCAGCCGTCAGCCATCCGACCTGAAACATAACTGTGTTGCCGAGACTTCTCTGTCTCTACCTCTTTCTCCTCTCTTCCATGTACGGCTCTCCACCTCTTCTTTTCAGGCTTCTTGCTGCCAGCGCATCACGACACGCATACTTACATGGAAGCCCAACAGTGGATGTGATATGGTCTCCTGATAGCCAGACCACGAGGAATCCAGGGGACACCCCCGTGAGGCCGCCCCTCCAGACCATCATCCCATTGCCCCTCGGGGGCTTACGAGCACAAATTCGCATGTTGGCCCCATGCCGAACTTTGCTGCCCGTTAGATCGAGATCTGTCCAAGGTCGGTCCTCATTCAAATCCCATGCTTGACACCTGCCCGACCTGTGCAGATCCCTCCCCCTCCCAGGGGCGCAAGGGGCGCTTGCCCATCGCCACCTTGGCTAAACCACCTAGCCTTATTAGCCTTGGCTAAGCTGGCGAGATTTGGGAGCATGCTGCCCTCTGACCTAGCACCCAATGGACCATGTCTTCCGACCAACTCGGGCTATTGTCCTAGTCGTTTCATGCGTTGGCAAGCTGGGCGGTGAATCTTTCCAATTTTTCTTCCTGGACAGATTTTTCCTTCTCTTTTTCGTTCTTCGTCCCCATCCCGATTCTTCTGGTGTCCATGCGCCAGGAGGAGAAGCTGCTAAAAACGAACCCCAGCTCCTGCGCCCACGCAAGTGTTCTGTTCGGTATCCACCGGATCGACGATCGCTCGCTCGGCTGTGCCGTTGTGAATCGAGCCCGAGCACCCACCAGCCGAAGCCCAAACATTCCAAGGTTCTGGAATTCTAGAGTACACTATGGCAAGGGTCGGCAGGCTAGTCCTGACGGCGATCCACATTATCATCATGGAATCATGAAAGAGTCGTCGCCTGATGTCTCCATTCTATTGTGCATGAGCAACCCAGGATCTACTGCAGTACAACCGAACGCAGACGTAGCCTCTGCTCCGGATAGACCAAAAAAGAACTTGAAACACAAAACCAAGGGTGATGGGGGGCTGGTTGCATTATCAACTCATGTCTGGGCACAGACACCCACTTGCACCTGCACCTGCAGCCCCCATCTCGTCCCGCGAACTGGGGCAGAGAGTGTCAGAGCGCACATCACACATGCGGCCTCCGCTTCGACGTGTCCCGGGGTCATTCGCCGTCCCTTGTCCTGCCCTGCTATCACAGTCGCATCCGTGCCAAAAAGTTTCGACCCTGATTGTCAGTGCGCCGCTACACGCAACATAGCGGCGGGCCTCAGACTTGCAATCCGCCAAAGTGTTTGCATCGTCCGTGAGAGGGCACAGAGAAAGAGAGAAAGAGACGACAGGGTGCGCCGGCGGTTTCATACCGACAGAGCGGTGAAGTAGTCGCAACCTTATCTTAATTGTCTCTTGCGTAGTACGAACTCGACCCAAGCCCATCCGGCCGTAGCATGTGAGTCGGAGCGCAATATCAGCCCATGCACGCCCGGCACGAGCTGGCAGCTGACAGCTCGCCAATGCGCCCGGGAATCGTCGGACATCGGGAGGAGCGGCTTTGCGAAAGACGATTTCGAGTCCGGCGCATCAGTTTCACCACTCTTTGTGGGCTCTGAAGCGTCTATAGGGCGCAGCTGGCAAGCTCACATCTTTGTTATTTCCAATGTTTACTCGAGCCAGGGGGCCGAGACGCGTACGTTTGACCTCTTTCCTGGCCCCCTATAGCCGTGATAAAACTCGAGATATCTGGTCATGGGGGTCCCCGTTGGTTTGAGAGGCCCATGCGGCCCCCTCACCACCATGTTTGATCTCACTGCCGACCACTGCCGAAGAACTGTGACGTCGGACCCCGCAGACAAAGGTTGAGATGAGGTCGCGCGTCGCGCCTGAAAGTCGCGACGCGTGTTCTTGGCGCGCGGGGCGCGAGAGCAAGGCCTATCCCTGCTAGCCCGCTAACCATAGGAAAACCCTCTCGTGGTTCCTGTCTCCTAACCCTGCTCGGTGAACTACACTCCCGGCTATCGGCGGGAGAGGAAGGGGACCGGGGTGTGTGTCTGCTTCAGCGATCACCAGCATCGCTCGTCACGAAGCAAAACATGCAAGCACTTAACCCAAACCCCCACGATGCAGTTGATAGATAGCAACACAGACGAAATTCTCCGATCGACGTACCTGCAGACTCCTTCCAGAAGTCCCCTCGTACAACATGCACCAGCCCAAAGTCCACGATCGGACCCCTTTTTGCCCCCCTTTTCGCCAAACTCCATTCACAAACCGAGAGTGATCGATACTCTCAGCTTACCTGTGCCGCATCAAATTTCACCATCGACCCATCAAACCCATACAAGCCCGTTCCTTCGAACATGAGGAGTGCGGGGTCACGCAACTGCCTATTTATATCCACGAGCACCGATTACCAACAGACAGTGCGGACTTCGTACCGAGTAACTAAGTAGCTAGGTGACATCAAAGAAGGATTCATCAAACCGTCCGTTACCTATGCAGTCAGCCCGCTACTAGTAGATACAGCCACCCGCCGCCCAACAATTGAGCGTGCAATTTCACCTACATGCGCCACATGGGGAGCTGAGCTGCAAGTTGGCTACCAACTCGCAGGAGGAATGCTATTGACGCAATCGATCAGCCATGAGCGCCAACTAGGAGCGCATATTTGCAGGCGCCAGCCCGGGACCGAGAATCGTAGCAAGGTAGATATCAACAAGCCAGCATTGGGTAGGACGCTGCTTCGCAGCTCAACTGCCCACCAGTGCCAATCACCCACGACAGGATATTGGGCGCAGCACAAGAACGGTGAGAATGGGAGGCCTAGCATGGTATCCCATCCGCGAGCAATAGGAAGCATAAGCTATACAAACATGCACAACTGGTTCTGGACAGTGAAGGCTACACGGGACGCCTTGGGTGGCGTATGTCTACTTTCACATGATCTGAACATCGTCGACAACACGGGGCATATGTGGGCCACGACCATGCCAGCTTGCGTAGGCTTCATGTATTGATGCTATATACACAACAAACGGGGCGGCAGCAATAAGGACAACAGGTACAATAAAAACACATTAAACGCAGAAACGACAGTCTGGCCTCCTCTTGCTGCCTTATTCGTCCTCTATTCCCGCGTCCCCCAGCCCTCCCTCTCGATACCGTGTTTGCCACAGAACCTAAGCAGGGCCATGCTGAGGGTCTCCCCTGTCGATGACAGGCGTGGCCTCCTCATGTCTGTCGTCGACCAATTCCTTTGCATCGTCAACACAGACCAGATACTTCCCAACGTCAACAATCTCTTCACTCTCTCCAGACCTCCTCGCCTCACGAACACAGTCAAGGTAATCTTCGACCTCGACAACCTCAACCCCGCCCCTGTCCTCGCTGTACTCTGAGCTCTTGAAGGTCACCTTCTTCTTCCGGCTGCTGGGTGGCGCCAAATCACACTTCTAATCCAGCACCCGTCCAGCAACAGCCGCAGCACTCTTATCCTTTGTCGTGGTCTTCTTCAAGGACTTGCCCGCCTGAATCTCGCCGAGGAACCCAGCCGGTCGCCCACCCGAGGGAGCCGGTGGTGGAGGGCCACCAGCTGGCGGTGGCGGAGGTGGAGGAGGTGCCAGCCCCGGGATAGGCGGCGGCGGCGGTCCAGGAGGTGGCGGCGGGGCGCCACCTGCCGCTGGTGGCGGGGGCGGGGGCGGTGGAGGCGCAGCGGGTGGTCCGCTTGGTTCGGGGCTTGCGACATCAGGCATCGGTGGTGGTGGTGGCGGCGGCCCAGGTGGTGCGGGCGAATCGGTCGTCTCAGGCGCCGGCTCGGGAGCCGGTGGTGGAGGAGGCGGGGGAGCGATCGGGGAGCTTTGGGCCGGGGAGGCGCCCGGCTTGTTGTCCATAGCAGACAGCGGTCGAGGAGGGCCCATGGTGCCGAAGAGAATCGACGCCAGGGCTGCAGCGCCCTGGCCTGGTCTCTCGTCGTCATCCGAGTCATCGTCGTCCTTGTCATTGTCGCTTCCCCAGTCGTCGCTATCGGCACGCGTGCGAATGAAGGGCTTGGGTGGCTCAGCAGGGGCAGACTTGGCCTCCTGGGTCATCCGGTGGAAGGGGTTAGTAGATTCAGCAGGCGCGGCTGGAGCCTCCGGCTGGGGGGGCGGCGGGGGCGGCGGGGCAGCAGGAGATGCCGCAGGTGAATCGGACGGCTGGGCCATCATCTTGAAGTACGGGTTCCGGCTCTCCGAAGAGTCCGTGGGCGGGCTGACCACAGGAACAGCAGGTACGCTTGGCGGTGTGGCCTTGGGCTCCAACTCTTGGCTGGCGACGGTGGGAGTCGACGCTTGTGGCGTGATCTGCTGGGGGTTTTCATCGTCGTCAGAAGAGCTATCATCGTCGTCCATGGCCTGGAGTTGGCGCTGAAGCTCTTCTTCACGCTTGCGGGCTGCCTCGATCTCGGCACGTCTTGCCGCCAGTTGAGACTCCTTCTCCTTGGCCTCGGCAAGAGCAGCCTTCTTCTTGCGCTTCTCTTCGTCCTTCTTGAGCTTGCCTTGGCGAACTTGCTCCTCGAGAGCTTTGAGACGGGCATCAGCAGCCGCCCGCTCCTGAGCAAGCTCGTCTTCCTGTTCCGCCGCTTGTTGTCTGCTGCCGTTAGTACAGGTCCTCAAATTAGAATGGTGATGCACATACTCGAGCTCTTGCCTCTCTTCCCTCTCCTGCAGGCGCTCCTGCTCAAGACGCTCCTCCTCAGCCCGCTTTGCGGCACCGTCGTCCTGCTTTGGTGCAGCCTTCCTGCTGGGAGGTGCTGGTGGGGCCTTCTTACCCTCAGACTTCGGAGTTGGCACTCCCATCTCCTGGTCAAGTCGAGCCTGACGCTCCGCTTCTCTGCGGGCATCCTCCTCCTCAGCCTGTCGAAGCTTCGCGGCCCGTTCGGCGCGCTCGCGCTCCATCCGCTGGGCAGCTGTCTCGCCGGGTTTCGAAGGAGCCTTGATTCCAAGGGCTGCCAGACGCTCAGCCATACGTTGCTCTGCTTGCTGCCTAATGAACGCTGCTCTCTCCTCTGGGGTCTTGTAGGCCGAGTACGATCCTCCTGCAGTCGGTGTAGCATTCCGAGAGGTCGCAGCTGGGCTCTCAACAGGAGCCGCTGGCTCGGCGGCACGTGCGGGCTGAGCAGAAGCGGGCGCTTCCCTCCGGCGGTCCTGGTTACGCACACGTGCTGATCTGCTCTCCCTTTGAAGGTCAAAGATGAAGTCCCTGACCTCGTCTTCCACACCAAGGGCATCTTCCCACCTGCGCTTTTCGTGTTCGTTCGATGCAGATGGTGCACCCTCCTTGAGGGCATCCTCGAGCCCCTTCGCGAAGTCGCGGACACTGTCTTCCACGTCGCGAACCATACGCTCATTGTTCTCTTTCTCAGTGCGAATTTTGAGGTTCTCCTCTTCAAGACGCTTGGGTCCATCCTCATCATCAACACCGGCATCGATCTTCTTGCCCGTAAGTGCTGCGGTACGTTGCTGCATCATGGCCTTGGCCCGGGCCTTAAGTCTGTCAGACTCGGTGACGGCACCTCCAGGGCCGGTGCCAACTATAGTGCTAGCACTGCCTGGATGCGCTTTGGCGTCTTTCAGGCGGAACAACTCAAGACGGGCGTCGGCGATGGCCTTCTCAGTCTTCCTGACCTGCGATGCGAGGTCAGGGATCTTGTCAGTGAAATTCTGGAGTTGCCGCTTGAGAGCCCGTCTTTCCGCTTCTGAGTCTCCGCCAGTCGCTTGAGCATCAGGGTGGGCATCAATGTCCTCTTGCGCCCTACGAATGCGACGGTAGAGCTCGTCAGCCTCACGGCGGTCTCGGCGGTCCAAAACATCATCCTCCTCCAGATTCTTCTCATCCTTGAAGTCCAACGAATCCAAAACGACCTGCTTCTCTCGGATCTTCTTACGAAGCTGGTCAAGCGACAATTCTTCGTTGGAGCCCACAGATGCGGGTGATTCTGGCCGAGGAGACGAGCCGCCTCCCATTCTACGCCGAGCACTGGATCGATAGCCGATGGCTTCATCGTTGTTCTTGAATACGGTAGCATCCTTGCGTCCGCCACCAAAGCCACCACCAGCACCGCGGAAGGAGTGAGTCTTGAGATAGCTGACACCAGTCTTTTGCGGGAGCAGTGCAGCACCAGAGTTCTTTCGAAGCTCAGACTCGTCATTCAGCATGTTCTTGAGTGTGCCGATAGACTGGCTGAAGTTCCTTGTGGACGGGGGCACAAGCTCCGGAGGAAGCTGGTTTGGCAGGGGGTATCCATTCAGTTTGCGGTAGATCAAGTGCATGGCAACAGCGAACTCGTCGAGATTCAGCCTGCCCTTGTTACCGTGGTCAGCGAGTGTCCAAACACGCTCCAGGTCAGGCTTCTCAAGGCCGCTCTGGCCAAAGATCTCAATAGCAGCATCGCCACCAATGTAGCCCTTGTGAAGGCCGTCCCAGGCGTTGAACAACTGGTCGTATCGCTTCTTTTCTTCCTTGGTGATAGCCCATGGAATCACTGCATTGCCTTGGAGGCCCGCAGTTGTGAAGTTTTGTTGCTCACGTCCTTGTTGTGGCATCATTCTCGCTTGCAGGGCGTCGATGTTCGGGAGCCCAGAAGCTGGAGCGTTCACAAGACCCCATTGACCGGGCATGCCCGTGGGCTGTGCGTTCAAAGGCGCTGCCATACCGCCGGGTGACAAGTTCGACCCATATCCGGTGGGCATAGGAGGCATGGGCGGCCTCGGCCCGTTGTAGCCCGTGGCTTGAGGAGCACCAGGAAAGCCGGTCTGTTGAGGCTGGAGGCCTGTGGGCTGTGCCATGAACCCGGTCTGCTGGGGCTGCTGTTGCTGACCAAGAAAGCCTGTCTGCTGAGGCTGCTGCTGTTGAGGGAAGCCCGTCATCTGAGCCTGCAGCAGTTGGGAGTTGGACGATTGCGGCTGCGGCGCCTGGATCGTGGGCGGCGTCGCAGTATTTTGTCGCGCTGCGGTGTTCGCCGCCTCCTCTGCTGTGTTGAAACTAATGATGTCGACCATACTAGAGACTTCATTCTTGATAACATCAGGAAGCTGAGGAGGAAGCTGTCGGCCAGTCATTTTCAGGTTGCAGAGGTACATAGCCAAAGCAAACTCGGGAAAGTGAAGCTGTCCCGAGCGCGTGGTATCTGCCAAAGTCCTGTAGCGACAAGATTAGCTCTATGCTTCCTTTCGTACAGTATTTCCCTTCATGAACATACCAGATATGTGACAATGCATCTCCATCCAGCCTTGACCGCATCAGCAAGTCCCTCGCCTTCTCGCCTGACATGGTGGTGTCGTTGTCGCCCACCGCGGACTTGAACAGTGTCTCGAATTTGACTTGATCAGCCGCCGTGATGAAGCTCAGCCGGATGTTGGGGATCTTGTTCGATTTAGGCGCCGGGGCGCTGCTGGGAGCCGCCGCCGGGGCGCCGCCGGTGCGGAACGACGCCGCCATCTGGCTGAACCCAGTCTGCTGGGGCTTCATCGGGGTCGGCGGCGGCTGCTGAGAGGCAGGTGGCTGCTGGGGAGCCTGGGTCGGAGCGGCATTGAAGGAGCTTGGAGCCTGCTGCTGTTGAAACTGTTGCTGAAACTGCTGCGGGATAGCAGGCATGGGCGGCGGAGCGCCGGTCTGGAAAGGCTGCTGCTGAGGAGCAGCCTGGCCGGGGAAACCGGTGAACTGGGGCTGAAGCTGGCCAGGAGCCTGAGGTTGCGGTTGCTGCAGGCCTGGGTATCCGGTGTACTGCTGTTGAAGAGGAGCCTGGGGTTGGGCGTAGCCGGTGGGCTGAGGAGCGAACGGACTCGGCTGTCCGGGCTGCTGCCCTGGCTGCCCAAAGGAGCTGCCATATTGCTGCTGCGGCTGCGATCCAGGGCGGAAACTGTTGCCTCCGCCGAGGAAGGAATTGGACTGGGAGTACATGTTGTCGATGTCTCCCAGGGGAGGATGGGTGGACGGATAGACGGATGGAGCTGTCGCAAGAGAGTGGCTGGCGTCGGATCTAGACTTAATGACGATCGGGAGAGGGCCTAAGGGAAACAGACGAGATACTGAACGTAACAGGTAACAATGCTCAATGACAGAGCTCTAATGCGGCTGCCTGCCACCCAAATCACAAGGCACCACGCGATGCGAAGCACGATAACACCGAGATGGTGAAGAGGAGAGGAGAGCAAATAGGAGATGGAGGTTGGGTGTGATTGGCAAGGCAGAGCGAATTGGACAGCTTCTGGAGTTGCGTAGCCTAGCGAGATGGCTATTGCGTCGGTTGTTTCCCCTTCTGTCCTAGCATGTGCCAAGGTGGGCCCTTCCCAGTGCTGCAACAGTACGTAAGGGTGGGCTGCAGCTGCCCAACCCAGGCTCCACCCACTTAAACGACTTACACAGTGCTGAAGTGCGAGGATGTACCTAATTATCGATCCAAACATCGTTCAGAGGCTGATGCACATGTAAACTCAAAATCATGGAAAGCATGGAACTGCAAATGCATGTGTGCAGCAGCGCCTCAGTACTGATCTAGCAGCGGTTTAACAGGGGTTTGGTTTTCTACAATTTCTACACCTAAAGGTATAAATAATCATCAGATTCCTGTCTCAAGACGGGCTCAAGCCTTGCTGTCACACACCTGACGAATATGTGTCCTAGGAAAAAAAGCTGCGTATGCAGGGTACAGGAACATCAGCATGGATACGACATCGGACCGCAGATCCCCTCGAGGGAGCTGACAAGTCTAGGCTATACCCACGAGGTTATCCCACAGTAGTATATCCCACAATGAGCTATCCTATATTGGATTATCCCACAGTTGGTTATCCCATAGAAGGTTATCCTACAGGAGGTTATCCCAGAGGAGGTTATCCTGAGGTGATGCGCATGATCATCCGGAGGCTAACATGGCAGGCCCAAGACCGACGTCGAAGTTATGAGACACACGAGGGAAGACGGAGCGGCACGATGTGAATCAAGGCGCATACGAAGCATATTCAAGCATTGGAGGCTGTGCACTTGGAGGAGCCGATCAAGACAATAACGATGAGCCTGATCATGAGCCAGAACAACGAATGCAACAACACCCCAACCTTCAATTCCATCAGACAGACTCAGCATTCCGCGCCACGACAAGATCTCACGTGTACACCAAGCCAGTACCCGTGAACAAGAGCCAGACAACAAGACCGAAAGTGAACGCCTTGTTCTCCGTCCCAGGGTGGCGAACCAAGATGCTGATATCAGCAACACCAGCAAAGCTCCAGCACACGATGAGGATACCCAGCGCCCTCCTCTGCCCGTCAAAGGCGAGGGCCAGGACGGCGAGGCCCGCAGAGATGTTCCGGCCCGCCGCCGCCGGCCACATAAAGAGCATCTCCTTCGTTGCGTCCGGGATGCCGAAGTGAGGCGCGACTGGAGGTAAGGTTATTCACATTAGCTGGGTCTGGCATCTTGGAGATGGTGACTGTGGGAGAAGGTCAGGGCGAAAGGGAGGCTGGGATAGATCCTACTTGCTGAGGCGTCCCGCATGCCCCATATTCCGGTGCCAATCAGGAGGGCGCCGATGGTGTGCGCGAATAAGGTCACTGAAGCCTGTAGTAGGGCCATTGCATAACACTTTTTTATGGCAGAGGTGGGTAAGTGAGGCAAATATCTAGTGGATGGGACGAACGGCGAAGTGTCTATCTGGGCATCGATAGTGTTCAAAGCTATGGACAACTCGATGAAGGTGCAAATACATACAAATATTTATATACCACCAACGTCTACATTCTTTTGCAGGGCGATGAACTCGAGCCATCAAGTGCACACCCATTGTATCAAGACACACCCAATCCTCGGTCAAAATGCTCGCTTAAATCCGCGATCTCCCCGACGGACACTTGGTGTAGAGGCTACCGTCTAACTTCTGAGGGCCGCATTTGTAATCAGCAACACGGCTGGGGACCCGTGCTGACAGAGGCGGCCGGACAATTGGAAAGAGAATGGATATTCGCACAGAGAGAAACGGATGGTATACAGATATCTACATTACACGTCTAGTACACTTATGCCCAGCGCACCCACACCCAACACACCCACAGTGAACACACCTATACCCAATTCACATACCCAAGCCCAATTAGTGTAGATTTGGGAATTGGGTGTGGCTGTTATGCTCTGATTAGCTGTGGGAGTATCACTCAAGAGGTATCCGTGTGAATATCCGCTTTCATTGGGAAAGAGGTTGATAGGCACGAAGTATCAGACGCAAAAGACAATGTCCTCGACGTAGCCCGGCGGGCTCTGGGACTGATGCTGGAGTCGCAATTCTAGTAACGTGGGCATAATTCATTTTCCAGTCATACACCCCCTCGCGACTATCTGGGCTAATCATGGTAGCCCACCCGTTCCACCATACACTCTAATGATGCCTTTCCAAGAACCTCATCATCGTCATGTCGTCTAAATTCATAATCTACATGGCCAAGTTGGCCTGTTCGTCATAATGGGCAGCCAGAGCGTGTGTGTTCTCACTCTATGGCGTACAGGGCTTTGCTTGTTACAAGCATCGTCCGGTCGAGTCCATAGCCCCTTAATCAGATGGAAAGAGGTCCTGAGATTCGAAAGAACTTGTTCCCACCGGGTTTACAGCCACATCCACTAGTCTTTCCTACTGACCGAGGGTGGAGGCTTGTGGGAACAGGGTGGCGTTAGCCTCCTGCCAGCCCTTCAGGTCAAACTTGGCCGCGGCCAGAGCGCCAGCCAGGCCGTACTGGGTGTTGATACCCTCCACGCGATGGGTAGAGTTGATGTTCTTGACGAGAGTGATTTGGTAGCACGTGGCGCTGCCCTGTCGGGAGATGATGGTCGAGTATGCAAGGAAGTATTCCCAGGTCTGTGACAACATGTCAGTACGTACGAGCCCGGGGCGGGAGCCAACGCCAGGAGTCACTTACGCGGAACCACCTGCTGCCGTATTTTGCCTCGACCTTGTCCTTGTTGGCCATCCAATTTCTGTACCACCTCCAGAGCGTAGCAGAGTAGTGCACTCCAATGGTATCGATGTGCTTGATCTCGAATCCAGCACCCTCCAGCTTGTCGACGAACCAGCCCAGGGGAGTAGAAGCGTCGGCACCTGGGAAGACGTATTTGTTCATGAACAGGCCCCAGATAAGGTCCTCGTACTGCCAAGACTTTCGGAGACCAGCAATCTGCAGGAAGAAGACTCCATCGTCGTCCAGCATGTCGTGAACCTGCTTCAGGAACTTGGAGAAGTGACGAACGCCGACGTGTTCGGCCATCTCCAGACAGGTGATCTTGTGGTAGCCGCCCTCGGGGACCGGGATATCTCTGTAGTCCATGCACAGGATGTTGCTCTGCTCCTCAGGGACACCGACCTTGCGCATGGCGTTGTTGCCCCAAGCAGTCTGGTTGCGACCAAGCGTGACACCGGTAGCCTTCGCGCCGTAGTTGGCACTGGCAAAGCGGGCAAGGGTGCCCCAGCCGCAGCCAATATCCAGGAGTCGCTCGCCCTGCTTGAGACCGATCTTCTCGCACACAATAGCCAGCTTGTTGTCCTGGAGCTGCTCAAGGCTCTCCTCGGCGTTGATGTCGGAGATGATTCCAGAGGTATAGATCATACGGGGGCCCAAGAACCAGGCATAAAAATCATCCCCTCTATCATAGTGATCTCTAACCTGCTCCTCGTCTGTTTGCGATTTAATATTAGCACAGACGTCACAGACAGGGCGAAGGTCCGGATTGGACAGAACTTGCCTTGGGACCTGGTGTGCATAAGCATCTCGGGGATCATGCCAGTGAGGAAGAACCGGATCAGGCTGATGGTGAAGCGGAAGTTGGCCCAGTCGTGCCTGTACTCCATGATCTCGAGGCAGTCACCGTTGAACTCGACGTCGCCGTCAAAGTACATCTCGTGGAAGGTCTCCATGGGAATCTTGTTCTTGCCATGGTACTTGGCCTGGTCGGCCGGCTTCTTGAAGGTGAGGTAGTGTTCCACGGGACGGCCGGGATAGCGAGCCTTCTCGTTCTTGCGAGGGCTGACGGAGGAAACGACCAGCCAGAAACCGGCCAGCAGGGGGATGGTGGTGAAGAGTGCGAAGAAGAGAGCGGTCTTGTTGCCACCGCCGACCTTCCATGACAGCCAGAACGGAGGAACGCCCAGCACGAAGGCCAGGGCAATCAGGGAGAAGCTGTCGTTACCGGCGGCGTCGGCGGGCAAGGGAGCGTTCTTGATGGCGGGGTACTGTGGAGGAGTCCGTTAGACATGCTGTACATGGCACGCAGGCAGCTATGTCGGCTTGGGGTTTGCCATGACACCGGTAGGACCAGGCGACGGCGAGCTTGGAGGAAGGAAGACATACCGAAGTGGTTCGCACACCACACTCCTCGAACTTCTCGAAGGAGGGCGTCGGAGCCTTGGGAGTTTCAATGAACTCGAACTCAGACTCCGAGCCGTTGGTGCTCTGTGGTTTCGACATATTGCCGACAGATGCTCCTCGCGGCGTTTGCAGAAGAGGATCACCAGCGAAGGCCGGATGAGTGCGGAAGGGGAGGGGGATCCGAGTAAACAAGGGAGAGAGGGAAGAAAAGATACGCGACCAGCCAGACTAGATAATAACTCCCTTGACCGCTGCTTGCGACGATGGGCTAGCGACCAGATATGCCGGAGAGAAGATAAAAAGTGGACAAGGGAGCTTTGTGGTCTGGCGTTGTCTGCCCAATGCTTTGCCCATGCAGCCATGCATGAGGAGGGACCTGGACCGCGGCCGGGGAGCTCAGGGTCCTCCCTGGCGTGGGGAGCTCAATTGGGGCCACTGATTGGCCCTAGCTCCCTGGGCCCGTTCCGGTCCAGATCTGAAGCACTCAGAGATTCCAAGGTTGAACCTGAATGTCCGTATCAAATACAACAGCAGATTACAGTAATTGTCTATGAGAACGGATATTCGCACAGAAAGAAACGGATGGTATACAGATACATTACACGCCTAGTGCACTCGCACTCACACACCCAACTCACACACCCAAGCTCAATTCACATACCCACTCCAATTCACATACCCACTCCAATTCACATACCAGACTTACACACCTAATTTACACACTTATACACTAATATGATATGTAAATTAGGCATATAAATCAAGCATGTAAATTGGTGTTGGTATGTGAATTGGGTGTGGGTTTACTGGGTGTGGGTGTTGTGCTTTGATTAGCTGCGGGAATATTACTTGAGAGGCATCTGTATATCATCCGTTTTCTTCCATACAAATATCCGTTCTCTTGTCTATTATGTAATCTTGGCCTGGTGCAGGAGATATGTAGTGGGCAGGAGGAGATGCAGCTGGCTAGTATCTGTTCTTCAGGTACAGGGTGACCCCAACAAAACGTCAGGAGATATAGCATTACGTAGGTGCGTACCTAGGTGGCTACAAGGTGCCTCTTAGCCCACATGTATTCTGCAAGTTGCATGGATACCATCTCAGCTGAGCGAGGCCTGGAGAGTTTCATCACAGCTATTGGATCAGAGCAACAAATAAAAACAATCAATACCTTACTTGGGTAAACAAATAGTGGAGGAGGGGTAGGAAATGTATAAATATCGGGTCGATGGCGCTGCAATCTGACATCATCCAGAGCACCACTCATTATGGCCTCAACCAACACACTCACCACCCCAACACCAACAACCCCAAAAACTCCAAGCCACGAGACAGGCCATAACACCATGAATGAGGATATGAGAACATGACAACATGAGGCCAATCCACCCACTGCGCTCACTATGGCGCCACACACCCCCAAGGCGCACCATAACCACCGCCCCGGGGACCTTCGCAAACCTGCGCTATGAGCTCCTGGCCCGGCCCCCAAAGTGCTACTACGACTACCTGACCCCGACCAACTCGCACCTCCTCTCCGTCACCCTGGCCGACCAGCTGCTCCTCCGCGACCCGTCGTCCAGCCGCCCCTACCCGCCGCCGTCCTCGTCCGACGTGGACCACTGGACCCTCCCCAAGGTCCACCGCGGCGGCGGTGCCCTGCCCGCCCCTCCCTTGCCCCAGGGCCACCACCTCGTCTACTTCCCGCCCACGCACCCCTCCTCCGCCCTCCTCGCAGACGGCACCGACGCGGACCACTGGCCCGGCCAGCCCTTCACCCGCCGCCTGTGGGCCCGCGGCGCCGTCTCCTTCGCCGAGGGCTGGGAGGCGAACCTGCTCCTGGACAAGCGCCGCGCCGCCTGCGTCGAGCGCGTCGAGGACGTGAGGCTCCACTGGGCCAGGGCCGGCGTGGCGCAGGGCGGTGGTGGTGATGATGGCGGCGACGGCAACCACCCCGTGGGCGACAAGGTCTTCGTCGACATCGTGCGGCGCTACGGTCCCGTCGGCGAGGACGAGGACGCCGTGGACGGCCCCGAGGTGGTGCGGAGGATCGAGGGGAGCCCGGCCATCGTCGAGCGGCGCACGCTCGTGTTCCTGACCGGCAAGGCCGAGGACGGCGGCAGCCGTGGGAGCCCCAGGAGTTCCAAGCCGAAGCGTGAGTTTGCTTCCATCTTATTTGAGCGGTCTATCTATCTTGACTACCTATCAAATATTTCTAACCACTCTAGACGGCCAAAAGTCTACCAGGACCCAGCGCACGTGACCCCCTTCACAGCCACACCCGCGGTCCTCTTCCGCTTCTCGGCGCTGAGCTTCAACGCCCACGCCATCCACCTGGACCCGGCCCACTGCCGCGCCGCCGAGGGCTACGAGAGGCCGCTCGTCCACGGGCCGCTCCTGCTGGTCCTCATGCTCTCCGCCCTGCGGGCCGCCGCCCTCGCTGAAGGGGTCACCCCGCCCGCGGCAAGGGGGCTCGAGTACATGAACCTGCAGCCCGTATTTGTCAGCGAGACGATGAGGGTGTGCGTCCGGCCGGCCGGGACGAGGTGGCATGTGTGGGTCGAGGGCGAGGACGGGAGGTTGTGCGTCAAGGGCTCGGCCAAGTTTGCGTGACGGGGGCTGTATGGGTAGGCAGTCAGTGGACGGGGGCCGAAGGCGCAGTGTAGCTCGCCTGGAGCCTTTCAAGTTCGCCACTGCTGTATCTCAGATCGTGACTCCTAACAAAGGAGAGCCTTCGGAAAGATGGGCCTATAGTGTATATCAAGCCCTCAGCTTTGCGAAAAGAATTATGAGAAGTGGAACAAGAGTCCCAATGCTGTACTACAGCTTCATCTTCGGATGCCGGCATCCTTTGCATTTCACAGCTGATACAAAGCATCCGCTCATCTCTGAATGTATTCGGGACCTGATATCAATGGATCTCAATATGCTATCTCGCCTTCAAAATGCATCAGACAGACTGCCACGACGGACAGCTGTAGCCTCGTCTGGGATTAGCCAGCTGTGCTGCCACGGTGACACCTGACACCGGAACGCTTATAATTGAACCAGATTCGAAAACGCCCACCCAGCTAGCAGGGTAGGCAGGCATGCAAATATCCCATCCTCCTCAGTCGACCCGGGTATGTCTCCGACCACCACCCACTGCTCAAAGCGTCCATTCAGCCAAGTCATCATCTATCTTGACAAACGGCTCATCAATCCTTTTAATTGCAAACTCGCTGCATAGAATGCTGTTCCAGGTTGTCAGCCAAGCCCATTGAAAGCAGAGATAGAAAATGAAAGGGGTATGCAGGCATGTAGACAGGGAAGGGGGGAAGAAAAGAGGATAAGACTTACCAAGCCGAAGCAATCAACCCGTCCAGCTCCTGAATGACCTGCTCCCTCCGCTCGCCCTGCACCATACCCCTAGTAATCTGCAGCTGGCACTCCCTGATCCTGCGGCCCCTGCCCACGCCGGCCTGCTTGATGACCTCTTTGCCGAGGCAGTCGGAGTGGAAGGCGTGCTGGCAGGGGAAGACGAAGAACTGCCTGCTGAGCAGCGGCAGGCCGCACGTGTAGCACTTCTCCCCGGGCTCGACGATGGCGTACCGGTGGTCCAGCCCCGCGATGTCGAGCTTGATGTTGGCCGCCGTCTGTGACGACTCGTCCATCTCCCGCTTGAGCCCGTCGATGTTGCGCGAGTAGTCCTCGAGCGCCGAACAGATCTCCTCTTTGAAGTCGTCGATCACCACGAAGTCCGGGAAGAACGGGATCAGGTCCTCGATCTTGAGCAGGTCGTTGCATTTCCTCAGGAACTCGATCGCCCCCTTGATCCCGTTTGACTGGCTGATCACCTTCTTGGCCACCGCCAGCCATAGCCTCTTGCGCAGCTGCGGGTTGCTCATCGGTCGGTCGGCAATCAGGCTCGCCAGCTCGATCTCGTCATGCGACAGCGCCAGCTCGACCGCCTGCAGGTACTGTCCCATGGTCGTGTAGATGTGGACGCACGACAGCACCCGCCGGTGCTGGATGCACAGCCGCAGGGCGAAGTCCCGGTCAAAATGTGGCTCGTCACCCTGAGACTCGAGGTAGGCGAGCAGGGCACTTTCGTCTTTGGATGAGTGAGAGGCGTAGATGGAAACAAGGGTGTTGTGGACAGCTGAGTCGATTGAGTTGAGCTGGTTAACCACGTAAAGAAGGTATCGCACTGCCTGGTTCTGGGACAAGGGGCCTTTAAAGGTGCGGTCATATTCGAGGAGTGCCGGTATTAGGTTTCGAGGCTTCAGATTTGACTGCCTCATCAATATGTCGACCAAATCTTGTGCGGTGTGTGTCATCAGCACGCTGCTAAATCGGTAGAAGACGGTCGGGTCCGTTTGCCTCTTAAGGACGGTGAGTGTCTCGGGCCACCTTTCCCGTTGGACCCAGTAGGACAAAACATAGTTGTAATCGTTGACGGCATTCGCGAAGAAGAGTAATTCGTCCTCCCTACCATGGCTGCTGACAATCTCATAAACTGTCTTCTTGTCCAGGTCCGTCTTGTGCCTGTTAACAAAGTCCTGGTACTCGCCACGGACCGAGTCGAGCTGTTCTTTCGACTGAGTAGTGTTCAGATTCTCTGCGAGTTCTGCTTTGGTAATAATCGTGTCGTCAAGTGTGTTCAGCTTGGCCATGAATATCTCAACCAGCCATGTCGCAATCATGACCCGCTGCATTACCGCCGATTTCTTAAATGTGCCGAGTTTCGTGAGAAGGTACTTCCGCAGCGCATCGTGTTCGTTATTGTCCAGAAAAGATAGGGCCACCTCTTCGAATGGCTTGGTACTCTTGCCGTAGACACCAGCGGCGTCGCTAAATAGCCCCTTGCTGACGAGGTAGTCGCCAGAGGCTTTGGCCACAGCGTCCTTTTGTGCCGGGGAGTGCGCGTACTGCAGCGCGGCATCAAATTGCTGCAAGTCGAGCATGATCTTCCAGATATCGCGGTCCTCGTCCCTCACAACAATCTCGAAGATCTCCTGGGCCGAGAACAGGAAGAACGTATTCTTCTGCATGTCAGCACACAAGCCGACAGCCCTCTGCCCTGGGTCCAGAACAACTTGGTCGTAGACGATATTTCCGGTCAGCCGATTCGCAGCGACCACCCTGCTGCCTATAAGACTGATAACATGCCACTGCGTCAGCGCAATGGTCTCGATATTGTCCACCGTGCTCCTCCTCCTAATATCCGGGTTCGAGCTGGCGGCGAGCTGCGCCTTGGGCAGGAGCTTGGAGTCTGCGAAGACCTTGGCGCCCAGGTCAGCGCCACCCTGCGGTGAGCTTAGGAGCAGCTTGCCGTGGAAGACACCCTGAGAGTTGAGCCACGCGAACACCCTATCGGACACGACGGCGTCGTACGGGTCCTGCGGCGGGTCCGGGCTCACCACCAGGCTCGAGTTCGTCCCGCCGGCCGTCGTCCTGCTCAGCTCGTGGATAACAGGCTGCTCCGCCTCGAACAGCCTCGTGTATATGGACCCGCTGCCGTCCGGGCCCTTGCCGACCTTCCCAGCCAGGTGGAAGAGCCTCGTCTGCGTGGCCACCATGACCCTCCTCGACTCCGTCCTGCCGGGCAGGGCGTCCACCCACAGGCCCGTGACAGGCCCATCGGGCAGCTTCTGCAGCACCTTCAGGAACTTCTCCTCCTTGCGATAGAACTCGTTCGCCGTCTCGATGTACGCCTCGTAGATGTTCCCGTCACTCGCGCCGATCAGGATCTCCCTCGTGGACGCGGTGGGCAGCGCCGGGTTCCAGGCGACGCACTCGATAGAAACGCCACGGAGTCGGTTGAGAGGGCGGGGCTGGCGGGACTGGGAATGCAGATAGTAGTTGTCGCCGAGCGATGTGCATATGATCAGGTGCGAGGCAGTCGGGTCAAGGAACATGCGGCGGATGACGCCGATCTCTGAGGGTTTCTTGGGGAGGTCGATGTCTACAGCCACGCGGCAAGGTCAGCTCCTCGTGGCTCCACAACAGGGCCGCCGGGGTTGGGACCAGAGGTTTACACCATACCATCTATATCCTCCGGCCGCTCAAGGTCTATGCGTAGTATCCTGCCATTTGAAAGCGCCAGGATGAGCACATCGTTGGCCACCTGGGAGGCGACAAAGTCGGCAGCTATCGAGAACTGCAGCTGCACGTGCTGGACGTCGAAGATGGGCAGCTGCGCCGTGTCGGCCAGGTCGCTGGCGACGAAGCCGTTGGATGTCATCCTTTCCGCTGGTTATAATCTGTGAGCCTTCATAGTTGGAGCCGGTAGTAACGCCTGGTCTGAAGCTGGCTTGTTGTCGTCGTCAACCGCAGGTTTGGAGGGAGGAAGGGTAGCTGCTGCCGAGGTCAGATGTGGGCAGGCAAACAACACATCGATCGGGTTGAGGATCGGACTAGGCCCATCAATTGGTCGAGGTGGGAGCTCTGCAGGCCGCAGACGTCAGCGGTCTCGGTGCGACGGTTGGCCCCTGAGCGAGCCTGGTGCTTGCTGCGGGGTCCAGGGGGTGTGGTTGAGCTGTCTCGCCTGCAGTCTCACGGCCTGGCTGACAGCCCAGACAGCATATCTAACAGAGCACAATTCAGCGTCTAGACTGCCTACAGTATGAGACAGGTACATGGAAAAGAGGTGCGACACAGCTGGCTGTGCACAATAACATAGGCATCTCCAATCAAGATCCTTCTTCCTCCCTGTGTTACCGTGTTCGCACTTCACACTCTGATGCCTGTAGGTCAAATAGTCTAATTGATTGATCGTCTTACTTGTATCAGGGACGCAAAGCCTTCCTCCCGTGGGACTGTCTGCCAGAAGGCATGCGCAGGCCATCTCCAATATAACACTCGCGCCCCTGCCCCCCCCCCCCCCCCTTTCGATACAACACCGTATGATGTGATGAAGTTGACGCCCGCAAAAGGTATAATGCACGAGTGGGTCGCAGCAACAAGAACGCCTTCCAGATACAACGCGCAACCAACTTTTGTCCCTTGTAAGGGAGCGTAATCGTCAGATCCAAACACTGGCCCAAGACAAATGCGCAGGACAAAATGTGCCCTTGACACCAGTGATCACCTCTAAGAATCTGCTTCCCTCCAGCCTCCTTTCGTCGGCAGAGGGCATGCGTGTCACAGCACCTACCCCTTCACCCCTTGCGCCTCCTCTATTATCTCTTCGATTTAAGGTCGACCTAGCTCTCAGGCTCTAATGTCATCAGTGCTTATTTGGCATTCCTCTTGAAGGCGAGCAGCTCGGCCAGGCTGCTCATCGCGCAGCCGTGCTTCAGGAAGTCGTGCTCCAGCAGCTCCCTCGCGGACGCCCGGGACTTGACATCCACGCACAAGCACACAGACAGGAAAGCCTTGAGCTCCTTGCTTAGCTTCTCTGGCTTCTTGAGGCGGGGTGTTCCGTTCGTGGCGATAAGGTACAGTGCCTTCAGGGGCTCCTCGTTCAGGTATGGTGGCTCCGACTCGATCATCTCGATCGCCATGATACCGAGCGACCAGATGTCGACCTTGGGGCCGTATTCCTTCTGCTTGACAACCTCAGGCGCCATCCAGTATGGTGTGCCCACCATGGTGGCTCGCTTGGACTTGGTCTCGGTGAGCTTGGCGCAGAAACCGAAATCGGCTGCGGGAGATTGTTAGCCACCGACTGTCATTTGGTCCTGGGTTCCTTGGTGCTTGATGGACTTACTAATCTTAACGTTACCGCGGGCGTCCAGGAGAACGTTGTCACTCTTGATGTCACGGTGAATAATATTCTGGGAGTGGAGATGTTGCAACCCTTGGCAAGTCTGCAGATTATGTGAGTTAGCAGTGTTCCGTTTCGCTGCAGGCGGGCGAAGCAACTCACCTCGAGGCAAATCGTCGAGATCTGATCCTCAGTGATGACAGGGTTATTGTCGATCACGTCAGTCAGTGCACCACCCTCCATGTACTCCATGACAACCCACAGCTCGGCGTTGTTATTACGCAGGAAGGCATCCAAGAAGTTGACAATGTTCTTGTGCCTGCTGTCCTTCATAACCATGATTTCGTTGACGATCAGCTCCTTCCGGGGCTGGTGAGCAAGATCCATCTGCTTGATAGCAACCTGGGCCCGGACTCCTTGGGCGCGCAGGATGTCACGGGCGACGGGCGAGGAGGCCGTCTCCTTGACCTTGGCAACGTACACGGAGCCAGAAGCACCCTGGCCAATTTTCTTCTGCTTCGAGTAGGACATGTTGGGGTCGTCCTTTGAGACCGCCTCCTTGAGCTTCTGCATGACCTCTCCCTCGGACATCGTGGACATGCGCACTTCTTGCTTCTTCTTCTCCTCTTGCGGTGTGGGTTTGGCCGAGAGGGCGGCCTCAGCTGCCTTGACAGCATCGCTCTGCGCATTGTTCTTGTTTCCAACGTTGAGAGGTTGAGGTTTAACAGGCGCTGGCAAGCGTGATGGCGCCTGGCCCTGGGCGCCATTCGCACGGGGCTGCGACGAGGCACCGATACCATTGGGGTAACGGGTAGCTGCCGGGGACTGGGGAGATTGCTGATCTTGACGCTGTGCTCGCTGCTGCTGCTGGGTCTGGATGGAGGACGAGCTCTGTTGAGTCTGAATGGGCGGTCGCTGCACGTTCGAGGCACCAGATGGAGGGGCGGGGGCGGGTCTCTGTGCACGAAGGGCCGCCGGATTTTGCGCGGCCTTTGGTGCGGAAGGTGCAGGCCGGCTGGGGTTGTAACGGTCCTGTTGGGGGGAGCTGGGGGCGAAGCCGCCGATCTCCTGCTGCGCGATCGGGACTTTCTTTTGGGGAATGGAAGCATTGTAAGCCTCCATGTCCCGCCTCTGTTCCTCGATCTCACGCTGGGCATTCTCCATCCTCTGCCGTGCCTCCTGTTCCTGGCGAGCCCTGTCATCTGCACCGTAGCCAGAGGACGCGCTCTGCATGGGTGGCCGCTGATCCGTCGGAGACGGTCTTTGGGTCTGCTGGTTGACACTTGCCTGGGAAGGACTCGTCTGGTAGGCAGGCCGCTGCTGCTGAGGCTGCGGTGCCTGGCGAGGGGGTGCGATGGATGAGCCGGCTCCGTAGCCAAGCTGCTTGTTTGGCATGTTGGCCGCAGGAGGGGTCGGGGTGAGGCTGGGATACTGATTGGGGTTCTCGGCGCGCTTGGTGAGGTCGGAGTAGAAGTCGAGGACTTCGAAGACGGCCTGGGGGTTCCGCTCGTAGTCCTCCTTGGTGATGGCAGACGAGTTCAGCAGCTTCGACCACTCCGGGGGCAGCCCGACGAACTCGCCAGTCTGCGGATCGAAGCCAACGTGGACGGCATGGGAGAAGTTTGTAGGGTTGCTGACCCCGCCCATGCCTGGGCATCGGGCGTAGATGAAGTCTATCCACTCATACAGGTCATCGTCGCTCTTTACTCTGATCTGAAGCGTCTTTGTTGTGCCATCGTCGTCGCCGGGGCTCGTCGAGGACCCGTTCGACTGTCGTTTGACCTCGAATATGGTACCGGCGGCCTCGACTCGTCCTACGTTGATGACGTCCTTGAGGAACAAGGTGTAGGCAACCTTGCTGCCCTCCTGCTTGTGGAAGTCCAGCGCCTCCTTGCGCAGGACAAGAAACTTCTGTTTCCATGGCTGGATGAAGTTCTTGCTCTCCTTGACCTGCGCCCAGCCCTCCTTGATGACAGCCACGCCGCCCATGCCGTCGGAGTTGCCCCCTGGGCGGCTAAGGGGTAGGGATATCGTGGAGCCGCTGTACTGTGAGGGGTTCCGTGGGATGGGCGACAGCGACATCTGAGCCATGCTTCCTGGGAGGTTCTGGGGGGTCGGGGCCTGATTGGCACGAGGCTGCTGGCTGACGGGTGGTCGTGGTGCTGGGCCAGGGTTCATAAACTGACCCGACGAATACATGCTTCTGCAAGGCAAACGGGAACGGTTAGCGGATTGGACGGTTTTAAGCGGGTGCGCACAAGAGGCGGTGAAGTACAAGAATAAACGGGCCGCGATCAGGGAATAGGGGGCGCCGGCTAGAGCAAAGGACAGAGTGCTAGAGAGTGGCAGGCTTGAGCCGTCGCAATTGGGGCAAACGGCAGCACCGCCGGTCCCCAGCTACTGAGGCACACGTTGGAAGGGTGCGGGCGGCGGCGTGGGCTGGTTTTGTGATGAGCGGGCAAGGCACTGTAAGGAAGACTATCACCATACCCGTTCTGAGTGGCCATTTTGTTGTGCTGTGGAGTGACGAGACCCAGAGGATTAGGAACTGAGGTCTGGTCGGCACAGGCGATGGTGTTGGCCGCTCGCCGCAGCAATTAGGACGAAACAAGGCGAGACTCGGTCCTGACTGGGGCACTGGGTGATGGCAGGGCTGCCCAAACGCTGAGCAAGAGCGAAAGACTGTGTGTGCTGTGCCCTTGGGAGCCTGTTCTGTGGGCTCGAGTGATTTGCAAGAGTGTCGGTATTCAATTGCCCGGAAAGAGTGGCACCATGGAGCGAGGCCAGCACGACTGGAGTTGCGGGAGTGGTTGATTGTGGGAGTGGGAGGAGGAGGAGGGTGTGTAGGAGGGGCCCGGTCGCTGGTGTCGCAGGGGGGCGGTTCGGCAAGAGTCCTTGGTGGACCTGGACCTGGGACCTGGGATCTGGTGGCTCAGGGACAGGCGTGGGTTGGGTGTGTGTGTAGGCGGGCAGACAGGCTCTGTGTGGGATATCGAGACATGCAGGTTGCGTGCTGCTGCTGCTGCTGTTGGGCCAAGCTGCACTGCGCTGCACTGAGCTGCACTGGAGTGAAACGGAGGGAATTTGGTCTGTTTGAGCTGAGCTGAGCTGATGGACTGAACAGGGAGGCTGTTTTCGCGAGTGACGGGCTGATAGAGCGGTGGCTTGCCGTCGCCCTTTGTGTGTGTGTGTGTGTGAGAGAGGAACGGTTGGTGCAAGAGGGTCGACGTCGAGCAGCGAGGGCGAGGAGCGAGTGATTGATTGATTGTTTCAAAGGCTGGGCTGGGCTCGGCTGGGCCACCTCAGAGCAGCCAGCGACGCTGAGTAGTCAGCAGGGCAGCGCAGGGTAGCGCAAGGTCAGGGTAGTAACAGCGGGCTCGCTGGACCGGTCAAACAAGCGATTCTCTTGGGACAGACCTGCTGGTTCTCCTGCCAACCAGGCCAATTTGTGAGGCTGCTGTAAAGACGGGATGTTGTCTTGTTGAAGGGGTTTAACTGTGCAGATGCAGAGAGGAACAGAGCAAGCAGAGCAGAGCAGAGAAGAGGAGAGGACAAAGCACGAGGTGGTTGGTTGGTTGTCCAGTCGCAAGTGTGGTCAGAAGAGAGAGGGCCGTCGGTTGATGGGCGCATCGGGCAAGCCTGGGCTGGATTGGAGGCCCAAAGGGGGGGTGGTGGTTACAGGGTTATTGCTGTGTTAGAGGGGTGGGGGGAAAGGAGACAGCAGGACTGGAACCCCGCCCCGTTGGATGGGCAGGAGCGCCAGAGGCAAAACGCCTCTAACGTGCAGATGCTGTTCATCAGTCCCAGCACAGCAGCGCACCAACGATGGTCCTGTTGTTTTGGCCTGGCCCTGATCCTCGGCCCTGGGTACTGACTGGGTATCTAGGTGGTGGGCCCTGGGTACCTAGGCAGGTAGTCTCGTAGTCTAATGGGCAGTGGGTCCTACACCGGGCTACCGTAGCTGGGCATCATCCATCCGTCCACCAGCAGGCTGGGTACTTCAATCTCGGCCCAGCTGCCCCCACCAGCCGTTGTATCTTTCCTGCACATCTTCTTCCTTGGTTTCGGCCGGCCCTTGGTTTGGAGCTTGCCGGGTCTCAGTTCCAACAAGTGTAGTCCGCAGTGTGATGGAGTGGAATGATGGACAATGGTTCCTCTCGTCCCCCTCCTCTCCAGGTGAGCCTGTCTCGTGCTCTGGAGACGGCAGTCGTGTGCTCCGTGAGGCAGTGTCCACCAAGTCAAATAGATACAGTCAAATCTTGCGCGTTCCCCAGACTGCAGGCCCAGCCAAAACAAGCGACCAGTCACTTCAGCTGAAGCGGGCGGGAGTGGTGATGCTTTTCCGGCATTGCAACATTTCAGTCGGCTCTCGGTAGACCGAGCAAATCAGCTGTGCCCTGCACCCTCCATTCCAGTTCGTCGACGCCCTTTCTCATCTCGAAAGGGCCCTCCCGCGTTCGCGCAATACAGTTTATTATTTACCTGGTACAGCGCGCAGCGTTGCTGCTCTTCTTGAAGAGCCTCCTCGGGCCAGGGTACAGTACGTAGCAAACCAGGCATCGTCTTCATTTTGTTCTCTGTCGGTTGGTGGCGCAATACGACTCCCAGACAGATCCCATCCCGCCTTGCCACCTTTTCCCCAACATGCCAGCCATCCATCTACGGAGTAATTACAGCACAAATGGTCTGCAGCAGACGGACTAGACTACCTCTGCGAATGCAGCTGGGGGCCTCGTCGATCATCAGCAGTACTGTTTCATGTCTCTACCCAGACGCAGCCGCTACCGAGGCCCTGCATGCTGTACCACAACATGGCCCGATATGTACGACACACACAGGCCGGCTGATTCAGGTGACAGTCTGTGAGCTTGTCGGGATTTTAATAAGCTTTGGGCCCAGCCATGAACCACAAGCCAGCGGACCACCCACCGGGCCCGAGGTGGAACAAAGGACTGCACACGACACCACGACCACCACGACACCTTCGACTCGAGCCTCGCGGCCCGGCCTTGGCCCTGACCTCGCCAGCTATGGCCTCATTTCCCTTGCCCGGGCCCTCGCCCCATATCTAAAGAGAGCTGAGATGAATATGGGCCCGTCTGCTATTATTCATGCCTGGGCAGCGTGGCTGTTTCATCCGAATCAACCCCTCCATACCTTGCTGCTGGCCCTACTGTGTATTTGTACGTCCACTTCATACATTCGACCGGCTGCCTGGCTGCCTGGCTGCCTGGCTGGCCCGTAACCAAATCTCGCCGATCTCCCCGACCACAACCACCCGAGGAAGAGGGCCCAGCCATCACAAAGTTTCCGCAATCCGGGAGAACCCCCACGCCAGCATGCTTGGTCTTCGCCAGTAAGACTCGTTTGTACCTGCATCAGTTTGCCCGCCCTCATAAATGAAATGCTGCAGACTACAGCCGTACTAATGATGAGGCCGGCCACCCACTCCCCTAAGCCTGCAGGGAGGGATGACATCGAACCGGTGCCTTGCACCGAGTACCACCGTTTCCGAGCATCCACTGAGGGAAAAAGTCTAGAAAAGACGAGAACGGCCGGGGTAGGGGTGCGGCCTTCTCGAAGAACAAGCGCGGCGGACCTCCATCGTCATTGAAACCAGGTGGAGGAGCGAGAACGAACAGCTGGGCCGCCGCTTTGCCCTTCCTTTGTTTCCAATCTGTCACAGAACTCAATCAAGAACAGCTTACCGGCACTATCCGCCACGACACACCCGCACCCACCCACACGCACCCCCCCTTTTTTTCTCCCCTTCCGCTGGAATGGAGCCCCCACCAGAACGTGCGTTTCCCGATCCGTACATATACCGTGAAGGTGAGCGAATGCGTAGGTTCATACCCCGGTCAAATGTTTCGTGAGCCCTTCCCTGCTGCACATGCACGCCATCTACAACGTACCACGGCCTTATCCCTATTCCATATCCTGCTACCGTTCCTCACGGGCCGCGGCAGCGGCTAATGGGAACCCATCACGTGTAAGTAGCATATAATTTGAACACACCACTCGGGCTCATGGAGGAGTCTTGAGCGGCAATATGACAGGAACCGCGTACTCGAGGCTGCGCAGCTCATACCGCGGCTTCGCCTTGTTCCACTTGTGCATCTTGCCCAGCTCCCGCATGGCAAGCTGCTCAGAAGTAGGCGTTGGGGGAGGCGAGGGGGCCATGGACCCCGAATCATCAGCATCATCGTCCTCGTCCTCGTCTTCCTCGTCCTCGTCATGGTTGTCATCGCTTGCTCCTCCCCGGTGCCCTATGTCCTCTGGCTGCTGTGGCCCGTCGTCCGGCTGGTCGTGGCCGTCTTGTCCGGAAGACGAGGGAGAGTCTGACATTTCTACATCTTCGCCCTCGCCGCCGCGGATACTGGGTCCATCACCGGACTCGTCACCGGATCCATCACCGGAGCCGGCATCGCCATGGTCACTATCGTGGTCATCGCCCTCCTCTTCGGGGAGCGGCTCCCCATTAGGCCCGTCCCCTGCTTCGGCCGCGTACTTCATTATATAGGAGAACGGCATGAGCTTCTCCGGCTTGGTCCATGAGACGTCGATACTATCATAGTACCCGGCCGGCCTGTCAGCCGGCCTCCGAAAGCCCGCAACCCGCGCCTGGGCCTGGGGTAGCAAGGTGTCACGCACGTCCTCTGGGCTGGGAAACGTCGTGTCTATGGCTTCCCCCAGGTCACGGACCAAATCGTGCTCGTGGTTCGGGAACTCGAAGCGCTGCAGCAGCTCGATGAGCTCGTCCGAGTACGGCGGCGCCCCGGGCTCCTGGTTTGCGACCTGCACCCGCCCGCAGTTCGGCCTGTCGTTGGTGTTCAACCTGTCATGATGGATGTGCGCCATACTCATGGTCCGTAGCATCTCCCCGACTGAATAGATGTCCTCCCACTCCGCCAGGAACCCCTCGGTGTCTTCCTCTCCCCACGGCTGGTAGACGCATACTGGTAGCGTTGCAGGGTCGTCGCCCTCGATTCCTGAGTTCCCGAAGTCTCCGACCACAATTTCGGGGAACGCGTTGCTCTCGAGACCTGCCCTCGGGATACGGCCGGGTCCTCTGGGCGGGTAGTTTATGAACACGTTGTTGGCGTGCTGTGACTTTATGTCAGGAATACGAATCAGGAACCACTGCATAGCTCCTGGACACTCACTAGGTCTCGGTGATATATGCGGACCCAGTTATCAGGCTGCTGGGTTGAGTCTTCGGCTGGTTCGCTTCCGTGCCGACTCCCTTCATCCTCATCGCGCTGTACAGTGTGCCTGCCAAACTTCATCGCTACTAGTGCCAAGAACATTTGCTCTGCTACAAGCCTGTCATGGCAGCCATGTTAGATAAGGAAAGCCAGATACGCCACGTGAACAATGGACTTAATTTTACCATATGAAGTGCTCTGGGACAGCAATCAGTCGCTTGTTATACTTGGTAACAAGTTCATCCACTGCACCTCCGTTACAATAGCTACGAAGCACAAGATTAGCCCTCGTCTCACTCAGATGCTCGTGCCCAGTCAGTTGGCTTACTCGAAGAAGAGCGAGTAGACAGTACAATCGCTAGTGCTATCTCTAGGGTCCAACTCCTGCCAGAAGCGCAGCTTGTTGAAATAAGGCACGTTCGGCAGGACCCCCCTCCGGTGGACATCGTCGTCATTGTCGCCAGGGAGGTCTATGCGAGCGTCGCCGATGGCGTGGCGGTACGTGGACACCCTCAACTCGCTCGGCGGGCTCGATAGGGATCCGACAGGGTCCCACGGTCGCTCTATGATCTTGTTGACAAAAAGCTCGCCCGTCGATGCGGACTGGACCACGAAGATGCTCTTGTCTTCTTTCAGCCTGTTGCCTCTCATGTCGTATTTAGTGGATGTTCCCATCCTGATCGCTTCGACAAAGAGGAACCCGTCGTTCATGAAGTCGACGTTCCGGGGCACCCTGGCGTCTTGCATAACTCGACCCTCCCGGTCGTCTTCATCCTCTCTTTCAAGTGGTAACAAGACCCCTATTTGCCTGTAGTTTCTCCGTGCAATGCGAGGCGCTGCCATGGTATCATTCAATAATAGGACTTGATAGCCCAAAAAGAATGGCAATGTATACCTTAAGACACAACTTCTGGATTCTTGAAGTCTGTACGATCCCTAAATGTCTGGGAAAGTCTCCTCGATGAATATACCAATTTCAACCGTAAATTCTTCTCTGAGATGTAAACCTCACTGAATGCATTCAGTTTTCTTATGAATTCATTGTTCAATCGGGCTTTTTGCTCTCGTGGAAAGCATCAATTGCTCCATTCACTCGCTAGGTACATAACAGTGCCGGATCCGGGAACCCATTTCGCTTTGTCCGCGCTGCCGCCACACTCTTCTGATACGACGGCGTGACAATTAAAAATCTCATGTGGAACCGAACCAAGTATTCTTCGAAAACGGTGAGGACACAAATGTCTCACAATATCATTGTTCACGTCTGCAAGGAGCTGAGATGACCGCGTGCAAGGCTCATGGCCGGGTGAGGAAACGAGGACTTATTGAGACTGTGCACAGAAGTGAAGAAGAGTTGATACAGATGAGGCAGCCGTCTTGGCTTATATTAACACGTAGTGTATAATAATGGCTTGAACTCTATATGTGGTAGATGTGAGTGGCGGAAAATAAACTGTAGACCAAAAAGGAATCAAGACAGAACGTACATCATTGGTTGTTACCCGCCCAACTACTTACCTAGCGAATCAAAAGGGTGACTGTACGGTTATATTTAGATCCAGGTAGGGTATGGAAGCACTGTTGTCTTGCTGTAAAGTTTCACAGACGAGGGCCGCAACCTGCTAAAGTGATAAACCAGTGTACCAGTGCCACAAGGAAGGTGCCGTACTGAAATAGCAATGTGGGTCATTAGTGTAATTCATGGGCTCTCGGTAACATATCTCGAGGTTCGTGATCACCTCCGGCACACACTTCTCACACCCTACTACATTGTTTTCAAGGTTTACTACACGGCTCGCGTTAAGTAATGAAAAATAAGAGTCCTCCGTCGGAGCCGAAGTTTTGGACTGTCGATCACGATCGCAACGCGTCATTGTCTTGGTCGACTGTCTTGCTCCGTTTCGCGAAGAAGCTCACAGTAGACAGATATACAGAAAAGATAATGATTTGAAAGATTTATTTGGGTGGCATAGAAGTTCTTGCATTGTGTTGAATTCAGGACTGGCGCCACTCCAAGGACTACTGCTCTTTCCTAGACACACCCATGACTATTGGGAGCCACATCCCCGTTCCTGCATGCACTATACCAAGAACTTCTTGTTCACAGCCAACCGCATCTTCCGAAGCTTGATTCAGACCTTATGTTACATTACCTGTAGCTCCTGGACTGTGCCGCTCTCCTGCGCATAAAAGTTTGAAGATATCCTGTTGGCGCTAGGACAAGTGGATCGACCCGCTGAAGTACCGAATCCTTTCCAAGCCAGCGTCTAAAGGTATGGACTCATCCCCAATAAATCTTTCAGTCCCTCCGTCAACGACGGTTTTGCAAGCGGGAAACACCTTTGTAGTGGTCACACACCCAAACGTACCTAGCGACTACCAACCTTCTGAACAACGGCGAAGCAACCAGCAAAAGTTCCCATCATGCCAAGAGACGACGGAAGTAGTCAGGACATACACGCTCAAAATGAACGCCAGCGTGGCTGGGAGCACGTCCCTAGCAACGACAATGACGGAATTATGTAGCCTATCTCCTATGTTTCTCCCACAACCGCAGCCTGGAATCCGTCTCAATTCCAACGAGGGCCCGAGCCAGAACCACCTTCTTCTGATAATGCGTCTGCCATACCGCGCAAAGAACCCGAAGGCCCGTACGAGGAGGAGATTCTCGTTGCGGCACCACGACTGAAGAGGAGAAGATTTCTCACCGAATGGTGGCAAGAGATGCTCAGCGCTATATCGAGCATGCTCTGCATAGTAGTCATTATCGTCATACTGTACAAGGTCAATAGGAAGCCGCTGGCAGACTGGGATGAGCCTGTGTCTCTCAACGCTGCCATCTCCGTTCTTTCCACGGCTGCTAAGGCTGGCTTAATTCTGCCAGTGGCTGAGTGCATCAGCCAGCTTAAATGGATACACTTGCAGAGCAGCAAGTCGCAGTAAGAAGCCCTAGAACTATCAGCACAATGTGTTAAAGCCCGACTAATCAACTATGCCAGTCTCGAACAGCTCCAGGTATTCGATAACGCCAGCAGCGGGCCCGCGGGCTCTTTCTGGTTCTTCTGGCAAGCGAAGAGAGCCCCTCTGGTTTCGTATTTTGCATGCCTCATTGTCATTCTGGTAGTTGCTCTTGATCCGTTCACCCAGCCGATTGTCCAGTACTATCAATCATTTGAGACACCTGTTGCTCACCTGAACTCGACCGTCCGCCACTCTCAAGAGTATGACCGGGGCCCAACAATTGGTACAAATCTAGAGAGTGAGTTGAGCTCCTTCTTTGGCAAAGATCTACGCTTACAATTTACGCTGACGAGCAAAGACCGTCGCAATGATGATAGCATTATGTTTGGCATGATGTCATGGCTTTACGGGACCTTGCCTGTCCCCCCTTTCTCATGTCCAGGATCGAACTGCACCTATCCCGTGGTGACTTCACTTGGAATGTGTAGCTATTGCGAGGATGTGACAGAGCGCACAGTGGCTGATTGTAAGATTGTTCCTTACAACAACAGAACACTCATCACTGGGGATTTCAGCAGGTGTAACTACACTCTCCCGGGGGGGGGGGGGGTCTAGTATGACTGCATACGAGACTTATACGTCTTTCGGGTGGAACTACCCAACCCTGAATACTAGCACAAGCGAGGAACCAAACACATACCCGTTCATTAAGGACAGCATCGTCAACATGACCAACATTACGAGGCTGTACAACATGAACTTCGTCCGCTTCAACAGCGCAGAAGACATCGGGATAGATATCAAGGCCAACGGGACAGACTGGATGAAAACCATGACCGCCCATGAATGCGAATTTCAACTGTGCGCGTGGTCGTTCACAAACTGGTCACACCTGGACGGGGCCCTACATGAAGGCGCCGTCGCCCAATCCAAACTCAAGATGCGCGAGGCGACGGCGGAAACCAGGTTTTGGGACCAGTACGCGCCCTTCGTTTTCGAGACAGAAGACTCTGACTTCCCCGGGAACCAGACATACGCAATCGCAACTGTCGACCGGCGGTCGATGCTTCAGACGTTTTATACGATGGGGGACAGGGCCACGGGCAACGAGGCGGCCAATTACTTCGCGAACAGCCTCTACATGGCCGACCGCGACATCCCGCGCACGCTCGACGCCATGGCTAGGGGCATGACGTACAGTATAATGAGCGGGATGAACTCGACGCTGTCGCTGGGTCAGGTGTTTGAGACCCAGACTTTTATCTACGTGCACTGGGAGTGGCTGACTCTGTCGATTATTACGGTCGTCAGCTCGGTGGTACTACCCGCGGTTACCATTGTGAAGACGTACGCAGCGCACCAGCGGGCCTGGAAGTCGTCGCTGGTCCCTTTGTTATATGCAGATTCAACTATAATGCTGGACAAGAATGGAGGGAAGGATTGGGGCGAGGAGGACAAGGTCCAACGCAAAGCGGTTATTAGTACCGGTCTGGTGGCTGCGTCCGCAGCTGGAACTGTTTCTGTTTTACGATCATGATGTGGGATTTGATGGGATTTATATAGGGTCTGAGCGCACATGTTGTCCATAAGTACTGGGAGTCCTAGAATTGCATAGCGACTTTGAGACAAGGTTGTAGATAAAATATGATAGGTTTAACTATCACCTCAAACGAGGCCGGCTGACATATAGTTGTAGCGTTGTAGTCTTTTCAGTGCTGCCACATGCACAGAAGCTGGCCTACCTTGAGAAGGCAAGAGGCAGATTGCGATAGCGACTGGTTAGAAATCAGAACCCAGGGAACCTGCCCAACGAGGCAACAAGCATCGACATCATAGCGGGTTAGCCGGGTCAAGCACAGGCCTAGAGTCGGCGTCATTATTGCCGTTCAAGATTATGCCATTGCTCGTAGATTCCCTTGGATTAATTCCCATGTCTTATGATGGCTGGACTGCCCCCAACAGGATTCTTCTTTGTGGCGGTGCATGTTTCCCCCGTGACCGGAATAGCCGACTGTTAAAAGTAATCGAAGTTGAGAGGGCCAACGAATATTATTCTTATGATGAGTTTCAACCCTTCTTCATATACTGCTGTTAGAAATAGCGAAGCCAGTAGCTAAGGCGGTGGCTGATATGGACATTGTAGACTGAATCGTTATGTTTGCCGAAGAACATGTCAGCTCGACCGGTATACAAACTACCTAGGTAAGCGGAGGGGAACACTTCCCAACAGGTCCGCGCTGGCCCCAACTTTTCCACTCTTATTTAATGATAATGGAGGCGCTGGGGGCTTTATCTTCAATGGCGTTGATAAAGTTGTCAAACAAAAGAGCTTTCGTAGACAGGTCGAGGATATGCCCGAAGCAGGGGCCGCGGTGCTGCTTGCCCCATCCCTTTGCCCAGCCGAGGAGGACCTTCAAGCTTGTCCATAGGTTTATTCATGTTATCGGCATTATCGAGAATAGCGCATAAGACTTTGTGTCAGATGCCAAGAAAGTCGAGAGCTTTATATACTTCCTCCAAGATGTTTAGGCTCGTATGCTGAGATGTGACCTCTGGTCTTTCCCATGGCTCTAGGACTTCTAAACAAGAGGAAGAAGGAATGATAGCGATAAGGCATTCTTCTCATGAGATCAACTCGTGATGTACGAAAAATTGCTTGAACTCTACATATGGGAGATACGAAGGGTGGAAAGCAGGCAACATGTAGACCAAAAAAGAAACAAGACATACAGCACCAGGTGTTCGCTGGTCGTCACCGACCCAACTACTAATCCAGCAATTATAGGCTTGACTATGGGAGAGCGGACGGGATCCCGTGTTTTCCTATATCTATGGCCGTATGTGCTTGGTTGGGCAGGATTGTGGATTATATGTGGAGTTTGAACGACTCAGGAGGCACTGGTCTGAACACACTGATGGATCGCTCTAATTATGGAAATAAGAAAAGTGGAGAATCTCAAGAAACACAGTATTTCAGAATAGATGTTATATTAGAAGGTTGAGAGGATGCCGTGGCTTGCGCTTGAAAATACATGTCCATAGGGCGGCAATCCCAACAGCTTCTGTCGAAGCTGACATGACCTAGCAGGAACTGGAGATTTAGAGCCGCGACATGGCGATTAATCCTTGGAATCTCATTTTATCGAAACTCATTTTGAACTTATCTATGATCTTTGCAAGTATCTTCCTGAGTCAGATGAATGGGCTGCCCATTTGAAATTAGTGGCTTCAAATCTAGTTAGAGAGGCTTCTTTGGACAGACCCCCGGTCTAACAAAACAACTATCTTCCCACATGGGCAGAAACTTCAAGCCTGCTTATTTCAACGTTATTCGGCTGATAAAAGCTGGTTCGATCATGCCCTTCCGGAGTTTCTTTCTCAATGTGATCTTTCTAGCCACGCTAGCTATTCTTAATTCTAAACAAAGCTTGTAGAATTCATTGGATTGAATTTCTCCGGCAGGAACTACAAAATATCTCCAATATTGAAAGTGAAATTGAAATTGGGAACTACTTTCCTCAATCTTGCGGCTTTCTTTCCACCAACTTGGCTGGATGAGGTCAGCCTAGAGGGCTGTGGCCCACTTGAGCAATTCAAGAAGGGCCACATCCCGCTAGCTTTGTATTCAGAGAATAAATTTTATTACGCCCATCAGGTCTCAGGAAAGAGACTGCACATCTCATGTACGGACAATTGTGTAAGCGTAGCCTGCCCCCGATAAACCAAATCGATAATTGCGTGTGAGATCTTCACAGAACGTTGTTGGCTTGAGCCTCGTGGGCCGATAAGTTTGATTCTGCGACGAGGATTTGGTATTTTGCACCAGATGAATTGTATTTGAAAATGCTCTCATTCATGCCACGATCGGTCGGTGATGGCGACACAACAAGATAGCAGTAGGAAGCTGTAACTTTTCTAGCAAGTGTCCATTGATTCTCTTCATGAATACGGAGATTGGCACCTGCAAAAACGGAGGATACGCCGGTACATCACCTCTTCACCCAACACCCACATCCAAAACTCATACACAACACCCATACACAACAGCTACACCTAACACTTATACACATAACACCTACTAGTACACTTCACACCCATACCCAACACCCATACACCCAACACCCATACACCTACTACCCATACACCTAACACCTACACCCATACTCTTACTTACACCCACATACCCACATACCCAACACCCATATACCTAATACCCATATACTTAACACCTACACTCAATACCTATACACTCAACTTATATACCTAATTTATTTGCTTAATTCAACTCAGGTATATAGGTGTTAGGTATAAGTACACGAATTAGGCCAGGGTAATGTGCTCTGATTGGCTATGATATGAGTTGATATACCGGCGTACCCTCTGTTTTTACAAGCGCGAATCTCTGTATTCCTCTTCATTTAGGTGAAGCGAACGCGTAATACTATATACAGTTGTAGGAGTGGTTAGATGCAGAAGCATCCCCTATCCCGTTCCGGAGACAACCACCTTGGGCAATCTGGTGAACCCGCCTACGCATGGGAACAACCAAGAATGAAGGCCACGAATGCAAGACCAAGCCCTTGGTGGCCTCACTCCGGAACCAACACAGGTGTGACACCGACAGGCTTTGCAGTGACCATACCTACCTCGCCGGCAGTCGACGGCGCCGCCTGACCAACAAGAAGCTCACCACCACCACCAACACCAGCACTGCCCCTAACCGCAGGGGCCAACAAATAGAACAGCACCAACAAGAACCCCATCATCACCCTCGAAACGAACGTCCTAACAGACATGCTCAAAAAGACCGTGACGAGCCGCACGACAAGATCAACCGCCGGCTTCGCGCTCGCGTACATCGCAGGGGGGGATCGCCGCTCGAGGCGCCCCAGGGCGGAGGCGACCGCGTCCGCCCAGCGTCTCGGGACGAACGAGGTCAGAGACCTGCTGGCGAGAGAAGACGTTGAGGACGACAGCTCTGCATCATGGGACCCCTTGCCGCTTCCGCGGCGAGGGAACAGGGGAAGGAACGGGTTGACATCATCAGAAAATGAGTCTTGCTTACCTCGGGAACCGAGGCCTGCTTCCAGGTCCACGCCCTCCGAGACGTCGTCGTTGCTGCCGCCGCTGCTGCCGCTGCCCCGGCTGTACGCGGGCTCCGAGTGGGCCAGCGCGGGCTTCTCGCCCTCGCCCTCGCCCTCCAGGTCCCGCCGGGCAATCAGGGGGCCGGGGTGGCTCCTCCGGCCGGCGGGCCGCTGGCCCAGGCGCACGGCGTGGTCCCTCGCGCTCACGGCCGCGGAGCTCGTGGACGACAGCCCCCCGACGGTGACGGTGAGCAGCTTCGGGTTGGGGTCGAACAGGCTGCCGCTCTGGTCGGCGCCCTCGCTGGGCCCGACGTCGTCGTAGGGGAAGGCGTAGCCCTTGCGGTCCGAGTTGGCCGCGTGCACGATGCGCGCGTAGTGGTTGGTGACGGGGTCGGCGTAGTAGGTCGACACCTGCTCGCCGTCGGGCTGGTTGCTGTTGACCAGCAGGGTGGAGCGGTTGAAGGCCGCGGCGAGGCGCGCGGCGATGTTGGCCATCTCGTCCGTGCCCACCGCGAAGGCGCCCGTGGAGCAGCTGAAGATGTCGGCCGCCGAGGGCTGCGGGAAGGACCCCGCGTCGCCGAATGCGAGCTTCGACGACGAGTCCACCTCGCCCGAGACGACGCCGTAGCTGGCCTGGGTGTCCACCTGGAGGTCGGTCGTGGCGTATTTGGCCCAGACCTTGTCGACGTAGGGCTGGAAGTAGCCGTTGAACAGGGAATTATTCATGACGATGCCGGAGTTGGGGCTGAGAGCACGGAGGTTCGCCCCTGTGGAGTCCTTGATGATGAGGTCCTTCCAGCCGGCGCCGTCCGCGGCACTCTGCTCGGTGAGGGCGGAGCAGACGGTGTCGAGTCCGTTGGACGGGGTCCCTGCGACCGTGGTCACGAGGCCTGAATTATTTTCCAGCTGCAGGGCAATGGGCAGGGAGACGAAGTCCACGTAGGTGATGTTGACGAATAGCTGGAAGCTATTGTACGTGAACTCACAAAAATCCCATCGGGATTCATAATTTGGATCGCTCACATTCGTCACCGACGGCTCGACCAGGGCCGGGCCCGGGTTCAGCAAGAAGGTCAGGGTCGCGTTCTGGGAGAACCAAATCCGGCCGCCAGCTGTCTGCGGGATCGTGATCGTCGTAGTGCTCCCTGGAGATCCCAGTTGGATAGCAGTGTTTGCTTGCAGAGATTTTCCTGTGCTGTCTGGCGAACTCGGGAAATGAACCGTGGAGCCGTCGCTGTGAATCTTGTCAGAGTTGTAGTCCGACCAACGGAGAGACTATAACGTAAGGCCTGCAGCTATGCTCACCTTTCCAGCATGAATACGGCATTATTGTTCTGTATAGCAAGCCCGGACACGTAGGCGTAAACGCTGGAAGAGCTCGTAGTGTTGACGATAGCAAAGTTCATAGTCGGGTCGGTCTGAGCGGACAAGGACTGCTTGCTGTTCGGGGCCGATGTCGCCGGAGCACGAAGGACATTGGTGTCCTTTTGGACTTGGAGGACTTCTTCAAGACTCGACATCTTGAAGAGATGGGTCCTGGTTGAGCAGTGTGTATACTGTTTGGTAAAGGCTTCCAAGGAATTGTGTATATGGGGATGCAACGAGTCTGAATAGAAATACGTTGCAAGACACAATATCTGACGGTAAGGACTGGAGTAGAGGTTTAATCTATTTGAGGAATTTCTCTAGTATTGGCCAAAAGAGTGACGAGAAGGAGTAGGATAGGATACTGGTGGTGTTGAGAGCCCCCGCTCACAACGCTGACCTGGGCATGTGGTTCTCAAGTCGTCAAGAGACATATCGCCTGACCTCAGTTGGGGGGGGGGCAGCCAGTCAGACTATAAGTATATCCTACCGGCAAACCGGCAACACACCTTTGCAGCATTTTACCTAAACTTACGGCATCAGGTAGAGTTGCTGCCCGCAAGACACTCCAATCCGGACGCCGCCGGATAGCAATGTGACAGCGAGTGCCGAGTCAAGGCCGAGGGTGCGGCTCAGATGGGCGAGGGCGCATACCTGCGATCCTTGTCGACCTTCGTCTCTGGGACATTGGCTCGAGGTGGCATGTGGACAAACCACGATCCAGGCTGGCACTTGCTGCCGGGGATCGACGTGCAGTCGTCCGCGAAGTGGGCCCTTGGTTCACAATGTGTAGGGCCCTGGGCGGGTCGAGACTCGTGATAGTAGCCGGGCATGAAAGTTGATGTGGGAGTTGAAACAGCAAGTGAAGAGAAAGGAAATGACGGGTGGCATCCAGTCGAAAATAGCCGGCCAACAGTAACCGCAATCCCAGGGGGTTGGTTTAGTTCGGGACGGATAGCGTACCGAGCCTTGATGTGTCGAATCTTAGGCGTAGACCCCTAGAGTTGCTCCTGTTCCGGTTGCTGGATCCATGATGCTTCTAGATCAGCCCCAGAAGCCGTAGGGTGGGAACCCACCGATGGCAGACTTGAGAACAGAGTCCGACATGGCCTCATGGCGCCGTAGCATTTCTGGCTTGCCAAGCTGTCGTCGGTTGCAGTCTTTTGTCGACGCTGGAATAGTCACGCAGTTTCCAGATGCAGGCACATATGGTGACGTACGTACATATAACCAACGCACCCACACCCAACACACCCACAGCCCTCGGGACCAAGAAGCGACATGCTGTGTGTGTATCGAGGTGGACGATGGAGTAGAGACCGTCGCATAAGGGTAGGGACGGAAAGCCCGCCACCGTTACATCGAGCCATCCGCAGCTGAGGCGGCGCATGTCAGGCTCAAGTGGCCGCGTGGCCAAGACATCGAATGGTGGTTGATGGGTTGGCCAAATCCGTGCCTCGTTGAGACGGTGCATAGGAGTGGCATCCGACAAGACAGAGAGCGCTTGGAGGTCCGGTTGTTTCTCCCCGTCCTCATTCCCCGGCAACGCGCCCGTCCATGTGGCCAGATACAGGTGTCGTCGCCGTCGTCCAATCCCAAGGCGACGTCGTTGGTCTTGATGACCTCCCCTGTCTACACCAAAAGGGGCCCCCCCCCCGCATCGTCTTCATTCGCCTGCTCGACCAAATCGGGCCGTGGCACTGGACTAATGGCCGATGGTGGTGCGGCATGGCGTCGTTGTCGTCTGGCCTCCTTTTTTGCCCTGGGAGAGTAAGACGGAGAAGCTCAGTGGCCCGCGGTATGAAATGATGTCGACGGCCGGCCGGCCTGGGCGGCCAATGAGCTCCCCCACCTCCGGTCACTGCAGCTTCGAAAGGAGGTTGCCAGGATCAGCGATCACAAGCTTTGGCATCCCTGCTGCTCATCCGCGCCGTCCCTCACCACTTACACGGCCACGGAGATGTCTCGTGCTTTTCACGACTTTGTGGAGAAGATTACATCTCAGAAGCAAAAAGGAATCAAGCCACCGGGGGACTCCGATTTCCAGGTCTCTACTCAACGGCTCGTGGCTTTGGAACGCCATGTGAATCTAGTAGCCAGGGCAAGACAACATCAGAGGGCGGCAAGGAAATGGCAGGCCAGGAGCGAACAAACGAGCAAAGCAAATACATGGCTCAGAGGGGATAGCAGCCAATGCCTGCTGCGTCCCCTTGCATGTCATAGTTCTCGCCCCAATACGTTTCTGCGTTTCTCAGGAGGCAGGTGTGGCCATAAGTGTCCAGGTTTGTGTGAGACAGACATTACAGTGACAAATACTCGCTGCCAGGAAAAACCAAAGGGCTCAGCATTACGGACCTATTGGTGCGGCCAGGGTGTATCTGAGCAGTTAGTTGACAACGGGTTTTGGTCAGTGCCCAGCCCACACACTACTTTATTTGTCACCTCTGATGCTGAATTCATGGAAAGTGAATGCTTTGCTGGCTTCTTCTCTACCTGAATTACTCTACTTGAATCCCCATCTTGGATTACCAAACCCGTTCTTGTTCCAAGTGCCATAGGGACCAGTTGACCAAAACAAATCACACCTGGACCAACCGGGGGTCCCCCGAAACTGGAAGGGCATCGCCATTTTGTGGTCATATTTGTACGCCATCCTTCCGTCCAAATCACAAGAGCCCCAAGACTATCAGGGGAACACTCCCCAGCCAGCCACCAGGAGAGACAAGCCAACCGACATCCACGTCACCCGCACACCAACAGTCCCGTCCTCATCTCCACCACTCACGCCATTATCATCAGACACCGTCTGGTTACCGGTCATGTTCTTCTGCCCCGTGAAGAAGAACCCAGCCGCGCCGTCATCCCCCTCCGTGACAGCCGGGACCGCGCAGACCGCCCCAGCAGCCGCGGGGTCCGCGCACCTCGCCGCGGCGTCGCGCACCCTCGCCCCGTCGGAGCTGTTGAAGTACGCCTTGACGTACCGCACCTCCATGGCCGCGTCCCGGGCCGGCGGGCCCCCGGACCACAGCGCGTTGCCGTTGCTCCACTGGTTCAGGGCGAGGTGCCCGGCCGACGACGCCGCGGGCACCGAGTCCCGGTCGTCCAGGACCGCCAGCGCCGCGCCGTCGGCGTAGAAGGCGACGCGGCCGGGTACGAAGTCGAAGCGGTACTCGTGGAAGCCGGCGCGGGGGTCGAAGGGGAGGTTGGCCACCGCGTGGCCCGGGGTTCCTGACGCGTCGAACCCGGCTTTTGCGGCGGCTGGGGACTGGAGGACGAGGTGGACTGGGTAGCTGGAGTTTTCTGTGCGGAAGTCCTTGGAGAGGAACTCCATGTCGATTTCTTGGGTGTCGTTGAAGTACTGATAAGATGTGTGTTAGCGCTGAGCACTCATATCGTGGTACGTATCTTCTGGGCCAGAGTGTAGGGGCGAGCAGGATGATGGACTGGCGGTTTGCTCAACTGCAGGACACCACTACTCCTGGGCTTCTATCATGATCCAGGGACAAGACCACCGTCCCTCGTGTGCTAAACATTCACCCTGTGGCCACACTAGCCGCCTCCTGCGGGTGACACAGGCAGGAGATGGCCCGATGCCATCGCGACTTACCCAGAAAAAGGCAGAGACCTAGGAAATAAGCGTCAGCAGTCGAACAGACTCCCCATTGAGATCGTAACAGGGCATCAACAATACCGTCCCGGCCACATCAGTCAGCCTCAAGCTGCTCCTGAACGAGCCATACGACACGTCCAGCCGCGCCGAGTCGATCTCGCCCCCGCTCAGCATCCCCTCCACCACACCGCTCCTGACGGTGATCTGGAGGCCGTCAGCCTCTTCCTTCGTCTCGACGTTGTCCACGGCGAACATCTGGCCATAGGTTCCCCGCGCCTGTGCCGCGCTGGTGTTGAACTCCTGCCGCACCCAGTCCGTGTTCTTGGAGACGTCGCTGATGTTGGGGAAGTTGGCCTCTATGAGGTCGGTGAAGACGAAGGTCTCCTCCTGCTGGGGGCTGCCCGAGGAGGAGTTGCTGACCGTGGCCGAGTAGCCGCACTCGCAGTCGGCCGCGGCATGCTGAACCAGCAGTACTATGGTGAGCACCAGGAGGGTTCTGCTCACCCTGGCGGTGACGATATTGGGGATTGAGGGCCACATGGTGTTCGTTTTCGTCGTTTTGGAAAATGAAGAATTCTGTTCACTTTGGCCTGTTCTCGCTTGCATCCAAGACGTCTTGATGTCTCAGAATGAATGACTCCAAGAATTCTGCGCGTCTGTAGGTGTCGCGTGGCCAGTAGCGCCAGAGTTCGACCCGACTTAACAGACCTGGAAACCAGTGACAGAGCACTTCACTGTGAATCCCAAGCTGTGATGGTCACTCAGTCACCGAGGTGAGCGGCTCACAAGGCAGGGCTCTCGAGTGATGCGAGATCTGCTCTTCCTGCCGATTACCAGTGAATGTCACCACCCGAACATGCAGGTGGACAGGAGTTGGCTTGTCCTATGCGAGCCCCGCAAGCTGCAAGGGCACACACAATCACTGGGCATGCGTTGGCCGAGGGAAAAAGGAAAAAAAAAAAGACCAAGGGTTGACGGGTGATGGCTGCAAGAGCCTGCCCTGAGTTCTCTACTATATATCGAGTCACACAAGTGTCACCTTGCTGGTGTCCCTGAAATACCAGAGTGGAGTCGACGCACAATCTCTTCTCCTCCTCTTGATGTATGATCGTAGGCCATGACAAGGTCCAAACAAGCGGGAGTAATATTGCTTAAGCTCGAACTTTGCTTTACGGACGAAATCAGAGACTCGCAACTGTAAAAACGGAGGGTACACTGGTATATCAACTCACACCATGGCTACAGCCAATTGAAGCACATCACCCAAGCCTAATTCGCTTACTCACATCTAACACCTACACACCTAAGTCAAATTAGGCACACAACTTGGGTATGTAATTTGGGCATATGAGTATTGGGTATGGGTGTGAGTGTGAGTGTTAGGTGTAGGTGTTGGGTATGAGTGTTGGGTATGGGTGTTGGGTGAGGTGGTGTTGTACTGGTGTACCGTCCGGTGTACCCCCCGTTTTTGCAGGCGCTAATCTCCGTATTCTTACGGAACGCGGGCACTGGCCGGGAACACCTGGGTAGATAAATTACTTAGAAGATGCGAGGCCATTCCTTGTGGTGCCAGTCTTGGGCATCATTCACTTGCATCCTGGGAGACGAACACCTAGGTGCGGCAGCGTATCCAGGGAAGAGAAGCGATATTCTTTGAGCGCTACACTGAGCTGCCTGCCTTTGTACAATTCAACTCAAAATGACTGCTGAGAAATCCTTCATTAAGGCAAACTCGTCACGAATCTCAGCCTTATATTGACTCGGCTGGACCCCAGCTCACACCCGGCCCAACCTCCCCCCCCCCTTCTGTGTTCATCAAAGCTTCCTTGTCCATTTCTAGTACACCATATGAGAGGAAAATGTAAAAGCATCGCAAGTAAGATAACAGAAACAAGGCATGGATTGAACAAGGTATCAGGCACAAGGAAATAAACAAAAACAAAAGCATACAAGACATGAGGAAAAAAGCAGGCGACAGAATTAAAGTGGCTGCTAAGGGGTGACGTAGCTAAAAAAGACAAGGAGAAAAAGAGTTCCCCCGATTGGGACCAGCCAACGATCCGTGTGCGCAGCAGCGTATTACCCCGGGGTAGGTTTCGTGTGAGGCCGGCAGCTCCTCAAGGCCCTCCCCTTTCCTACCGATTTGAAAAGGGACCAGGACCAAACGCGCCACCGGGCTTTTGCCAAAACCTGCCCCCTCCCTGATTATGCCAGAGTCCATTCTTGAGACGCAAACGCAATTGCAGAGAACATGACCGGGAAATTCAGAGAAGGAAACCTTGACCCCACGCCAGAACCAGACCATGAAAGCAGAAAACCAAAGACGCAAGAGGTATATGCCGAAGGAGAAGCCCTCAAATGAAACAGGAATAGTCGAACATCATTATTCATCGCCGGAATTAGTACACGCTGTCTTCGTCACCGCCTTGAGACATTGAGGGAGTCGAGACATTGTCTGACATTTCAACATCGTCGACATAGCCGATCAGCGCCTGAGCGTGGAAGCGGAAGGATTCACCCATCAACCGAGTAATTCTGGTGGACAGTTAGCACAATTCAGGCTGGTGGGCTTCGGGACTGCACTTACCCCCAGACAACCACCTCGTCAAGCATGGAGCCCCACAGGCGAGCCACAATGGTGCCGAGTTGCGAAATGTATTGCTGGTCGAGGTCCTTCTCGAACAGCTTGCGGATCTTGTTGTACATGGCCATCTCCTCCTCGCTTGCCGGCTCATCATCATGTTCCAGACGGTAGAGCCAGAGGCTGAGGATGATCATCAGGTCCATTCCGCAGAGGGGGTGCTCGATGCTCCAATTGGTTGGCGAGGTGCGCGCAACCCAGCGCACACCCTGGACCACCGCCGTCTCAATGCAGTTGTAACACTCCTGGATGACCTTGATCATCTCCGAAGAGCGCTTGACACGGTCCCGCGCCCCTGACATCGCCGCATGGACTTCGTACGGGTCATGGTAACGAAGAGCTTCCTGGACGGTCTTGAGGTCGACTTCAAGTCGAGCTCGGGCATTGCGGAACATGGCCGTGGCATTGAAGATAAGAGGGTGGCCCTTGTGGGGAGAGATGACAGGCACGGTAGCAGTCTCGGGCTCGCATAGGTCGACGGATTTCTCCCAAGTCTCCAAAGCGAGCCTGAGTTTGTACTCGGTGACAACATCTTGCAACGCTTCGGGGCTGCGCTTGTGGTACCACACTTCAAGGAAGAGAGCGTTGATCATCACACGAGTCGCGAACGCGCTGTACTTGATCGTCTCACCCTGGAACAGCTTGTCGTGGGCCTCCATGAACGTCACCCCGGTGGAAGCAGTGAGGTGCTCCTCCCAGGCCAGCTCATCGGCCACCTGCAGGTTCCAGAGAGCCTCAGTGGAGGGCAGCAGCAAGTCCTCAAACTCATTGAAGCTGATGGCAGGCGTGTGGTTGTACGAGAGAGTAAGGAGGCCAAAGAAGATGTACACCGCGTAGTAGGTGCGACGGCACTCCTCGTCCTCTACCCACTCAGCTCGGGTCGGAGATCGATTCTCGCGCGCTTCCTGCCGAAGCTTCAGCTCGTAGCGATTGCCAGCAACCATGTTTGCCAAAAGACTCTTGATTGAACAAGCCCACTCAAGCCCCTTAGGATCACCGCTCCAAGTGGCAAAAATCATGTTCAACAGAGAACTCTGCATGGCCCATAGAGGGCATTTGCGGGAGCTGAAGTTTTCCTTATTCTGCAGGAACTCGTTGATGAGGACCTTGCTACCGACGTGCATCATGAAGGCCTGCTCCTGGTCAAAGGCGTATAGGGCACCGATGGAGAGGACAGACAGGAGGAGCGGCGAGGACACTGTGGTGGGATCAAAAGACGCCGGATGCAGGAAAGGCAGGTGATGATGGAACATGCCGAAGTAGGTTGACAGGTAGCGGTTCAGACGCTCAAGGTTGGGCATCTTGAAACCGTCCGGTATCGCGTGTTCGGTATCGCTGCCGTGAACATTGTCCAGAATCATGTTGCGCTCCACGTCGCTGGTCACCTGAGGAGGCTTGAAGCCAGCCGAGGTCTGGTGGGCCTCTGCGTGGTTCTGAGTGCCGTGCGAAGGATAGGGCGACTGAGAAGTGGGTGTGCCAGTAGCAGACGTCTGAACAGAGTTGCCGAGCGACTGAGACGAGATGGATTCGGGACCATTGTCTTGTCGTGCAGACGTAGTAGGCTGGATCGTGCTGGAGCTGGCGAAGGACGGCTGTGAAGCGAAGGAACCGGAAGCCGAGGACAGCGAGTTGTTCTTGGGCTCACCGTGAACGAACGAGTCCCACTGAGGCAGGCCGATCGTACCGTTAGGGTAGGTCACGGTCGGGGGGTCCATCAAGGAGTTGCCGCTCTGCGCATAGGGCACAGTCGGGCTGGCCTCGAAGGGGCTGCCATTGCCTTGCATCACAGCAGTGGCCTTGTGATGGAGGTCAGCAACGAGCATGGCCGCGGTCTCGACATCGAATATGCCCTCGCCGCTAGCCTCGAGCTGTTCCAAAGCAGGACCGTCAAGGGCCAGCGAAGGCTTCGCAGGACCCGCGACAGCTGCCTTCGGCTTTGGGCCACCACGGCGCTTGCCATCGCTGTGAAGGGGAACGCCACCGTCCTTAGCGTGTACGGTCCGGTCATGTCGCAGTAGCAAATCGCGTCTGACGAAGGTGCTGCGACACTTCATGCACTTGAAAGGTCGCTCTTTGGTGTCTATGTTTGGGAGGAGTCAGCATATGGGCTGTTTGAAGAGACAAAAAAAATTGTGTCCTATTTGTGTAACGCTGACTCCAAGTTTTCCTCGTCCGAGTCCGTGGGAATTGTCCCAACGCGAGAGCAAATTCCATCGAGCCGCCGGGGGGAGGGGGGAGGAATAGACATACGTGACCGCTCATGTCTGCTTCTGTGCTCGCTTCTGCTGAAGGCTCGATTGCAGAACTGGCACTTGTACTTCTTCTCTGGTGCGAGGGAGGTTTTCGCGAGGCCGAGGCTGGGGATTCAGCGGCGGGCGCAGGCACGGCGGCGACGCTTGCACCTGGCATCGTGGAAGATGGTCTGTCGCGTGGGTGCGTGTCGGGGCAGGGTTTGCGAAGCGAGAACTGGCTAGCTCTAGCAACGGCAACGAAGCGGACGACGACGACGTGGGGGGCGTTGACAGCGACGGGTTGGCAACGATGGTGGGCACTCGGGAAAACGGATTGGCAGCCTCCTAGAACGATAGTTGAAATCGCTCAAAACTCCTTGCTCGCTCGCACGCGCTCCCGTGGGGTTTAAAGTGTGTCGACTTGACTGTGAGGGGCGATGCAGTTCATTGGGGTCGATGTGCAGGTCATGGAATAGACCAGGTGGTGCTGGGGATAAGATGGCTGCAGTGGCCAAATAGGTTCTGGAGGGGCTGAGGAATGGTCCTGCCTGGATGCAGGATGTGCCGTGACGGACTGGGGCGGGTGAAGCGTCGCTGATGGCGGATGGTGATGCGGGAGTGAGATGGAGTGGGAGGAGGAGAGAGGGGTGAAATTCGACGAGGGAGAT